GCTAATTAGATGGCGGGCGACGGCCATCGCAATATCCTGCCGCGTTTCGTGGCTGCAGGCGCGCTGCAGGGCAATACGCTGCGCGTCGCCTGCTGCCGGCCGGGCGCCCCTGTCGCTGCGAGAAGGGCCTTCTGCGAGTGTCGTGGGCGGGCGCGCTCAGTCAGGCGATCCTGGGGCCAGTCGTTTCCTGCAGCGCGAGTGCGTGACAGCAGAGCGATCCCGGCTGCGCCCGTCAGGTTGGAAGCCAAAGGGGCTTTTCTAGCGCCGCTTCTAGCGGCCTTCCACGCCTCTTCCAAACGTGGCGGCAGCATGCGTGCGTAGGGCCGTGCTGCAGCCCGCCCGCCCTGCGACCAGCGCCCTGGGCTGTTGCTACATCACCACCGCGCCAGCATCGGCGACGCTGCGTGCGCGCGTGGGGAGGGCTCTGTGTGCAACGTGGGATGGCGTGGCTGCGACGCCTGCAGACGGGCCCCTTGGCCGGGCGCGCGCCCCCCTTTCCGCTAGCCGGGTCCAGCGTGGAGCGGTGCGGTGAGCACAGTGGATGCTCCAGACAAGCTTTGACGCGACAGCATGAGCGCCCCAGCGATCCCATGCTGCGAACCTCCATCGGCGCATTGACACGGCTGCAGAGACCGGCCAGGGTCGTCCAACCCACAAGGCTGTCATTTCTCGACGCCGGCTAGCTCCCTCGTCGACGCGATGGGAAACAATCCATGATCTACATAACTGCCTGACGCCCCGACCTGACAGTGCCCTTCTTGCTGTGACCATTCTGCGTGCCCTGGCCAAACAGCCTCCCGCGTCCCCGAGTGCCCATCGCCCGAGTCAAGGCGGCTCTGTACTATACATCTATACATACCCAGCCAGACCTGGGACCGCTCCTCAGCACCTGTTACGAGGCCACGAACATTGACCCGGTTACTTTCCCGCATCTGCACGTCTGGTACCTGCACGCAGGCGTCCGAAGGTACGCGCACCGCCGTTTGACTCGACCTGCCTTGCCTCGCCGCGACTGACGCCCACCGAAGACCTCATCCGACGACGTGAAGAAATTTACGCGACACGGCTGTTGTGGACGGCTTGCACGAGATTACTCCGGCGTTATTAGGCCCGCCCAGCGACACGACACGCACACCTCCCACCCCCGCGACTGCTCTCTCGCGTTCGAGAAGCGCCCGCGAACAAGTTCCACACACAGCGCAAAGCGCCACCCGCCCGCGCACATCCTCGCGCAACGACCGCAGCAGAACGCGCTGCACGCTGCACAACGACAGGCCCAGCAGGGAAGCGCGTCATTCCACCAGCGCCATCGGGACTGGTGAAACTCTGCTGCGCGGTGTCAGAATTGTCAGGTTGAATCGGGTTAAGCCCTTGGATTTAGCGCCACTCCCAATCCGGACTAGCGCCTCTCCGTCAGGTCCAAAACGCGAAGGAAAAGAACGGTATTCCACGTAGGTACTTCGAACTTTCTCACCCTCACTCCTCTCGCCCCAACCGCCCTTCGCCCTCTCCTGCCCTGCCTCGTCTCAAAGGTACGTCGTGCACTGCGGTGCAGTGCGTCGAGTCGCGCCCGCCCCCCCCGGCTCGCTCTGTTCTGCCCGCGCCTGCTGTTCCCCTTTTCCTCACCGGCCCGTTGCGCCTGCACCACGCTCTCCCCTCGCGCTCCCTCCCGCCTCAATGTCGCTCACCTACCCTCGTCCGTGTCCCGTTGACGATAGCTGACGTTCGCCTGTGGTAGTAGTGTTGCTTCCAGCTTTGACCCTCGCGTGGCCCGGCCCATACCTCTCGCTCTCGGACGGACCACCCTCCGCAACACCTCGATCCCTAATCAGTGTTGGTGGAGCGGGCGAGCAGCCTCAGCGCAGGCAATCCAATCGCAAGTAACGCGGTCGCTCGCGGCGGTGTGAATCTTAGCCCACTCAAGGAGCGGTCAAGAAAGCGAAAGCCCATTATACTGGTGCGCACCTCTCCCGCCTCCTCGGACTCGCCTTTCCTAGACCTCCACGCCTGCAGCCCCTGCAAACGCGTGGACCTCACCCTGATTTTGGCTTGTGGGACATGGAACTTGGGAACATACTCAATACTAAGATGCCTGGACGCCTTCTAGCAGGAAGACCCTTCATGTCCTACGACATGCAATCCACGATGCAGCAGCAGTACGCCCCTGCGCCGTACCAAAACGGCCAGATCAAGTCGGAGACGAACTCCGAGCGCGGAGTCTCGCCGCACCCTTCGAACGACTACCAGTCACGCTACCCCCAACCCGCCCCTCCTCCTCTCCAGGCGTATCAGCCTATGCCTGCTGCCATGTCCAATGGCATGCGCTACCCGTCTCCTACCGCGATGAACGCGCCGATGCCCATGATGAACCAGCAATACCTCCCCAACCCTCCTCCCGACCACGCGTACCCTCCTCAGGTCCCTCCGGACCAGCAACAACAGCAGGTTGGCGGCAGGCCCGCGTCGGACACGGGTCCGCCCAAGGCCTTTGCCTGCTCGACTTGTGGCAAGGGCTTTGCCCGCCGCAGCGATCTGGCGCGCCATGGTAAGTCCCAACGCGTCCGCTTGGCATTCACTTCAACGGCGCTAACAACGCAACAGAGAGGATCCACAGCGGCATTCGGCCGCACGTTTGCGACTACCCCAACTGCGGCAAGCAGTTCATCCAGCGCTCTGCTTTGACCGTCCACCAGCGTGTCCACACTGGCGAGAAGCCTCACATGTGCGAGCGTTGCGGCAAGGTGAGTCAGACTTCGCATTGTTTACCGGTCGAATCATGTTGACGTAATGAATTTTAGCCCTTCTCCGACTCCAGTTCGCTTGCGCGTCACCGTCGCATCCACTCGGGCAAGCGCCCTTACAAGTGCCCCTACGCGGACTGCCAGAAGACTTTCACGCGTCGGACGACGCTTACGCGCCACCAAAACCACCACACTGGTACTGTTGAGGAGGCTGCAGCTGCCACTGCCGCTGCTCTCGCGTCTCGCGCGTCTCAGGCGCCTGCGCGTTCGGTCCGCTCGGATGCCGACGACTACTCTGAGACGGCTTCCCCTCTCCCTACGCCGTCGCCGAACCAGCGGCCTCTTTCCATGTCGCCTGCTGCCGGCATGCCGGTCATGCCCTCGATGCATCGTCAGGTCTCGGATTTTGCCTACATGCAGAACCCCGGCATGCCTCCTCACCTGCGCTCTGAGATGCAGCAGCCCAGCCCGCGGTCATCCCCCGCCCTGACCTCGCAGCCTTACACATCGGTCGCCTCTCAGCCCAGGCCGCCGATCACCTCGCACCCTACTGGGTACGGGCCGCCTTCGGTGCTTGAGCCTCCTACCGGCGCTGCTCAGTCGCAGCAGCAACAGCAGCAGGCGCCGCAGCAGCAGCCTGGCAGCGCTCACAGCAGCCCGCATATGAGCAACATGGGGTGGCAGTCGCCTGCTCAGCAGAGCATGCCGTCTCCCAGCGGCAATGATTCTTACACGTACCCGGAGCCGCACTACGGTGCGTCGGCTCCTAACATGTACTACGGCAACCCGAACATGGCCAGGCCCAACAGCACTGAGCCTGACGGATACGATCCCCGCAGGAGGATGGCCGAGAACATGTGGGCTCCTCCTGTCCAATAATTGCCTCGACTTAATTGCGCGCTTTTAATTGTACGATGAGGTTTTGAGCGAGTCAGCCAGCCGCAAGATTCAGCGGCGATAATTCCCAACTCTGTGGTTGTTTGATGGCAGCCATGACGGATGTCCCTTGCATTAGTACGGAGCGTGACGGAGCAATCTGCGAGTGTAGCATCAGGGTCTGGTTTTTCCTCGTTTCCTTTGTTGTGGTTGCTGGCGGTTTTTCCCTTACTACCCTAATTCGGCTCAGGGTTCTGCATGTGTGTGTGTGTTATTCCATTTCTTGTTTCGGTTGCGGAGATGGAGATATCCTAAGGTTTTCCTCTGGGTCTGGCTTTCTTGCTCTGCGGGCTTGCGACCGGGCGTTTTTCTTAGAGAGTGGGGCCAAAGGGAGGCGTCCAAACGCCCTCAGCTGACATGGGCGGGTTCTGGTTAGTTATTCTTGTTTCCTTGCGCACGACGGATCTGGTGGGCGGTTCCTTAGCTGGGGTTAAAAAGAGAGCATTAAAACGTTTTTTAGACAAGTACGTGTGCCCGGTGCGGAGCGTGAAGCGGGAAGCGTGAAGCGTGAGGTGATGGATGATGCAGGGCCGCCGCCAGCCCGTGCGCATGAAGCGCGCGCCAAAGCAGCGACGGACGGCTGCCCTGCGGCGGGCGACGGGAGATGACGCAGCTTTGCGGCGGTGCTCTTGGTCGACTTGCCACCCGAATGCAGGCGGTTGCGACGATGCAGCGACATGTCGCCGTGCTGGAGGATGCCCGCGTAGGTAGGACAGGGCCGGCAGGCCGCCGTGCCGGTCTCGGGATCCCCTGTTCGGCGAATGAGACGGCCGGCGGAGGCACGCGCGATTGGGCGCAGCTGGGTGCAGCTGCTTCTGCGACGGGCAGGAGAGCGCGCAGCGGGTGTTGCAGACGCGGCTTTGGAGGCCGACTGACACGTCTGCGCACCCGCCCAGCACTGCGCCGCGGTGCAAGGCACGCCACAGCCGGAGGGAGCCCAACTGCACCGCTGGGCGCATTACGACTCCCGCCGCCTGCTCGCCTCCCAGTAGATCCCAATACCCTCTCTCCCTCCCGCGCCGTCGACAAAACACCCTCCACGCCCCACCGTCGCCGTCTCCACGCCGTTCTGTCGCCGCAATCGCCCGCTGCATCCACGCGTGCCCTGTTTGCGGAGTCGCCCGCCTGCTAATTAAAGCGCCCGCACGTTCTCCGGCCTAGCGACATCAAGTTGCATCATCGCCCGACATTCGCCCAGCCGTCCATCCCCTCGAACCTCACCCTACTCAACCAACCCTCGCTACAAGCCACCCGCGCACCCCACACCCACACCAGCCCTGAGCCCGCTGCTGCCCGCGACCCAGCGCGCTCAACACCGCCAACATGTCGAAGGTGGTGCGAAGCGTGAAGAATGTCACCAAGGGCTATTCGAGCGTCGAGATCAAGGTGCGAAATGGTACGCCGCGCCCGCTCTCCGCCGCCCGCCACGGCCACCATAGCTGATGCGATGCAGCGACGAGCAACGACCCCTGGGGCCCCGTCGGCAGCGACATGGCCGAGATCTCCCAGTTGACCTTCAACAAGTAAGTGCCTGCCCTGCCGGCCGCCCGCGGACACGGCGGCCTCGTCGTAGAGGACGCTGATACATGGTTTCAGCAGTCAAGACTTTTACCAGATCATGGACATGCTCGACAAGCGCCTGAACGACAAGGGCAAGAACTGGCGCCACGTCCTCAAGTCGCTCAAGGTCCTCGATTACTGCCTGCACGAGGGCTCCGAACTCGTCGTTACCTGGGCGCGCAAGAACCTGTACATCATCAAGACCCTACGCGAATTCCAATACGTCGACGAGGATGGCCGCGACGTTGGCCAGAACGGTATGCTGACCCCTCGATTGGCACCCCTCTCCTGAGCTGCTCTCCCGCTGACGCTATGTGTACAGTGCGCGTGTCCGCAAAGGAGCTCACCTCCTTGATCCTTGACGAAGAGCGCCTGCGTGCCGAGCGCGCCGATCGCAAATCATGGAAGTCCCGTGTCACCGGCTTGGACGATTACGGCACGGGCGGCCAAGGCAACGAAGCCACTCGGCCGCGCCAGCCGCGTAAGCAGAGAAACGATGAGGAGGATCTAGAGTACAAGTTGGCCATCGAAGCAAGTAAGAATGAGATGGAGGAGGAACGCAGGCGCCGCGAACGCCAGCGACGTACGGATGATGACGAGGACCTGCAAAAGGCGATCCGGCTCAGCCAAGAGGAGGAAGAGCTGCGCCGCAGGGAGCTGGAGGAAACCAATGCCAACAGCCTGTTTGACGACACACCCGCTCAGCCTACAGTCGCTCAACCGACCGGATGGAATCAGGGATACCAACAGCAAGGCGCCGTGGATTGGTTTGGGAACGCGATCGATCAGCAGCAGCCCCAGAATACCGGTTTCTTGAACTCGGCCTACTCCCAGCCAACCGGAATGCAACCGCAACAGACTGGATTCCAGAATGGATTTGGATACAACGGCTTCCAGCAGCAGCCCACTGGCTTCGACCAAGCGTTTGGCGGCCAGCAGCAGAACTACCTGCAACCTCAGCAGACTGCATTCAACATGGGCAACAACCCATGGGGTCAGCAAACCAATGGATTTGGTCAGCAGCAGCAGCAGCAGCAGCAGCAACAGCCACTGGAACAGCAGAACACGCTCCAGCCGGGTAGCAACAACCCTTGGTCGTCGAATTCGGGCGCGCACACCACGGACTCGATTAAGCCTATGCCTACTGGTTCCAACAATCCTTTCGCGTCTTCCATCACTCGTCCAGCGACTGCTCAGCCTGTGCGCTCGACAGCGCCCTCTCTCGGCGCGCTCCAGGAGCAACAGACCGCCCAATTCAATAACAACAGTTCCAATTTCAACCCGATCCGGGACTTCTCTGCTCCTCCGTCGCAGAGCTTCCAAGCTCAGACCCCGCAGCAGGAGCAGCCCATGGACCCTCATGCGGCGCGCCTCAATGCACTGCTCGCCTCCGGAGAGGGCCAGGATACGTTTGGAAATGTCGGCAACCTTCGTATTCCGGCCCAGCACACTGCTCCAGGGACCTTTGTCAACAGCGCAGGTCAGGGTGCGGCCCGTCTGACCCAGAACGCGACGGGCAACAACCCGTTCCTCAACTCTCAATTCACCGGCATGCCGCAGCAAACGGGCTTCGGAAACCAGAACCGGTTGATGCCGGCTCAGACTGGCCCTGCTGGTGGATTCGGCGGCAACCCGTTCGGCGCAAGTTTCCCCCAGCAACAACAGCAGCAGCAACAGGGCAGCCTGATCGACTTGTGAGGAGGAGTAGAACACAGGCAGATCATGTACAGGAAACGGCCGTCGTGTTTGCTTTCACGAGGGATCAACAGGTCATTGGGGAAAGGGGTTTTAGGCAAGGTGGGGCATTAACGGGTTAGCCGCCCGGTGATGGCAAGGGATTTTTTTTTGGAGGGCTCAACAAAAAGGGCACGTCTTTCTGTCTGTCTCTTCCCTATGTCACCCGGGTTTTATTTTTCTTTCTTTCCAATTCGTGGACTTGCCTTGGCCCTCCTCCCACCCGCCACCTTGTTCTTTCACTCTGCAGATGACCATTCCCGGCCTGCACAGGCAAGAGTCCATGAGGTCACAAGCTGCCCATGTGTGTGTAGTAGAGATTATATTTTTTACAAGGCTACCCTGCCACAACGCCTGCTGATGCCTCCATACCACCTCACACAAGCACCCATAAAAAGCAGAGACCTGATAGTTCTTTGATATATCGAAAGCAGACACATACACTAAATTATTAAAGATTCAGGTTCTGGGCTAGGATAGGAGATTGGGGTCGAGGTCAGGATCTGGTTGACTGTTTTAAACTATTGCCTTTTTCTCTTTTTTGTTAACATGAGCTTTTCTTCTTCTTCTCCAGGGGGCCTTTATATACCAATTTCCTGTCTTCACCACCTTTCTCTCTATCTCTTTTGTTACTTTCGAACACGTCCCCCTCCCATTGATGCTGATGGACCTTTTTCGGATACGTCTCGAAAAGCACTTTTGTAATCGCTATCTTCTTTGCTTGACTGATGAAAACTTCGAGCACGCTCTTATAATTCCTGGTGATTCCCGTCTATATATGATCATGCTTCTCTCCTGATCTGTTGACTCCGGAAGTCGTGACCCTACGCATCCGATGTCTCCAACTACCCATTTAGGAGGAACAGTGCATGCTGTGCAGGTTATAAAAGGATAAAAATTGGTCGCAACCCAGTCTTTCTCGCTCATGTCTCCTGCTTCACAACCGAATTCACACGCACGGCGAGAGACGCGGCCCAATACGAGGGCACACATCATATAAACATCTTTCTCGCGGCAAGGATTGAAAACAGACCCATTACTTTTGTGTTTCTTTTGAGACTTCTCTTTCCCAAACCCTATCCTCGCCCAACCACCCCCATCTGATTGCAACGCACACCACAAACCGAGGAAAACAAACCCCACCAGCACTCAATCAAACCCCCTTGCTCATTGTTCCAAATGGGGGAGGAGAGAAAAATGCGACATCTACGGCTGTTTCTTGGATGACCCAAAGATGAAAAGAAAGGAGACCAGCAAGCCTCTCATGCGCCTATGAATAATCTGCTGCCGAAGAAAAGAAAATAGTGGTGGACGTATTTCCCATGCGCTTCTCCGCAAAAGAAAAAGGAAGATGACACAGCGAAGTGAAACCTGCAAGGACGCTCCATGGCATCAAAGCCCTCCTTCCCACGGCGGCGTATATCACGCCCTCGACCCAATGCATCCCGTCAAAAGAGACTCTCTCTCTCTCTCAACTCCCGACATTACCGCCTCCTCGCGCTCTCTTGGGCCCACCACCATCTTGGCCACCACCACCCTCGGCACCATCCTCCCTCGGCCGCTTGTTCGGTACGAACTGCTTCGCAGACGCATTCATCGCACCGCCTCTGCCCGCGCCGCCGGGTCCGCCTCCCTCTTGCCCGCCTTGCTGCTGGGCACCGCCGCGTCCGCGTCCGCGACCGCCCCCGCCTCCGCCTCCGCGCGTGGGTAGGTTGCTCTGCTGTTGAGCATGGCCCTGCTGGCCGCCTTGCTGAGCGGCGCCCGCCTGTTGTCCGCCACCGCGACCGGGTCTGGGGATGCCGCCGCCACGCGGGATGCCCGTGCCGCCTTGCAGGCCGCGAAGAGCGGCCGGGCCGGTGCCGGCGTTGGGTTGGCCCTGCTGCTGTGGTGCGGGTCTGTTGTGCAGAGGGTTGACTGGCGGGGCCGCGATGCCGGTCGGCTGCTGCATCTGAGGCTGCGGGTGGAACTGCACCTGGTTGCCTTGCATCAGCTGCTGCTGGAAGGGCGAGTTCGGGCGGAATTGGTTGTTCTGAGCCATCGCGCTCCCGGGACGAGGGATTCCCGTGTTGTTTTGGGGGAATGGGTTCATGGCCGGCTGGCCCTGTTGGCCTTGGAATTGGTGGACTGGAGGGGGACGAGGCAGCCCTGTAGGTAGTTGCTGCGTAGGCTGGCCGAAACTGCCGGCCTGTTGTTGTTGGACTTGGGGTGCTGGTGCAGGCGGTTGCGCCTGTTGTTGGACGGGAGTTGCAGCAGCAGCAGCAGCCGTGGGAGCAGCTGTGGGAGCAGCCGTGGGAGCAGCCGTGGGAGCAGCCGTGGGAGCAGCAGGAGGAGCAGCAGGAGGAGGAGCGGGTTTGGCGTCCTTGGCCACAGCCCAGACCTCTCCTACAGGACGCTGGGGTGTCTCCTCAGCCGCCTTTTGGACTACTTCGATCTTCGCAGTCTGATTGCGCTCCCTGTTCTGCGCCATGTTCAACTTCAGAGCAACGCGCTTTTCTGCCATTGCAATGGCGCCATCTGCTTTTTTCTGGAGCTCTTCCTGCTCCTTTTGGTGCTTCTCCGACAGCTCCTTCGACTTAGCCTCCAACTCCGTAGACAGTTTCGTCTTGACGTTTCGCATGATGATGGTTTTGATGGTATTGTTGTTGCTGACCAGGTCCTTGACCTCTTGGTCGGTGAGGTCAGCAAATTTGGACGGCTCGGACTTAACTTCAGGGCCTGCGGGCGCAGATGCAGCCTCAGCAGCGCCATCCGCAGGCACAACGCTTGTGGGCGGTGCAGATTGTTCTGCTGGCGCAGCACCCTTGACACGCTCGAGCTCCTGCTGATGTTCAGCCTTGATGCGTTTGATCTCGGCTTCGTGTTCCTCCTTGAGCTGCTGCATGGCCTGCCCATGCTCAGCTTTGAGTTTCTCCATGGCCTCCTCGTTCTCTTGCCTAAGGGCTTGCTTGCCCTCGGTGAGCTTCTTAGAGAGAGTCGCTTTCATCTGGTCTGCACGCTGCTGGAATTTGTTTTGTGCGGCCTGAACCTTCTCCTCCGCTTCGGCCTTGACCTTTGCAATCTCTTCGGCCATCTGCTCAGAAGAGACAGAGCCTTCAGGAGCATCTCCAATCGTGGGAGGGGCTGGGTTGGAGGTCGCGTTGGCACGGAGAGCCTCCACCTCCTGCTGAGCAGTGGCAAGCTCAGCCTTAAGCTTCTCGAGGGTCTCCAATGTTTCGGCATCCGCAGCAGGGGGCTGAGCAGCCTCGGAATTCTCAGCCGGTGCGGATTCGACGGATGCAGCCTCGACTGGTGCAGTCTCGACTGGCGCAGTCTGGGCGGGTTGGGCAGGTTGAGTCTCCTTGAGTTGGTTCAGCTCAGCAGTGGATGCGTCAAGACGTTGCTGGGCATCGGACTGAATGTATGTCAGCTCGTGCCTGCGTATGGGATGGTCTGGAAAACTCACGATCTGGGCCTCAAGATCTTGCATCCGGCTTTGCAACATGTCAACTTGACTCTGAAGGTCAGTTGCCCTTGCAGATTCTTCGGCAGCCTTGGATTCGGCAGCCTGAGCGCGAGCTTCTAGTAGAGCCACCTCGGGGCTTGGCACACCAGACTCTTCATCTTCCTGAGCTTCTCCCTCCTCCGGAGTTTCTTGCATCTGTGTGTCAGCTTGAGCAGGTTTGGCATTTGCAAGGGCTTCCTCGTGAGTCGCCTTGGCTTTCACCAGCTCGTCCCTCACTGAAGCCAGCTCCTGCTCAAGCTGCTCCTTCGCTTGGATGGCAACTTCCTTCTCTTGGTTCACCTCCTTGATTTTGGCAGACAGTTCACGTGAGCGACCCTTGAACTGATCGATGAGGCGCAGGCGGCGCTCTTCGTGCCATTGGTCACGCTCTGTAATCGTCTCAGTTTTAACAGTAGCGATCTTCTCCTCGAAACCATCAATCTCGGCCTGCATCGGTTCTTTCTCAGTAAGGAGCTGGTCACGCTCAGTTTCCAGGGTTTCGATCTTATTCTTGAGCTCTGCGAGCTCCTCTGGATCCACACGGTCGTACTTCTGCAGAATATTCTGTGTCCGTTGTTGCCAGCGATCGCGGTCTTCTTTGAGTTGCTGGAGCTCGCCTGATTTGGTCTCGACTTGGTTCTCGTATTCGCGAACGGAGGCCTGCAAAGGCTCGATTTGGGCCATGAGGCTCTCAACCTCCTTGATCTTATCAGCAAGCTGAGCCTGGGCTGAGCGAGCCTCGTTGCGCAGAGTGACACTGCTCTCACGGAAGAGGTTAAGCTCGTTGATCGTCTCCATAAGCTTCGTGTGAGTAACGTTGCTTTGCTGGTTCTCGATCTGGTTTTGACGTTCCTGGTTGAGCCTCTCGCGAGTTTGGTCGAGTTGAGTCTGGGCGTGGTCAAGCTGCTGCTTGTAGCGTTTGGATTCTTGAATCTGTAGTTCGTATTGGACCTCGACAATCTCTTTCTCGCGGCGGAGATAGCGGATGACCTCTTGTAGATTCTCGGTCTCGGGAGGAGGGGTGGAACCAGGCTCAGCTGGTTCTGTACCAAGAGAAGCGCGGCTCTGCTTGAGAGCAGAGATCTGAGCACTGACTGACTCGAGCTGCTGATGAAGCCTCTTGTTCTGGTCGTTCACCTCGTCTCGGCGGATCTTGAGGTCCGAAAGTTCGCGTTCGTAGCGGCTACGGGTCTCATTCCAGCTGTCCTCGCTCGACTCCAAAGCCGTCTTCGCTGCCTGTGCCTCCGCCTTGATCTCGGCGACTTCTGTTTTAAGCTGGTTGTGCTCGGCACGGACTTTCTGGAGGTTCTGTGCAGCCTCGGCATGCTTAACAAGCTCGGTCTCGTAACTTTGCTGAGCTTGCTGAGCGATTGCCGCTTGAGCCTTAAGGTCCTCCTGGCAGAGCTTGGCGGTATCTTGGTAGCGCTCACTCTCATCCTTAAGACGGGTGACCTCGGATTCCAGAATGGACTTTTGTTCGTTGAACCGAGCCATCTTCTCCTCGTGGCCAGTGCGAAGGTTGGACAACTCGGTGTTGGTAGTTGCAAGCTCCGAGGAAATCTCCTCGACGCGCTGCTCCAGGTCGCGGATCTTAGCATCCTTCTCAGCCATGATATTATCCATTTCCTCGCGGTATTGATCGTGAGTCTCGTTGATGCTCTGGAGCTCCTCCTCAGAAGCCTGGGCAATGGATTTGTACTGCTCAACATGCGTCTTGGCAGCCTCCAGTTCATTGCGGGCAATTTCGAGGTCACGCTTAAGGTCAGCAACCTCAACAGCCAGCTCTTGTTCGTGACTGAGGTCATTTGAGTCGGCCTCGCCGTTCTGGACAATGCTCTCACGACGGGGTGTTGGACGAGGCGCCAAGGCCATCGCCTTCTCTTCTGCGTTGCGAAGCTCGATGCGGAGCTCATCCACTCTGGCTTGCAATTGGTCGCGTTGTGTCTTAGCAGCAACCAAGTCTTCCCTAGTATTGCCCAAGCTCTTCACCAGGTCATCAATCCTCGTCCGGCTCTGCTCGGCTTCATATTCGCGGCGGAGAGCAGCTCGCTTGCCCTCCTCAACCTCATCGTCAAGCTTCCTCTTGGCTGTCTGCAATTCGGACTCCAAAGAATCAATGCGGGTTTGAAGGCGGCGACGGTTCTCAGAATCGGCAAGCTCCCGCTCATTCTGTAAATTCTGGAGATCTGCGATCATTTTGTTGAGTCGTGTGCGCTCATCACCGAGAGCACGGTTATCTTCTGTCAGTCGCGTCTCAATGTTCTTCCACAACTCCTTTTCGGCCTTGAGGTTTGCAGCTTCATGACGTAGCCCGTCAGCCTGGGCCTTTGCCTCGTAAAGCTCTTCCGCAACCTGGGCGGTCTTGAGATCTTGCTTCGCGGAAGTTTCAGCCAAAGCCTGGCCTCTCTTTTGTAGTTCCGCGTTTTCCGAGCGCAGTTGATTGAAGTTGACTTGCAGGAGCTCGTATCTCTCCTGTGCCAGCGTGAGCTGGGAGCTGGCACGATTGATCTCCATATGGAGGTCGCTCTTCTCCTTCGCCAGACGATCGGCTTGTTCTTTAAGCATAGAGTGATCCGTGGTCGATTCCTTGCGGAAGGCATCGAAATGGCTTTGTAGTTCCTTGAGAAGCTTGGCGTAATCGGCGAGGTCCTTTGCGTGTGGCGAAGCACCGGGACCGAAACTTTGAGAGAAACCACCAGGAGGTGGGGTGGATGGTCCCACAGACTCACCAAACATGGAAGCGAGGTCCGATCCAGGAGGAATTTGGCCACGGTGTGTGAGCATGCGACGGAACATGTCCCTCTCACGTTGGTAGCTCTCGGCAACAGTGTTCAAAGACTTGAGCTCATCCTCATAACGGTCCGCTTTCCTTCTCAGGTCCTCCAACTCTTCACGATCCCTCTCTGCCTGGTTCTGCTTAGCTCTTGCTTCTTCGCCCTCCATCTTCTCTCCAAGCTCTCGGGTGACACGTAGAAGTTTATTGTTTTGCTCTTGCAACTCCTCGACATTGCGGAAAATGACAAGACGCTGACTGATGAAGCGGCTGGTATCAGTAACTCCATCTTCCACCTCCATCTCGCCGCGAACAATCTTCTCAAACTCCGCTTGGTCGGCGGCGTTGAGAGCTTCGAGGCCTTGGTCGCGTACAGTAACTTCGAACAAGAGGGCCTTCACCTGGTTACTGAGGTCCTGGAGCTGTTGTCGCAGAACATCTCCCTCACGCTGAAGTCCATCAACTTGGCCGGTCCACTTCCTCGCTTCTTTTCTGGCAGCGTCCCGATCCCTGTTCGCTTCTTCAAGAAGCTCTGAAATTTCAAGGACGTTGTGCTCGAGCTTCTGGTGTCCAGCCCGCAACTCCTCGATCTCAGGCTGCTTGGCCTCCAAATCCTGAATCATTTCATCGATCGTGCTGCTCAACTTGGCATTACGACGACGTTCTGCGTCAAGATCGGATTTTATCTGGGAATGCTCTGCGTACAACTGAGTGAAGGTGAGGCCACCCTTCACGCGTGACGGGGAAGCGTAGCCAGGTGTGCCAAAAGTAGGCGATCCTGAGCGCCCAGGAGTGGCGGTTCCTCCAAGACCATTGACAGCACGTCTAGGAGTTCCGGTGATGGCGACCGTGTTTTGCTGGCGAGATGCAAGGTCTGATTCCAGTTTCTCAAGTTGAACTTCCAGCTCTTCGACTTTCCGCAATGCCATCTCTTTCTCAGAGCGCTCCGTTTCGACCTCAGCCTGCATCTGACCTAGTTCCTCCGCTGCATCTTCCTTGATCTTATCCAGAGACCCTTGGACCTCCTGCAGGCGTGCCCGAGAGGTATCTGCACTCTGTTTTTGTAGGTCTGCCAAGCGACGAGAGCTGTCAAGCTCAATGCGGAAGGATTCCTCAGCCCTAGATGCGGCTTCCTGTAGCTGTTGGATCTTCTCGAGTGAGTCTTCGGCTTTCTGGTTAATTTCGTCAACACGGCTGCGGAGGGTGGCCTCGGTACGGCGCATCGATTCGATCGTGTCGTTCGCGTCATCGTACAAGCGCTGGAGCTCCGAGATCCTAGCGCTCTTTTCCTTCCGATACTTCGAGTATTCCGTATTCTTGGTTTGCAGTTCCGACTCATACCACTCGTTGTTCTTCTTCAAAAGATCGATTTCCTGCTGCAAAGCTTGCTGGCGGAATTTGGTAGTCGTAGCGGCATTCTGCGCTGCTTGGTTTTTGTCCTCGAGATCAGAGATTTCGCGACGAAGCGCCACTATCTTCTGGTGCTGAGCCGAGAGCTCCTCTGCAAGCTTGTCATGTGCCGTGGCCTTCGCTTCCAACAGGGCGACGGTCTCGCGGTTCGAAGCTTCCAGGGTGTTGACACGCGCCCGGAGCACATCGGTTTCCGAAGATGATGTCGTCGATGAGGACTTGAGGGTTTGGAGCTCGGATTCGAGTGAGGCGCGCGCGTTCTCTGCGTTGAAGCTACGTTAACAATGGCTGGCAGTGGGTTTGCTTGATCCGCACGTACCCTCCTCATTCAACTTCTTGCGCACTTCCTCGACCTCCTTCAGATTCTTATCCACAGAGGCCTTGAGAGCTCTGGCGCGAGCATCTCCAGTCCTCACAGCATTTTCGAGCTCGACATCGGAGCGCAGCTTCTCCGCCTTGACCTCGTCGAACTCACGCGCTTTAGCCTCAATTTTAGCTAGAAGCTCTTGCACAAGCTCTGCCGTAGGTGCATCAAGCAATGTTTGTAGGCCGGGCTCAGGGACCGAATAGGCCGCGGCAATGTAAGCCGTGTCGATGGCCGCCGTCGCCATGGCTGAGGAAGGTCTCTTGAGGTGAGCTCAGATCAGCGCATAATAGGAGAATAAGGCCAGTTTTGACCAAAGGCAAAGAAGAAAGGGGGAGAAAAAGCGGCTTGTAAAGCGCGGCCCACAATGGGAGGAAAGTGGGGACGGGCGCGTGGAGAGGGTGGTGATGTTTCTTTGATCGTGACGGAGGCGCGGCGAACGTCAATGAGCTGCGCGAAAGCGGTCCTTGGCACGCGCGCGGAGGCTTTGCCGAAGTGCGGCCGACAGGCATCATTGAGTCCACTTTAACCTGGGAAGCTGCATCCGCAACCCCAACCCATCCTCCTCGCTCTCTGCCGCCGCCTCTCTGCCCACACCGTCCCACCGACCGCCAACCCCTGCAGCTCGTCAAAGTCGTTTGCATCGCTTGCGACCGGCGACGCAGCTGCTCGATTCATTCCTACCCACCACCGAGTTTAGCTGGCGACAACCCCGGGCCGCGCCTCACAATGTCTTTCCTGAAGCCGGGGAGCACGCCCTCCGCTCCATCGCCCACGCTGTCAAACTCGTCGCAGACGGGCAAAAAGCGCCCGCGCCCCGACGCCAACGTCCCGGTTTACTCGCAGCCGAGCAACACCAACACCGGCGAGAAGACCATCACCCGTGTTACCTACGCCCTCGACTATCTTAGGGAAAACGATAGACCCATGCTCTTCGAAAACGTCTTCAACTTCCTCTCTATTCAGCTGCCGGGTGGCCCCGGTGCGAAGCCTAGACCGGCGCCCAAAGGTGGACGTGACTGGAATGTGTTGGAGTTCATCCTACAGCGCCACGAGAAGGTTGAATATGATGCGGCCGGCCTCAACGGGCTTGGTTCCTACCGCTACCGCCCAAAGCACAATGTACGCTCCGCAGAGCAGTTAAAGGGTCTCCTACAACGGCAGACGAGTTCGGTGGGCATCAAGGTCGCGGAGCTGAAGGACGGTTGGCCGGGAGCACTTGACGCCATCGAAGAGCTCGACAAGAAGGGAGAGATTTTGGTCACTCGGAACCAAAAGACGAACTCACCCCAATTAGTTTGGCAAAATGACCCCTCTCTGTCGCACAACATCGACGCGGAGTTCCGCAGCATGTTCCTGAGCATCGCGCTTCCGGCCAACCCCGACGACATGCGCTCTAGGCTGGAAGCAGCTGGTCTCAAACCTGTCACTGCTCCAAGGGATGTCAAGCCACTCAACAATCAACCGCAGAAGAAGAAGAAGAAGGCGCCGAGGAAGGGCATGAAGACTTCCAATACCCACATGCTGAACGTCTTCAGAGACTATTCGGACAAGAAGAAATAAGTGATTGGGCACCGGTACAGGGCGATGTGCGATTGGTCACTGCTGCGGTTTATGGTCAGTCGATTTGCACTGCAGAGTCATTGAAAAGTTCTTTTAATCGGGGTTGCATGGTTCTACACGGCGTTAAGAATGAGGCTGCATTAAAGAGGCGTCGGAGGGCAATACCAACTTGCTTTGGGTGGACTGCGCTTTTACAAGGTATCAAGAAATAGAGTACGACGTCCCAACGATGGCGGACAAAGAGAGTGCTACAGAACTGAAAATGTACGCACTGGGAAAGGAGCGGAGAGACAATGAAAACAGTGGGAGCAACAAAGCAACAGAGCAACAAATGGTGCTTGTTCTACGGTACTTGCGCTGTTTTCTATGATATGAGCGGTTGCGAATCTGGATCTTGCTCTCAATCATGATTGCTGCGCCATTAAATAGCAATGAAAATGTGACCGGTCTAAGAAATCTTCACTCTAGATGCCAGTTTGACGTGAGCTCCTCTCATGCCAACTGTCCTTTCCTGTAGGGAAATTTCTCTCTGAAGTGTTCGGCAATCTGCGTTCTTGTTGCGACCCACACTCCCTCCTTTTGGCTGATATACTCCACGAACTTCTTCAGCGCCGCAAAGCGCGCGGGCTTGCCAATGCACCTGCAGTGCAGGCCGATAGTCATCATCTTGGGCATACCCTCACAACCTTCCTCGTACAGTACGTCGAAAGCCCCCTTGATGTGATCGTAAAAGTCCATGGGGCCGCTGAAACCGGTGGGGACGCTGAACTTGTAGTCGTTGCAGTCATACGAGTAGGGCACCATTAGCAAGCCCTGTGGGCTGGGATCGTCCTTCTCGGCGGGCACGTCAACCCAGTAAGGGACGTCATCAGCATAGCTGTCGGACTGCCATAGGAGTGGGAGGCCCATCTCTCTGTAGACATCCCAGACAAGCGCGTGCGAACGCGGCGACAGGCGGCCATAGTACCAGCCTTTGGGTGCTTCGCCGGTGATGCGCTGGATGGTCTCGATGCCCTTTTTGATCGTGGCTTTTTCCTCTTCTGCGGGCATGTTGTGGTAGTCAATCCAGCTGGAATTGGGTCAGTGATCTCTCTGTGCAGTACATGTCGAGCAGCGTGATGTCCGTGAGACCGACCGGTACGCGTGTGAGGCAACATCGTGGCCGTTTTGCACGCTCGACAGCGCCACGGCGGGATTCATCTCAATTGCTTGACCCACGGCGTACAAGGTGTACTTGTAGCCGTATTTGTTGAACAGCCGAAACAACCTCCACACCCCCGCTCTTGAGCCATAGTTGCTGCGAGGGAGTTAGACGTGGTTCAGTCCGCAAGGGGAAGCACGCACTATTCGCTCTCGACGTTGACGGCGCGCTCTTGGACCTTTGGAGCGCCGCCGGGGGCTTCCCACATGTGCGACTCTGAGTGCAGGTCGCCGTTCAACACCGTGTGCTCTGCCCCCTCTTCGTAGTTGATGACGAAGGAAACGGCGATTTTGGCGCCGTTGGGCCACTGTGGGTTGAAGGATGACTCGCCATAGCCAATCAAATCGCGCGGGAAGTCGTAGTGATCGTCCCACTTGAAGGGGGCGACCTTGGAGGGGTCCTGGTCGAAGCTGTAAGGCGTCGACATGTCTCTAGCTGTAGTCGCGTAGACAGGCAGCGAGGAATGAAGGGAGGAAGATGCAGACAAACGAGGCAGGCGAAAGCGGCAGGGGTCCTTCAGGGCACGGGAGCTGGACGGGGTTGCTTGGTGACGGGGGACAGGACAGCGGAGGTCGGCCTCCGGCGGGACTCGATATTTCTACTTGGCTGGTCTGACTTTGGCCCGAATATGCATGCCGCTGGCCATCTGCCTCGAAGCCTCATATCTCTCGCCGGGCGCGGAGGATGACGCCAGCAACGCGCCAGATCAGGCAGTTCCCCAGCAGCAATGCAGACAAGACCACGGCCTCCGATGCACGATAGGGCAACGCGGGGCGGGCATTGGACGGGTGAGGCTGTGAGCGGTGGTCAGTGATAGCTCTCGCGCGGCCAATTGACCGGGCCCGCGATCGGCGCTCGTCTGCACCCAGATAAGCGGCCCAGATGCAGACCCATAGACCCGCCCCCGGCGCGGCACGGCCTGGGTCGCGCACTCAGGCCTTCTTCAAGAACTCCGTCGGCCGCGCCGACACTATACGTAGCACTCTTCCAGCCTACTTAGCTTGGGTAGGTTTGCCTTCGAGCGGAGCGACCGTGCCGTGGCCCAGTCACGTGATCCGCCGCGCTTGCCTCTCGTGCCCATCCAGCCATGAGCGTTCTCTTCACTTCCATCTCCGACGCAAACCCCGTCACCGTCGAGGACGTGCGGGCCTCGTTCGGCAAGCTCGGCGTGACGGTGACGCCAGAGGAGGAGGCCGACTACTCCAAGCTGCTGGCCGGCCTCCACGATGCCGCCAAAATTGTCGATGCGCTGCCGGACTACCTCCCCCACGTTGACCTGCAGAGATTCCCCCGCCGAAACGTGCATCGGCCTTCCGCAGACGAGCAGGTCCTCGGCGCCGCCTGGGCGCACACCTTCACCATCAAAGACGCGTCCATCCAAGGCCCCTTGACGGGGAAGACGCTCTGCCTGAAAGACTGCATTGCCGTTGCCGGCGTGCCACAGCTCCTGGGAACCGATTCGATAGGCCCGTGGACCCCTGACGCCGATGCCTCTGTTGTGACATGGGCGTTGGAGGCAGGCGCTGAGGTGGTTGGCACTGCCAATTGCGAGAATTGGTGCCAGAGCACCTCGAGTTTCAGCAGCTCCCACGGTACCGTCGAGAACCCGTTTGCGAAGGGCTACTCTGCCGGCGGGAGCACCTCTGGACCGGCCGCCCTCGTGAGTGCTGGTCTTGTCGATATCGCCATTGGCGCCGACCAAGGTGGCAGCATTCGGGTTCCTGCTGCGCTCTGTGGATGCGTTGGCCTGAAGCCTACTCATGGACTGGTGCCTTACACGGGCATTGCGTCCAACGACGCCAACAACGACCATGCCGGGCCGCTGGCACGTACTGTCATGGACGTAGCCCTGTGCTTGGACGCCATTTCGGGGTACGATGGCATCGACGACCGCGGTCTGGGCGCACCGAGACACGGCAGCACCACCTTCGCTTCGGATCTTGCCGCACAGGACCGCAATGACGCGAAAAACTTGTCCGGGCTCCGCGTTGGCATAGTCAAGGAAGCCTTCGAGCAGGCTATCGTCGAACCTCGGATGCGGAAGGCAGTGTTGGATGCCGCCCACAAATTCTCCGATCTGGGTGCAATCGTTGAAGAGGTCTCGATACCAGACCACCTTCTGGGAACTGCCATTTGGACCATTGAACAGCGTGTCTCGGGATGCCTTTCAATGATGGGCAAGGCTTCTGGTCGTCGCGGCTTGGGTCTGACGAAGCTGGAAGAGGCGCGATTGCCTTGGACCCAGGAGAAATTCGACAAGCTTTTCCCAACCACCAAGAACATATTCTTGAACGGCATTTACCTCATGGACAAGTTTCCTGCGCTGTACGCCAAGGCGCAGAACTTGGGCCGCAGGCTGCGCGACGAGTATGAGAAGGCACTGGAGAAGTACGACGTGCTTGTTCTGCCAACTACCAGCTTTGTTGCCACGAAGCATGGCCAGTGGACAACTCCGATTGACACCATATCGCCTACCATCGGTTTGACGAGCAACACCACCATGTTCGACGCTACTGGACAACCGGCCATGAGTATTCCAATCGGTTGGCTACCAGCAAAGGAGGATCCAGACGTCATGCTGCCTGTTGCTATGCAGATTGTGAGCGGTCTGTGGCAAGATGGTAAAGTTCTCAGAGCCGGCCACGCATGGCAAAAGGCCTACGATTGGAAAGACATCAGGTGCGACGACGTGAAGGCTCGAGCGTAGATTTCTAGTTTGCTTACTTTAGAATACTCCACAAGCATGCAAGTTCGTCTGAATACCCCTTCCCTACCGACCGTGCAACTGCCACTCTCCAGCTTCCATGGAGTTGCGATTTGCTTTGCGAAACTTAACCCTTTTTGGAAGGCATGCCGTCCTCTTGAAGAAGGCCAACCACCAGGGATCTCTTGTCCGGACATATCAGCCCAGCATCGGATTTGTTGTGCGCATGATTAGCCCGCATGTCAATCAGCTATCAACACCCCTCTTCGGTACTCTGCACACGGCGCAATCTAGTTGGCCGCAGTGCAGACACCTCCGCTCAAGGGACCACTAACGGAAGTACAAGCCGCAAGCGTAAACAGCAGCTGACCGGGGGATCTTTAAGGGTGGGGTACCGCCCTTAATTGCGTCGCTTGCTCTGACTCGTTGGCCGGAAATGATAATCGGGAATAAACGGTCGCCACAAGCCAGGTACGGCACGATACGCACCAAAGCCGCCCGCCACGCCATATCGGGGCAGCCGAGATACGTAGTCTAGCTGGTATTCCGTAAGGCCTAGACCTATCTCCTGCAGCCTGTCCTTTATTCCCATCCCCCCTCGCCATCTAATGGTTGCGTAATCGCAAATACCGGATGCCACTGACGTATTAAGGGTAGCTCGCTTTGGACGCCTCGGCTCATTTTTTGTCCACTTCACCCTGGACACGGCGTCTGCGGACTGCTGCGTTATGCACGAACGAGAATGCCTGGCTGCGATCCGAGAGCGGTGGGAAACGCGTGCTCGCACCTCACCATCCCGTGAACAACAAGGCTTTCAGCCCGACCGACACCCTCCACAAAACCAACAGACAGACATGACAAGCCGTCATTTTTCTTTTTAGCTGAACCGCAGCTACTATGGACGAGGAGAAGCAGCAGACGGGTCCTTCCGCTGCGGCTGCAGGCCCTGCTGGACGACTCGGTCTTGCACCGATCAAGCCTGAGCTGGTGGACAACCAAAACTTTGAGGGACAGTTCAACTTTGGCCGACTGGTTGTCATTCTGAGTGTTCTTGCCTTCACCTTGTTTGTTTCGTTCTTGGACCAGACAAGCGTATCAACAGCGCTGCCTGCCATTGCGACGGATCTTAACGCATTTGAAACCATATCCTGGATCGGTGAGTTGGACACACGCTAACAAAGTGCCACGAATACTGACGCTCGCTAGGCACATCCTTTCTCATCGCGAACACTTCGTTCCAGCTCATAAATGGAAGGTTGAGCGACATTTTTGGTCGGAGAACATGTCTCATGTACGTGCACAAAGCTTCGTTTCTCGCAGCAGTGTCCTAGCCGAGCACTCGCCATCTTCCACTGCCTCACGCTGACTTCCCAAACAGCATCTGCATGGTCCTTCTTGCCGTCGGCGACCTCATGTGTGGGTTCGCCAAGTCCGCTGTTGCTTTGTACACGTTTCGTGGCATAGCTGGAATAGGTGCGGGTGGGATCAATAGTTTGGTCATGATTATATTTTCCGACCTTACGACACTCCAGCAGCGCGGCAAATACCAAGGGCTTATGGAAGTCAACATTGCGCTTGGCAATGGCGTCGGCCCGTTGATTGGAGGTGCTTTCTCTCAATCGAGAGCGGGCTGGAGATGGACCTTTTGGTTTGTGTGGAGACTTTACACTTCGGCAACGCCATGGCTAACTCAAATCCAGGTTCGTCGTCCCTGTGACGGTACTAGCGGGTATTGCAGTATTTCTGGTGATACCTCAGAGCCAGACGTCTCAGGGAAGGACGATAGACAAGGTCAAAATGATAGACTACCCAGGCATGCTCCTGAGCTTAGCCGGCGTCATCTTCCTTCTCGTACGCCACTCCCCCATCCATCACGCCAACCCCATCCCATCTAACAACCAACCCCTCAGATCCCCATCTCCGGCGGCGGCACCACCTACGACTGGTCCTCGGCCCTCGTCATCAGCTTCCTCGCCATCGGCGCCATCCTCATCACCGCCTTCATCATCGTCCAATACCGCTTCGCGCGGCACCCGACCATGCCCTTCCGCCTCTTCGAGCGCACCTCGGCCAAGATCCTCTTCGCGCACAACTTCGCCTCGGGCGTCGTCTACTACACGGACCTGTACTACCTCCCGCTCTACTACCAAGTCATCCTCGACAAGACGCCCCTCATCTCCGGCGTCCTCATCCTGCCCCTCATCCTCGGCTTCTCGCTCGCGTCGGCCGCCGGCGGCTTCGCCATCTCCCGCCTCGGCCGCTGCCTGCCCGTCATCCGCACCGGCTACGTGCTGTGGACGGCGGGCGCGGGCGGGCGCGTCGCGTTCGGGCCGCGCACGGGCATCGCCACCATCGCGGGGTGCCTCGTCGTCGAGGGCGTGGGGCTGGGGCTGAGCATGCAGCCCGTCATGATCGCGCTGCTGAGCAACACGCGCAAGGAGGACCGCGCGGTGGTGACGGGCCTGCGCAACTTTTTGCGCACCGTCGGCGGCGCCGTCGGGCTCGGCATCGCGGCGGCCATCATCAACAACGTCTTGCTCGAGCACCTGCCCGCGGGGCTGCCGCGCGAGGCCGCGTCGCAGCTGTCGGTGCTGCTGGATACGCTGCCGGTGGCGGAGAGGGCAGAGGTCGTGGCGGTTTATATGAGGGGGTTGCATGTCGTGTTTATTCTGGGCGCGCCGCTGATAGGGGCTTGTTTGATTAGTAGTGCGTTTTTGACGGATGTGCCGCTCGCGACGGCGCATGATAAGTATAAGAACGAGGGAGGAGGTGAAGGGGTGGCGTTGGCGGAGCGAGGTGTCGGGGCGGCTGAGAAAAGAAAGCAAAGTGACGGGGCCGTTGAGGCGGATGCGGGAGAAGGGGCGTCAGCGGTTGCTGCTGAAGGAGAGACAGGAGAACAAATCCTAGTCAGGCCGGGGAGAGAAGGGCACAATAGCGGGTAAGATCCCTGGCTTGCAAGATCCCGAATGCCTCCGACATGGAGCAAAGTTTAAAGGGTGCGCAGAAGAGACACTTCACGATACGTCGAGAGATGAGGCCGATAGACTCGTATAGTTTCCGCAGCTACTGCTTAGCACGGCTAACGTTTGGACCACCAGGATATTCCACAGAACTTCAAGATCGAAGTTCGATGAGGATGATGATGGGTCGAGGGACCAGATTGAGCCTGCCCAAGGGAAGAGAATGAGTAGCCATGTAACGTAAACGAAGAAACAGAAAAAAAAAACATTTCAAATGTATTTTGGCGGTAAAGTCTTTGGATCGAACATGTCTGTCTCCATCTAGTACTTTTTCCATTATTCCAACAATTGCACCAGCACTTCCGCCTTCTGCTCCGCCAGATCGCGGTGGTGAACTCATGAGGGCAACATTTTCGGGACTGTGGTCTTGAGTAGGAAATCTATCATTATCTTCCTACTTTCCGCCTTTCCGGTTGTCTTTACTTTGTCTCATATGATACCCTGCTTACGCCGTTCTTCCTACTGATCTTGCGCACTGTGACGGTTCCGCATAGCTTGGTAGATGCAACATGGGTGCCGCCACAAGGGTATGCTCCGGCGCCAACGATGTCGACAGCACGCAGCAGTTCCCCGTCGGGAGCAGTCATGTCAGGCGCGACATAGACGCACTTCTCCCTGCATTCTTTCTCGGACCACCAAAACGTTTTTACCGGTAGGTCTTTCTCCAGCATTTCGTCGACCTTTTTCTGGATGGCGTCCTTGTATTTACCGTCAATAGGTCCGATGAATTCAACGTGAGAAGCTCCAGGATAATGCTGCGCCTTCGACTCATCCAGCTTCAATTCGGGCGTCTCTGCCTCGACCTGCCGCACCGCCTATGACGCGACGGTAAGTGACAGGTAAGTCCAGAGATTTGGGGAGCCATGTCATACCAGACCAACGATATGCCCGGCATCATGAATGCGGGAGTGGAGGTCGCGCTTCTCGGCATCGACGGACTGCTTCACCGCGTGGCCCGGGGTGAAGGGGTTGCCAGAGAAGCGTCCGAAATGCAGCACACGGCCATCGGATGCTTTTCTCACAGCCACGACGGCAAAAGAATCGTCGATTTGGCCTTCGGCAGTCATAGAACCAGTGTCGGTGGGCTGGCCTCCGCCTTGCACATAAAAGATGGTCTCGGCGGTTGTGACGACATGGTCGTCATCGGTAGCATTTTTCAGCAAAGCCTTGTCGGCATCAGGAAGATGGCTGACGGGCTCGACGGACACCACCTCTGTCACGTGCTCTCGCAAGGTGTCTTCGTGCAGGTACACGAGTTTGGTTGACGCGGTGCCGGGTGCCTTTTTGCCTGAGGTGTCAGTCGCGCTTGGTGGTATCACCATATCAGGGCTGTGTACTGACCATGTTTGAGCAAAGTAGAGTTGTTGATGTGTTGGTTTGGCAGGCCACAGAATGGGTTCCAAAGAAGGACATGCAGATGTCAGGCGTAGGGCGCAGGCGGTACGAATCGAGTCATCGGCGCGGTGTTCGCAATGGAAGCCAATCGGCTTGAGCCGAAGAAATTCCCCGCCGTCGACGTTTCCAGTTCCCGCACAAGGCCTCGTCGGCAAATGCCAAGCCGGCGGCAGTTCTGTGTGCACAGGAACTCCAGCGTGGGAGCTACAGCTGCGGGATGCCGTGCGCGACGACCCAAATCAAACGCTTTCTCGCTGCTCCATCCATGGTCAGCAGAGTCTAGCTTCGGCAGCTCCGGGGCGTGGCAAGCTTCTGGCGGGCCCCGGTCTTCTCCACTACTATTGGGGCCGATAAGGCCGGTCGATAAGGGCTGATCAGAATCTGGCCCCCGGCCACCACCACTTGCCCACCATGTTTCCGATCTTCAATCCACTAACGCTTCGCGCAGCGAAACCCGGCACCTTACTCTTGCCGCCCCCGTCAAGGATTCAATTGCCGAGTTAGCCCAGAGACTGGCCGAAGTACTAAGACTGGCGCCGTCCGCGAGCTCATAGCGTGCACTGTCCCCGCCTTTACTTGTTGCCCGCACAGCTTTTTCTGACAATGGGCTCGATAGTAGAAGCTCCAAAGGGCTCCGCCTCCAAGCTCTTCGCGCCTCTCGACATTGCTAATGGCAAAATTACACTCAAACACCGCGTCGTCCTTGCGCCCTTGACTCGCAACAGAGGTCTTCCTCTGAGCGCCGAAAGCACCCCCGAGAAGCCGAACCGCATATGGTACCCCGACCACCTTGTTGCTGAGCACTATCGCCAGCGCGCCACCGATGGTGGGCTCCTTATCAGCGAAGGGCTTCCCCCTAGCCTGGAGGTACCAATCAGGACAAACTTCCGTAGCGGGCCTGCGCCGACATGCTGACACCCGGTTGCAGAGCAACGGCATGCCTGGCGTCCCCGGCATATTCATTCCCGAGCAAGCTGCCGGTTGGAAGAAGGTAACCGACGCGGTGCACGCTGCCGGAGGTTACATCTACGCCCAGATCTGGCACGCTGGCCGCACCACCATCGCGCCCTTCACGGGGACCCCCGCCGTTTCCCCGTCCGCTGTGCTCTGGGACGACCCCGAAGAATGCTACCCTTACCCTCCTGTCGGCGCCGACGCGCCAGTCAAGTTCAGGGAATATCCGCCGATAGAGTTGAGTGTGGAGCATATCAAAAGGACGATCGGAGACTACGTGAAAGCAGCGAAGACCGCTATGGAGGTGGGCTTCGATGGTGTTGAGATCCATGGCGGCAACGGCTACCTCCCCGAACAATTCCTGTCTTCCAACATAAACAAGAGGACGGACGAGTACGGCGGTTCCCCCGAAAAGAGATGCAGGTTTGTGCTGGAGCTGATGGCCGAGGTCGCATCTGCAATTGGTGAGGAGAATCTGGCAATCCGACTGTCACCGTTCGGTCTCTTCAACCAAGCTCGTGGAGAGCAACGTATGGAGACGTGGGGTCATCTTTGCCGAGAGATCAAGAAGGACCACCCGACTCTTTCCTATGTCAGTTTTCTGGAGCCCGTGAGTACCCTGCTGCCATCGGATAACCGACTTTGGAATCTAACAAACACATAGAGATACGAGCAAGTGTTTTCGTCCGAGGAGAAGGACAAATTCCTTGCGTCGTGGGGCCTACTAAACGTTGATTTGTCAGTTTTCAGAGACATTTTCAACGCTGGCCCGAAGCCAACCCCCTTCTTCTCTGCGGGCGGTTGGAACGACACAAACTCGTGGGGTGTCCTTGAATCTGGAAAATGCGATGCGTTGCTCTACGGCCGCCTGTTCACCAGCAATCCGGACATGAAGGAGCGTTTGGAGAAGGGATATCCGCTCAAAAAGTACGACCGCGCTCGATTTTACGGTCCCTTTCCGGACAGAGAAGTAGCATATACGGACTATCCGACGTGGGAGGAAGAAGTGCAGAGCGCAGCAAAGCAGGGCAAGAAGGTTGAAGTTGAAGCCACCGAGGACGGCGGGCAGCGCGTCAAGTAGTAGAACTTTGCACAGTATATTACGCAACGAGGCTGTGAAGCCCGGTATCAGGTGCGGGTGACGTGGCACAGGCTCGATTCTTAATGCCAATATGTGATGCGCCTGCCCATAGCCTTGCAGTCTACACAATGCGTATTGAATCCCCTCTTATCGAAACAAACCCAACCAACCGCTCCTGGTATCTCGCTATTTTAACCTCCTCCATCAACAAGGCCTTCAGATATCAGTTTTCCCTTTCTCTCCGCGCTCATTCTTTGCGCTTATCGAAATTGAATCCCTGCCTCTCCATAGTTGGAGTGGTGGGCCTGCTGCTCGACAGGGCTTGATCTGGGCGTGGTGCCTTGAGCTTGTTGCCGCCGCCTGTTCCTGGCGTCATGTCGAAGAAGCCATTTTCTCTATCTACAATCGTCTTCTCGAAGCTTGCGATCTTGATGGGCGGTGGACGAGCACGGTCGTTGCTGGTGTACAGGTATGTCGAGAAGAGTACGATGGCGGTCCCGACGACATACTAAAAAGAAAAAAAAGTCAGTCGGCGAGCAATGGCGGGAAAGGATGGCATTTGCTTACGTGTCTTGAGATGGTGAATTCGAAGAACCACACGCTCGCAAAGCATGACAATAGAATGCTGATGCTGGTAGCAAAGTTCTTCGCAATGTTGTCGGCATACGACACGACCATTGCGACCACAACGCCTCCGAGTGCTTGTAATCCGATAGCTGCCCATACCACCCAGTTGTAGCCGATAAAGAAGCCATATTTGGATATCTCCTCTCCGTCCATGAACATAACACCCAGGAAAAGTGCCGGAAAAATAGAGTAGAACGAGAGCTGGACGTTGCGGACCCATAAACTGGCCGGCGTGTGGGACTCTTTGAGGATCTTCTCGAAGTAGACGCCTGCCAGGCCTGAGAGCAAGCAAGCAACTACGACGGCAAACAGTCCAATGGAGGAATTGAGCTGCGGGTGCTGGCGTGCCACGTCCTCTTCAATGCCCTCGTAGGTCGCGGATCTCTTGGCCATCTGGTGCGATGTGCGTCTCATGAGCTGCTTAGCAGTCTCGCTGCCAAGATCTCGGAGCTCCTCGATGCTGCGCGGCCAGGAAAGGCGAGCGCTTTCCATTCTGAGGCTGTTCATGCTGGTGGGATCGTCGCCGGTGGGCATCTGCACGATAGCAACGCCCGCCATGAGCAGGACAAGGCTCACCCACTTGCGCAACGACAAACTTCGCCCAAGCAGCCCTACGCTAAATAGCGCTGTCGTAAGAATCTTCATTTGGTATGTGACCTGGAACGTGGCGGCATCCAAATTGCTGACAGCCACGTACTGCAGCGTGTTTTGAAGTGTGTACAGCATCGCGGGTATAGCCATCTTCCAGCTGTCGCCGGCAAACACTGCGGATGAAAGCGCTTGAAATAGTGTCGTCGCTGGGGTGGACGACGGAAGAGCGGAGGATATTTCGTACAAAGCCATCGTAAGAGATATCGAGAGTTTTAGCACCTCATTCATGAAGACTGCTGTGCTTGTGAAATATCGATGCGGAGTCGTCATCGGCATGATGCGCGAGCAGTGCATTACCTGCCAACATACGTCAGCATACCGCTCCAATGCCGCAGCTTGATGTCCAATGGTTGTTTGTGCCCAGCGCTCCCTCTTAGACTATTCTTGACCAGGCCATCAACAGCCATGATATTTCAATCGCAGGTTATAAGTTCCCAGACCAGGTGCAGGCCGCCAACAGGTATTACGCATGAACAGAAGTGATTCGATCTCGGGTGCGGTGCGTACCAATATGAGCGCTGAATTTTGGAAAGTCAACTATGGTAAAGGTTAGCGTACGCTTGAAAACATAATCACGACGGCACGAACCGTGATGAGGGAAAGAGTCCGAAGCGGGATGCCAGCCCAAGAAGCCGGCCGACGACCTGAGACCACTCCCATGGCTGTGCTTCCCTTGCGGGATGACGGTAGTGTGTAGGAACAAAACGCTGGCGGTGGTCGCGCTCTCGAAGCGTAGAGACTGAGGCTGACGGATAGGGGAGCCAGCGGCGTAGCAGGCTCAGCTGGAGGGTTCGGCGGGGACGGGAAGGGCGAGCACAAGAGCGAGGTTGCAGACAAGGCTGGAAGGCGCTGGCGGTAACAAACAGAGCAAGAGTGGCGGGCGTACGCAACGGACGCGCGGAGGACAGGGAGCTTTGACGGACACAGACGTGGTGTTGCGACGGTAGTGGAGCGGCAACCAAGGATGTGGGCAGTTGCGTCGCGCATCCCCGTTGCCGATCTGAGCCTTCTTCACTGTCGCGTCGCTGCCAGGTTTCGCCCTGGTTCGGCAGGCCCTTCCATCCTGGCGCACTGCTCTGGAAACAGCGCCTTCTGTACGGGGCCCTGGACGGCAATGCAGATTGCCTGGCCTTCGCCCTCGGAGCCCCGCAAATCCACTCGCGGCCGAGCAACGGCTCTGGCCCTTCCCCGGATTTTCACGGCGCGAGCAGGCGCTGGCCGCTTCACGATCATGTGTGCGTGCGCCATGCAGATGCCGAGCCGTGCCTGAACATCATTTGCTGGTTTTGGCCTGGAACCACCACCGGCGCCGACTGCCCAACTATCACGCGCACGCCGCCGCACTGCAATCATCTGCGTGACGCTGAAACTCCCGATGTGGCTGCTGTTGCTGGAAACAAGGAAAGTGGCAAAGTTTGTGTCAAGAAGAGTTGCCCGCTCGAGAAGTCTGGCCGCCATGCATTTGATCGCATTTGTGGCGCTTCCAGGTGCAGGCGCTTCCAGGTGCAGGCGCCGTGCTGACCCGTCTGATGGATCAGGTAGGCACCACTCTCCGCGACTTCCCCTTAGCACGACTGCCGCTTCTCGCCAGTCGGCAGTTCCCCCCCTCTCGCACCTCGTGCCCTTCATTCCAAACATCCCATCACGATCACCTTTTCCGCCTCGCTCAGTACGTGTAGTCACATGGTTCTCCTTCCATTGCTACTCTCATTTTCCTGCATTTCACGCTCGAATTGAAGATGGACGACTCTGTCTTCGAAATATTGGACGGCCTTGAGACTGGCCGAGCTCGCTCGCATGACAGCGATCACTTCACGCAGCACTCACACAACCCGGATGCGCACAGAGGGTACCAGAGCTTCCAGCCCGCAGTGCACCACCAACGGTATCCCATGTACCGACGCGAGATGTCACACCACGATAACGGTGGAAACACTAAGAGACTCCGTGCACACGATTACGATGACTTTGATGGTGATGTCTTATTTGATGATTTCGGTAAGCATAAATGCCGAGAATGTGAGACTTACACTGACCATGGGTAGACCATGAACTGTTGAGACAGCCAAGTGATGACAGAACCAAACAGGCACAGGAGGGTCGTGCACGACTCTCGCTTGCGCCTGCAGGCACCGGCCAGCAATATGCGAAGCCCGTTGAGGGGCATCATGGATACTATCAGGGCGCTGGTGAGATATTGCAAGGTGAACGGCAACAGAAGTAGATTGCGGGCTGACAACGAGCAGGTCAAGGCGCATTCCAACATTCACTAGATGCTCATCAATCTCAATCTGTGTACTGCCCATTTATGAGCCAGAACAGCTCCTCGCCACGATTCCTTCCCTCGAGTCCAACCATTCGTGCCACCCAACGTGACCTTGTTCAACGGCGGCCCAGTCACACGAAGAAACGTCAAATGCCACGGAACATTGAACAAGCTGATCCGATAGACGATTTTCAGACAGACTTCATCAAGCCCCAGCCTCTTCAGCAGCGTAGGCCAAATGGCATGCCTGTAGTCCAAGGCATTGAGCTCGTCTCCACCCACGAGCTCCCTGATCGGTTTCGTACCGTCTTCCCATTCCCGGCCTTCAACGCAGTGCAATCCAAGTGTTTCATGGATGTTTATGGTACAAACAACAACTTCGTTGTGTGTGCACCCACTGGAAGCGGCAAAACTGTCATATTCGAGCTGGCTATCTTGCGCTTGATAAGCGGCCATGCCAGTGGTTCCTTCAAGGCCGTTTATCAGGCCCCAACAAAGGCACTCTGTTGCGAACGGCAGAGGGATTGGGAGAAGAAGTTCAAGTCTTTGGACCTGAAGGTCAAAGAGCTTACAGGCGACACGACTAACGAACAACTGCATGATGTTCAAACAGCAGACCTGATAGTCACTACTCCGGAGAAGTGGGACAGCATGACGCGCCGCTGGAAAGATCACGAACGCCTAGTGCAGATGGTCAAACTCTTTCTCATCGACGAAGTTCATATTCTAAAGGAAGATCGGGGCGCAACTCTTGAGGCTGTCGTCTCACGCATGAAATCAGTCGGTACGGATGTTCGCTTCGTTGCCTTGTCCGCGACAGTGCCAAACTTCGAAGATATTGCAACGTGGCTGGGAAAGAATTCCACCAACCAGGATATACCTGCCCGGAAAGAGAGGTTCGGTGAAGAATTCAGGCCCGTGCAGCTGCAGAAGCATGTTCTTGGCTTCGGTGGCAACAACCCGAGCGAGTTCGCTTTCGACAAAGTCCTTACCACAAAGTAAGCTTTTCCAAAGCCTTATCAACGACATACCTAATTGGCCTATGTAGGCTACCGGGAGTCATTGCCAGGTATTCTCAGAAGAAGCCGATTATGGTGTTCTGCTTCACAAGAAAATCATGTGAAGAGACTGCAAGTTCTCTCGCGAGATGGTGGAATGAAAGTGAGCCCAGGCAACGATTCTGGGAACAGCCAAGGAGATTACCGGTATTTGAAGAGACAGCGCTGCGTGGTAAATTCACCTTTTGAAGCTGATATGCTTTGCATGCGGTACTCACTTTGGCACGCAGATTGTGCAATTAGCGGAGTTGCGTTTCATCATGCAGGCCTCTCTTTGAGTGACAAGCAGGCCATCGAGAAAGCGTACCTTGCCGGAGAGCTCAACGTCATCTGCTGCACATCGACTTTGGCCGTCGGAGTCAATCTTCCTTGTCACCTCGTCATCATCAAGAACACCATCGCATACGTGCATCCAGTTACTCGAGAGTGCTCAGACCTCGAGATCATGCAGATGTTGGGGCGAGCTGGTAGACCACAGTTTGACGACAATGCAGTAGCGGTCATTATCACAAAGAACGAAAAGGTCAGGCGGTATGAGTTGATGGTCTCTGGGAAGGAGATATTAGAAAGCCGGTAAGTCAAACACGACGGCGTCCCTCGTCGGCCTCCATTTCGTGCTCTGACTGTCTGCAGCCTGCATCTGAATCTCATCGAACACCTGGTAAGTGTACAATTTTGGACTAACCGATGAAATGTCTATTGACAAACGCACAGAATGCTGAGATAGGCCTTCGCACGATATGGGACTTGCAATCGGCCAAGAAATGGCTTCGGGGCACTTTCCTTTATGTGCGTCTGCAGCAAAATCCGACTCACTACGAGATTGAGGGGGATGTTCCCGGAAGTACCCTTGACGAACGCCTGGAAAACATCTGTGTCCGTGGTCTGGAGCTCTTAGCTTGTTCTGACCTTACAGAAGGAGATGCAAAGATCCGACTTACAGAGTACGGAGAGATTATGGCTCGGTACGCTGTGCGTCATGATACGATGCAATATTTCATCGCACTTGAGCCACAAGCTAAGTTGTCTGAAATTGTGAGTTTGCTGGACCGAAGTTCTTTGTTCATAGGGCTATTGACACCAGAGGCAGCTGTCAGCAATTTGTTCAGCCAGCGAATTTCGAGAAGTTAGATTCCGACAAACGGAGAAACGATTCTACAAAATCCTGAACTCATCGCCCGGGATTAAATTCCCCATTCTTGTCAACCTTGATCTAATACCACATAAGATCTCGCTCATCATTCAAGCTGTTCTTGGCGGTGTAGATATGCCAAACGATGAAGATTTGGCCCGCCAGCGCACTCAGTATAACCAAGACTTCAACCTTGTATTTCAGCACACTCGTCGCTTGATTCGATGCGTTGTCGACTGTGCTATTCACAAAGAAGATTCGGCGATGGTCCGCAACGCGCTGATCCTCTCCAGGAGCATGTGCTCGAGAGTCTGGGACGACTCGCCCTTGACCATGAAGCAGGTCGAATCCATTGGGCCAGTGGGTGTCCGAAAGCTTGTTAATGCCGGCATCAGAAGCATCGACGAGCTCGAGCTTGCTGAGGCGCAGCGTCTTGAAACAATTCTGGGAAAGCATCCACCCTACGGTAATTCGTTGCTTGCCAAAGTCAAAGAGTTCCCAAGGCTCCGCGTGTCGTTGAAGCAAATGAAGGGTGTGGTCAGTCAAAGTGGCGTCCACAAGCCTAGTGCAGTCTCGCTAATTACGGAACAGGAAAGGAGATCGGCGCAGACGGTTACCGTTAATTTCAAGGCCGAAATCGGTTTCATCAACGGAAAGCCACCGTTGACACTAGGCCGGGGCCCCTCACGAATCCCACTGTTCATTTGCCTCATGGCGGAGACCTCGCTTGGAAAGATGGTGCATTTTCGCCGCACTAGGTATACAGAGAATATGGCATTTCTTTGGCTTTCGCTGACTTGTTACAGTGCAGCAAAGCTTGGAAAGGGTCAAGAGGTACTTTTCTGTGCTGAGCTTACCGGCCTGAACCAGTTTGTCACATGTTATGTAATGTGCGATGACGTTGGTGAGCTCGAAGTTACTGAACTCGATGGTCTACTGTGTAGTTACTGACAAGGTAGCAGCTGGTACAATGAAATACGCAACTGTTCAACCCGAGATCCCTGCTCATCTCCAGGCACATCTGAGGATGAACATCTCGAAGAGACGCATGGAAAACACGACCCAACAGCCACAGCCACCACCCAGCTCCAACAGTGACGAATATGGGGACGGCGGAATTGACGATTCAGATTTAATCGACGTTGATGACTTCGTCGACATTGACCAATTACCGGTGTATAGCCCTGCGAATACTGCCGTTGGGCCTCATCGCTCTCAGAAAATGGCCAAGCAAAACACGTCAGGAACAGGTGTTACGCGGCAAGCTGCGGATGAACCAACCGAGGCGCACAGTAACGGCGCATCCAAGAAATTGGACAATGGGAAATGGGCTTGCAATCACAAGTGCAAGAATAAGCAACAATGCAAGCACCTCTGTTGCAAGGATGGGTTGGACAAGGCGCCCAAGCCAGCGAAGGCTACTGGGCACGAGGCCGGCAACAGTACGCAACGCGGAAAGAAGTGTCCTAATAATAAACACCTCATTACGGATGGGAAGACGCAGACTAGGCTCAACCCTAGCAAGAGCGGCCTGAACACGGGCGCTGGAACACTGCGGAACGTCGAGAGCCTGGATCTCACAGGCCTAGAGAGCCAGCCTGTGCCCCAAGCACGCCAGGGGTACGAGAAACTTCGGGCCGAGGCGAAGCGCGCCCTGCCTGAAACTACCCCTGTTTCAGTGGGCATCTCCAATAAGAGGCCGAGACATTCCTACAGACGTGGTGAACCATCGCGTCTATCATTCCTACAGAGGGAGAGAGAGGAAGAAACGAGCCCACCTATCACAAGCGAGAACGACTATATCGAACCGATTGAGGAAATGGCATCGACACGAGCATACGGAACCAAAAGCAACTCGGCTTACCACCATCAGCAAGATGATGAATACTTGTTCCATGGTGATGGAGACTTGTTCGCGGATATAATGGCTGGTGTTGCCTTCCTAGACCAAAACCCCGACCCACGCGCGCCCGAAAAGAAGTCCAAACAGGCCCGAGAACAGCAAAAGTCGCCGGAGCCCACCATTCACCGAGGACTAGCGCCCCAGAAAGAGGCACATCCATCTCTCAAGTCGAGCAGGTCGTGGTCTCCTGAGCATCCGGCAGGAGGCCTCAGGCCAGCATTTCAGGAGCGATCCTACACAAGCACACCACCACCACCACGCAGTGCTGGCGGATCTACGAGCTCCTTGAATTCTCCGCGGGTTGCAAGGAAGCCTCTTAGAGCACTGGATACATCGTCTGTCCGGTCGCAATCAACAACTTCGTCCAGACTCCGCTGCATGAATCCGGACCCCGATCCCCTGTCTCCTGAGGAGCCCTCGCCTCAGGCCATTCCCCCGGGACTCGAGGACGTCGACCCATGGCTCATCGCGGAATATGCTGCCTTTGTCAACTTCACATAGACCGGGCTCGCGACGATGTGCTTTTCTTTTTTCCATTCTCGTACGGCTGTATTACTAAGATGATTTCCTGGTGTTGATTTGCTTATTTCTCTATTTCGCTGGCATCTTTTCATGTACCGGATGTTTCGGATGGAACAAAATGTCATCTGCTGGAGCTGGCGGATCTCTGGCATGAGTGTTGGCTGCTATGTATCATTTAATGGGTTCGGTTCGGATTCGGGTCGCATATGCTGCAGCGCATTGCTGGTTGCGGAGTACTACTATTGCTGCATTTTCAACAAGCGGGACACATTGCTTTGGGATGGGTGAGGGGGTGTTGCAACCTAAGGTGGCTAAATGCTGGGGTGTATGATGGTCGGGGAATTGATAATGGGACATGCGGCACTGATTAGGCTGAGATCTGATGTGCTCTCTATGGGCTGAGGCATGCTCCGATGGATGGAGTGACGCGAGAGCGCGATCAAGTTGCAGTGGCATAATTCTTCAAATCGAAAGCTCAAAACGAAAAGTCGGGAGAGTGTTTGTACTTGTTGACGTTTCGGTTGCCATGACGCGGCGCCACATCACTTGGGATCAGACGCCACGTGATCGACCAGTGCCAAGCCGTGGCCGCATCATCTGCAACGACGCCCAAGCTACCGTCTCGAGCTGCGGACCAGCTACCGCCATCACAACCCCCAACCCCACCGCTCTCGCCGCATCAGGATTCGTCTCTTGAGGTCCATCCTGACCCCGTACCGCCGCCATCATGGCGCCGCCTCAGGACACGCTGTTCCGCTCGGCGGACATGTCCTTGACCCAGCTTTACATTTCCAATGAAATCGGACGAGAGGTCGTCAGCGCTCTGGGAGAGCTCGGCGTCATGGACTTCCGCGATGTGAGTCGTCTAGAGGACACGCTGGAGATGGGAGGACAGGGTGTTGGCCAGATGATGGATGGGTCGGACTGACAGACGCGTGTGTCAAAACAGCTGAATGCCGAGACCACCGCCTTCCAGCGCACCTTCACCCAGGAGATTCGCCGCCTCGACAACGTGGAACGCCAGCTGCGTAAGGACATCAGGAATACTGCTAGTTGAGGCTAGGATGTGGCTGATTGGGGACGGACAGGCTACTTTCACGCCCAGATGGACAAGTCGAACATCCCGATGCGGTCCATCTACGAGTTCAACAACACCCTGGCCGCTCCTTCTGCCTCGGAAATTGACGAGCTCGCCGACCGTTCCCAGAGCCTCGAGAACCGCATTGCAAGCTTGAACGAGAGCTACGAGACGCTGAAGAAGCGTGAGGTCGAGCTCACTGAGTGGAGATGGGTGCTGAGGGAGGCTGGTGGCTTCTTTGATAGGGTACGGCACATCTATGGAAATAGAGTGGAGTTGGTGGCTAATACGGATACAGGCCCGCGGCCAGACCGAGGAGATCCGCCACTCCATGGACGACGACCCCGACGACGACGCTCCACTTCTGGCGGATGTTGAGCAACGCGGCCAGAACGGTGACGCGGAGCGCTCTTTCTCCGTCATGAACATCGGTTTTGTTTCTGGTGTCATCCCGCGTGACAGGATCGCCGCGTTCGAGCGCATTCTCTGGCGTACTCTCCGTGGTAACCTCTACATGAACCAGTCCGAGATCCCCGAGCCCATCATCAACCCCGAGACCAACGAGGGCATCAACAAGAACGTCTTCGTCATCTTCGCCCACGGCAAGGAGATCATCGCCAAGATCCGCAAGATTTCTGAGTCTCTCGGCGCCGACCTTTACAGCGTCGATGAGAACAGCGATCTCCGCCGCGACCAGATCCACGAGGTCAACAGCAGGCTGAACGACCTGACTGCCGTCTTGAGGAACACGAAGCAGACTCTAGATGCTGAGCTTACGGCCATCGGCCGCAGCTTGGCCGCCTGGATGGTGGTCATCAAGAAGGAGAAGGCTGTTTACCAGACCCTTAACAGGTTCTCGTACGACCAGCAGCGGAAGACGCTGATTGCGGAAGCCTGGGCGCCTACGAACTCACTTGGCCTGATCAAGTCCACTTTGCAGGATGTCAATGACCGCGCTGGTCTCTCCGTCCCAACCATCGTTAACCAAATCAAAACGACGAAGACACCGCCGACTTACATCAAGACCAACAAGTTCACGCTGGCCTTCCAGACCATCATTGACGCGTACGGCACTGCCAAGTACAAGGAAGTCAACCCCGGTCTGCCTACCATTGTCACCTTCCCCTTCCTCTTCGCCGTCATGTTCGGTGATTTCGGTCACGGCTTCATCATGACGCTCGCCGCTCTCGCTATGATCAAGTGGGAGAAGCAGCTATCTCGCGGCAAGCTCGACGAGCTGTTCAGCATGGCTTTCTTCGGTCGTTACATCATGCTTATGATGGGTATCTTCTCCATGTACACCGGCCTGATCTACTGCGATGCTTTCTCGAAGCCCCTCCCGTTCTTCAAGTCTATGTGGGAGTTCCCGGATGACTTCAAGGCTGGAGACTCGGTCGAGGCTACTCGCGTTGAGGGCCACACCTACCCCTTCGGTCTCGATTGGAGATGGCACGACACGGAGAATGACCTTCTGTTCTCCAACAGCTACAAGATGAAGCTGAGTATCCTGATGGGTTGGGCTCACGTGAGTCATTCTTGCCATTGAATTGTATGATTCCTGCTGACCGGCGCTCAGATGACCTACTCTCTCTGCCTCTCCTACATCAACGCCAAGCATTTCAAGTCTCCTATTGATATCTGGGGTAACTTCATCCCCGGCATGATTTTCTTCCAGTCCATCTTTGGTTACCTTGTTTTCGCCATCGTCTACAAGTGGTCCACCGATTGGTACGGCATTGGCCAGGCTCCTCCGGGTTTGCTCAACATGCTCATCTACATGTTCTTGTCGCCTGGCACGATTGAAGACCCGCTGTACAATGGTCAGGGCCCCCTTCAGGTCATCTTGCTTCTTTTGGCCGTCATTCAGGTTCCCATCATGCTCTTCCTCAAGCCTTTCTATCTTCGCCATGAGCACAACAAGGCCCGCGCCCACGGCTACCGTGGCATCGGCGAGAACAGCCGCGTCAGCGCATTGGACGACGACGACGAGCACGGTCATCTCAACGGCGGTCGGGAAAGCTTCGCCGACGACGAGGAGGGCGTCGCGCTCATCAGCCAGGACGTCAGCGCGGGCGGCGAGCACGAGGAGTTTGAGTTTTCGGAAGAGATGATCCACCAGGTCATCCACACGATCGAGTTCTGCCTCAACTGCGTGTCGCACACGGCGTCGTACCTGCGCCTCTGGGCGCTGTCGCTCGCGCATCAGCGCCTCTCGATCGTCCTGTGGCAGATGACCATCGGCATCGCCTTCAGCATGTCGGGCGCCGTCGGCATCATCGCCATCGTCTGCCTCTTCTACCTGTGGTTCGTCCTCACCGTCATGGTGCTGTGCATCATGGAGGGCACCTCGGCCATGCTGCACTCGCTGCGTCTGCACTGGGTCGAGGCCATGAGCAAGCATTTCATCGGCGATGGCGTGCCGTTCGAGCCCTTCTCGTTCAAGGTCTTGCTCGAGGAGGAGCCTATCGAGTAAAAAAGTCTCTTTGTGTTTTACTAGAAGCGGACTTTTGCTTGATGGGCTCGTCGTCGGCCTGAGTATGCGTGAGCGGTTTCCTTTGGACTCAATTTGCTGTTTCTTCTCCTTAAAGGGGGTGGGGGGATGGTGAGATGTTGTAGATCTGATGGTTGGAGCGGTCGGTGGGAGAAGCCTTGTACAGTTAGTTGTTGTCTTTACTGGCTTTTGTGTTGTTATTAGATAGGTATATTCATAGGGCACTGAGTGCCTCGTTCGAAAGTCTCGCTCGCTCTTGCACGTGTGTGTGACTGTTCATGCTCGTGAAAATGATTGCTCTCGACGGTTTTCGATTGTACTCGATAGATCGACGTTGTTACATACTACTTTAGCTTTCCCATTGATGCTTCCGTCAAGCATGAGTACCAATGTCCAACTTCCCGTGTGCATGTTTTCCAACTTTCATTTTTTTTCCGTCATTACTATCAATTGTCCTGCATTGCTCGCTCGCTCTCTGACTACCGCTCGACTATATGCACACCCCTCTTCTCTCTACCCTACTTGTTCCGTAGCAGTTCGACCACCAATCCAAATGGTAAAAGGGGAAAAGCGAGAAATGCCGAGAGATAGCAACAACAACGACAAGCGGAAAGCGACGGCAATCCAGTCGCAGTTCGAGCCAGTAGTGGTAGCAGCAGAAGAGCAAAAGGACAAGAAGGAGAAGGGAGAATGAAAAAAAAAATCAAAAACAGGACCATCCACCCAACCTGCACTCGCTCGCTGATTATATGAAAGAAAAAGACCCCACCCCACCCCCTCCCTCCGCCTTCACTTTTGCACTCTCCACACACGCTATCCGGAAACCTTCCTTATCACCCCTCCCCACTTTTTTTTATTGCTGTCTTCGCTCCCCTTCCCATCATCTTCCCCCACCGACAACGGCCCTCCAATACTCGACTCCCACGCCCCTGCCCAGCCACAAGCTCGCCTCCTCGGTGACGCCCATGCGCAAAATGTTCCGCCTCTCCTTCTCCGCGAACCTGCTGCTCGCATCGCCAGCACCGGCACCGGAACCGGCACCTTCCAAGCCGTCCATCTTTGACGAAAACGACGAGGACGACGACGAGGGCCTGCCGGTTTGTTGTTGCGATTGCTTCTTCACGCCCTCGAGCACGGTGCGGGCGACCTCCTTCAGGGCGGCGCGCTCGAGCACCTCGCGCGCGTTGAGCTGGGGCGCGATGGAGGCGAGCGCGGAGGAGAGGCGGTGGAGGACGGCCTTGACGTCTGGCGGGGCGGAAGACGACGACAGCGACGAGGATGGCGGGGCGGCTGCTTCGATGATGCCGTTGGAGGAGCCGGAGGAGCCGGGGCGGGCGACCAGGGCGCTGCTGTTGTTGAGCGAGGTGATGGAGGAAGCGAAAGGGTTGGCGGCGGATGGTTTGCTGCCGCCGGCGCCGGCGTGCGAGCGCAGCAGGGCGAGGTAGTCGACGTAGATGGCGCCGCCGGCGTGCCACTCGATGACGTCCTTTTCGGGGGCGCCGGCGAAGCCGTTGAGCAGGGTTGCCAGGGTGTCGAGGTCGTGCTGGGTGTTTGCGACGACGGCGGCGGGGGCCACGGCGCGGCAGAGGACCTCGTGCGCGCGCGCGAAGCTGCCGGCCGCGAGCAGGTACTGGACCTCCTTGACGGCGTCGCCCAGGACGGCGCGCGCGTGCTGCGCCTTGGCGGCGTAGATCCAGCTGGGCGCGATGCGCAGCGCCGTCGTCAGGTGGGCGAAGGTCGCGTCCGACGCCGCGTCCTCGCCGATCAGGCCGGCGTTGAAGGAGAGTTGGTCCTTGACCGCGGCGGCGCGCTCTGCGTCGTCGGTGAGGTGGATCAGGGCCCATGTCGCGTGCGTCCAGTGCTCGGGAGTCAGCAGCGGGATGGAGAAGGTGTGCGTCAGCGAGTCGCTGATCTCGGTGATCTCGCGCGCGTTGAAGTGCTCGCCCTCGCGCGGCCCGTCGTAGTCCATGTCGTACGTCACCACCTCGCGAGGGAGGATGTTGCGCGCACGTAGCAGCGTCAGGAGCTGCCACGACAAGCGTGCGTTGACCGGGTTGCCCGTTGTGTTCTCAGGAGCCAGGATGTCGGCCACGGAGAAGGTCATGTCGTCCTGGCGGTATGCCTTGTAGAGCCTGAGCAGACCCCAGAGGAGGTCCTGGCGTTCTTGGGAAGTGGGATCGTCCCAGCCCATCTTGAGGCCGGCGCGAACGAACCACGGGACAGGCTTCACGCTCTCGTCACCCTCGCGGAGCTCATCTTCGAAGCGCTGTACGGCATACTCGATAAGTCCGTCATCAGCAGTATCGGTCTGACGGCCATACCACAACCGGAACCCAAACGCCTGGCGCCAGTCCAAGCCGAAGCGGGATGAGATGCGAACATCTTCAGCCCTGTTCTCAGCAGCCGGGCCGGGAGCACCATCGGAGACGGTGAACTCGCCGGAGAGGATGGTGTAAAGAGCGCGAACTGAGTCGCTCATTTCTGACAGCACGTGCTGGGCGCGCCACTCCTCGATTTGCGTGGCGATGGCTTCGCGGGAAGATTGCGGGCCGCCGATCTGGGCAATGAGGGTAGCCAGTCGGAAATCCTTGCCTTCAATGAGAGCATCGCAAGCCTCGGTGATGCTGTGGCTGGACAGACGCGCGATTGCCCTCTCTTCAGCCGACTGTGCCAGGCGCGCCTGGCGATCAGCATCAGCCAGCACGATTGACTTCCAGAACTCGCTCAGCTTCAACGTCCGGATTTGGTTTTCAAACGTCTGGATATCGTTGGGTACGCCCTCGGGAATGTCCTCGGTGCTGAGGCTGTCGAAAAGGATGCTGGCCAACTTCCACACTTCCTGCTCAAACCTGCCGGCTGGTGTGTCGATAGCAACCGCGTTGGCAAGATCGGCGAATTTCATCTCCAGCGTCTCAGCACGAGGGGGCTCGTCGTCCGACCCGTCGATCAAGTTTGTGTTGTTGGCGTTGGCTTGCTCGACAATGGTTGCCGGCCAGATCTGGATTGCATCAGTAACATCCTATGCACTTGACCAGGCGGGGGCACTTACATCCTCTGGCGTAGAGAACTTGGCGAATCGCACATCCTTGTGCTGGCCGACAATCGAGTTCTTGAGGTTGGCAATGAAGGCTCCCTGCATCTTGGGAGTATTGCCCGGAGCAGTGTACGTGAGGGTGCCGTCATGGGTCCAAGTCGGCTTGAAAGCGTCGTGGAAAGCCTTGTCGGCCTCGGTCGGGTCGTCAAGTTCATCACCAGTCTTTGGTCGCTTTTGGTAGGGCCACTGTCAACACCATTTTTTCAGTATGCTGTTCAATCTGTGCTATGCTACGTACATGAGTCAGGGGTGCGACGTCCAGCAGCCCCCTGCGAATGCCCAATCAAGATGCCAACCGGATCCGAAGGGAGAAGCCAGACGCCATGCCCGTACCCAAAGGAGAGAAGAATATGTGCAAAAAATAGGGATAGGTGGTTCAAACCTCAAGGCCCTTTCCCTTCCTAATCGGCGATCCGTTAGCCGTGGCGGTCTTGCGAGCCGTGCTCTGTCCAAACAAGGAGTTCATGAGGTCGATGCTGTTCGAAAAAGACTTGTTGGTGCTTTTGGCGAATGTCGGAGCCTTGGGCGTCTCCTCAACGTCATCATCGAACTGTCGCAGAGCAGTGCTCTGGTTCTCGCGAAGGGTCTGACGGTCCTGCTTCTTGGGGCTGATGGTGCGCTGCAGCTGGGCCGCCCAATCGCCCTCGAAATCGAAGGCCCCCTTGGTCGGCGTGCCAAATCCTGCGCGGCTAGCCTTCAGGATCGACTTGGGCATACCCGAAGCATCGAAGAGGGTGTTCTTGGCGGGCGTCTGCTCCGTGGTAAGATCCGGAATGGGGAAAGAGCCTGCCATTGTGTGCTCGGGTTCCGAATCCGATCCACTGCGGTAGGAGGCGGCATCATCCATGTCGCTACCATCCTCGTAGTGACCCACGGAGCGCTCATCTAAAAAAGACTGAGTGCTGTTGAGGGTGTCGTCTTGACCGTACACCATGTCATCCTCGTAGTAATCGCCCTCCTCGTCGAAGCTTCCAGGGACGTTGGTCCTTCTGATCGGACCTCTTTTGAAGTCGAACGTGTCATCAGGGCTGGACTCGCCAAGACTCATAATGGTGGAGTCGTCCTGAGATGTGCGTGACAATGCTGACAGAGGGGCGGGACCGCGCCTGGCCGCAGGAGTCGGCGACTGAAGATCAATGGGAGGATCGGCAAGAATCATGGTGTCGTCATCGTCCTCATCATCATAGTCCAAACCATAAGTGGTATAATGCTGAACACGGAACGTCCAGGTGCCGGACTTGGCATCGTAGGACACGAACTCCGTACCCTCGACCTTCTTCAGACGGTCAATGTGCTTCTGGAAGCGAGGGCCACCCTTCTCGTGCACCGCAATCCTGCCGGCTTGGGCACGAGGCCAAGAGTTCTCAAGCAAGATGAGCGACGGAACATTGAGACCCTTACCCATGGGAGGAGTAGACGTCTTGGACGGGTAGACAGTGGCGTTGCGAACATTGAGCTGGATCACATCGCCGAAGAGATCGTCCAAGTTGATGGCAGTCATGTCCACAGGGCGCTCGAACTGAATCTCACCAATGCCTTCGCGGCCAACCCTGAAGTTCTCAAAGGACTTGAGCTGCTGCTTGCTCAGCTTCTTGAGCTCATCCAGGCTAGGCTCGGACCAGTACTTTCCAGGAGTCTGGTCCCTCTGTGCCTTGCGGGCCTTTTCGTTGGCGATCTTGAGAATCTTGTCGGATTCGGAGGGTTCCTCGGGGACGATAGCAAGTTCACTACCCCGAACTTGCTCCATCTCGGGAGTCTTTTCTCCGTTAGCTGTGGTGCCGTTCGTCGGCTTCTCGCCGTTCTTAGACGAGCGAAGGAAGCCCTGCTCCTCAGCGCTAGGGGTCGTCGACTCACGGTCAGCAGGAACCAGAGCACCGTTCGCACCGTCCAGGCTGCCGTTGAGAGTGGTACTGGCGTCAAAGCTGACCCGCTTCTTATTAGAGGCAGGGCTGCTGTTGCTCTCCTCACCAAAGAGGGACGGACGGACGTTGAGAGCACGATCGATGTTGAGCTTCTTCAGACTGCCGGTGTTTGAGTAGGCCGGACGCTTGGAGGGGTTGAAAGCGCCGGGAGAGAGGATGCTGTCTTCCGCATTCCAGGTGTTCTTGAGGCTGCTTGTGGAGAAGCTCTTCGACAAGGACTTCGAGAAGCTACCACCGCCACCAATCAGGCTGCCGCTGAAGCTGGGGCTTCCACTACCCATAGCACTGCCCGGAGTGCCGTACGTGGAGTATGAGAAACCATAGCCGTTGAGACGCTTCTGGGGGGTGATCAGGCGCGAGGATGCCGCAGGGTTGATCCGGTGCTGTGGGAGGATTGCGTTCTTCTTTTGTTTCTGGCTGCTCGAAAGTGGCGTAGCTAGAGGGCCAACACTCTGGCCGGGAGAGCTGAGACTGGCAAAGAGGTGCTCATTTCCGTACGGGTTTCCATTCATAGAAGCAGTCAATTGAGGGTTCTGGTTGTTGTTCTGTGGTGCCATTGATCCGCCAAAAAGGCTGCCACCAAGTGCCGGCTGCTGTTGTTGGTTTTGTTGTTGAGCTCCGCCGAAGAGGCCTCCACCGAGACCGGAGGGCGCCGCAGTGTTGTTCTGACCAAGACTGCCACCAAAGAGTCCACCACCAGTGTTCGTATTGGTGTTCGTAGCTCCGCCAAACAGACCGCCGGTTTGACCCGCAGGCTTCGCGCCGAAAAGGCCGCCTCCAGCCTGGTTCTGCTGCTGGTTGTTCTGTCCTAGAGCACCACCGAAAAGACCACCGCCAGTGTTGGTGTTCGTGTTGCTGGCGCCGCCGAAAAGCCCACCAGTCGTGCCAGCTGGCTTTGCGCCGAAAAGACCTCCGCCACCTTGGGGCTGCTGTTGGTTGTTTCCACCGAAAAGACCGCCTCCAGTCTGGTTCTGTTGCTGTTGGTTGTTACCACCAAACAGACCACCACCACCACCAGTAGCGCCAGGAGTAGCACCACCAAAAAGCGGTTTGCTTTGCTGTTGGTTGTTCTGATTGTTCTGCCCGAAACCACCGAAAAGACCGCCACCAGAGGGTTGGTTCTGGTTCTGGGTTTGATTGTTTTGGCCAAAGCCTCCGAAGGGATTCGAAGCGCCCTGCTGCTGCTGCTGCTGGTTGTTGGCTCCGAAAGCGGAAGTAGGGTTGTTCGTGTTGCCTCCAAACAGACCACCACCTGCAGTGTTGGTATTGTTGTTTGCACCAAACCCGGTGCCGGCGGTTGAGCTGCCAAAACCAGTGCTGGTGCCAGAGCCAAATCCACCGAAAGCAGGCTTGGGTTGCTGTTGCTGTTGCTGCTGGTTGTTACCTCCAAACATACCACCACCGGTGCTGCCGGTGTTGCTTCCAAAGCCTCCCGCGTTGCCACCGCCGAACGCCGAAGTGCCAGTGTTGCCTGCCGTGCCGAACAAGCCACCGGTGGATTGACCAGACGAGGCGGTGTTGCCACCAAAAAGGCCGCCGGTAGCAGGTTTGTTGGCACCAAAAAGTCCACCGCCGGTATTGGAACCAAAGCCGCCAGTGGTGTTGTTCTGTGCACCGCCGAACGGGCTGGATGTGTTGCTCGTGTTGTTCTGGGCACCAAAGAGACCTCCTCCCGACGAAGTGTTGGAGCCGAAACCGCCCGTAGTGTTGGCGGCGGGGGTGCTGGTGTTTGAGCCAAACCCTCCGAATCCTGTACTGGCGCCAAAAGCACCAGCCTGCCCGTTCGCGTTACCGTAGCGCCTGCCCTGCGCATAGTCCTGCAATCTCAGTTCTTCTAGGGAGAATCCTTGGTAAGGTTGCTGGAAGGAGATGGTCTGGTAGTGTGCATTCTGGCTAGTGGCGCCGTCTTTCTCCACATGGGCCGCGAAAGGAGTACCAGCGGTACCGTTGTTGGCAGACTGGTTCAGGCCACCACCGAAAGCAGTCGCACCGCCAGCCCCGAAGGCTGAGCCCGTCGTGCCTGTAGTGTTAGCACCGCCACCGCCGAACAGACCGCCAGTGGTGCCGGTGGTGCCAGCGCCGAAGGCAGGCTTGTTTTGCTGGCCAAAGAGGCCACCTCCTCCCGTGTTACCACCTCCAAAGCCAGTACTCGCGGTGTTGGTACCGCCAAAACCGCCGCCGCCGCCGCCGAATCCCGTACCTCCCGAGGTGGCAGTGCCGGTGCCGCCACCAAACAAGCTGCCGCTGCTCGATGTAGTCGGTGCGCCGAATGCAGGCTTTGCGCCAAAAGGCGAGCTTGACGTATTGCTTCCGAAACCTGTAGAAATTGATGTCAGCGACTGTCATGTATTGAAGTTTGCATTAGTAGAGGCCCCGAGCAAGTTCCCCGAAGCTGCGCGCTCAAACTGGTTGGGTTGGGATAGGTTCCGCATGGCTGGACTTAGTGTAGGTGACATGCGCAAGTAGCGAGTCGGTGCGCACTTGAAAAAGACCAAGGGACCAGAAGGCGCGGTCGCTCGAAAACGAGACCCAAGTTGCTTTGGCTAAAGGCGCCGAAGCAGGTGAAGGAGCGCTCGAAATCCAGAACCTAAGACGTACCTCCACCAGAGCCGAAGCCGCCGCCGGTGCCGCCGGCGGGTAGGTTAGCTCCTCCGAAGAGACTACCGCCGGTGTTGGAGCCAAAGCCAGTGGAGCCAAAGCCTGGAAAGACGCGAGAAAGGCAATGTCAACGTCGAGGTTGTCTGGCGCTGCGATACGGGAATGTCGAGGGCTCCAGGGTCGATTCGCGCGAGGATCGGCCAAGGACAAAGCAAATGGAACGAGATTCACTGCTTACCTCCGCTAGTGTTGGTGTTGTTGTTCGCTCCGAAGCCGCCAAAGCCTGTGCTCTGCTGCTGCTGCTGCTGCTGCTGCTGCTGCTGGTTGTTGTTGGAGCCGAAGCCGCTCCCAAAACCGCCGAAAGCCGACATGATGAGGGGTGTCAATCGCGTTTGTCGCGCAGCGCTGGATGGGTGCGAGTGGGTTGTTGTCGGAACTGCGCAAGCGAGCAAAGGTGCGCGTCACGTCTTTCGCGAGGTTGACGGGGCTGGAGCGTCGCGGCGACGCGCCAGGAAAAGGGAAAGGAAACTGGCACACGCGCTAAAATCGACAATCGGTCGCGTCGAATGGAGCAGCCGAAACGAGGGCAAAACTCGACTCGTCGTGACGAACAGACGAGGCCGAGGGGTTGAGAATGGAGCTGCGCGCAACGAGGTGGTGGGCGAGGGCGATGGCGGACAGCTGTGGTGGTGAGGTTGGCTGGGCGGATATTTCGCGGTCCCCCGCGCACGGACCTCACAGCTAAAGGCCACACGTGATGGATGGAGAGCCAGTCACCCAGTTCAAGACCTCACATTGACGAAGCAACCGCGTCCTCTCACAGTCATGCACGCCCTTCACGTCTATCTGCCTGATACTCACGTTGCTGCAAAGAAGATGAGTCGGTTCTCGCTTGGTAGATGATGAGGGCGCGCTTTATGTGTTAGACTTAGGCATCGATCAGGCTGCCACCGCCGCGGCTGCCTGCGCCTGCCTGCGACCCCCCAAACCATCGCGCTGTGCTCGGTGCGGATGAATCTTGACGCGCAGTTAGCGGCTACTGATGGCTAGACACGGTGGTGACACTATACGTATGCAAATATCGTTGTCGTGCAGCTGCTGTGCAAACAAATTGGTCTTAACACCCTGCCTCTGATCCCACGAGGAACACACTCCGAGTGCACCGAAATATGATGTCTAAGACCCAATTACCTGGCAGTGATGTAAGGCTCTCCATCCTGCTGGAAACAGACACGAGTCTTTCACCTGCTGTTACCCTTGCCCCGCTGGAGCTATAGCAGCTCCCCGGCACCTGCTGCCCGCATCCTTGCATCACCACAGCCCATCCCCGCCGCCGTGCCTAAGCGAGCGAGCAACGCTGGGACAACACGCGCCGCAGACGCGTCTTCCACAAGCTTTCGCTGTCGCAGCTTACCTACACCTAGAAGCGCCCACTCCCGCACGCCAACCCCAACGAGCATTTCACTAAGAAAGACGCTACCCACGCGACGCGCGCCAAGCTGGCAGACCAACGCCTCCCCACCCGCATCAGAGACAAAACCAACGCCGCAGCTTCGGCCATGGCGACAACGACACCCTTCCCTGTGGGCGGCCGAGGCTTCGGCAACCGCGCCGGCGGAGCGGGGCCCTCCACCACGCACCAGCAGCGGGAAGCGCAGCGCATAGAGCGCGAGCGGCAGGAACGCGCGGAGCGGGACAGGCTGGCGGACGCGGGCCGGGGCGAGATCGCGGAGCTGAGCGACGAGCAGCGAGAAGAAATCAACGAAGCAGTAAGCCGACACCACACTGATTGAAACCTTGGGGGAATGCTGGTGTTGACATTGTTTGTTTGTTTGTTTGTTTTGTTTTCCAGTTCCAGCTCTTCGACCTCGACAAAGACGGCCACATCGACTATCACGAGCTCAAAGTCGCCATGAAAGCCCTCGGCTTCGATCTACCCAAGCAAGAAATCCTCACCATCCTCCGCGTAAACGGGTAAGCTTCCCCATCATCATCGTCACCGTCGTCCTCGCGTATTCTGCTCTCGAAACAAAAAGAATGAGACTGACAACCGCAATTTCCAGTATCCCCGCCAACACCATCAACGGCAAATCCAAAGCACCCGCAACGTCCAACAACAACAACAACCCGGCCTTCACCGGCCCCACGCGCCTGCTCCTCCCCCTACAGACATTCCAAGCCATTATGGCGCACCGCATCATGACCCGCGATCCGAGCGACGAGGTCATGCGGGCATTCGAGTTGTTCGATGAAGGAGGTAAGGGTAAGATCACGCTGCAAGACCTGCGGCGGGTGGCGCGAGAGCTAGGTGAAGGGCTGCAGGAGGAAGAATTGGCCGCCATGATCGAGGAGTTCGATCTCGACGGGGACGGCGCGATTGGGAGAGAAGAGTTTGTGGGTATATGCATAGGATGAAGGGAGATGACATGTGCGGGAGGGATTGTGATGCGCTCAATGGGGGCCGATAAGTGCATTATTCTTGTGCGGTGGGTTTGGTTGGAATACCCGTTTGGGGCATGTTGTTCTTCTACTACACTTTGGAGGCGTTTCTTTGGGGGCGGGCGTTGAGCGGGAATGCAGTAAGATAATAACTTCACGGAGGCGATTTGATGGAATACAAGCTTCAACAATATGTACAGATTCTCACAGTCAAAAAAGTTCAAAACTTGCTAAAACCTAACACAAGGAGAATATAGGGTGTCATTGTTACAGCCCGAGCGATCCGCCAGCATGCCTTCCCTCCACTTGATATCCGTCTCGTCTACCAATTGACCTCTTCAACCAGTTCATTCCCACCAGCTTTCTAAAATTTACTGTCCAGGGGCAATGAGCTGGCCCTTCTTGGAGGCATCGTGTGCCCAACCACCAGCCAATGCCTCGCCGCCGTTCTTCGCCGCAAAGTCCTGTATTCTGGCCTCCAGCTCGGGTCTGAAGTGGCGGATGAGACCCTGAATAGGCCAAGCAAAAGCCTCGCCCAGAGCACAGATGGTGTGGCCCTCAACCTGCTTGGTGAGCTCCTGCATCATGTCGATTTCACGCGCGCGCGCCTGACCCTTCTCGAAACGCTTCATGATCTGGTAGGTCCATGTAGAACCCTCACGGCAGGGCGTGCACTGACCGCAGGACTCGTGCTTGTAGAACTTGCTGAGACGGGAGATGGCACGGACAACGTCGGTAGACTTGTCCATGACAATGACGGCAGCGGTACCCAGACCAGACTGCGAGTCCTTGAGGGCGTCAAAATCCATGAGCTGGTCGTCGCAAACATGCTTGGGGAGAATGGGAGTCGATGAACCACCGGGAATGACGGCCTTCAGGTTATCCCATCCGCCACGGACGCCACCACAGTGCTTATCGATCAGCTCGCGCAGCGGGATCGACATCTCTTCCTCGACGGTGCAAGGGTTGTTGACGTGGCCAGAGATACAGAAAAGCTTGGTACCGGCGTTGCGCTCACGACCGAATCCAGCGAACCAGTTACCACCGCGGCGGCAGATGGTGGGGGCGACAGCGACGGTCTCGACGTTGGTGACGGTGGAAGGGCAGCCGAAAAGACCGACGGCAGCCGGGAACGGGGGCTTCAATCTGGGCTTGCCGGGCTTGCCCTCGAGGGACTCGATAAGAGAGGTCTCCTCGCCGCAAACGTAGGCGCCCATGCCACGGTGGACGTAGACGTCGAAGTCGTAGCCGGAACCGCAGGCATTCTTGCCAATGAGACCGGCCTGGTAAGCCTCCTGGATAGCACGCTGGAGGACAGTGGCCTCGTGGTAGAATTCGCCACGAATGTAGATGTAAGCGGCGGTGGCGTTCATGGCGCGGCCGGAAACCAGGCAGCCCTCAATCAGCTTGTGGGGATCCTTGCGCATGATTTCACGGTCCTTGCAGGTACCAGGCTCACCCTCGTCAGCGTTGACGACGAGGTAGCGGGGCTTGGTGTCCTTGTCCCAATCCTTGAAGTTCATGAAAGACCACTTCAGACCCGAGGGGAAGCCGGCACCGCCGCGACCGCGCAGACCGGAGGCCTTGATTTCGGAAATAATCTGTACGGCATGACCATCAGCAATTGAGAATTGGACGGCAGGCCAGCCATTGGGAATGATGACGCACCCAGTCATGGCCCTTCAAGATAATCTCCTTGGTCTTGTGCCAGTCGCCGTACTTCATGGCGCTCTTGAGGTCGGCGCCATGGTGGCTGTAAAGGTTCTGGAAGATGCGGTCCTGGTCCTTGAGGCCGCCGTGGCGGTGGACGGGCTGGTCCTGGACGGTGGCGAGGGTCCTGCGCTGCTGGCGGCGGGCGGGCGAGGTGGTCTGGGAGAGGCGGGCGGCGGCGGCGGCGGAGGGCAGAACGCGGTGCGAGGCACCGGCGATGGCCTGGGTGGCGGAGGTGTGCCGAGCGAGCATGGTGGAAGCGGTCGAGCTGCTCGATGCAAGCGGTTGGTGTTGGAGCCCGCGGGCGGGTGGAGTGGAGATGTGCGATGCTGGAGCGGGTCGAGGTTGGCAGGCAAAGCACGGCCGAGGGTTGAAGACGCGCTTCGTAAGAGGACTAGTGGCGCCGCTCATTGGTCGATGCCCGTCCACCACATCATCGACTGCCGCATCACGCCCTCCTCGGCCTCCTCAGCCTCCCCAGAGTCAGCTAGCCGCTCGGCGGCCGTTACTTCACCGCGAAGCCCGACATCTTCCGCTGTGCGCGCCGGCGTCTGCGATGGCCAGCCGAACATCCGCCGTGCGCGGATTATTCAGCGAACGCCCATTGGAGAACCGGCTTCGGCCCAATCACTGCGCGGGACGAATCCATCCACCTGGGCTGGCTTGTTCGCTTTTTGATTCTGGCCCAGATCATTATCCCAACTTGAGTGAGCCGTGCCGGAATTGTAGAATCCTTCACCTCGTGCATTCTGATCCCTCTCCTCAAACTTGTGATTCTCCTATGAAATATGAAAAATCAGAATCAAACAGCCCTGCAACTATCGCTCCCGTTACGTGCCTTCCAAATGTCGCAAGTTGCCATGCTTCTCTGCGTTCTTGCCTCCACTTGCCATATGAGCGCATCAGGGTCCAGTCTGATAGCATAAAATGTCCATCCCTCTTCGTCCTCATCCGTGTTCTTTTCTTCCACTTCCACTTACGTTCTCAAGTTTCGTCCTACTCAGAGAAGCTGAACGCTCACATCGGGGCACCACCGAGGTGGACGTCAAGCACTGTGGCAAGCCACAGTTCGACTTCTGCAAGCTGAGGTGAGGCTTCCGTGCCTACGGATGGCATGATTCTCCACTGCTTTCAATTTTGCCTAGTTCAGCTTCCGCTGCATCAAATATGGCGGGCCCGACTGTGCAACAAAGCCCTGCTAGGCCGACGGAATCGGCCTCATCGACGAACTCATCGGCCTCCAAGCCTGCAGCAAAGACTGCTTCTACGTCCAAGGCGAAGCCAGCCAAACAATCCGACAAGTCAGCTACATCCAAGATCACCAGGGCTCTCAATTCCGCTCCCAAAGACCCCACAGGAGCTAAACCTCCGGCAAACAAAAGTACGGAGACACAGAGAAAGCACGATGCCGCCAAATCATTGCTTTCCAAAAATGAAGCATCTCCAGCTGTCACTTCCGATGTAGCTGCAGCGAAGGTGCCGAGGTCTCGAGTCAAAAATCAGAATGGAAAGAAGGATACAACGCGTCCCACGCTGTCTGATGGAAAGGTTGAGAGAGAGATATGGCGGCCATCTGATGGGAATGGCGATCCTTCGCCTGAGCTCGTGGAGAAGCACAGGGCGAGGAAGGCGGGTCATCCCACGTGGAAGCTATATACCGGCCGGAATATCCCCAAAAGGCCCACTGACACCAACCCTCCCAGCTTTGTCTACCTGGACGACAAGGCCGCCTGGGACATTCTTCATTCGAACCACTGGACCCCCCACGACAAACACAGGTTCTGGACATTCGACTTCACAGCCCAAGGTCGCGTCACCGTCACACGTCCAAATCGTGGCCGGCCTGCGTATGAGGAGGATGACAAGACATTCGCTTCCATCCCCGCTCGCAAGGGTAAGCGATACTGGTTCCATGGCTGCCACCCTGCGCCCATGGATGACGGATCCAGCGCCGAGTCTCCTGTTCTGGCCAAAGATACCGCTGTTGACGAGGCAAGTACCGCAGCTGTTCCTGCAAAACAGACTGCGGTGCACACCCAGGATGCCGATAAGGAAGAAGCCCCTGAGAATACGCCAATTGAAGGGCAGCCTCCGGTTGCGTCACAGCCTTTGGTTTTCGAACAAACCTCGGTGGTAGAGCATCCTTCAGAGGTAGAACAGTCTACAGCTCCGAAGCAGCGTTTGATCCCCGGGCAGACTTCCATGCTTGAGCAAGCCCCAGACTCCATCCCAGAGTCTAGAGACCATCTACAGACCTCAGATCAAGAACAGAGGTTAACTACTGAAGAAGAACAAGTTATATCTATCGAAGGGCCGTTGGCGAAGACGGCTCCGCTCTTTGAGCTTACCACTACCAACTCAGAACATGGATCTGGATCTGGATCTGGATCTGGAGTTGAGCCCACAGATTTGGTCCCTCTTCAGTCAGTGCCACAAGATATTGTCCTGCCTACGACTCCACTACCAAATGCGAAATTTGTCTCACTGAATTGCCCAACCCCTTCATCAGATCACCAGGCTGTGGTGGGTCAGCCCCAGCAGCAGCTTCAGCAGGCTGTCCGCACAGCTTCTCCAGCTCCGGAATCCAACGAAACGGTATCGCGCTCTCCAGCACCATCACCGCAGGCCGTCAAGCGTCTATCCTCTCCCGACAACTCCATGAGCCCGGCACCAAAGCGCCAACGCAAGGGGATCACGCCGTACGACATCCCTCCAGAGGTCCAAATGCGTGACTTGGAGCTCCTCCAGTTACGCCAGCAACTGCGCGACTGCACCAACCGCGAGGTCCAACACGACAACGAGATGGCGGCCATGCGCCAGAAGGCCGGGTTCTACCACCGCGCCGTCATGGACAGCAGCGCGAAGCTCGAGACATCTGAGAAGAAGGAGGATGCATTCCGCAGGCTGGCAATTCAGCTCTACGCCAGAGCCGTTGATCAGCAAGAAATGTTGGCGGAGCTCCACAAGGAGCTGCTAAAAATCAGGGAGGATTCGGCGAACTTGACGGCGGCGGCGGAGAGGCTTGCAACGGATGCGAGGAGGGAGTTGGATCCAGTCTCGGCCATGCATGGAGATCTGGACGCGATTCTCGATGAATCGGAGAGAGTTATGCAGGATGCGGGATTGCAGGAGGAGTTTGAAACTTTCGTCCAGCAGGCCATGGTCATCGATGACTAGGCATGGCGATGCGAGGGCTGGACACTCCAATTTGGTTCAAAACTTGGCGTTGGTTTCTGATTTCACGGGTTCACAGCCCCACACGGGTCTTCAAAGTTGACTTTATTGTTCAACTAATAAGGGCTCCTTATCAGCAAAGACTTTATGGGGGGGTGGGAAAAGAGAGTCTCACGAAGCCCACGAGAGCATCTGAGTTGCTACAACACTCTCATTGCAGATCTAAACTTAATCTAGCTTGGAAAAGCCTGCATTAGCTACAATAAAATGATATGCGAACTAGATAAGATAATGCCTCATGCCGTGTTTGAGAAGTGATATGCTGACCTGCCTCGCCTCCGCAAAACAGCGTGCGTCTGATATACTATCCAAACATACCGAGTTGAAGAGACGGTCCGGACGTAGATGTGGAAGAAAGAAGGAAACAAATACGTCCCGACATCGGCTTCGACTCCGGTTATATCGCCTTAGATGTTGAAATCCATTCTTAATCTCTACATTGTGCCGTTGTTGCACGGAGCCGAGACAACTGTCCGGAAACACTATATATCGGCTTGAAAACTTTATAGTTGGCTACTGCTGCTTTCGTAATTGCAATTCCAGAGGTCAGTTGAAGACGTGATCCCGACGAGAATGTTACAAATCAGTTGAGGCATTCACATCTGAACATTTGCTTCAGCTACCCACAGTATCGCGCAACAACCGTGCTACACAGGAGCAAAAAGCGATACATCAAAGTAACACCCATTCTAATGATCATCATCGCTACCACCATCACCCCCTACAAAACATTCACCCATCCACACCCACCACCTATCTACAGGCCAAACCAAGCGTCAAAGCTACACCACCACATCCACACACTCCCCCCCATCCACCACCGCCACCACCCCCTCCCTCCCCGGCACCCTCACCACCCCCGTCGTCCCCACCACCCCACAAGCCCTCACCCTCACCCTCCTCCCTCCATCCTCCCTCCACCACCCCGCCTCGACCACCCCTCCCCCCTTCGGCACCGGCACCCGCCCAGTCACCCACTCCACACCCACCTCGCCGCTCACCGCGACGCTCGGCTCAAACGCCCAGGTCGCGAACCCCGCGCCCGTCGCCCGCACGCCGAGCACGTACTCGGACAGCACGTACGTCGGCGCGCCGCCCCAGGGGTGGGCGTGGCTGGTGTACGGGCCAAGCCCGGGGCGCCCGCTGCCGAGGACGTATTCCCAGCTGGCGCCGGTGGCGTACGCGTCGTCGGTCACCATTGCGGGCCAGAGGCGGTCGAGGAGGAGGGAGATGGCGGTTTTTCGAGCTGCGGAGGCGGTAGCGGCGGTGCTGTTGTTGTTGTTGTTGGTGGTGGTGGTGCTGTTGTCGTTGTTGCTGGCGAACGCCGCGTCGGCGCTCGCCTTCAGCAGCGCCTCGAGCAGGAAGCCGCACAGGTTCGGCGACAGGCTCGTCTGGTCGGCCGCCGTGTCGACCGACGAGTCGGCCTTGTACCCGATGCCCAGCCGCAGGCGGTCGAGCGCGGCGATGGCCCGGGCGGCGCGGCCGGCGGGCGCGATGCCGGCGAGGATGGGGAACGCGGTGGCGGTGATGCTCGAGTTGGCGAAGCCGTCGTCGGCGGCGAGGGACACGGCGTACGTGCCCAGCTCGTCGTTCCAGAGCAGCGCGTTCACGGCGGCGGCGACGGCTGCGGCGGCGGCGGACCAGGATGATGCCGAGGCGGTGTCGTTGGCGGCGAGGGCGAGGCCGGCCGTCTTGTTGAGGGCGTAGACGAACATGGCGGACGGGGCGGTGCCGTTGGCCGGGGGGCCGAGGAAGAAGGTGCCGGGGATGGAGTTGGTGGAGATGAGGTTGGTGGACGGGTCGACGAGGTTGGCGATGAGGGAGTCGGCGATGGTTTTGAGCTGCGGGTAGTGCGTCGTGAGGAAGGGCAGGTCACCCGTGGCGTGGTAGTAGTCGGCGAAGGCGATCAGGTAGCCGAATTGGTAGTCGATCAGGGCGTAGCCGGCGCGATTGGTGCCGAAGGCGGGAGAGGCGCCCATCGAGGCGGACATGCCGGAGAAGCCCGGGTACAGGGAGCTGTTTGATGCTTGCCACTCCAGCGCGTATGCGAGGGTGCCGGTCGAGAACTCGGAACTGTTGGTGCTGACGGCAATTATGCGCTGCGTGTGGGTGTAGTCGCCCATCCAGACCAACCGGTCTCGCTTCGCGCCATCGAGGCAAACGTTATGTGTGTTGGCTGCCACCCCGTACTCTTCCAGGATCGAGTCGCCTTTCAGGTCGCTCTTGTAGAGGACGGTGCCGTTCTCAGCCTCAACAGTCACGTTGGTGAAGTAAGCTTCTTGGTCTTGGAACGGACCAAAGCCCCATGTTCCTGTTGTATTGTCTCCGGAAACGAAAATAGACACGGCAGCATCGCTGCTGTTTGCGTTGGGTACAAAGCTCGGGTGGATAGAAACGGTGTATCCAGTGGCGTTGATAGTTGTTGAGATGTTATACCACTCGCCTTCCTTGACGTCAAAAGGCATGGGATAATACATGTTTTGCCCGGTTTCCAAGGTAGTCTGATTGACTATGCTCCAGCCATAGTTGGCGACAAGAGTGTTTGGAGGCAAAAGAGTCCGGTTGGTGTTGAGGAACGTGCCTTCTGGATATTCGCTGGTGAGGACAAAATACTGTCCTTTTCCCCGAATACTTGCCGCAACACGCCATCCAGTACCACCACAGACGATCTTCGTGGAGAAGGACATGGTGTAGTTGCCGTACTCGGTTCCAAGAGAAGACTGGGCAGGAGTTTGGCCGCGAATAAAAGCTCCTTCCTCAGCGATCTCCCAAGTCGAAGGGGCGCTGCCGCTTGGGATGCAAGCTTGCTGAGCGGACCGGACTCCAAGTGCCCAGATCTTGTTGTACAATTCGTTTGAACTGTGGAAATTTCCCGGAAGCTCTTCAATGCCCCGGATGTCGTTCCCTGAAGCCATACCTGCACCGCAGAACGTAAAGCTCCCTTCTCCCAGCAGTTTGAATGCCTGCCATCTTTGCCCGCCCTGGATGAAGAAGGACTGGAATCTTCCGGGCGAGGAAATGTTGAAGGTCTCGACCCGAAAGGAGTTGCTCAGCCCGTTCGAGTATGTCCATGGTCCATCAGCCTGCGGGAGATCAAGATTGGTCTTTGCCTCGGAGTATCTGCTTTCGATCTGGACGCCGCGCGTGGGAACATCGGTGACCTCAATGAACGGGAATCCTCCAATCTCCCAAACGTAGTCTAGCGTGACCACTGGCCTTGCTGCAGTAAGAGTCACGCATGTCGATGAGGAGTAATTGGATGTGGTAGACGCGTTGGCGAAGTTGTATGTCACCGGGTAGACGTCTGACGTGCTAGGCAAAGTCAGTGTATGGAGTATCTTCAATTCGGCATTGTGTTCCGAACGAGCATGCGATGCACACGGTGGAGATCAAACTCGAGGTTTACGCTGACACGGAGGATCAAGCTCCTCTTTTTCTTCGCTGAAAAATGATTGAATTCAAGAATCAAAACTCACCCAGAGGGATTTGTTAGAGCTGACGCTACTGCAGGGGCCAGCGCCGCCAGCACGACGCGTGCTGAAGTCGGCATTGCCGGAGCCGTTCCTTGCAGACAAAGCCCAGCCAGGGGAGCACAGGGCTGATATGGTAGAAAGGAAGTCAAAGACTTCGTTGTTGCATGGCAGCGGAAGTTTTGGCGGCCTAACGGCCCTTTAAAAGCCTCATGGGCAAGTCGCTCCGCAGTCATTGCACATAGCACGGACACAGTTCGGGCGAAGCATCAAGCCACACAAGTGTTTGTGGGGTGCGGGGAAACAATTGTAACTCGACACGGCACATAGGTACTCGTGTTCGTCTTGACCGTATCCGCACACTTCCCTCCGTTTGGAACAGGCGCGAGGTGGGTGGCTTGGATAGCGGCGCTCGGGAACGATGGCATCACCGCATGCCGGGTCTTGAGAGCTAGCTCCACCCCGCCACTGCTTCACCATTTGCGGTTAGGTTGCCGTCAATTCTCGGTGAGACATCGACCGAGTGGCTGACTCAGGAGGTGCGCGTCGCCGCCGTCCTTGTGTCAATGGCAAGCTGCACTGATTGCAGCGCTACAGGCGCTATCAAGTGGCATCGGGTGGAGGACAGCTCGGCCTCCATATTTTCGCTTCTCTGATGAGTACTTCCCGAAAGTACCTGCCAAAAGCAATGCCATCACCATAACTCCACCAACCGTCGTGGAGATTACGATTCCCATGCTTGAACAATCGACGACAGAGGCATCAAACTCGGCAATTGCACGGAAGCGGGGCGTAGTGTAGGCAATTGTTTGGATGACAAAGACGCTCTGTGAGATTAGTCAATGCAGTAGACTCGAATAGATGGTCAATGGTATGCCGTAAGCGTATGGTAGCGACAGAAATTGGGATTATTGCTGCATTCCCCCTTGGTGAGGAGAACCAAAGGAACTGGCGTTTTGAGAGGTAGTCTTGCGTGACTCTTGCGATGCTGTAGGAACTGATGGGGATAGCAGCGAAGATAGCAGAGTTCCATCTAAGCAGATGTGCGATTGCATCAACTGACCTACGTTATATTACGATTTTCCGCTTTTGTTCCATTCACATTAAATGCAAAAGAGCCGAACTGATTATTAGGAAGCACTAGATGACTTTTTTGCTGTGTTGATCCTCTGTAAACTGTGCAGGCTTTGGACATGAGCGTGGGCTTTGTCGATTCCTTGTCTGGTTGGAGCCATCAGAAGTTGGGCGCAGTAGTTGCTTGAGCCCAACAATAAGGATGAGAGGCAATTGATGGCGAGGTTTCTGCCTCGTGTCGGGCTTGCTCAACAAGGCAACAAGCCTTCAGGAATTAATCAAGGGAGAAGTGTTGAGGGGGCATAGTCTCAAGGCTTCCAAGACAAGGCGAAAAAAGGATATGGTGGTTGGCCTGAAAAGGTCTAGCGAAGGCAGGTAAGTAGATGTTGGAAGCCATTGTCGTGCGGGTCAGGACGTTGGGCGAAGAGAAGGTAAAAGGCGAGTGAGGCGTGAGGCCGGACGGAGGGACGGCGGCAAAGTTGCCCAGCGCTGAGGCCGACTTTCCCCGCATGCGTCATCGGAGGCATCCGCGACAAGCTGGACTCCTTGACCGGAGCTGCCCCTCCATCTCCGCACCCCTTTCCTCCAACGCTATGCTTGCTACGCTGCGCCGCCTCAATCCTTTCGCAATGTCGTCTGCCCAGCTTGATCTGCTTGCAAAATACACTGCTTGCGACGTATGTCAGCCTGTCCTGCTACTTCGTGCGTCCACAATTGGCCATAGCTTGCGACGAGCTGTTTAGAGAACATCCGAACCGCGACTTGGCCGCTGACTTGCGCAACACAGGTCTCGGATGCCCTGCTCAAGCTCAATGTCCCGGGCGCGGGCTTCATTCCAGACATAGGTAAGTCCAGCAGCTCCGATGCCGTCTCAGCGTTCCGTATAACTTTTTGGGCGCCTCCATATCCTTTGCCGGGACTTGTAGCAACACGACACACGCCAATGTGCTGACGTTAAATGCGGAAAGGCCCGCTCAAGGCCGGAACGACCCGCGTGGTAGCCCCGGCCAGCACAGTCCACTTCTCTCCCAAGACCACCCAATCGTTTCCTCAGCCTGTTGGCGACAAGCCGGAGTTGAAAGATCCCGCGGACAAGAACGCAAGCAAGATCGCACCGGGGACGCCCTACGCCGACCTCGTCAACCCAGAGACAATTGTCGTGCTGTCACAGCCAGAAGGGCAAGCCTGCGCAGTGGTTGGCGGAATCAATGGCGTGCGCATGGAACAGTTGGGAGCGAAAGGCGTGCTGGTCTCTGGAAGAGTCAGGGATTTGGATACTCTGAAGGGGCTCAAGATCCCGGTATGGAGCAAGGGAACGAGCAGCGTGGGCGCCGGAGCTCAGACGAAGGCCTACGCCGTGGGGTATCCAGTCGAGCTTGGTGATGTGACGGTGGTGTCGGTAAGTCCCTGACTCGCGCTCACAAGCTTCCATCGGCTTACATGCTTGTACTTCACAGGGAGATATTGTCATGCTGGACCCAGCCGAGAACAGTGCTGTCGTGATCCCAAAGGACAAGGTTGACGCGGTGCTAGAGCTCGTTCCGAAGCTGGTCGACGCGGACGAGAAATGCATGGCCGACGTGTTGGCCGGGGGGACGGTCAAGGAGGCATTCGCGACGCATAGAGGCCAATAGAGGGGAAAGCAAGAGGAGATGGTCGGCCGTGTAAGCAAGGCTGTGGGAAGCCGATTGGCGTTGGGCTGTGATGCTATGACGAGGTAGGTAGTATTAAAGGAGAGTGATGCAAGCGATGTGATGACGGATTGGGCGCGAGGTGGAGCGGACAGCGACAGACTTGCTCGTGACTTTCACATACTGGCGGCGTCTGGCTGGCTGGGCGTGCGGATTAGGTTGGCGGCAGCTTCTCGAGGCGTGCAAGGCCGGTGAAGCGGCCGGGCGGGCGCACCGCCATGCAAGGGCGCCGGCTGCTGATTGGGCTGGGGCGCAGGTGGCGGGCGCTTAGTAGCACGGCAATCACGCTGCCTGTTGCGGGCTAGCTCACAGCTGGCCGGCCTCGACAGCGGCCTCGACAGCGGCCGCGCGCAACAGCAGCAGCTCTCTGCAACCCGGCGTCGGCTGCGCGACGGCGTGGGCTCTGCCGTGCGCTGCCGTGCTGACAGCGGGGGCGCCGGCCGTGGCACGCCTCTTCACCATGAACACTGCATGCACATGCAGTGCAGGAACACATCACGGCGGGCGGAAGGCAGCGTGGCGCGATAAGAGGTGAAGAGCATGGGTGGGCGCTTACAGGCCGCGGGGCGCAGCCAATCAGCGGGCGCAGGCCGCGTTCCCAGGCCTGACTGGTCGAGCGTTCACCACCACCGCCAGTCCGGCCCGGCCCAATATATACGCTCATCGCTGTCGTGCAGCCGGCCATGTGGATCGCTGCATTACCCCGATCGCCCCGAGTGACCTTCATATTGTCGCATCTGCGTCGCGATTCTGTTCTTAGCTGCTGCCCCCCTAGGTGCCCGCGAGCTACAAGACCATGCGAGCTCCACGAGCCCTAGCCGCCGCCGGAGCAGCCTTTTTCACCCCCGTCCTCGCCACTCCCGGAGCCTTCGACGTCGACTTCGACGCAAACCCGGCCCCTGTCGCTGAGCACGCCCTCCGCAACAAGGCCTACCTGCCCGCCCAGATCTGCGCCATCATCGGCGCCTACATCTTCTGCGTGCTTGTCGTCGGCACCGCCCTGCTCACCTACGGACGCAAGATGCGCCGCGCCGTCACCGACCAGCGCGTCGACGTCGTCAAGGCGAACGGCACCAATGGCTTCGAGATGACGCCCGTCTCGCCGCTGCGAGGCTGGCGCTCGCCCCTCAGCCCCAGCAAGCTCAAGCACGCCTTCAAGAAGAGCCAGACGAGCATTGCCGAGCGTCAGCAGCAGAGCGTGCCCACCAGTCCCATCAGCCCTAGCTGCCAGAGCATGACATCCTTCGACCAGAACTTCCTGAAGAACCAGCAGGAGGAGCGCCAGAAAGAGATGGAGAGACTGTACGCCGCCGTCATGGAGCACGACGAGGAAAGGAACAACAAGAAGGCACCCAACTCATCCGCCGAGGAGATCCAGGAATTCCCCGAGGACGAGGAAGAGCGCCACCGTCCTGTGCAGCAGAAAGCCCGTCCGCCCATGATCAATACCTCTTCCTCCCTCCGCGTACCCAGCGGCCAAAATCCCGCGAGTCCCATCTCACCAGCCAGCCCTCGCAGCCCCATGCGCGCCATCTACCCTCCGGAAAGCCCAATGGCCGCTACTCGCCGCCAGAACTACACCAGCCCACCGCCGTCATCGCCCCGCGGCCATTTCGCAAAGAAGGACCGCACGGCATCGGTTAGCTCCGCTGGTAGCAAGACTCGCCGCAGCATCCGCAATCTTCGCATCAGCGGGCCCATCGCAAAGTATCCAGGACACCATGGCGGCGAGGACGAGGAAGCCCGCACTCCGCTGTCCCCGCGCTTCTACAACCCCGGCCCGCCACCATCCCCGCCCTCAGCCACTCCCACGCCAACCACTCCCGGCACCGCAGAGTCTCTCGGACCCTTCCGCTACGAGGACCTCGGCCACCCGCAGCCGCTTCCGCGCCCTTACCCCCAGCGCAGCGAGAGCGGACGCATGCTCGATGCTCGCTCTATGCACAGCACGCACTCGCCGCGCCCTAGCAACGGCAGCAACACCATCGACATCGCCATGCGCGCCAGCGACATGCAGCAGCAGCAGCACCAGCAGCCCTCGGGTCCTCCCCCGGCCATCCGCACGCAGGACCTGCCGCCTCCCCCTCGCTTCGCACCGCACCACGCCTCGGCCCGCTCCGCCACCTCGTCGACGTCGGAGCTGCCCCTGCGCAGCATGACGCCCGGCTCCGCACAGCTGCCCTCCACCAAGACGACCGTCATCGAGGCGCGCAACCGCACGCGCGACGTGCTGTCGCCGTCGCAGCGCGGCCTGCGCACCCCGGCGACGGGCGTGCCCATGACGCCGTACAGCCCGTACATGCCGTTCACGCCCATCACGCCCGTGACGCCGCACCTGGTGACGCGCAAGGAGCGCAAGCAGCGCCAGCGCGACGAGCGCAAGATGGGCCTGCGCAGCCCGCTGCAGGAGGGCGACGAGGTCGGCGATGTCGATTGGGGTGATGCGTATTAAACAACACAGACCGCCGGCACCCCCCCTCCCCCCGCCACAACCCCGCCTCCCTCATCTTTTTCTTGTTGATGATTATGATGAATTCGCTTTTCTTCTACGCTCTCATCTTCGGAACGGAAAATTACCCCCGCGTGTGTGTTTGAGAACCGAGATTGTGTATAGAAAACCTTTTTTCCTGTTGATCCAGGTCTTTTAACCTTTTCTTGGTTTATATATCCTCCCTTATATCAGGGCCAACGGTTCTTGTTTCTGTTTTCTTTTTAACGGTCTCCTGTCCTCCGATGCGAGACATCAGTCCCGAATCTGTCATATGTCTTGTTTGGCGGTGTTTCCTGCTATACAAAGTATATATCCCTTGTTTTTAGTTCTAATCCGTCTCGACCAGCTGGACATGAAGAGACATGATCACAAAAAATAAAACAGATCAAATCCACAAAGAAGAGGTTTTGAAATTGGATATCATGTTGCACGGTTTGGTGTTGAACGATCCATCGGATCCCACTTTTCATCCAAAGATACATTCCTGGCCAAGGAAACGTCATTGCCGCATGATCTCGTAAACCCGAACCTCTCAGAGAGAAGATAAAGATATGAATAATAAAAAATGAATCCCTCAAACGCCTCTCCGCAAATGCAGCAGCCATCCTATACTAAGCCCTTGCGAGTTCTCAGATTCAAAAAAGGCAGCCCACCGCTACGCCGCCCACGTTCGGACGCCCCCGGGGTATATGGTCCATTCCAATCGCTGTCCAACAAGAAACCAATCTTAAAAAAAAATTACAGATTAAAGAAAGCCGGGGAGGGGGAGCCGCTCACCCCCTCCTGCCCGCACCCGTCGCAGTCCTCCTACGTCCAGCGCTCAGCCCTTGTGTCGCAGTGTTGCCAGCGTCTCCAACCGAGGCAGGCTTCGCGATGCCCGCCATCTTCCGCGGTGTGGAGCCGATGAGTCTACCCGGGGTGGTGGTGGTGGAGTTCTGCGTCGCAGGTGCGGGTGCCGATGTTGTTTTGACAGCAGCAGCGGGGGCGGGAGAAGGTGCGGCAGGGATGCCTGTGGATGATGATGCAGCAGAAGAAGACGACACGGGTACGGGCAGCTTGACCTTTCGCGGGATTTGGAGGCGGCTGCGGCGGGAGGCGGCGATGGGGGCGGGGAGCTGGGAAGGAGGAGCGGGAGTGGGCTGCGTGGTGTCGCTCTTGCTGTTGCTTTCTTGCGACGGCGTGGCGGTCTCGGTAGTAGTGGTAGGAGTAGGCTGTGCTTCCTTGGCCGCCGTTTTATCTGCTTTTTTCCCTCCCCTCGTGACACCACTGCCGCTTTTGATGGATGAAGGAGGAGGTAAGGCGGATACTTTCTTCCCGCATTTGCTCTTCTTCGCTTTACCATCTTCTCCCATCGAGTCATTCTTTTCCTTCTCCGCCTGTACTTCCGCGGGTAGTAGGCTCACCGGCGCCAGCAGACCCCTCGCAGGGGTGCCGTTCCCGGCGCCCAAACCTTTAACGCGCCTCGTCCGCGCGGGAGTTGAAGAAGGTGGGTCTTCGTTCTTATCCTTTCTCTTCTTGCTGTTCTCTTCCTTCTTCTCCTGAGAGGATGCTCCGGTCACCGCGGGCTCAGCCGACTCATCATCGGACAAGCTTGTGAGCCCTGCAAGGTTGTCTTGCTCTTGGAAATATGCGAGTTGGCTGTCCCAGCGGAGTTTGCTTGCCTGCCACACCTCAACCTCCGGATCAGCGAACACTGGTAGCGACCCGTCGGGGGCCGGCGCGTCGGGAACGGTGCCCGCTTTAAGGAACTCCGCCTTGAGTTTGTTCAGGCGGATTGGCGCAGCGAGGGCGCTACCTTTGTTCTTCTTCGTGTTGGTGCGTGTGACGGCGGCCAGTTCCTGCGCGTCCGACTTCTTGATAACGACGGTATCAGCGCCGCTAGCTCCGCGAAACTGAATGCGGTTAGGACCGGAAGGTGTAGTCGGAAGGCGCGTCTGCCGCGCGCGAGAGCTACGCCGATTGCTTTGCGCTTTGGGTACTAATGTCGCCTTCGCTGGGGCCGGTGACTCTGCGGCGGGTTCTTCGAGAGTGAGATCGGAAGTCAGGTCGCCAAAGTTGCGTTTCTCGCCATCCAGAGCGGAGGTGCTTGATGCATCATCGTTGTCTTTCTCTTCGGCCTTCCGTGAGGGTGACTCAGTGTTGGTGGCGTCGGATGAATTCAGATCTGTGTTGTCAAGTGCCATACGAGGAGATGCAAGTGCCTGGCGTAGTATATCCGAGTCTCGACGTTTGGTCATGGTATCAAGTCGAGTGGCAGCAGCCTCACGGCTTGCCTTTGATGCGTCGGCGCGCGATAGGAAGTCCTTCAGGAAGGCAGTGTCTTCGTCGATTGGTGAAGAGGGATCTTCTGTGACTTCCTTGGTGGTCCTGTTCTTTGGGGGTGTCCGGTCAGGCAGGTTGAGGGTCAAAGTATCGGCGATTGAGGAGAACTTGGGAGATTCTGCTGCTGAGAGAGAAGGTGACGGTATGTTGGCCGAATCGTCCTCACTTTCAGGTATATCTGTAAGCGTGAACCCATCCTGGTCCAGATGCTCCGACTCATCCGTTTCTCCCTCTGATAGAGAAGCTTCGTCCTCTTCTAAGGCGGAGTCTGACCCGAGAGCTTCGGCTGCATCGGCTTGAAGTTGTTGCTCTAAGCTCAAGTTGTAATCGTCTTGCGTGATTGCGGTCTCTTCTGGTAGGGGATTGCCAATAGAAGGAAGTTCACCGCCCAATTGCTTCACGTCCTGTGGCATCAGATTGATGTCTGTTCCTGTAAATGCTGCATCAACTCCAACAGACTCGGGCTGCGCGGCTGCTGCCTCTGTTTGTTCGTTGTCCGCATCACTCTGGATACATGGTTCAGAGAGCTTAGGCTCCGGGGAATCGGGCAACGTTTGGTCTTCCAAGAGAGCATCCACAACAGCCTCCGCACTCTCGCTTTGCTCTTGCATATGTTCGCTCTCCCTCTCCAAGTCTACTCTCTTTTTGTCCAGAATGGGAGACGCAGAGTGTGCATTCACGTCCGTCTCAGGTTGCATCTGGTCTGCTTGTTCCTCTTCCTGATTGTTGGTAGATTCGACAGCACCCGGGCTCACATTCTCGCCAACAGCAGCCACATGCGTAAATTCAGGTTGGATCCTGGGTTCCGTAACCTCCTGTGATGGTGATGGCGGTCCATGAAGAGCCGGAGCTTCAACATCCTGTCCAGTAGCAGCATGCTCTTCTGTCGCTTCAGCTGTTCGTGGCCCATTTCCTTCTTCCACAGCAGAGCTTTGGAGGACGCCTTCCGATTGGACGGTATCCAGTTGGTACTCTTCGGTTTGATCTTCCGTAGCTGTATCATCCTCCAGCTTCGCATCTGTAGCAGGGGCTGCAATATTTTCCGAATCCTCTTGAGCTCCAGTCATTGGCTCGTCTTGCACGTCGACTAGCAGCTGGTCCTTCTGGAAGCTCCCTCCCTCATCTCCTGCAGCACCACTATCCTTGCTGCTATCCTTTGTCGCAGATGTCGAATCATTTATGCGGGCAAATTCTGGGCTTGGTCCTCTCGCAAACATCGGCTGAGCGATCTTGCCTAGTAGAGATCAGTACTGGTCTTATCATAGTAACATGGAGTGCTGGCGACATACGAGACGCAATCCTGCCGCTATGTCTCCTCGGCGTCTCCCAGCGCGTCGGGGCAAACGCATTACTCTTCGGGGCCCTCCTCCCAGGTGTCGTAGTCGGATCGGCGGGTGGATCCAAGGCGCGCTTCTTGACAACCTTCCTCGGCGACCTTACTGGGCTTTTTCTCTCCATGTTTGTGGCTCTTGTCTGCGTTTCGGGCTCAGAGCGCAGCTCGTAGCGCTTCCACACCTTGCGGTACTTCCCATTGCGCTTAAAGGGTGAGTGCGGCTGGCGCTCCCATGCGTGGTGGACCTTCGGAAGCGGAACGGCTCCGGGCTGCAAGAAGGAAGCGTCGGACTCGTGCCATGTTGCCCCGAAGGAAGCTGGGCGCGAGGGTTGCTCCTGCTGCGGCGGCGGGGTGGAGGAGGGTGCGTTGGCCATTTTGAATGCTCACCACCGGAGGCAGAGCGCAGCGCGATCCAGATATCCCCAAGGGCGGGGAACGTTCGTCGCACAGTCCGGAATCAGCCGTCGGTGGGGATGTGGTGCTTTTGCGCGTGCTTATCTCGGGTGTGTTTTGGTGTAAACAGTGACGAGGCGATGGAGATGCGTCGACACGTGATTCGTCCGTTCTCCGCCGTGCCGAGCATTTCGCCGCCCGCCTGAGATTTTGGATGTCCTGTCGCGACCATCGTCATCCCGCACCACCTCGAACGCTCCGCTCGCTGCCGGTCCTCGTGTCATATACCGTGTCGCCCGTCGCAATGCCGCCGCCAAAGCCTCTTGGAACCACAAAGGTCGCCGGCCGCCCGCTGCCGCCTCTTCCCAAGCTGCGTGTCCGGAACCCCAACAAGAGAGAGGGCAACCCGTGCGTCGGTATCATGACGTCCGTTCTGAGTACGTGCTGCCCGACACTGTTGTTGAGAAGCGGGATTGGAAGTCGTGTGGCGCACTGCGACACGGCGAGAAGGATTGCAAGAGACAGTGGAGCTTGACATTGCGCGAGCTCCCATACAACTGAAGAGGGGTCAAATATGAAAGATTGATGGCTGATTGGCGTTTCCAGGCTGCTGGGCATCCTCGGGATACAACGTTGGTGGCTGTGCGGCAATCGAGGCGCAACTGAGAGCCTGCATGGATGCGCCGGTTGGTCGCGACATCCCCATCTTTCATAGGCGACGTGCTAATATGTTGGAATGCAGAGACCTGCCGCTAAGAAGAAGAACGCCATCAACTACCACTTGTCGCGCATGTATCCCAAGATCGTCGGTCCTCACAAGCGGAAGTAAAGCAATCGATCGACCAGCTCTCCCATGGGCTTTCTTTGTACAACATTGTGTATGCCGTGTCTTGTGGAAAGGGAACGAACAAGTACGGGGAGGCATGTGTGACGGAACTCTAAATGTTCAACAACTGGACCTGGCGTTAGGACGGATATACCAAAGAATCATATTGTCGACTGCAACAATGGACTGCTAGTGTCAGGCAATCATGAGGGAGGCTGTGAGGATCAAAAGATCGGAACAAGATCCCGATCACCGGTCCCCAGGCTGTCAGTTCAGTGGGGGGCATTGGCGATAACGCATCCGCTTCCACGAGGACACCAGAACCAATGGCTTCTGTGGCAGTCGGATGAGGCCCCGAGCCATGAAGCAGTCTAATCCGATGCTCTCGGCAAAGTGGGTGGTCAGATGTCGGCTATTGATGGCTTCCCAGCACAAACGCCGCTGTGCCTGTTTTCACCGCCAAGACGATAGAGAGCCTCACACCTCGCTACTAACTCGGGCGGGTGGCTCGCCCGCCGGCTTTTGCAAGGGAGTTGCCGAAGCACGGCAGCCTTGATTGTCGACGCTCGCTTGTTTGGCTGCTTTTTAAGTTGCGGGCAGAGTTACCCACAAAGGCATGATCTGCTGGCCCCCAAAGGCGGATCACTCTGGGCGGAGAAGATGCTGACTCGGCAGCAGACCTTAAGCATACGTCTTACCCTCCATACACGCATCAGGACGATGTATTGCAAAGCATCAACAGCCAGCAATGAACGCGGCACGTATCAGTGTCCGTTGTTCGTCAACGTCCAGCTATCATCAGTTGTCGCTGCCATGCGTAGTGCCCGGGTAACGCCGGATCAACGGCGAGGTCTGTCTCCAAAGCGGTAAAGCGGCGGATGTTGGGTCCGGCGGTTACAGGACGCTAGCACAGCGTGGCTGCGCTGGCAAGGCAGAATCCCCCCGAGCGTCTGCGCCTGCTCGGTTCAGGAACCGGTGAGCAGGTACGACAAGCCGAATGCGAGTTTTGGGATCGCATTGCTCGAGGCCTTCCCGAGGATGAGACAGCAAAATCCAAAGAAAGCAAGCTGTCTAATGGCCTCGTCTTGGGGGAAGGTTTGTCACACCAAGGGAACGAGCACTCGGCGGCACGCAGCCATAACTCAAGCCTCATAAGCACCAGAACTACCACAGACAAGACCACCCAACTGGAATGGAACTCATCCAATTTTAACTTCTTTCGTCTCTGACTCCCCAATCTGGCTCGATCATGCAACTCAGCCGCTCCTTGGCACTGTACAAACACGCCCTAGCGGGCCGCCAGCGCAGGCGCCACAGCTTGGCTTCCCAACTCTATGCCATTCAGAGCCCTGACTACCCGCACTCAAAACATCGCGTAAAACAGTTGCGGGGATGCTCCTGAATCGGCCGCGCTACCTCAATAAGGCTATCCGACGTGCAGGGTCTGCCAACATCCGACAGTCTGTTCCGCATTACCCTGGCGCAGCCACTGGTGGTATGAGCCTGCCGTTGTGCGACCATGCTGTAAAGAGGCTGGTCTCAAGAGATTATTACGAGCTGCGGTGAGCTGCCCTGGGCTGGCGAAGACCGCGGCTCTAGGTGATTGGTGTCCAGCGGAGCGGGAAGAGACTGGAATTGCGCCTTCGGCGCCTTCAGCGCCTTCAGCCCGATGCCAGCCAGCCCGCACAGGCGAAGGATCCTGATGCCGAGCGTGGAGATTCAGCCTCGTGCTGCCTGGAGCAAGATGCTTTTAACGTGGATAAGGGCGTACCGCTCTCTTCGGTGCTCTCCTCTCTCACGCCTTCTTCATTTGCGGCAGAGCACTCCTTCCTCGTTGGACTTCATTCCACTCCGTCTGCAAGTGTATCGCTTTCGAGTGCTCTAGCATGCCTGCCCCTCGATATATTGGTGCGCTTTTGGCTCCAGCAGCAGTGCTGGCCAGCCGCCACGCGATTTCCGCTCCGACCCCAACAGTGTCTGCTGACCCAGTCGACGGCTTCAGCCCGAGAATCACTGGTGCAGCACGAATTGAGGATGCAGCTATTGAACTGCTCAAACGCTATGTCGACTACGACCAGACGTGTGGCTTTGTCAACGGTGACCTGGGTAAGTCTTCTTTGAGGTTGCACCAAGCATCTCGTTACTGACTTTCTTCATAGAGAGTGCCTTGACCTGCGCTGGGACGTATATTTGCGCTACAAATACCGTGTTGGACGTCGCAGGGTGTTGTGACCCGCTCAGTCTCGATTCTTGCTATCTCTACACGTCTTGTGTTCCGAGTTCGCAGCTCGCCAGTTGTACAGCAGCCGATTGCCTGCTAGACCAAGCAGTGGCCAAATGGTATGAACTCCCCGACACCATTCCCGCCTTTCAGGCACACTTTCTAACTCGACTCCCAATGCAGTACCGATTCTTCAGCCCCCTACTGTGTAGATTGGAAGTATGATTACATCACGACCACGCTCGCCGGCTACGGCTGTGATGTCTCCGCCTTCACCGGCACTGTAGAGTACACATACAGCGGCCAGAACACGTTCGACATCAGCTCCTACCTCAGCTCCATTCCCGAGTTCAGCTTCCCCACCATCTTCGTCACCCAAACCCAGGTCGTCTCCGCCGGCCTAAGCAGCGGCACCTCGACATCCTCGTCGTCCTCATCCGGCAGCGGTGACAACGACGACAACAACTCGAAGAAGGTCTCCATCGGCGCCATCGTCGGCGGCGTCGTCGGCGGCCTCGGCGCCCTCGCCATCCTCGGCGGAGTCGTCATCTGCCTCCTCTTCAAGCGACGCCGCGACAAGCGCAACGCCGCCGCCGCCGCCGCCTTCCAGCCCGCGCAGCCTCCGCCCCCGCCCCAACCTCAGCCCCAGCAGCCTCCGATGCCGTACGGCGCTCCCCCTCCCGGTGGCCCCGGCCCGAACGACTACAAGCCGCCGGCGGCCATGGCTGGCGTGCCGCAGATGCAACAGCCTGGCAACACGGCGAGCTTCTATGCGCCGCCGCCGCCGCCACCGCCGCAGCAGCAGCAGCAACAGCAGGGTGGGGATGTCAAGTATGATTACACGCACAATAGCGTGTCGAGCATGCCCAGCACGCCCGGCCCGTATTCGCCGCCTATGAGCCCGAGTCCTCAGTATAGCCCGTCTCCTCCGTTGCCGGTGCAACAGCAACAGCAGCATCAGCAGCAGCAGCAACAGCAACAGTGGAATTCGAACGTTCCGCAGATCGACGGCACGCCGGTACATAAGAATTCCGAGGGGCAGACGGTGCATGAGGCGCCGTGAGAGCTCGGGGAGCCTTCTTCGCAAGGAGCCTGAGTTAACGATGGTTACGTATTACGTGTTTTTGTTGAGATAGGGGTTTGTTTTGGTTTATGAATGTGTGTGTACTATCCATGGTAGATATCCAATTGATGTTTTGTTATTGATTCTCTACGCTGTATGTGAGGTACGAATATTGCACCAACGCTGTCGATTTTGGAAGTTGTTCGTCGCGTATGATTGCGTTTTTGGATAATCAAAGAAAACCAGTCACAATAATGACACAGTCGGACCATTGCGGCAATTTGAAATTTAACCCAAGTTTTCAAACACTGCGGGACCCTCTCAAGTTCTGCCCCGATGATGCGATCGCACCATTGTAGAAACTTTCTGAAGCGATCATCGTGGAGACTATTCCGCCGACCGCCGAACTCGTATCGAACACACTCCAGTATTGCATCTCCGTCAGAGGCGGTGTCGAGATGTTGTAGATGCGAGGTGCATGATCCAAAATAAACTCTCGTATGGAAACTTATCTCATTATGCTATATAGGTATGTACACCTGCACGGACGTGGAAGCATACAACAGGCTCCAACACTAACACGCTCAAGACCTTGTCCTCGCCGCCACGAAGTCCACCAGATCAAAGAAGCTCTTCTTGTAGTGCCTCTCCTGCGTCGTGCGGTTCACGACCTGAATGCCAAACTGCTGTTCATAGTCGCCAAACTCCCAATTGTCAGCGAAACTCCAGGCAAACGCGCCCAGCACATGGACCTTGTCCTCCCAGATGGACTTGAGCACTTCGCTCATGAACGACAGGTAGTACTGGCTGCGGGGCAGGTCGTACAGCTGGTCCGAAAGGTCTTCCTTGTCGGCCTCGGCGAAGACGGGGAAGCCGAACTCGGTGATCATGACGGGGTGCTGCCAGGTGTTCCAGAGGTACGACAGGTAGGTGCGCAGGTACTTGGGCGTGATGTAGACGTAGGACTGCGAGCGGTAGCCGATGTTCCAGCCGGTGGCCGTAAGGGTGGATTGCTCGACGCAGTACGGGAAGAGCGGGTCGGATGTGTTGGACGCGCAGACGGCAATGCCTTCAGGCGCGGGGCTGACGACTGTCGCGGTGTAGGGATCGATGCCGAGAAAATCTGGAAATGAGAGATTAGCATGCGGGTAGTTCAGGTGGAGGCGTCTTTCTTACCTGCTGTACCCCCGATGTACTCCAAGTCTTCCTCGGAGAGGGGCACGTAATCAGGGATGGTCATCTTGAAGGCTTCGGGATAATCCTTGCCGAGGAAAATAGGGTTCGCGAAAGTTGCCAGCTGGAACTCGTTGAAGTGGTTCGCAGCGTCCACATCCGACGCATTCTGGGGATCGCGGGGCACACCAAAGTTGTCGTTGAACTTGATGCCGAGCTTGCCCGTGCCGTTGATTTCGTCATGGTAGAAGTGGTAGAGCCTAGCGTGGGCCTTGACCACCGTGTTTACACTCTTGCCGTTGTTGCAGTACAGGAGGGGCTCGTTGAAAGTGAACCAGACAGGGACACGGTCAGCAAAGTGAGTCATGACGATCTTGCCATAGTTCACAAATGCATCCTCGAATGTTTCGTTCTGATAGGCTCCGTTGGTGTATCCAATAAGAGGAGGGTCTGCAGCGGCGCTCAGGTTGTTTCCATAGAACTGGAGAGGCGTGTCGAAGTGAATCAGGGTGACGGTCGGCTGCATCCCCTTCTCCAGGACGAAGTTGATGAGGTCATCATAGTGGTCGAGGCCTTGCTGGTTGACGGGACTTCCCTCGAACACGAAGGGCATGATTCGAGTCCAGGGAATGGTAAAAGAATAATACTTGACTCCCATAGCAGCCAGGCGCTCGATGTCCTGCTTGTACAGATAATAGTTCTCATTCGTGACGTAGTTGGTAGGTTTGCCAGATGAGGAAGGGATCAAAATCTCCATCAGACTCGGTGACCTCCCTTCGTCTGCAATGGCCCCTTCGATTTGAGAAGCAGAGCCTGCGACTCCAAACATGAAATCGTCCGGGTAGTAAGAACAGTCTTGGGGAGTGAAGTAGTCTGGGGGCGGCAGCACAAGCTCACTGGTAGGCACCGGGGTTGGAGAGACGGTTGTTGAGTAAAGACCCCTGAAGGTGAAGTTGGCGAGGCTGGCATGCTCCCACAGAGCAGACCAGGCAGCTTGTCCGTAAGGGTCAGCCGTATCTGTAGCGGTTGCGGTGGCATTGGGGTACCAGTTTCCCCATGTTGTTGTGCTCAGATCCGGAACCAGGTGGCTGAGCGATGCGTATGGCGAGGCATATGTCGTGACTGGCGCAGACTTGACCGAAGTTGCAGTCCGGACCGTCTCGGTCTGCGTGAATGAGAAGTTGCTGAAAGCATAGGTCGGAGAGGTGTATTCGGCGGAATAAGTCTGAGTTGCCGTGCATTGAGGCCTCGGTGTAGGCCCGTCGGCGGGGACATAGACCTGTTGTGCAAGCACAACAACGCTGCAACCGAGCAACAAAATCAAGGACATTGCGGTGAGGCCGGAATCCGCGCTGCGAGTAGAGAATCAAGGCCTCGCACCAGGGCCTTTAAATGCCAATTGACCATGGCAGAAAGCGCCGCCTCCGTCATGCTATGACAGATGAAAATTGCCGGATGGCACACTTCTCGAGCGAAGGTACCGCGAGGCCGGCAAATGCTTACCCATGCAGCCAGACACTTAGATGGTGGCCGAGGAATACCGATTCCGCACCGACGGCACTAACTGAACAGCGGGGAGAGCAAAGGCCGATTCGCCTCATTGCGTGCCGAGGAAGCAGTCAACGCCGGGTTTCGGTGATGTTTCCTGACGAGCTCCGGAATGCCCGGTCCTACCTATACGATGCCGATGGCGCGGAGCGGAGAAGAGGTCGCGCGAGGAGAGTGGAGCGATAGAAGAGAGTGGTGAGCCGACGATCAGCCGCAGAAATGCGGAGGCGAGGCAGCCACGCAGCCACGGAGCCTTGCCCCTCGCCCTTGTCCTTGCTCTTGCCCTAGGTAGGTGCAGATGCGGGGAGTCGGGGCCCCGAGGGGTAAGAAGTGGGAAGTGGGCGACAGTCATGGGCCGCGAAGGAAGCCGTGATGCAGCTCTGTGTCATTGGCAGACACTCGGAGGATTTGTTTTTTCCCCGTGCAGAGCCTTTACGCTTCGTCTGCGGAGAAGGGCGGCATGCTGACCTTGGGATGCGGTCACGCCGCCGCGCCGGGACCCCACAGCTGCTCGGTCCGGCTGAGACGAGAAGCGTCCATACTCCTGATTCGTCAATGGCAGGCTGTGCCTGATGGCGAGCTTGCACGCGGGGCTCCGGCACGTGCTGCGCGGGCGAAAGTGTCGACGGGCCACGGGCGGCCGGCAGGAAAGGTCGGGAGACGATCTTGCGAGAGCAACATGTGATGCAGCGTGGCGCAGCGGAAGGTTGTGTAGCAGGCTGGGCGCCAAGCGGGAGCCATCATGCAAGAAGGGAGTGCTGGACGACGCGTTCATAGGCTGCGTCGCAGCCCAGCACGCGCCCTCACTGGCCAAGCTTTACCCTTTGAGCATCCGACCCGGGCGGGATTCGACCTCAGCCGGTGACGCAGACGCGACGCTTGCCATCATTCCGACTGACACTTCCGCCGCCAGCACCCTCCGCCCATCCACCGCTCACGCCCCTCCATGCTGGCCCCGTGTGCCGACCGCAGCTAACATCGCTCGCTGTGCTGCGCTCGCCAGCTCTCCCGGATACCATCGCAATAGCGTCTCGTGCGCCATCTTCAATTTTGCGCCCAACCCGGCCAGGGCACCTCATCTGATCCTGTTTGAATGTGGACAGGTCAAAGGTGGCCCGTTTTTTCTCCACATTCGGTCCTACCCACGGTCTCTCTCCTGCAACCTTGGCCAGCCAGCGCCCAGCGCCCCAGCCTGGCCGGAGCTCACATCCCTGCAGCCATCTTGAGGCTGTCGACTGAAACTCTCCTCCAACCGCCTCGCCAGCCCAACGCGCTCTCTCTCCCTCCCGACCGAGACCCCTCCAACCGCCACCCTCCCTCGCCCCGGCCCTGCGACCGCGCCCGATTCCACACGATCCCAAATCCCGCCCGCAACGAACGCCCGCAACCATGTCGCTCGAATCCGCGCTCGACGAGGAGCGTCGGGCCGTCATGGACATTCTGGAGGGGATCAATCGAGGGCGCGCGTCGCATTCGCGAACGAGCAGCCCTGGCGGCACCCAGGTGAAGAGCATGCTGGATATTGGCGACAAGCACACCGCCAAATTCCTTCTCCCCTCGGACCAGGAGAAGGCCGAACAGCGCAAGAAGCGGGAGGAGGAGCTCAAAGCCTGGGGCGCCGCCAGAGCCTCTTCGCCGCAGACTGCGGGCGCGAGAGCCCGCAGCCCGTTGGCGGGCGATCCCGAGGATTCATACCAGTTCAACATGCTCCCCTCCATTGATTCCCGCGTGCCAAAGCGAGTGACACAGGGCGGGAAGAAAGGTAAGCAGCGCGCCATGGCCAGCGTGTTTGGATCCGGGCCAGGGAACAGTGGCGGCCGACGCAACTCCACGGGCATCATGGGAAAGAGCAAGTCCAAGTCCCCCGCTGCCCGGCTCCGGAATGATTCCCCCGGGAGAATGTACCGCAACAGCAATTTCATGGTCGACCCATCAAAGTACGTTACGGAATCTGGAAGATCCATCGACATGAACAGTGCATATCGCAGATTGTCTGACGCGGCCCTCCTTCGCTCTGGTGGTAGCCTGGCAGCTTTGCCCTATAGGAAAGGATCCGATCCCACGAGAGGCGAATCTTCAATCCCAGGTGGCGGTGTGCGCCTTGAGAAAGACTACTACGCAGACGACGACGACGACGCAATCGAAAGCAGCGACGACGACGACTCGGATCTTGATTCTGGAGATGAGGGCAGGGGCAGGAGACGCCGGAGAAGCTCCAACAACACAGACATCAAGGAAGGACTGCCCAAGAGCTTGCTTGCAGCTGCCGAGGAGGACCGTAAGTGTTATCATGTACAAGGCTGGCTTGATTCTGACCGATCTGCGCAGGCAAAGCCTCTGGCGAGTACAGGGTCAGGTCCCTGCTGGAACCCACGGTCACAGTCACGGGTCCGAACGGCGAGAAGATGTCACAGAAGAAGAAGGGCGTCCATCCCACGACAAACTTCGATGCAGGCGGATCGGGCATGTCGACGCCCATGACATCGGACACGGAGCAAGACATTTCAGAGATCAAACGCGCCCAACGAATGGCTATGACCATGTCGCCAATCCATTCAACGCCCGCAGCTCATCGCTGTATCCGCCAGATCATCCGCGGTGACTACGCCGGAATGCAAAGAGAAGCAGAGAGGGGCTTGCGTCGCCAACGCATGTACCTTGTAGCTACCGATCTCAGCGAGGAAGCAGCCTACGCGCTTGAATGGACCATTGGTACTGTCTTGCGCGATGGTGACACGCTTCTTGCTGTGTATGCTGTCGATGAGGAAATGGGTACTGGAGGCGAGTCCGGAGCGGTTGGCATCGGCGAAGGCGCCCAGATGATGCGTGACACTGCCAGTCTTGTCAAGACTTTGTCGTCCAATCAGCGTGTGATCGATGACGGACACTCGAAGTCAAAAAGCCGCCACCAGAGTATCGGGCCGTCACCATTGCAGCAGAGTTTCCGACCCCCGGACGATAGCGATGCAGAGCAGCAAGAGCCTGATCTGGCAAATATGGACAAGTCCGAGCGTGAACGCTGGCATGCTACGATTGAGGTCAGCGATCGCATAGTCTCGCTTCTTCGGAAAACGAAGCTCCAAGTTCGAGCTGTCCTTGAAGTTTTCCACTGCAAGAGCCCGAAGCACATGATTACTGAAGTGGTAAGCGATCCAGCAGCCTGAGGTGCATGATCCGGTGCTGACTAGTGACTTTAGATCGATTTCTTGGACCCCACACTTGTTATTCTTGGATCGCGAGGTCGCAGCGCGCTGAAGGGGTAAGTCTCATACCCATCTTTTCCCATCGATACGTGTTGAGGATGACTTATCCCCACCTTGCTCCTCTTTGCGTCACCCACATGAAATCCTCACGTGAAGTTTCATCGAGAAAGCCTTTTTAGCTAACTCAGCACTATTCGTAGTGTCCTACTCGGCTCTTTCAGCAATTACCTCGTCACCAAGTCGTCTGTGCCGGTCATGGTAGCGCGGAAGCGACTGCGCAAGCACAGCAAGTACAAGCGCGGAAACCTGCGCTTGTCTAACGTGCTCTCGAATCCTGCGTCGAGGTTGGCTTCTGCCAAGGTTGACTAATTGCATCTTCGAGACTGGACGGGCGGTTGACTGAATAAAAAGTCATGTCTTCCTGAAAGAGGCGTCACCAGTGCGGCTGTTGCCCCAACCTTTCTTCTGACTTTGCGGGTGTTGGATCCATCCTGCCAAGTTCATTCATTTGCACCATTACCTCAGGGGTCGAAGGTGCTCTTTGCTCACGGCTGCTGCTTTCATTAATCGCGCAGAACTCATACCCATGACCGGAAACGGCTCCTCTATACTATCTTCTATCTCGGCAGGGTGGCTTGTATGACTGCCGCTGTTCATGCGTCTCAATGCTTCTCGGTACAGAAGTCAGAGACAGTGGCGCTGAAGGGTATACCCGTTGGCTGAGAGTAGCTTCTGGTCTATCTTTTCGGTGGAGAGGTGGAAGACTCATTCCAACCATCGCTTAATAAAGAGATATGCACTCGGACTGCACATCTATAATTGATTGTTCGCCGTGGCCTGTGTAACGTGCCCTGAGGGATGAGGGGGACACGTCGGTGGACGTGAAATGGGATGGCAAAAGAGCGGTGATCTCAGAACCTATGACCAGGAAGGCTTCGACTGCCCATCTAGCACAGAGTTTTGCCCTCTGCGCGCCGATTTTGTAGACTGCATAGTGGCGAATGGTGTGTGACAGGTGGCTAACCAGATACAGCAAGTTTCCGCAACTGGGGAAGGAGTTTCGCCGACGTCATAGCGAATTCGTCATGCGGCGCCGTTGGCAGATAAATGTTCCCCACTTGCCGCCGCTGATCTGCTCCTCGAGCTTTGTTCTCTCCAATTCACCACCGTCGTATGACACTCACGCCTACCGAGCAACGCGGCCCTTTTTTGCACGCTGTCGACCAGCAACAATGACCATCCAGCAAGAACTGACGTCTTGGCTCTTTCCAGAGGCCAAGAAGACCAACGGCGTTCCGGCCATAGGAGCGAAAGCTCCCTCGTCGGAACGGTTGCCCATCCCCGGCGCCGATGGCAGGCCGGTGGTGGTAACCTTCCTGCGGCATTGCGGGTGTCCTTGTGAGTCTAACCTTATTTCCTCATTCCTTTTCTTTCCCCGCCCTTCTTCTACCCAGTCGCCAGCGGGGCCGGGGGCAGCAGCCGCGAAGCACACATGCCCCACACATGTAGACAGCTTGCTGACTACTACCACTCGGCACCCTGCAGTCGCCGAAAAGACCTACCGCAACTTCCACCAGACGGCGTGCCGCAACCCCGACATCCGCTTCGTGGCCGTCTCGCACAGTGACGACGCCTCGACGGACCGCTGGCTCGCCTCCCTCTCCCTTCCTCCTCAGTCCAACGTCGAGCTCCTCGTCGACCCGCAACGCGATCTCTTCGCCCTATGGGGCCTCGGCGCGTCGTCCCTGTGGCACGTGCTCAGTCCGTGGAGCATGTATTCTGTCTATCGCCTCGGCGTCGACGAGGGAATCTGGAACCGGCCGACGGAGAGCGGGAACAGGTGGCAGATGGCGGGATCGTGGGCGGTGGGGGGAGATGGTGCGGTGAGGTGGGGTGGGCCAGCGAGGCAGGCGGATGATGTGGCGGATTTTGAGGGGGCGGTGGAGGTGCTCAAGAATGCGTGAGTAATACGGCCTGCACTTGGCGTGGGTAAATATGGTAGAGACAGCAAGGAAAGGGAAAGAGTATGAAGCGCACGGTCTGGGCTGAGATAGAGTCAGCGGTGTGGCGGACCCTCGTCAGTCTGAAGCTTCGCGGTGCCGCTAAGCAGCTAGTCGACTCGCGCAACGGCGCCCGCGACACAGACACGCTTTGTTCTACCACGCCGGTCAGAAGGCTTGCATTGCAATGCGTTTCGCCCTTCCAAGAGTCACGTCCTCTCGGAGTCTCCACATGAAGGCATCTGACCCCGGCTCCACGGGTGATCCACCGCAGCCGTGTTAAGGCGCGCCGGACCAGCAACGGAGGTTGCGGAAGCCAGCGTCGCGCATCCACGCCACCGGCGTGGAATACGACCCATGGACACCGTGCGAAATTAAAACAGATTGCTGTAGGGCTGGCTCCTTATACGTGCTCGCCAACTAACTTTCTCAAATCCATAGCACTGAGTCGCTGAGTCCGCATAAAAAGCTGCCGGCGACCCTCAGTTGGCGATCATCATCCAGCTTCGCCGTTCATTCGCTCTACCACTGCAATCATGTTTGCTGCCAAGACGCTCCTTCTTCCTCTCCTTGCCCTCGCCGGCCTTGTTCAGTCGTCTCCTCTGGCTGCCAGGCAAAGCGAGGCGTGGAAAACCCTGCCCGCCACCCCCAAGCTGCCCTCGCCCATCAGCAGCACCAAGGCATCCATCAACGGCGCCCAGCTGTGGTTCCAGAAGTACAATGAGGCAGCCGGCGGCACTCCCATAGTCTTCATCCACGGCGGTCTCGGATACTCGGCCTACTTCGGCGACGTCATCAGCTCCGTCTCGAAGACCCACTATGTCATCGCCGTCGACCGCCGCGGCCACGGCCGCAGCACGTACGGCGCCAACGACAAGTTCACCTTCGAGATGTTCGCCAAGGACACGCACGACCTGCTCAAGGCCCAGGGCGTCAGCCAGGCGGCGTGGGTGGGCTGGTCCGACGGCGCCGCCACGACGCTGGCCGGCCTGCTCGACAGCACCATCGCCCCCTCCATCACCAAGGCCTTCGTCTTCGCCGGCTTCCAGAGCTTCGCCGACACCAACGCCACCTTCACCGACACGACCATCTACAGCGACTTCGTCTCCCGCTGCGCCACCGAGTACGCCGCGCTGCAGCCCACGGCCAAGTTCTCCGACTTCGCCTCAAAGGTCGGCACCCTCGAGGCCACCCTGCCCACCTGGACCGACGCCGACCTGGCCAAGATCGACGGCAAGAAGGTGACCATCTCCGGCGCTGACCACGACGAGGCCGTCAACCTGGCTGTGCCCAAGCACCTAAACTCGGTCATTGCCGGCAGCAAGCTGGTTATGATGACGGGCGTTAGCCACTTTGCTCCCGCTCAGGACCCCGTGCAGTTCTCGCAGAAGATTGAGAGCTTCATTGCCGCTTAGGCGCTTTGTGTCTTTCTGTGCAGGCGTTTGACGATGAAAAAGGGGCCTTTGTTATGAGAGAAAGAGAAAGAGAGAGACGTTTTTCTGTAGATATGGCACGCTTAAAATTCAATATCAAAACGAGTCTTCTTTTTCCGGAACGAGTCTTGACTTTTATGCCCGACTTTGATAGTCATCACCAGCCAGCTGACTTCCATGACTGTCTGGATCATGGGACGGGTCCGGCTCCATGCTTCCTCAACCCCGTCAGGTACACGTCGACTCGGCTCTCCTTTCTCTGCCTCGCTCCTCCTCACCGACTCTGGAAACTTGGAGGAAGGAACGACACCCTCGCCAGGCCACAAAGGCCTCGCATCGACCTTGAACTCAAGCACCTCGGGACGCTTATAATCCCTGTCCCCATCAATCCACGTGGACCTTCACCGGGCCCAACCTGTCCCCAAAAGTCCAACTCAGCCACAAGGCGCTCGCTCCTCGGCGCCGGTATGCGGGCCGGCCAGGCGACAACATCCCTGTCGCAGCTGCCCGGCTCGCAAGGCGTTGCACACTGTTTGTAAGTATGGGTCGGCCCGGCTGCAGGCAGGCTGAACAACGGGGAGGGGAGAGATAGTAAGACGTGCTCGAACATGTCCGCTCAATCCCATGCTGAACCTGCACAGTAAACCGGTATTACACGCCTATGTAGCTTCTTGGCTCAGCCATTCCAAGCCGGGCAAACAGAAGGTAGGCATCCGGCGAGGACTTTTCGACAGAAGGAACATAGATGGCCGTTCTAGTGGTCCGCTTTGGACCACCATCCTCGTAGCATCAAGCTTTAAGCTCCCCCTCATACAGTGACGTGCATTACGGACTTGGTTTCTACCCAATCAAATGCACCCATGTCTTGTTCTCTACATGGCGAATCTGCGTTAATTAACACTTCTTCATTAGACTCTATCATTACGTCATTGGCTCGAATTGATTCGGATGCTTCGGCATGGGCCTGTTTACGTGCAACATCCTCTTGGAATGCCCAACCAAGCACCATCGGGGACAGTGGAGCGAGCTCATAATAGTCAAAATGCCCAGTCAGGGGAGTGTGTTGCTGCCTCAGGCTCATCCCAAACAGTTCCCTCACCGAGCTGCTCATCCTCGTCATGCACTTTCCGGAAAGTCAGACGCTGCCGACTGACCAAGCGAGAAAATAAGGAGGCATACCAGATCCTGCCGTCCCATGGCTTGTGCCTCGGCGAGATCCGAGAAACGGGTAGATGTAAAGGAATCCTACAAACCATGTGGTGGAGCTGCCCGATCGACTACCTCAAGCAGGGTCCCGCATCGATGCCTCCTTCCACCATCCGCATCGAAAGCCACATAGGCCCATAGCTCCCATGCAAACCACGGATGGTATCGGTGAGGGGTTGGGGTTGAGGCAAGAGAGTGACTGACGCCTTGACCCAGTGTGAGTGTCATCCTCCTCGGCCGAGGGCCCTGCGTCCGTCCCCGCCATCATCTCCGGCTGTGCCCTGCCTGCTGACCCTACATCCCGTCCCAATCCCTCGGTACGCAGTACCTGACTGCGGATGACGTGCTTCGCGGGGTGCGGCTTGAATGATCTGTAATCATCAAGTGAGGTGGTGTTGAGGGGTGAAGATGCTACGGATAGAACAACCATTGTCGGTTGGAAAATCCACGGAGTATCTGTCCGTTTCGGGTATGTGATGAAATATAGCCATGACGGCCATTCCGCACATCAGTATTCTCTGCGAGATAAGACTGTAGTTGGGAAAAATGGAGATCCGTTGCGGTGGGGTTGATATGCAAGCTAGTCTAGTGCCAAGGGCAGCGTAAACATGCATATACACACACACATAGGTCGTGAGCATCTGCGGTAAACGCGCGGTAGCTTGTAAATTGGAACTCCGGAGCTTCTCCAGAAAGTCCGTGGGTAACACGACGGACGCTCCGAGGCCCTGCATGCCGTAATTCAATATGCTCTTGAATGCCCCAAGACAGGTTTCTCCGTTGCCAAGAGAACCGCGCGCTTCTAGAACCAGCCATTCCGATAGTCAGTATGTCTCTCGAGTGTCGCCGTAGAGGGAATTACTTAGACGAAGCTAAATCATCGCGTGTCTTACATGAAAGTGTCGCGGATGCGGTGTCTCAGCTACTTGCATCATCACATGCAAGCAGGGATGGGAAACACTATTCTACGCTCTGTAAGCACGCACCTCGAAGGTGTAATCAAGCAACTGCCCTGGCACCAATCCAGCAGTACCTGTCTGCGTTTCTTTTCAGAATGCTTACTCCCGTGGATAAACAGCGGGCATCCGCATGGACAATACGAGCCGCCAGCCTCCGTCGCGATCACCAGACACGCTTCCGCTCAGAACTATGATGACACTAGCGCCGTTGAGCAGAAAAGCGCCTGTGTAATAATAACAATGGGGAGCTGTTTAGTCGCCAGCCGGTCCTGACGCCCCGTGCGTATGTGGACAGCGGGACTGGCACGGCACCGGAAGAACGTGGAGCTTGGCCAAAGTCGATAGGTAGTAGTGACCCCACTCGGCTTACATGTGGCATCGTGTGGGGAATAATTAGGCGGACAGGAGCGTAGTAGGTTGTGGCCGGCCACCCACAGCCCGCTAGCTATAGCTGATTGCCGCAAGCGGACGGCGGTGCGAGAGTTAACTCAAGGGCGGACATAAGTGCAAGATATTTTCGTCCGCGCACTCGGCTCGCCTTCGCTTATCTGCGCAGATGCGCCACGCGGGCGGCATCTGGAAGAGATCCAAACTCGTAGATTCGAGATGTTGAGTGCCCTGGTGGGCGGACATGTCGCTGCTGGACTCATTCAACGCACGAGCTCCCGCGGTAGCCAGTGTTGTAAGTGCACTATCACATAGCTGCCCCTTCGTGATCAACGGAAGCGCTCCAGCAATGGTGCAAGGCGAGAAATGCGCTCGTTCCTTGCCCACAGACAATTGATACCGGACCGGACGCTTGTGTGGACATTTGGTGGATGCCCTGCCAGTGCGCAAAGTTTTGTGATGCATTCCTGAAGTGTTTTTTCTACCGCAAGGGTGCCGGAAGGATGAACCCGCCCCTAGTGACGGAACTTCGGGTCCCCGCGTCATCCGCGCTGACCTTTGCCCCGCATCTCACCTTGCGCCGCAATCACTGATATTCCACCAAGGGCGTTGTGATCAGAGAGTACACCAGAGACGTGTGAGCATCGGAAGAGACTGACACGGTCGGAGAAGCGTGGTTCGGATCACTAGAGCCGTCTGGTTATAACGCGCGAAGGCCGGACGCCGTATAATCCCCGCACGCCAAAGGCTTTTCGCCAGCAGATCGCAATGTCAAGCAGCAAAACGACCGTTCTTATCGTCGGTGCTGGGCCTGTAGGGCTGATCCTCGCACTGCGGCTGGCCCGGGCGGATATCGACGTCACCGTCATCGAGGCCAGAGATGAGCTGGACGACGCACCGAAAGCAATGGCTCACCTGCCGGCAGCCTTTCCGGATTTCATCAAAGCCGGAATCTTCGACGACTTGGTTGCTGCGGCAGGCGAACTCTCAAGCACGGCCATGGTCTTTCGCAGGACATCCGACTCGTCCATCATCTTCGAGCCGCCGCATAACCCCAACAGGCCGGGGGTTTTGATCTTACCGCAGGGAAAGCTTGCCGCCATCGCCCACGAGAATCTGCAGCGGCTCGAACATGCCACCGTTCTCATGGGTCATGCTTTGCGGTCCTTCAACGACTCGGCCGAGGGCGTCACGGCAACTGTCTCTGCGCCTGATGGATCCGAGAAGACATTTGACGCCTTGTTCCTGGTGGGCGCCGACGGGGGCAAAAGCACGGTCCGCAAGTTGACGGGAATCGAGTTCGAAGGAGAGACGTTGCCATGCCAGCTCGTAGCATCCGACGTCTACTACGACTTTGCCAAGCATGGAGGTTTCAAGCACGCCAACTTCATGGTGGACAAGGAGAACTATGGCCTGATCAGCCAGATCACGAATGACGGACTGTGGCGTGTGTCTTTCAGCGTGCCTCTGGGGCTCGATCTGAAAGACATCGAGGCAGTCGTCCCGGAAAAATACGAGGCAATGCTACCGGGCCCGAGACCATTGGAGTACAAGATCGACCGGCTGGCTCCGTACAAGGCGCAACAACTCTGCGCCACGTCCTTCCGCAAAGGCAGAGCCCTCTTGGTCGGCGATGCGGCACACTGTAGGTATCTCCCACACAGAGGCCACGGGATATTGGGTGGCTGACATCAGGCGCAGTGACGAATCCTTACGCAGGGTGGGGCATGGCTGCGGGCATCTTCGATGCCAGCAGTCTTGCAGACGCCTTAGTCTCTTGTTTGCAGAAAGGGGCTCCTGATAGCTTTCTCCAGGGCTGGGCTGAGGCGCGGCGTGAGATATTCCTCAAGTCTGTCGATCCCATCTCAAAGGAGTGCTTCTGGGCTGTGCAGGATCCGGATGTCGATTCCCTTCCACAGAGACACCCGCACCTCAAAGCGATGAAAGCAGGCAAGCCGCCGAACATTACCACAGATGTAACAACATTGCCGGGGTACGTGCAGTGAGGGATAAAGGTTGCTGGGTCAATTGAGCAGTGAGCACAAGCAATAGATATGTTCTTCTTCATGATTGATACGCTCGTTGTTCCGGGTACGGTCAAAGCTTGCTCTTTAGCTGCCCCTCTTTTACGCCAGCTTCGATTCCTTCCACGACCTGATCAGTGACGGAGAGGAAGGGAGAATGGGCGCCAGTAGTCCTTCGGACAGTAGCGTTCAAGTTCCGAGCCATTGCCTCTTGGATGGGTGGGAGCAGAACCGTGTCGCCATCGCAGATGAAATACATGCAAGGGATGTCATGCCACGGCTCATAGGTCGAGGGGCCGGAAAAGACGGCAGCGGCAGTGTGGGTGAGGCGGGAGTTCCACTTCTCCTGCTCGGCTGGCGAAAGATCAGGGAAACCAGTGGAGGCTGGTAGGTCGACGAAGACCTTGGGGCCCTGAAGGCGAAGGATTGTGAGCACATGGTGGGAGGGGATGCAAGGACATGACCGACCTCAAATCTCATCCATGGCAAAGGGTCGCCGCCAAGCATGTCGACCAAGCTCGTCCCCTTTGGAAGGGCGAACGCGGACAGATAGATGATCTCCAGAATGCCGCCCTGTTTCCCCTCTTTGGCGCGCTGTATGGCGCCGAAGCCCTCGCTAGCGCAGGAGCCGACAACTCCGCCTGGATTGGTGGTGAGTGAGATGGAGCGGTATTTGCCCGACTGGACGTACGTACCATAAGAGTGGAGGACGAGGACCACATGCTTGGCTTGCTGGTCGATGAGATGGGCCAAGGCAGCCCTCAGTGAGATGACATCGGTGTCCAGAGTCTGGTCTGCCGGCTCGCTGCCCACTGAGGGATGGTCGACGGCGACGGATTCATAGCCCTTCTGCCTGAGCTGGCGACGGAGAGGATCGAAGGCGTCCGAGGGCTGCCAAGCACCCGGGACAAGCAGAATGGTCGGCTTTGATTCAACTGTCATTGTCGGTTCTCTGCTCTCTCAGGGGGGGAAACAAAAACGAGGCGTGGCCTTCCGGTGACTTAGAGGCCGAGCAGAGGGCCTTGATCCCGGTTAATATATGGCGGGGCGGCCGGCACTGCTCGCACGCGACGAGGTGGGCCTGTGGCCTGAAGCGAGTGAGGGTGACGCATGCTGTCGGAGGAAAGACTGCTTGCGGGGGTCAGACTGCCGGCAGAGCCATCCGAGGCGGCTATGGTGTTGGACCAGCACGGCCAGCACGGCCAGCACGGCCACGGGGTGCCTCGTCGAGACACGCTGTCCAATGGGAAGGCGCAGTGTGGGGCGCCTTCCAGCTTCCACCTCCTTCCGTCCTCCCATCGGCTCTTCACTACCTTGCACCGTCTCCCTGCACCGTCTTCACCTCGCTCTCTCCGCCATCCACGCCGCCTTCCTCGCCACGCTGCCGTCGCCGGGTAGCTTCGTTCTCTTCCCGCGTGACCTGGCCGCTGAGCCCTTGGTACCGCACTCCATGTGCACGCGGCCGGCTCGAGTCATGGCCAATGCGATCGCCCAGGGCCTTCCGCGATTATTCGCCTGTTCCTCCTTCGTGGTTGAGCACAGGGCTGATTTAAGCTTCATCACTCGCAACTCACATGCGCATGGCTCTACACTACTACTAGTCACCCCCCGCAGTTTTACCCCGCACTCGACACCATCTCGACCGTCACGCTAACCCTGTGCTAGTGGCTTGCAAACGATTGCTTATCGAGAGAAAAAAAGTTGAATCGATAGGTAATGACTGCTACAGCCATGCGTCCGCCTGCGTAATCACTACTGGAGTATCTAGCTTGCGCGTAATTCCTTGAGTCCCTCACACCAACCACCTGCAAACAATCCTTACTCCGGGCCAGAAGAAAACCAAACAACACATTTGTTAGCAAAGGAGCTCGTCGATCGAAAGACCGCGTCCTTTCTTTGCCTCCGGAAACACCACGCTTCGCCCACCGTCTTCGCGTAGCTGTACCTTGCCAGACGCCCCCTCTCCGTATATCCATTTGTTGCCCTCCGAAGCGAACGGGTTCGTCCACATGGGACCCGACGGTGTATCTGGAGGTGTTCCTGCTCCCGGCAGCATTGACGTGTGGATATTCGTCGAATGAATCGACGACGACTGTGATGATGTCGAGTCTCGCCGGAACTGCAGGTGCATGGAATCCCTCCTTAAGAGCGGTGGACATGTCGGCTCTCTCAGATGGAATTGCGTAAATGCCGATTCGCGCCCGAGGTATTGCGACGACGACGCCCATCTTTCTTGCGGCAAGGGAAGAAGCAGCGCCGCCTTCTCGGGCCTTGGGGTTGAGCTTTGTTGCGGCAACATGGCATATCGCGGTTGCATTGTCGGGTGGTGTCTTGCGTCCTTGGGCGCGATCTCAAACCTGTCGGCTGTCAGCTCTGGTCAAAGAACCCCGGGACCAGAGACTTACGTGGGCTTGTTGATGCTCACGTCGTATATCCTCGGCCTGCCTCTCTTCTTGTGCTCCGGGTCAAAGCAGTCCATCTATGGAGCACAGAAATCAGCTCACGGCCCGATTCAGCCCTTCTGGCAAGACCTACCCCTCTTCCGGACGCCACGCACCGCTTGCACGGGCGCTGCTCCTCACAGCGTGCATGAAGCCTCCGGCAATGGTTGCATGCCGAGTTCACCGGCACAGAAGGCCGTCTCGTCCTTGGCTTAAAAGCGTCGTCAACCGGTTGCTTTTGTCCTGGCATTGACCCCACTGGTTTCCAGTCAGTCTCAGCAGCCGATCAAGTGCGCTTTCTGGGGGAATGCTGACCTGAGTATACAAGCATATTGACGCAGAGTTCGAAAAGGCTTGGACTATGGCAGCAGCCACCGGGTCTTGGGCGGGTTGGTCGAAATGTTATTAGGTATGAGTTAGCGTGTGGTTATTGACCGTCCAGTGCCATGTGCATTGGAGTGACAGGCTGACCCTGTAAGTATATGTATGGGGGCTACTTGTTAGTGAATGGTGTGCCGACACTGCGGCCATGTGCTGGAGATGGCTCCGGACGGAATAGTGGAACGGGTCTCCGACGAACGAACAGCCCAAGCCCCGCTGTGGCCGCAAATTCACGGGGCGGGGAAGACTGAGGGCATCATACACCAGGGCGTTGAAAACAGCTGTCCAAGGATCATGCTGACGCCGGCCTCCAACGTTCGAATACGCCAGTCCCAGGCTCGTGGGTCAGTCCAATGCTTCATCCCATCGGGCTTTTCTCACCTAGCCGCCGCCACCACCACCACAACCACCTGAGCCTCGCTTGCAAAGCTGGCAGACGCTACGCTACGGTGCTTGAACCTCACTACTGCGACATTTCTTGGCAAGCGGAACCGCACCAAGTGGTCTGGATTCTGCACGGGTGCAAACAGGCTCCGGCGATGAGCGCATGCGTGCGAAACAAGCATTTTTGGCGAAGGCTTTGATTGTAAACAGGTAAGCAGAGGCGACGGCTCGCCAGCTGGCTATCTGGCCGGTTGTCAAATGGCACCACCCTTCCCTTAGGGCCGGGAGAAGGTGATTTGTAAAAGACGCATTGGAAATAGCAGCCAATATTCTTCAGCTCTCGCCTGTTGCCCGTTGATGAGACACTCGGTTCGTACGGCAAAGCATGTCGAAGTTTTCCCCTTACAGCCCCGTCGACTAGGCATGTGCTTGTGGCGAGCGGTGCGCTATAGCTGTGTTGGCCAATTCCCATGGCGCTAGTCGCGCCTCTCGACTGATGTGTTGATCAAGGCAGGCAAGTTGGGATGAGGTTCAGCTGCCGTGCCGCTGTGGATCGACGCAGATTCCACAGGGGTTCCCGCTCGGCAATGCCACGGGCCCTGCTAGGAAGCTGGGTAGGGCTTCCGATTGGTGGCTGGAAGACGACCATTAGGGTTAAGTCCCTGTAAAAGGATTTGGATCTGCGGAGTTCGTGGTGGGTAGGAATAATCCGCCTGGGACCGCGGCAGCGACGGCGCGCAATCAGCTTCTCTGCCCCATCTTAGCGGACCGCGCCAAACGAAGAGCGTTCCGCCTACTGCGCTCCAACCCGTCGCTATTATTGCCCGGAGTTTCTTCCTCGACCCTAGCCTTTGCCAGTTTCGCTGCCGAAGCGTCCTGTTTGATGGCGTGGTTTACAGCCATGACTGGCCACGCCCACGTTCCGCCTCGCCCTGTCGTCTAGTACTGCGATCAACTGACTGCGCGCCAGATGTAGCAAGCGCAGATGGCCAAGCTCAGTGGCCTAGAGCTTCGATCCTATCCAGCGTCAGTACGTCCAAAACAGGCCTCTCCGGCTACCAGTGTCTTCTGGAAATGCTCCTGGCACGCCAGCTATCTGCACTGGAACGTGGTCGAGGCCCCAGCAGCCGAGCGGAGCCGGAAATGCATCTATTGTGAGCCTGCAGAACAAATCTCCTGGGGGAGAGTTACAGGTCTACAGAAAACCGGCAACATCTGCCGCGCTCTGGTCTCTCAACACTCGTGCTAGCGTAAACGATCGCCCCACTGCCCGGGGGCTTCAGCTGCGTGGCTGTACTTCGAAAGGAACGTCCCCACAGCTGCCGCCCACGGGCCACGGCAACGCATGCACGGGCTACCGTCGATTGAGGCTGTCAAATTCTCCACTTGACCAAGATTGCGCACTATCCAGTCATGGCCTTGTCCTGCGACAATAAATAGGCCCTGGAGCCCGAATAATGACAGGTCAACGACACGGGGCTAGCTTGCTACCCCAAACCAGACTTATAGGCAGCACCGTAACAGCTCTCCCGGGGTGCTCGGCCACCCTCTTGTTGATCTTTTACCAGTTAAGCCATGTTCATGCGAGATGAAGGAGCAGATGCCCAATGATGATTGACCAGCCCTGTGCAATAAGCTTTTCAATGACGGAGGCTTCGCGTCAGCAGCACCGTGATGCATCATCAAGATTTGGTGCTAAGCGGTGCCTTCGTCTGGATCTGGCCCTCGCTCATCCCACAACCTCCTCGACGGGCAGGATTTCAATTGACGTACCTACATGCCTTGCATAGCCGTTCGTCAGAAGCAGACACTGATGAACCGGACATGAGGCGTCTTGGCGCGTTCGACAGACTAGGTACGCAACCGAGGCCGCTGGGGGGAGCTTTACCGTCTGGAATTACACACGGAGACAAGAAAGAAACATCCTTATCGAGCCACGGCCGAGATAACCGGAGTGATGGACGTAGGAGTCGGGTCCCTGCGTACGCGTACGGATTACATATCTCCAGACCACCATCCGACCCCGCTTATCTGCCACGAGCGGAGTAAATCATGACTCGCATCAGCCTCCCCGCAACTCCTGGCATCCCGACGGATCCTGATAAGACCCTTCAGCCAAAACCGCGCCCGACCATAGAGCACTCTCACGTACCTGACACGGTCCGCCTCCGTTTCCGCCTCCGTCAGGGTCGGATGCGACCCTCATCAGCTCTCCAAGATGGCTGATTGGCTGGCCGGAGCTGTCCATGGGCCGGACGAGATGGACGCTGGCCAACGCCTTCTCTCCGTCGCCGTATAAATCCAGCTGAAATGCCGAGTCCATCTCGCTCTCCAGTTCTCTCATCATCTCCCCTCTCAGCAACCATGAATCACATCAAGGACGTTTTCGCGAAGTGTGCAGACGAGCAACGGGTGAGCCAGCGCTCTTCACACACACACACGCCATGGCGTTTGAACGCAAAAGCACTTACACACGGCACAGCCTGCACTAATTGGCCATGTAACCGCGGGCTATCCTGCCGTGGAAGAGACGCCAGATGTCTTACTCGCTCTAGAGGCGGGTGGAGTTGGTAAGCTTATGACTTTCCTACAAGGCACAAGCCGCCTCTCCAGCACAGCCACTGATATAATACGACAGACATCATCGAGCTTGGCGTACCGTTTACAGACCCAATCGCCGATACTCCAGCCATCCAATCCGCGAACATGGTGAGTAGCAATACACGCTTACACAGTAGCACCAAGAGCATGTGGGTCCGACGTTCGAAGGGACCATATGCTAACGTTTACCCGCCGTGCGCAGAAAGCCCTACTGAACGGGGTTAAAATGAGCACTTGCTTGGAGATGGTCCGGGCGGCCCGCACCAAAGGCCTGCAGGCGCCGGTGCTTCTGATGGGCTACTTGAACCCTTTTCTAAGCTATGGCGAGGAGACGATGATCAAGGATGCCCGTGCCGCGGGCATCGATGGCTTGGTCATCCTCGATGCCCCTCCGGAGGAGGCCGTCCGCCTCAGGGACTACTGCACGCGATATGGGTGAGACTACTACCCGTCCTTGTCCCATCGGGACAGACCCAAAGGTCTTGTTCGAAATCATTGATCTGTAGCTTGCTGATGAGAGAACCACCATATTAGCATCTCGTATGTACCCTTGGTTGCACCGACCACCGACGAGGCCCGGCTCGGTGTACTGGGAAAGATTGCAGATTCCTTCATCTATGTCGTCCCCGGCGGCACCCCCAAGGCAGAACTGTCCCAGCTATTGGACAAGGTGCATCAGTTCGCGGGCAAGACGCTGCCGGTGGCAATCCGATCGGAACCTCAAACCCACCAAGAGTTCGAGGAGATCGGAGCCGTGGCCGAGGCCGTCGCCACGGCCGACCCGTTGGCTTGCGTGCTTAGCGAAGCGCGGGCTGGCCGGGCGGCCGCGGGCGTTGAATCGCACGCAGCGGCCATCAGCGGACGCCCTGCTGGCATGAGCGGCAGGCCGTCCGGGTATAAGCGGACGGACAGCGGCACAGCGCTTGTCGATCATCTGGAGGGGCTCGCAGTTGGCAAGGGCCCGGCCGCTGCCATGGATAGTGGCACCCACATTGAGGGGTTCGGCGGGCAGTATGTGCCTGAAGCCCTGATGGGCTGCCTGGCCGAGCTGGAGGCGGGGTTCCAGGCATGCATGGACGACCCCAAATTCTGGGAGGAGTTCCGCTCCTACTACTCGTTCCTGGGCCGGCCAGGTCAATTGCACAAGGCGGAGCGGCTCACGGAGCACATTGGCGGAGCTAACATCTGGCTGAAGCGGGAGGATCTCAACCACACGGGCAGCCACAAGATCAACAACGCCCTTGGACAGGTAAGGATAGGATTGCATCCCTGGGGAAGCGATGAACCCTGGTCCAGCACGGAAGATTATCATGATGGGATCTACTTTACTGACGCAATCATCTTCTGTGCCTCTGCAGATCCTTCTGGCCCGCCGTCTGGGCAAGAAAGAAATCATCGCAGAAACGGGAGCTGGTCAGCACGGCGTGGCCACGGCGACGGTCTGCGCCAAATTCGGCATGAAGTGCACGATCTACATGGGAGCGGAGGATGCGCGGCGTCAAGCGTTGAATGTCTTCCGCATCAGACTATTGGGTGCGGAAGTGGTACCCGTCGAGGCTGGCTCGAAGACGCTGCGGAATGCCGTCAATGGTTTGTTTTGCCCTTCCCTTTGGTTTTTTTCGACGCTTGCCGTTCCCCTGTTTCACACATGTGGTGGCGGGAGGCTCTTTTGTTTGATAATCATCCACCCGCCCATCAAAACCCACACTTCCGGGCTCCTTACCTAGTGCTGACACCAGCCCGCAGAGGCACTGCAGGCTTGGGTGGCCAATTTGTCCACCACCCATTACCTGATTGGCTCTGCCATCGGACCCCATCCGTTCCCGCAGGTGAGTAAAATACAAGCAGAAAAAAAAAAGAAAAGAAGAACAGACGCTACAATCCGCCCCTCCCGCCGTTGACGTCTACCACCCACTAAATCTTCCACTCCATCTCCCACCTCCCAGATCGTCCGCACCTTCCAGAGCGTCATCGGCCAAGAGACGCGCGCCTCGATGCTCCAGCAAGCGGGCAAGCTCCCCGACGCGGTCGTCGCCTGCGTCGGCGGCGGCAGCAACGCCGTCGGCCTGTTCTACCCCTTCGCTCTCGACGGCGCAGGCGTCGTCCAACTCCTCGGCGTCGAGGCCGCCGGCGACGGCGCCGACACGCTGCGGCACAGCGCGACCCTCACCAACGGCACCGTCGGCGTCCTGCACGGCGTGCGCACCTACCTGCTGCAGGACGCCGACGGCCAGATCCTCGACACGCACTCGATATCCGCCGGCTTGGACTACCCCGGCGTGGGCCCGCAGATGGCGGCGTGGAAGGCGAGCGGGAGGGCGAGGTTCGTCGCGGCGACGGACGCGCAGGCGCTGAGCGGGTTCAGGCTGCTGTGTCAGTACGAGGGGGTCATCCCGGCGCTGGAGACGGCGCATGCGGTGTGGGGCGGGGTGGAGCTGGCGAGGGAGTTGGGCAAGGGGAAGGACGTCGTGATCAATGTCAGTGGGAGGGGCGATAAGGACGTGCAGACTGTGGCCGAGGAGTTGCCGAGGCTGGGGAGGGAGATTGGGTGGGATTTGAGGTTTTAGAAGAGTGGTGGGTGGGGATGGCTAATTGATGGTTGGCTTTTCGAGTAAAGGTATCAGATGTGATGATGGACAGACATTGTTGGACTCTAGGGTCTTGCAGACTATGACGCATCGTCGTTATTTTCTCCGGGTGGCTCCGTGGTTGTCGAGTCTTGGGTAAGGATTCTGTACTTATGCAATCCAGAGCAAACAACATGTGCTTGCTTATGACAACGGATTATAATTGCTTGTGACAGAGGGTCCATCCTCAAAAGAAACTAGGATCCTCCAATGCAAGATTGACTTTCACACAGATCTTCCTCTCCATCGGAGATCGGAGCTGCGCCTGCGGGCGCACATGCAGCTGCACGAATGTATGTACACACATACATACATACATCACGAAGATCTCAAAAGGACAGTAGTGACAACACCACGGCTCGCTTCCGAGATAACCGACTGGGCACCCATCGTTGATATTATCCCACCGATGGTTTTTTTTTTCCACGGTTCGAGCCATTATAGCATCGAGGGCCGGAGCCAACGAGCCACCCCCACCCGCGCTAGTTCAGATGTCACGTCAACGTCACTACCTAGGGTTCTTTTTAGCTCCCGTCCGTTCCGTTCACGAACCCTTTTCCCCCCCCACCCTATTATTGAAACTTGTTTTCGTTCGTCGGATCGCGAGTCGCTCATCACACCCCCCCTCCCAACCCCCGGCCGGCTGGCCGCATGGTCGAAAATGGCGGCGCACTTTTTAGTTTGTCGGTCCGTCGGAGGGACCGAGGGGGCAGTTAAATGCATGCATGCATGCGTATTTAGTGTGGCGCAGCAGCACTGTTAGGTATTAGGCCGTCCAGCAGACTTATTAGCGTTGCCTCGGCGGTCCGCTCAATCATCAGTTGAACGACGGCGGAGACAGGCAAATATCCATTTGGAGCTGTGAAACTTTCCCATGGCAAGCGTTTTGGGGAATGGTTCCGATGGGTGAGCCGATGTGGCTTACAAGCTTGAAGTGTACTGGCCAGGGCATTGGCTGCTTGCCGTTCAATTATCCCCACCCGTTTGGGAGGTCGGATGAATTCTACTATGGGGGTGAAAGTATCTTGTCCGTGTAGAAACGAAGGATACGAGAGAGATATGAGGAAACGAGGGTGAGTTTGAAACTGGCATTTGCATTGCGCGGAGATCTCTATTTATCCAGCCAACGATTACATAGAAAAGACGTGAACCAACACATGATACCCAATACATCCTTACACAGTTCGTACATGCATCATCAACAGTGACGAAAATGAAAAATCGTAGCGCGTTACCTTCCACACGCATTGGCTCCCTCATCAAACCTGCCCAAACGACCACCAGTCGTCCACACCCCTCACGAAATCCTGTCCCTGCGCAAAATAACTCTGCGCCAGCACCGCCAGCTCATCGTTATCACCCATCCCAAGCGCCATCGAGTCCATGATGTCCCCTCCCGGTCCTACCCCACCCGTGTTGCCCGCGCCACCAACACTGCCACCGCCACCTCCACCTCCACTTCCCTCTCCCCCTACTGATGATATCGCCATCACTCTGCTACCATCACTACCTCCAGACACCCCACCGCCCATAGCGCTCCCGCCACTACCGCCACCACCGCCACGTAACCCCGCATGACCGCCGGACGCACTTGTGCCACCAGGCGTCGACACGCTATTATGCCTCGCCATGTTCCCACCACCGCTACTGTTCTCCCCACGCGGGTACGTCGGCTCGGGCAGCAACCTCGACGACACGACCTCTCCATGGGGCGTGCCGCCGCCGCCATTGGCGCCGTTGCCGCCGACACCGGTGCCGCTCGCGTGGTGGTGCGGCCAGAGGCTAGAGCCGAAGATGGAGCCGGAGGGGTCGCTGGTAGACGAGGTGAAGACGGCTTCGAGGATATCCCAGAAGGTGGTCAGGTCGATGAAGACGGAGGAGGGTTGTTGGATGTTTGAGGGGGAGGGGGAGGAGGTTCCTGCTGTTTCGGCGGCCGCTAAGGGGGAGGCAGCGGCTGTGGTGGTGGTGGTCGAGGAGTCATGGTAGGAGGCTGAGACGGTGGCTTCGAAAGATTGGAGTTTGGAGGCCTGGAAGAGGAGCTTCGTGTTAGTAACGAAAGGTTTATTCTTGTTTGTGGGAGGAGGAAGAGGATGTTTACGAGCTGAGCGATGTGTGGCCAATGGACGCCGAGCAGGCGAACGAAATCGAGGCACTTGAGGAAGTTGTTGCGCTTCTCGGTGCGGATGCCGGCATCGTCGGCGAAGCTCTGCTGCAAGTAGATGGTGGCGACGACGGCGACGCAGTTGCCGATGAACGGATCGGTGACGCGAAACGCCTTCTCTCCGATGAGGTCGATGAGGTGGACGACCCAGTCAGTGTGCGAGGCTATCAAATCCGCCGTGTGCTGGAGGAAGATTTCAGGGATGCTAACTCGGAAGCTACGCAGGCGTAGGGAAAGGATCAGCGGGTGGTTGAGCAGGCACATGATGGTGTGGTAGATGGTCTGCGAGAAGAGCCAGGGGCACCAGTAGTCTCGCTGCCTCTCCAACTCCTCGGTAGGTCGCTCTGCGAATTTCGAGGGCCGGAAACGATGCTTGTAAGGCATGTGCGATTCGAATTCCATCATGGCGACCATGATCTTTGAGTACTCAGATTCGGCTGACCATGGGCAGTGCACTCCCGGGCTGGCTCGTCGCCGTGTGTAGCGGACGGCCTTGTGCCAGTACTCGGTCAACTGAATGACATAAGCCGTAATACCTTGGTCCTTCACGCCAACTTGGACTACCCTTGCGTCTACGCTCGGGTCGGAAAATGGGGGTTTCTTGGTGCTTGTAGGATACTTGGGGAAGTTTTCGTCGGGGGATATCGAATAGACGCCGCAATTACTTCCGTGGAGTTTCTTGAGGAAGATGATGCTCCAGAAACACCGTCGCCTTTCTTCATGGGCCGAATCATGTAATGCTACATGGCATTCACTGGAGAGTCCGGCACTTTCGGCGAGATCCAGCGCCAACGAGGTCAGCGAGCTCGCCCTATGTGTGTTGCCAACTGGAGATTCTGATTAGGTTTTGTTTTGGAGCAGCAGCGGGCATGGACGGGGCGTACCGCTGAAATCAACAAAGCTTAACAGACAGAATGCCTGCAGCGTCGAGAGTTCTATGGGGCCATTGGAGACTCTACGCATGACAAGGGTACGAGCAGCCTCCGCATATCCTCGGATTGCTTGTTCTCGTCTGTCTCGGTATAGGGGGTTATCGGAGAAACGCACAGCCACGGCCAAGATAGCAAAAAGAAGCTCAGGGTCCCTCGTCCCCAGGGTGGATATAAAATTTCTTGGGTCAAACAGAGGAAGCGGCTGGCCATTGCAATAGAGAAGATAGAGCTCTGCCACGTTGACAATGATGTCCCATTGTGGCAGCGTGCTGGGCAGTTGTCAGCGTCAGGGGATATTCCACGAAGACCAAAAGAACCAACCTTGCTGTTGCGGGAGGAGAAGGCTGGTCGACGGGTCCTGGGCAAGTGGTAAGGCTGGTGGAGGGAGTAGGGGTGGGCGGACTTGCAGTCCATGGTATGCGGCTGAGGGAGGCGTCAGCAAAGCGCGGGCCGGACGGGAGAAGCGGCGGGCGTACTTTAGCGCTCCAAGCACTTCGGCGACTTTGGTCTCCAAAGCACTGAGGCGATCAGCCTGAAGCAGGCGGAAGAGTCAGCAATGGCTGGAACAAGAAGAGAAACGGGGGGGAGAAGAGTAGGCAGGGACCAACCGTTTCGGTATTGCCGGGGATGCTACCATGGCGATCGCGGTTGGCATCGGTACTGGTAGTACTCTCGGCGGTGCTGTGGTGGTAGTCGGCAGCGGCAGGATGATCGGAGGCGTAGTAGCAAGTCTGGGCGAGGCGGGAGCAGTGCGAGCAGTTGGGCCGCTCACCCGGACAGCGTGATTTCTTGCGGCTTCAGGGGTCAGCTTTACTGGCAAGCGGAAGACTGCATTCACTGGACACACCGGCACGGCTCGCAGGCCTGGCGGATGCGCTTGGCGGGACGGTGGTCCGGCGGAGGGACCGAGGACATGATTTTCGTGTGTCAATGCCCCACAGCAGTGAGTCTGGTCGCGCTCGCGTGAGAGTCGACCCGGGGTAACATGCGGTCTTCAAATGGGGCGATGGGGCGACAGCCGATAGGGAGAGCCGGAAGCCGGGACGGAAAGGCGGATGCCAGGCTGTGTTTTTTCTCGTCGTCGCCCCATCGCTTATCACCGCCCTGCGACCCCGCACAGCCTGTGATTGGCCCCGCGCTGGTGGCAGTTTCCTGAACGGTGATGTGCAACGTTACGTGAAGAATAGAGGAAGCGACGGGGCGACAGGCGTGAAAGAATACACACGGCGGGCTACGTGCACGCCAGCAAACATTAAACTCATCCATGCAGCACTCAATCCTCGCCATCATTACTATGTATCCTCGCGGTAAACTCTACCAAACGCCGGCCCCCCGGTTGACCCATGCATAACCGAGCTTTTCCATCCCCGCCCGTCACTGCCCGCCTTTTTCCACCCTCCTCTCGTCCCCGCTTCACACCCCAATTGCCCCTCGCAGCGTCTTGACGAACGCATACACATCCGCGTATGTGTTGTATAGGGGCACCGGTGCTACCCGCACTACGTCAGGCTCACGGCTGTCCGCAACGATGCCGGCCTCTTGCAGCGCCTTCGCCACAGTCTTCAGCAGTCCGGGCGCCAGCAGCACGCTCAACTGCGCACCGCGTTGCTGAGGGTCCAAGGGGGTGATGATGCGGTACGGCTGCTCGTTCTCGTCTGCAGACAGGCCCTTCAGCAGCAGGTGCTCGGCGTAAGCAGTCAGCTGCAGCGACTTGGCCCGCACCTCGTGGATCGACGTGTCGTTCCAGACCGAGAGCGCAGCGCAGAGAGAAGTCAGATCGATGGCGGACGGATTCGAGCATTGGAAGCCGCCTGCACCAGGAATCGGCCGGAATTCTGTCGTCCGTCAGTGCCGTGCGCTCTGCAAATGGCCAGCATCCACTTACTGTTGTCCATCTTGAACCGCACCGCCCGGTCTCCGCCGTACCAGCCCGTCAGACGCGGCCTGAAAACGGGCTGTCCGTCGTCGCCAAACTCAACCTTCCCGTGCTTCTCGTGCACGAAACATCCCGCAATCGCCCCGGGGCCCGCGTTCTGGTACTTGTACGTGCACCATGCCGCAAAGTCGACATCCCAGTCGTGGAGCTGCACCGGCACGTTGCCCGCTGCGTGTGCCAGGTCCCAGCCTATTGTCAGGCCCTTGGACTTGGCGTGCGCCGTGATGGTCGGCATGTCAAAGTATTGCCCGCTATAGTACTGGATGCCCGGCAGCAGAATGAGCGCAATCTCATCCGCATGCTCATCAATAGCCCGCAGGATCTTCTCCGTCGAGATGATGTGGTCGTAATCAGGCTCAAGCAGGATCATGTGCTCCTTGGGGTTCATGCCGCGCGTCTGAAGCTGAGACTCGATGGCGTAATGGTCGCTGGGGAACGCCTTCCATTCGAGCAGGATCTTGGTGCGCTGACCTTCTGGCTTGTAGAAGCTAGCCATCAACATATGCAGGTTGACAGTGAGCGTGTTCATGATAGCAACCTCCTCGGGCTTGGCGCCAACGATCCGTGCTGACTGCTCGGCGGCCGTCTCGGCCATCAGTTGCCATGGCTTCAGCGGCGACTCCTCAAGCTGCGTGAAGTGCCCGTAGACGCCAATACCCGACCACGTGTCGAGCTGGGCCTCGATGTACCTGGACACGGCCTTGGGCTGCAGACCGAGCGAGTTGCCGCAAAAGTAGATGCCGTCCTTCGAAGAAAGGCCTAACACGCCATCAGCATTGCGCCACTGGCCTTGCACCAATCGACGACTTACCGGGCTTTGCCAAGGCTTTCGATCTCAGATTGGCCTTGGAGGGGATGATGAACTTGTCCCGGAAAGAGCGGAGAGGATCCTGCGAGTCAAGCTGTCGTGCGTAGCTCTCGCTATCCGCGTCCGCCGGAAACTGCGGCTTGGATTCAACCTTGGAGGGAGACATTGTAAATGGTTTGGGCGATGGTTGATCTGGCTAAGTCCCTGCCGGTGGTGTGACGCTCTTATCAACCGCCTGGAAGCCGTGATGTGCCGCTGATGCTTACAGTATTTTCGCAGCACTTTGTAGACCGCCTGGAGAAGCCGGCTCCGTATCCGCTTCCGCTTCCGCTTCCGCTCCCACCGGCCCCTACTGACTGCGCCGGAGAAACTCCTATCACACCACTGCTACCATTGATCCCCTGGAGTACAAGATGATATTACACTTTGACTGGTGTTGAATCAACTAGCTTGGCGCATCCGAACCTTCACTCATTTCCTTATCTTGCTAGTCCCTGCCGTAGTGCAACACCGATCTCCTCCAAGCCTGCAATATGCTCGACCATCTCGACTGCAATCTTGCACACTATCGTGTCTCGCACGAAAATGCCTTTCTTCCCGACCGGCTGCCACTTCAGCGGCTGCCAGACCCCTACTATGCTAAATGGGAGTCGGTGGTAGCAATACTACCCGAACTGCTGCGCACCGGCAACCTCATTCCCACAATCAACGAGCTTCCCGTCCTTGAAACTTCCAAGTTGAAAAGCGAAGAAGAATGGAGAAGGGCATACGTAATCCTGGGATTCTTCACGCACGCATACATTTGGGGTGGAGAGAAGCCGTCAGAGGTGCGCTCCATCAAAAGAAAAAGAAAAAGAAAAGGCCGTGTTCGAAGTGGTTGCTGACATTACTTCCAAGATCCTTCCTCCATGTATCACCGTGCCGTTCCTTGCGGCCTCCGAGCACCTCGGGCTGCCACCAACAGCAACCTATGCCGCGCTTAATCTCTGGAACTACAAGACGGCCGACCCCACGGTGCCACTGTCCGTCCCGGAGAACCTGCGGGTCCTGCACAGCTTCACGGGCACCGACGACGAAGCCTGGTTCTACCTCATTTCGGTCGCCATCGAGGCGCGGGGCGCACACACGGTGCCGCTCATGATGCAGTGCATCGATGCGGCAGCGCGTGGCGACGACTGGAAGGTTGTCCAGGGGCTGGACGCGCTGCGCGTGTGTATCAACGAGCTGGGCACGATCCTCGAACGCATGTACGAGCGGCTAGACCCCGACGTCTTCTACTTCCACATCCGGCCCTTCCTCGCAGGGAGCAAAGGAATGGCAACCGCGGGGCTGCCTCGCGGCGTCTTCTACGACGAAGGGGACGGCAAGGGCGAGTGGCGGCAGTACAGCGGTGGCAGCAATGCGCAGAGCTCGCTGATCCAGTTCTTCGACATCGCGCTCGGCGTGCGGCACGTCTCAGGCGGCGAGCTGGTCAAGAACAGCTTCATCGAAGAGATGCGCTTCTACATGCCCGGCGCCCACCGCCGCTTCCTGCAGTACCTCGACCGCGCCGCCAACATCCGCGACTACGCCTTGAACCCGGCGACGGAGAACACGGTGCTCGAGGCGTACGACGCTGCTGTCGCGGCCCTCGCGGCCTTCCGCGATAAGCACATCCAGATTGTGACGAGGTACATCGTCATGCCTTCACGCTTGAAGGCGAAGAAGACGAACACGGTCAACATTGCGTCCGCATCGTCCATCCAAGACGGCGAGGATAAGGCTGACAAGAAGCTCTATGGTACCGGCGGCACTGTAAGAGCCTTACCCTCTTTCGCCTATGTATGTACGTTGAGCTGACATCGGCCTTGTTTAATAGGCTCTGATACCATTTTTGAAGCAAACCAGAGATGAAACGAAGAAGGCGGCGAGCTCTCTGTGATGTCACCAAAAGTGTATTTTTGTATCAAGTTTTCATGTCAGCATGGGGTTACATATGGGATGTGGCCTTTGGAGTGATCAACTGAACGAATGGCGTTTATTTCAAAGCTAGGGCATCGGAGCAATTCTCGACGCCGGCTGCAAGGAAAGCAGGTTAGATTACAATAAGAAGAGCAGTAGAAGTAAAGTAATCGATTCAACGTATACAGTCACAAGGCCTCTTCAAAATTGGGTGATGACGCGCTGGCTGATGGGGGGATGATGAAGTGCGGTCTCCGACGCAGCAGCCTTCCGCCGGTCATCCGTCGGATACAGTTGAGCCGCGAGTAGGCGGCCCAGGCAGCGCGTAGGGCTGCATGCATGCCGAGCTTATGACGGAATCTCACACATGACGTTGTGCCCTGCTGGTTTCTTTGGCTTTGATGGGATGTATGTATGTACTAGAGTATGGAATGCAAGGTTTGACTAGCACGATGTAATATTATTCAACTTCAAATTACCAACGCCTCGCTATCCTTGTACTCGCCCAGCTTGAACAACTTCTTCGCATTCTCCCGCCCAATCTTCAGGCGATCGCGGGTGTTGATCTCCATCTTGTCAAACCACTCGCATCCATCCTCGAACGTCTCGAACGGGTAATCGACGGAGAAGAGGATGCGATCGGCGCTGACCTCCGCGAGGCAGAAGTTGAGGGTGGTGGTGGAGAAGTGGCCCGAGGTGGTGATCCAGACGTTCTGGTCGAAGTACTGGCGGATCGTCTTCTTGCACTGCTTCTCCAGGCCGAGCAGCTTCTTGCGGTCCTCGAACCAGTGGTTGATGCGCCACAGGTCGAACGGAATGTGCTCGCCCAGGTGGCCGATGATGACCTGCAGCCTGGGGTGCCGGTCGAAGACGCCGTTGGTCACCATGCCCAGCAGGTGCAGGCTGACGCCGTGCGCGAACGACAGCGGCGGCCCGATCAGCCAGTGCCGTGCCTTCCACAGCTTCTCGAACACGATGCCCGTGGGGTTGCGGGGGTGGAGGTATAGCTGCGGTGGTGGTATGGTAAGCTTTTTTTTTTTCATTCATCTTGATTGTTTGGGGGACAACGGAGTAGGGACCATACCGGAACGTCCAACTCGGTGCAGGTCTGCCAGAAGACATCCCACTCGGGACCGTCATAGAAGATCAGGTCCTCTCCGTCGGGCCCGGCACGCTGCGTGTCGTTCACCAGCGCGCCCTTGAAACCGTACTGCTTGACACACCGTCTCAACTCCTCGGCCGCGGCCGTGGGGTCGTGCATAGACAGCGTCCTGCAACAAAAAAACCATACACATCAGCATCATCCAATCGTCGGGCACTAGACAGGCAAGTAAAAGCATGGAAAACTCACGCAAAAGCGCCCAGCCGGTCCGGGTGCGGCTTGATCCTCTCGGCGATCCAGTCGTTGATCTCGACGGCGAGGGCGTCGGCGTCCTTGCGCTCCCAGATGTCCTGCACGCCCGGCGCCGTGTACGACAGGATCTGGTAGCCGACGCCGTGCTTGTCGGCGTGCCGCAGGCGGATCTCGGACACGTCCTGGATCTCCTGCACGTGCTTCTCGACGTCGGTCGCGAACAGGCCCGCCCACCACCGCGTCTTCTCGTCGAAGCGCGGCAGCGCGAAGGCTTCTTCGAGGATGATCTTGCCGAGCATTGTGGTGCTTGTTTCTTTTTTTTTTTTTTTTTGGTTTCCTCCTGGGTTGGTTGATTGCTGCGTCGATGAGAAGTGGAATGCTAGTGGACCGGATGTTCAGGTTATTTTTTCCCTTGGTCTCTATTTATTTGCGGAGCTTTTCAATGCGTACTCGGGCCTCCTCTAGCTATCCCCTCTAGTTCGAGTGGGTGCGGATGAGGTCCGTCGGATGGCTCCCGACGGGATTCCCCCGGATGGCGCTACTCCGTGCGGGGAGGGGGTGCGGGTCAGTGTGTCTGACTGCGGGGCAAGGAGCCGCCGCCGCCTTCGGATGGCGTTCGCGGAACAGTCCACCGTGCCTGACTTTCCGCGGACCACCCAATCCTGTTGCTATCACCGATTGTTTTGGTTGTTATCGGGTTGATGAGCAGCCATGGAAGGCTTCAATATGCTTCAAGACGGGGTGGAGAATACTGCATAATGTCTTGGTTTGTTATATCAAGCTACTCATCATCGGCGTAGACGACAAACGGGCTAACCATGATCCCATTCTCGAGGTCGTACTCATCGTACGACGTGGTACCGTGCAGCACCTCGTAGTTCCTCATCATCCCACAAGCATCCGTAGTGTTCCCCTCAGCATCTGAATTGGTGCACACCTTCCCAACCAGGCCGGCGATGCGCTGTCCGACGTCTCGGCCCTCGAACCACGCGCCGTGCAAGAAGCCAAAGTACTCGGCCGAGTTGGCCTCTCCGGCAAACCACAGCCTGTCCACGTTGGCCCGCAGGTTCTGGTGTTTTTCGAGCGTGGTTCCAACCGGCCAGTTTGAGTAGGATCCATGCGCCCAGGGCTGCAGGCTCCAGCGCGGATACATGACATCCATGGGCTCGGGAATCTCCTTGTCGGGGAACATGTCGCGCAGCACCTCCATCAGCTCCGCCGTCGTCTTCTCGACCGTCTGGGCTTCGATACGATACGATTCATCGTTGACGACAGTGGCAAATATAATTCCGCTGCCGGGAATGAAGCCTTCAGTGTCGAGCGATTGCCATACAGGGTAGTATCCACGCTGTTCCGGATCAGCGTAGAGGAAAAACTGGGTATCCGTGTCCCAGAATGTCTCGTTGAACTGCATGAAGATCTTGGTGTAGGTGCCCATTTGGAAGTTTTCGATTGCATCCTGCTTCCAGTCCGGCAGCTCGGGCTCGAAAGTAACGACGTCGTTCTGCAGAACACCGAGGGAGAAGGTGCAGATGGCGTAAGCGGCAGAGACGCAACTTCCGTCGGCATTGTACACCGTGACGCCATCTGAGGAGTATTTGATGTCCGTTACGGTCGTGTTCAGCAGCAGGCGAGAGTCGTTCTTCTTGAGAAAGGTGTTTGCCTCTCCGATGACGAAAGCATTGAAGCCGCGCTGGTCGATGACGAAGTTGTTGGCCTCGCTGAATTGGTAAAAGGATGCGTTGTAGCCCCAGATTCCGGCCGCGAAACCGCTTTGCTCAGGCTCGTAAGCCGTCTCCCAGTCCCATTCCCACCACTCGACGGCCTGGGCGGCCATGTTCTTCTTCGGCTTCCATCCGGCAAGGCTGAAACCTGCCCGGACGCTCGTATCCTGGAGATTGTCGGTCACGATGTAACCGGCGTTCTGCTCGGCGATGGCGTAAGCATCCTCAAATTCGTCCAGAAGGTCGGTGAAGTCAACAGCTCCGGTCTCATTGTAAGTCAGGATGGAGCTGTAGTTGGAGTAGGTGTTTGTGACGTTGTACTTCTTCCCCATGGTCCAAATGGGGTTCTCCGGACCCCCTTCGGAACCGAGTCCCTGGATCCAGTTGGCGCCTACGACCTGGTCAGTGGAGACGGCCCGATATAGCGAGGGGGGAGGTTACCTAGCTCGACGACATAGGGAGAACCGTCCGGTTTGGAACCGAAGGTTGTGTGAGCGACACGGCCTCCGATATACGAATTATGCTCAATGATAACGAAGTCGGAGATGGACTGGTTGGAGAGGGCCTGGGCGGCGGTGATTCCGGCCACGCCAGCACCCAGGATGGCAACAGTCGTCTTGCGGCATTGCTGGTCGTCGACTCTTGAGGTCAAGGCGGCGGCCGAGACGTGTTGGAGACTCGACAGAGCCCATGACAAGCAAATGACAGAGGTCGCTGCGAACCGCATGGTGAGAAGAGTGCTTTGGGGGGGCAGATCTGGTGCTCACCGTAGCTGCTTCACGTCGGGATGAGGGGTATATTAGTACGGAGGAGGTTGCACGAGCGCAGGCGGCGATAAGCAAGATGAGGTACAAGCGTACAAGCTCAGACGCGCGGATTCCCGGGGTCGGAGGGGATAGCCGTCCGCGGCTAGGCGGAAGATAGCAGTTCGAGCCTGGGAGCGCAGCTGAGGGCGGAGGTGAGTTCTGTACCTGACAGCAATGCGGAGATAACAGCACCAAAGCGGCAGTCGCATGCGATGATAGACGGGGGTGGAGGCGGCTAACCAGAAGGACAAAGCTTGAGGGCGTGGGATGCCGCCCGCTGTCCCGAGTCGCGGAGTCGGCCTCCAACCGTCTGTGGTCGGCATCACAGTACACAGTCCAACATCAAATAGATAAGAGATAGCGGTCCGCACGGGGCGCCCGTGCCGCCGCAGTTCTCCGCCGTTCTCCGTTTGCTGAGATAGCAGCAATACGCAGCAGGCCGCATGTGTCACGGTCAGCCAGTGCGTTCGTCGGGAGCAGCATCGACGGCAAAATCCTGGGGTTGTTCTGCCGGAGCCTGGGTCGAGTTTCGAGCTGCGATACGGGGGAACCGGACGTGCATGTCACAGGCCTGCGCATGACTTCATAGAACAAGGCGTCCGTCCCGGTCGACTTGGCGGCTCCTCGTATCAAATGAGCGCTGGCGCGCATCTGCACCAGGCGCTCTACACGGACTCCAGGAGCATCCTGCACCGCTGGTTCGAACAGCTTGGAGGGTGATCGCTCTTCAGCTCAGGGCAGACGGCTATGGGTACGGCGGGCCTTGGCATGCATCATGGGTGGAGAAGGGACACGGTGCCGATCGCCGCGTATGCACAGCGACTCGTCGTGCATGGAGCAAAGTCGTGGCCGGTCCAGGCGGGCGTGCGGCGGGCGTGTGGCGGGCGTGCGGCTGGATGCGCGGCGGACGGCGGACACGAGATGCAGCGGGAGTCCCCCATGCCGGGTCAGGGAGTGGCTGGGGGGCGGGCTGTACGCGGGCAGCAGGTCGCAGCTGGAGTGTGGGTGCGAATTCGGGTCAGGCGGGACTCATGGCAGAGGGCAAACGATAGATATGTCGATGGCTCGTATTGCGCACGTGTGAGCTAAAAATAGGCGGGTTAGGCGGGTTAGGGCTGCGCGACTCCACAGTCGCACTGCTGCTGGTGCACCACTTGAGCGACGCCTGGGGCCGCATGCCACCTCAAAGCCCACCTTCTTCCCGCGCGGGCCTTCCCGGATCTATGATGCTCCTGCCCGGGCGAGCCTCATCCCGCCCGCCAGCCCCGTGAAGACATGAGCTGTTGAGGCGCAATGGAACCCGTAACCTGCGGCGACGCCGCCGAAGACGACCATCTCTACGGCCAGCCGCCGCCGCCCACCACCGCCCGCCATGCCCGCGACCCCTCGCTCACCCCGGAGACCCTGCGCCCCGCGGACCAGCCTTTGCACCACCGCGCGACCCCCCCTTCGCCGCCGCTGTCGACCGCCGCCCGCTCCTCGGCCAGCTACACGGCCACCACTGCCCGCAGCTTCGCCTCGACCGCCCTCTCCACCCTGGCCACCTCGTCGCACGCCTCCAACATGAGCAATGGCGATGCCAAGGATGCCGCCGCCCTGCGCGCCCGCCACCAACAGCACCAGCGCCCCCAGCTCACCCTGCTCAACCTCGTCTCCGACACGGCCACCTCGTCGGCCTTGCCCCAGCCCTTCGGCTTCTCCATCTCGCGCAAGGGCCGCATGATCGCCGTCTACAGCACCAAGAACATCTGGCTCATCCAGGCCGACAAGCTGCCGCGCACCTTCATGCGCACCCTGGAGATCCGTCGGAAGCCCGTCGCCGTCGAGATCCTGGACGACGGCAGCCTGCTCGCCGTGCTGTCCAACCCCCACAAGGTCGACCTGTACAGGCTGCAGGACGGAGACAACACGGGCCTGGAGCGGGCCAAGAGCATCATCCTGACCGTCGACGCAAACACAATTGCCCTGTCTCCCGACGGCATGGTCCTGGCCACCGGTTACCAATACGGAATCGAGCTCGTTTCATTGGCCGAGAAGGCCTCCGAGCACGACAGGCGCTCTGTCAACTGCGATCCCATGGACCACCTCGCCTTTTCCGACGACGGCCGCACCTTGCTTGCAACCACTTCTGCAAAGCTCCCGCGCTCAACCACCCTCTTCACCGTCCATGGCGCTTTCGACGGGCCCTTCACCGAGGATGGCGAGCTCATTCCGCAGGAGTGTCACGTCGCGTGGACCAGGCAGATCCTCTTTCCCGAAAAGGCTGTAACTGCAAAGCAGGCATTGTTGCTTCCCGACACCATTACCGGCCAGGTCAACGAGCTGTTCGCTTTTGATGCTGAAGAAGATTCTTGGGGCATCTATGATCTTGCTGGCGTGCAATTCGTTGAGACAAAGGAACCCCCTCCCGAGGTCGGCCGGTTCATGAGAGCCGAATCCCTGGAAGACGCTCTGCCAACCGTCTCTCCTTCTGCCGATCATGTCGCCGTTGCCGTCAAACAGCAGGAATCGAATTCCATATGGCTGTACAGGTTACCAGATGCTTATGAGTCCAACGCTGCCGTGTACAAAGACTTGAGGCAACATTCCGAGCATCACACCCCCGTTGCCCCATGCGCCTATGTCTCCCTTCAGAGGCCTGAGGACACTTCTGCTCAGGATATTTCTGCCATGCGCTGGCTGACGCCTGATTCGCATGCCCCTGGTGACCCTGAAAGGTTGCTTGCTGTTGGTAACGTCGTGTGGAACACAACCCCCGACACGCCGCTCATGCCTGGCGAGACAGCAAAGACCACTGGCATGTTGATCATGATGGACTTTGATTTTTCTCGGAGCTGCGACCCCTGTGGCCAACCAGATAACACCCAGGAGATAGAGATTGACCTCGACGAGGCTCTTCCTGGTGAAAAATTGCCCGAGGATGATATCGACTTCGAACGGGAAGTCGAATTGGTTCGGACTCGAACCGTGGCGCAAAGGAGAGGCGAGGCTGCCAGAGCTGCGGCGAGAAACAACCTGCTCCGTTCGTCGACTACGACTAGTCCAGTGTCAGCCTCTCGTAATCGTGTTCCCAGCCCATTGGGTGCTTCAGCGCGACGCGAACAAACCTCTCCCGCTTTTGAAGAGCCGTACTCTCATGGTCAGCCCAGATCTCAGATGTCGTTGAATAGAGCTGCAACTGTTGCTGCTGCTGCTCCAGCGAACCGAAGACACCTCCGTGCATTACCGAACCAGCCTTTGGAGTATAGGCGTGCCGACGGTCTTCGTGAAATTCCACATGAGAGCGATGCGGATAACTGGGTTCCTCCACCGCCACCTTATACTGAAAATGCAGATCCTCCGGGCCCAGACGCGATGAGCATAAGTTTGAGTCATCCCATGGGTGTTTCTCTCCCTACCATCCCCCAGTCTCCGCCGGCGCAGCACACATCTCTTCCTCGTCTTCGAATCCCTGCTATCGCGCAAGCCGTGGTGTCCGATACATCAAATCACTCTGCTCCACCGGAGTGGCAAGATGCTGATTCTTCATCGACTTTTGACCTTTCCTTTCACAATCCGCATTCGGCCCATCCACTTCAGCAATCAAGCGGTACATCTCACTACTCGTATCCTTCAGGCCAGTCAGCTCGGCCGTTTCTGGCCCGCACTCAAACAAGCCCGACGAGGCCGTCAACCTCCCCGCCGCCAACGCAACCCAACTTTTCTTTCCAACATATTCCGGCATCCGCACATCCCTCATATCAACCAGCGCAACGTTTTCCTCCCGCACAACCAGGGCCGTCCGCTTACCGAACAACCGCAAACTACTCCCAACCGCAGCCGCAACACCCCCATAATGCTACAGAACCTCCTTCTCCGACTACATCTCAACTTGAGGCTGTCCGCCGTCGCGACAGCGTGCCAACACCAGGGCCTCCTCTTGCATCCTGGGGCTCCATCGGAGTCAATCAGCGGGCAGCGCAAAGCGCAGACGATCTCGGGCAAACCCGCAGGAATCGGCCTGGACGCCGCGGCCGCTCCAATTTATCACGACTGGCAACGATCCGCAGCACGAATTCGAGCAACTCGGGGGCGCGCCGTGCTAACAGCACACCGAACCTAGCCGAGATCAATGCTCGTGAAAGGGAGAAAGACAGGAGCGATTTCGATCGCGTAAAGGAAGGGATGCGCAAGCTGAGGTGCATCGTCATGTGAAACCTCGATGCGTTGCTTGCTCCTCTCTCTAGTGCGAAACGTACACAGGCGCGTCTGGTCGGCCTCAATTTTGCTTCTCTCCACACCGCCCTCACCGTCCTTCTCCCTTTTTCCAGTATGTTTACCGATTGCCCTTTGAATGTTTCTCTTTTCTTTTGTTGGCAGGACCAGGCCGTCATCGCTCGTCAACCGCGCTCGTTTTTTACTCTTCTTCTTCCTCTTCCCTGCGCTCCCGCCCCGTCTTGGTAACAGGGGCTTTGCGTCATACCACCTGGAGGCACTATTCTCTTCTTTTTTTCTACCTTATTTTCGTTTCTTTTCGTGTGAGCATCTTATATCACATTTTTTATTTCCTCTCCTGGAATATTTACTATGCCTTCATGACTGTCGTTCATCAGGGAACAGTATAGGTTTTGTATATAGAACAAGGTGGAGGTGTTGTCCTTGTTTTGATTGGATATGACACCACCTTTGGTTTTTGGGGGTGTTGGTTGAAAGAGATACCCTGACGTTTGTTTGACGGCCTGGCGTCTCTATTGTTCTCATTATTTTTTTTTTTTTTTGGATCGGTGGTGAAGAAGCATGTCGGAGATGAAAGGGAAACATGTGTGGATCGAAGATGGGTGGATGGTGATGGGACAACTCCTCTTCTTGCGGTCTTCAACCGCCTACGAACACGCGCGATTGAGATGGTTGAAGGTGAAGAGGGGGTATGTGAGAGGTGATGAAGATCATCGTATTGATAACGTAAGTCGGAGGGGTGTAGTGTTCTATCTGGGAGTGCTAGCTATGAGCGCAGAAGCCAGGTGGCGATCCGGCTAAATATCGGCCCGACAAAGGCATGGCTTGAGTGAAGAGGAGAAGACAATATTCGTGAAATATGGGTAGCTGAAATGAATTTATCTTGAGATAGGACGATAGATCTTCTTTACACTTCGCTTTGTTCCGATGCTACCACAGCGGGTGCAGAAAAAAGAAATTGACCGGGATCGCATGTGGATGCATCTGTACAGATTTCAAACTTACGCCTACGTCCAAACGTCTGCTTCACTTTCTCACGAAAAAAAAAAAGTTTAAACCCACATCTGCGTTGGGATGTCTGCTTCGACTGCCCACGCAAAGAATCGCCGTAGGTCAATTTCTTTCGTCACTCACTATACACACTTGTAAAGCCTTCGTTTCGAAACATGGTTAGTTTCAACTTGAAGTGACGATGAAACAAGGGGTGGACCATGAAACATTGTCTACAGCTCGCGCAAGTAGCGAGTAAAGCAAGTTCGAATGAACAAATAGATAAACTAATCACAGAAGAAGGGTAGAGGAAAGTAAAAAAAAAAAAAGTATAATGTCATGTCGGAATCCGCCACCAGCAGCACCACCGAAGCGCGCAGGTAGAAGTAATCCAACCAGAAGAGCATACACACATACACACACACATACTACAAAGGACTCTTACGTTCGTCCCCGACAACAACGACTTCGTCTCGAACATATACATTCTCTCATCACACAACTAACACCCCTCAAAAGCGCCACACACAGGTGCAGCTCTTCCACCGGGCTTCCATCAAACGTAAATGTACTCAACAGCGCAGGGACCATCCTCCTCGCCCTCAGCAGGCTCAAGGCCGTTGCCGTGGCCATACCCGCCGGAAACACCGGCGTCGGATCCAGGAGCGGGGGTGGCGGTGGGGGCGGCGGCGGAGGCGGCATCATCATCATCGTCACCGCCGGATTCACCTGTAGGGATTGCGGAGTCAGCAGCGCTGGTGGTGGGGATGGCTGGGGTGCTTAGCGCGGGAGTGGTGGGGATGGCGGCGACGGAGGAGGAAGAGGGGGTAGAGGTCGGCACGGCTGAGTACGACGGCGGCGCCTCGACGGAAGAAGAGCTGGACGACGGAGCGGCGGCAGCGGAGGAGGAGGCAGCGGGCGTGGTGGTGGCCGCCGCTTCCACCGCCGAGGTGGCCAGGGTCGTCGGTACGGGCTCGACGGGGACGATGCTGCTGCTGGAGGAAGAGGAGGAAGGGATGTTGATTGCCACGGCGCTGGAGGGTGCGACGACGGCAGAGGTGGAAGATGCAGGGGCCTCGGTGGAAGCGGGCGCTTCGGTGGAGGCCGGGACCTGGGTGGAAGTAGGGGCTGCGGTGGTAGAAGGGGCCACAAAAGAAACGGGGGTAACAGACGAGGATCCGACGTTGACCTGGAGGCCGAGAGTGGCCTCGAAGACGGCGTCACCATAGAAGGGCTCTGTTCGGGTTCGTCAGCGCGCATGTTACGAAGGCGTGTGGGGTGGGGACGGACCGGTGCCGGCGTTGCCGACGTTCACGTAGGTGCTGTCGGTGAAAACACCCTGCTTGACCAGGGCAGAGAGCCAGTCCTTGATGTCACCGCTGAAGGAGCCGGTGAACTGGGTGTCGGGCAGCAGACTGCTGACAGTGATGCCAGTGTCCTCGTTCTTGCCCTGGTAGAGCTTCCACGAGGTGCCGTAGAGGTTGTCGATGGTGGCAACGGCACCGTCAGTCCAGCCGATGGGCAGCTGGCCACCCTCGTACTGGAGCCAGAGCATGAGCTCCTGGGCGTTGGAGCTGGTGGAGTCACCCTTGGTGTCCGAGGTCATGAAGTCGTAGCACACGTTGCCCTTGTAGGCGGTGGTGTTGGTCCTGGTCCACTCGTAGGTGGTCGGGATGGAGCCAATGTCGCTGATGCGGTTCTCCAGGTTCTGGGTCAGGCCGACGAAGGAGTAGCCCTTGGGAAGGTTGTTGGTGGACTCGACGTATTCGATGTTCATGGTGCTGTTCCACTTGACGGCCGGGTTGCCGTTGGCGTCGGTCGTGGTGCCAACGTAGCCAGTGCAGGCGGTACCCTCGATCTGGGCCGAGTTGTACATCATGTTGAAGACAATCCACGGGGTTCCGGAGAGAATGAGCGAGTCGTTGGGCATGTCGCACAGGTTGGCGGCGGCCTGGGCACGCGTCTGCAGGGTGGGAAGGGCAGAGGTCGAAGCCGCGAGGGCGAGCATCGCCTGGATGGAGGCAGACCTGAGGGAAGGCATGGTGGATGTTTCAGAGACGATGAAAGCGAATGTGGATAGCAACCAGGCTAGGTAAGGAACGAATGGAAAGAGTATGCAATACTCAAAAAAGAAGGAACACAGGAACACTTTCTACCGCAGTACCGACGGCTGGCTGCAACAGAGGCATGTTTTATACGATCTGCCTGGTGGGCGGGAGGGAGGTGGGCCCGGAGATTTGCTCCATGGGTCGATGGGTAGTGCCGGGGGTTTGAAACATTGGTGTTCCTCGGCTTCATCTATTTGCGAGTAAGAGCCACGCCTGGCCTCTTAATCGGGCGGGCAGCCTCTCTACCGTGTACACGGGGCGATCGAGGCGCCGCAGAGAGCCTCGACTGCAGGTGCAAGCAGAGGCGGAGGGCAGACTCGCGAGGCGGCAAGTTGCGCGTAGTGGGAAGCGCGACGAGGTTCAGGAGGCTGAAGATGATGTCGCTTGCAACAGGCCCCACTCCGACTTTGGCCTTGCAGCCGTTTGGTGATGGCGTCTCAGTCTCCGTCTCCGGCTCCGCCCCAGCTGGGTGACGGGTGATGCGAGGGGGAAGCGCAGCCCCGCGACGGAAGGCACCCAGCGGAAGCCTTGGCGCCATGCTGACATAATGTGGACCCTGGGCGCGTGTTGACGCAAGTTGGCCGGCATGCTGGAGCTCCCACCTGGCTCCGTCTCGTACTGCACCAGCCTGGCGCGACCTTTCCCTGTGGCTCTGCGATGAGCTACGTCTATTGCTACTGAAGCTCCATCGCCTGTCTCTGCGTGCCTCACGCCGCCTCCGCCATGGCGTTCAACTTCAACATCTTCCGCATCCTGGGCGACCTGTCCCATGCCATCTCGCATATGATCCTCATCGCCGTCATCCACTCGAACCAAAGTGCTGAAGGTGACTATGCTCTCGACACCGGACTGCTTGCTGGTGCCGGCTAACACAGCGCTTGCCCAGGTGTCTCCCTCCTGACCCAAGTCCTCTATGTCGTCGTCTTCTGCACGCGGTACATCGACCTCTTCGTGGTCTCACCCTTTGGCGACTGGCATAGGTGGTGGAACTTCGTGCTCAAAATCTACTTCATCGCCACCTCGGCATACATCGTCTTCATAATGACGCGCGTCTTCGCACGCACGAGGGAAAGGGAGAGGGCCATGAAACTAGGCGGATATGCCACTCTTGGAAGCCTGGTCCTGACCCCGATCATGACTGGAATCTTCCACAGCTGGCACCCTTTCACCTTTGGCGAGGTAGGCCTTCTCCGTCTTCGTTTTTCGAGAGTGGGCGTGACTGACTCTGAGTTCGTGTAGAACCTTTGGAGCTTTTCCATCATCCTGGAGTCTGTCGCTGCCCTGCCGCAACTGCTCCTGCTTCGGCAGACCAATGTCCCCACTGTTATAGACTCGTTCTATCTCGTCACACTTGGCTCCTACCGTGGCTTCTACATCCTGAACTGGCTCGTCCGCGGCTTCGGGCCTGAGCACAACTTCGATCCCATCCGCACCATCTTCGGCATCCTCCAGACGGCTCTGTACATCGATTTCGCATGGGTCTACTGGACAAGGCAACGCGTCAAGCTCCGCCATGGTGGAGTTGTGGATAGCGATGACCTGAGCAGAAGCTGGTTCGTCGGGCGAGTGCTCGGTCGGAAGAGCACAGATGCGGATCGCGACGATTTCGACTACGACGCAGAGGCTGGAGACGCTCCGTCACCACAGGAAGCCCGGCCAAGGAACAACAAGTGGGGTGCGCGTGGAGTTTCCGTGTCGGCAGATGAGGGGGTGCTTGACCGTGACGGAGGAGAAGCATCCAAGCCCCTCACGGCACCTGAGGCGTTTGAGGACGACAGCGACGATGAGGGCGACCTGGGAGGCAGGTCCAGCCACAAGAGGGGAGAAGACCATCTCAGCGGCGTCGGCAACGGTGCAGAATGGCGAGAGGAACGGGACTAACGGAGATAGGACTTCTCATTTGCGTTTTATCGCCGTGTTCTACGGAATCGGCTCGGCGCGCTTTGATGGCTTCAGGTACCGGTTGTAGAGGGGGTACTATCCACAGCCGAATGGCCTTGTGTAATGTAGCCAACATCTTTCTAGCATCAGCAATAAGACTTCTGTTTTTAACAGCATGGGACGTCACAGGCACACTCTCAAGCGCTGTTTGCTGCACGGCCGATCTCCCGCCTGCAGGTGGTGCTTGGTGGGCTTCTGCTCCTGATCCCCTCCCACGCCGGGACAAGCGGGGCTTGCCGAGTTGGCATTGCGTCACCGCCAACACGCGAAGCCTCATAAGCAACCGATATCTCCGCATGCTGACACAGCATAAGACCAGCACGGCAAACTTGGGTTTCTTAAGGTTCTACATCATCCGCAAACATGAATGCATTGAGAAGGCTGCTCACGTTGCAGAAACACCTAGGCACCTTGTCCAACCGCGGATTCGCTACGACTGCCAAGATGGCCACCAACGGGGAGCTCAACATCGACTCCAAGTACCAACTGAACTCAGGGTACGAGATACCGGCACTGGGCTTCGGTGTATGTAAAACCTCCATCCGTAATTTCTTTTGCATTCTTCCGTCTTGTCAGCCGCGTTTCCTTTGAGTCGACGCTGGCCCCCATGTTGTACAGGCCACGGGTCTCAGTATCAGTCGTGGGCACAAACACAAACCCTCGCGCTGCGGTCACGCGTGGTTCCCTGAGAGTCTTGTCCAACAATTGCGGTGCTACTGTGTGAAACTGCGCTATACCCCGTCCATTGTCGCTGACCGTCCCTAGGTGTATCAGACGTAAGACCCGTTCTGCACATATCCCCCGGGTGGAATACATGGACCAATATACTGAATCCCCGCAAAAGTCCCGCGGCCGAGGCGGCCGAACTCGTCAAGCACGCCATTGCCAACGGGTATCGTCATGTAAGACTCACATGGCTCGCAGCCGGGCGTTATCTGCAGGCATCATATGTTCCGGGATTTTGCGCAGGAGTTAACGCCACGCGCCCGCGCGATCTATAGGTCGACTCAGCCCGAGCCTATCGCAACGAGAAGGCTTCAGCCACGGGCCTGCTAGCCGCCGGCGTTCCCCGTTCGTCGCTCTTCTTCACGTCCAAGGTAGCACCAAAAGCCATGTCGTACGAGTCGGCAAAAGCGGATGTGGAGGCGACGCTCCAAGAAACGGGGCTTGACTACATCGACCTATACCTGGTTCATGCGCCGTACGGAGGGCGCGAGGCACGCTTGGGCGCGTGGAAGGCGCTGGTCGAGGCTGTCGAAGCGGGGAGTGTGAGGAGCATTGGCGTCAGCAACTATGGCGTCCATCACCTGGAGGAGTTGGAGGCGTGGATCAAAGAGACGGAGGACAAACGGGGAAAGGGCAAGGGCGGCGTGCTGAGCGTGAACCAAGTGGAACTGCATCCATGGTTGGCCAGGGATGACATAGTCCAGTGGTGTCGGCAGCGGGGCGTTCTGATGGAGGTGAGGATGGTGATGTCTGATTCATGTGCTCCCTCACTAACCTCTGTGGCACAGGCCTATTGTCCGCTGGTTCGGGCTACTAAGAACGATGATCCATTGTTGGTGTCACTCGCGAGCAAACATGCGAAGACGTCGGCACAGGTTCTGCTGAGGTGGGGTCTGCAGAAGGTACGTTCGCCTGCCCGCGCCCCTTGTGGATAGTGGGTGTTTGACCGTCTAGTAGGGCTTCGTGATCCTTCCCAAGACTGTGACCCTGTCTCGCATCGAGGAGAACGCCAACATTTTCGATTTCAAGCTGGACGCCGAGGATATGAAGAGCCTAGAGACGGGGGCATACGCACCGTGCGCCTGGGATCCCACCGTTAGCCGTGACTAAACGTTACCATAAGCTTAAGCTCAGGGCGGAGGGACCACGGCTGCTCCGAGACAACGGGAAGCGGGGATAGCCAGCTTAGGAATTTCGATGTGACGCACTGCTTACTGTGTATGATTGCGGGAGTGTTCCAAGGAAGTGTCAGGGGGGAACCGAATTGCCATCGTCGGACCCTGAGTGCTGAGGAGGTGAATGATCAACGCCTCGTCGGAACAAGGCTGTGCTTTGCCTTACACACAAGGCAAAAGCAGCCCCAGGGTCCTCGACCGTACCCCCCGTGCCCCCTTGCACGACGAGCGCTGGGGCTGGACGGCCAAAGAGGCCGCGTACGACGCCGAATCAAGCCGCGGCTGCAGGAGTTGCCTCTTCCTTTCTCCTGAGCTCCGGGCAGAGTTTAGTCCATGGCAGCTTGCGGCGAAGGCTAGACGAGGCCTTTCTCCTGTGCAGTGCCCAACAACGGGCCCGTAGCTCGGGCTGACGCCAAACGCCTGCCATCGCAGCTGTCTGATGAGGCTGAGCCATGGTTGGGGCGGCTAAATCTGTCAGCAGCCGGACGCGCTGTCATTGGCCGCCGCGTCACCGCATGGCGCAGATGATTGTACGTATGTCGGGGCCAATATGCAGCTGACTCGGCTTTACGGGCTACCTACGCTCGCAGAAGATCACCGGTGCAGCAGCCAGCCAGCACCGCGCTCCCCTTTTAGAAGCAGGCTCTGCTGTCTGGTGCGGAGGCGGGCGATCGGCGGCGGGCAGGTGCTGATGCCAGACCCTTGGGCGTCCCCGAAACTGCGCCAGAACAACGTCGGTTTGATCAACGGGCCGGCGAGAGGAGGATGGATGCGATGAAGGTGGAAGGGGGTGCAGCGCGCTCGGTTGGGCGCCGCGAAACGCAGCCACGGAGGCGTTGGGAAAGCTTGGTAAAGCTTGGCTCCTGGATTACGCGGCTTCCAGGCTTGCGGCTAGACGTGTGTTTTGGCTGGCTCCGCGCGGCGAGGCACGAGACGACCGGGCAGGTCGACGCAGAGCGAGGCCTGGTGTTTATCATCAATTGCAGCGCGCCCGAGCCGGGAGCCCAGTGCTGCAGGGCGGGAGTGCCTGGGGGGTTAGGCGGACCGCACGACGCGGTGTCGCAGGGCGGATGGGCAGCGTCAGCAGGGCGGTAATTGCGGACTGGCGGTCGCGGCCTGTCACTAACGGGCGTCGTCATCACAGCTGCAACAGCGCTCGTAAAACACTAATCAGGATTGCACCACGCCAGGCATGCAATCGCGTCACCCCCGGTCGGAGCGCGGCATCCTACGCGACAGCGCCAGTGCCGTGCTTGCCGGCAGGCAGCCAGGCGGGCGGGCAGGCAGCCAGGCAGGCGGGCGGGCGGGCAGATCTGGGGCGCCGCGCGAGACTCGCAGCAGGCTGCGCGGCTGCGCGAAACCCGGTACGCAACTCGGCCTTGCCCCAGCGGGCCAGCGCTGCCACTGGGACGCGGGCTGTGGCGCACCGGCTGGCAACAAGCTGCAAGTCTCGCTGGCGCAGCGGGCGCCCGGTCCCTGCCTGACGCTTGTGGCCGCGACATCGCCGCGGCATCCTGGTCAGCGCTCGGCCGCATCTCCACGCCCGGCCGCGAGTCGCTCCGCTGTGCCTCGCATCCACCGAGCCATATTAAGACTGCCCCCAGCCCGTCGCCGCTCAACCCGGCAATCCCTCACGCGACAACCTCTTCCCCCCAGCCTTGCTGCGCGCCCCTCTTCTCCTCTTCTCCGGCTCTGCGCCCATAGTATGCGGTTGGCCCTCTAAACGCGTCGCTACCCCAGAATTCCGCCATGTTCGCCCGCCTTTCGCTATGCTCGCTCGTCGCCGCCCTCGCCCTGGTGCGCGACGTGCACGCCGTCCCCACCCCGCCGGATGCTGCCATGCGGAAACGCGACGCCGACTTCCTGAGCGTCAAGACCAAGAGCAAGCAGGACCACAGCGGCAAGGGCGGTGATCCCGTCGACAAGTACTTCCACGAGTCGACTGTAAGACCATCCGCCCAATCCGGCATTGGCACATGCCGCAGAATCGCCTAGCCTAACGTGCCTGCCTCCAGTTCCACCCCCACTACGACGGCCGTTTCGCCGAGACGACGCTGACCTACGACGACCGGCTGTCCAACCTCACTGCCCTCGTCCAGACCTATCTCTCCACCATGCACGACATCGGCGCCGAAACGTGGATCATGCACGGCTCGCTGCTCGGCTGGTGGTGGAACCGCAAGATCATGCCCTGGGACACGGACATCGACGTGCAAATGTCGGAGCAGAGCATGCACTACCTGGCCAGCTACTACAACATGACCGTCCACCACTTCAACATCCCCGGCACCGACATCAGCCGCGACTACATGATCGAGATCAACCCGCACTACGTCAACGGCTCCACCACCGACTGGCTCAATGTCATCGACGCCCGCTGGATCGACACCGACACCGGCTTGTTCATCGACATCACCAGCGTCCGCCACGACAAGGAGAAGGAGGACGCCGGCAACCCGGGCTGGATGTACTGCAAGGACAAGCACCACTTCCGCTACGACGACATCTTCCCGCTTCGCGACAGCACTTTCGAGAACATGCCGGTCAAGATCCCCTACGCCTACACCGAACTGCTCCGCGAGGAATACGGCTCCAAGAGCATGACCAACACGCGTTACGAGGGCCACCGCTTCGACCAGGAGGCCATGGATTGGATCCCCCTTGAGTAAGTCTGACCTCGGCTGCAGTCTTCCGATATTACGTGTTTGCTGACTGTATTGCCTCGTGTAGCTCGTACTGTGCGACCCACAAGAAGGATTGCCGCACTGGAACTCACCAGGGAGGCGGCGTCTGAAAGCCTCACTTGACCTCTGAACAATTTCCTTTTTAGAAGAAAATCAGGAACAAACTCAACCCTCATGGCCACGAAGGATTCGCCCTACCTCCTTCGGTTTGATCTCCGGTCGCCCGTATCACCGAGTGCGATCCGGCTTTCCTTAGCCCCCCTTGCCACTCATCAGCAAGTGCGCGGCGATGGTGGCCACCACCTACTCCCTTGTACAGACGAACCCGAGTCCGACATAACGTGGACCCTGCATAGCCTGGAGTTTATCGGATCCTTTTTGTTTCCGTTGAATGTGAGCTTTAGCATCGCAGCAAAGGCGCCATAGTAAATGCATTGGAAAAAAAAAATCCCACGAGGAGAACCGGCATAGGGATGGAAAAGGCATTTTTCTTTTGTATCCTGATGGGTTGTTGCTTGTTTTAGAGGATGAATGTGGAGGAAAATCATGATCCACGAAAGGAGAGCAATCTGGCCTCTGTTTCCACCACGACCGAGAGCGACATTCATAGCATGTTTTGCTTCGTTCGAAAGCTAGATACCCACCATCATGTGCAGTTCCTGATTACAGGACCGAATATGTTTGTCTTTACACGCAGTTTCGAATCAATGGATTCATCTTGACTCGAATCCTGGTGCCTTCGTGACACTCCAAACAACCCGTTATCTTTCCTTTTCCCATAACCGTTTTCTCATACCTGTCAGCTGCCGAACATGTCGGCTTCATTTTTAAGATCACACCGAGCGTAGCGTCCATCTTAAAACACATGTTCAAGTCGACAACCATATCCGATAGTTGCTGTAGTTGAGATCGAGTTGATCGTTATCTAGTTCCCCTCATTTTTATGCTTTTTCTGAGACAGTCTCATTTCCAGTCATGCGAGCTGATACCAACTCATATTCACTTTGCTAGCGGCTGGGGAAATACGAGGGACTGGTCTAACCTAACCAGGCACTATTTGCACGATGCTTTGTCACCCCTTCACTGCTTTAAAAAAAAAAGGCCTTTTGAGGGATGTAATACCTAAAGTATATGCTTAGTCCCCGACTAGCATGTCAATTCATCTCAACGTCATATCCTCTCAACAAAGACATCTCGCATCGAAGAGTAGAGCACGTCTTCAAAAACAGCCATCTATAACATACAAGTGGTTACTACAGGCAAACATGTTCTTTAGCGATTGGTGCTGGGAAACATTGCGCCTCGCTATTACACCGATTGCCGGCCACCTCGCGGGCGTTGTGGCGGATCATACACCTAAAGCTACTGCAAAATTTCAATATAGTACGCACTTTGCTAGCTACTCACATGAAGAGGAGGAAGGCGACTAAAATATCAAGGTCCTCTGTGCGATGCTTTAGCAACGGGTATGCCCTCTGTTTCCACGGTACAGTCTATTCCTACCCATTATATACAGATTCGGAACAAACACTGGTCCCTCTCGGCCCCTTTGCAGATGCACCGGCCCATGAAGTCCTATCATGGCTTCACGGCTCGGTGCAAGGTGAGTAAAAATAATCGATGAGCCAGGTCTGGGCAAGCATGAACACCATCGGAACGAAGCTAACCCTACCGCTATACGTCAGGTAGGGCGAGTTTTTGCGGCCTCGAGACTTGTACCATCAAGCTCCTGCTAATATTATACACCATCGCCAATGATCCGGTCTTCCCCCAAAGATGAGTTGCCCGTGGGTTTTGGTGCTACGATGAGCCGAAGCTATTTCCGGAACCGGAGCAATTCCGACGATGTTACGGTGCGGTTCGCTAACACGCATGGTCACCCAAAAGCACCGAATCTGGCCCAATGACATGTACAAGGGATGGCGACCAAGTCAAACTTGCACATGACATGGACACAACTGGCTATAAATAGACGCTATAGCTAGAGTGAAATCAACCTTGAACGGTGCGACTTGGCCACCCTTAGTGTCATGTTTTCGATAGCTTGATCCAACTACCTTGCAAGAACTTCGATACCCAAAAGTTGTCATGCCTTATATTATCAGACACGCTGGAACTCAATAGTCTATCAGGAGACAAGGCGCCGGCAATTGGGGGGCAAGAACCTCCATATAGCGTATATGCCTTAGTGCCCGAGTATCCATGATCGGATTTGCCTCGTATTCGTCACTGAAGGTATATCACTAAAGAAACTTTAGTAGATAGCACATGCATGTTGTTTGTCGCACCTTCCCCCTAGGCAAACTCAGAGAAATGGGAAAAAAACGCAATTATGAAGACAATTTCCAGTCTGGTGCAAAGATCGCCACTGCCCCCGGACGTTTATCAACGAACGGCACTTGCTGCCGCCTCCCTCGGCATTTTAAGCTTCGGGCTATGCCTCGACTCCGCCGATCTCTATTGATGGCACCTTCTTCCCCTTCCGGTTGGAATCCTTGAGCTTCTGTGCCAGGACCACCCAAGGGGTATACTTTCAACTGTCGCGCGTTGCTGAATCAAACGATTTCCCGAAGTTTGGTCGTGGGCAGGTGGTATGGTCGAAGGTGTTTCTAGCAGAAACGTGGTACGGGCGTCTGATGTAGGTAGCAAAGTCGCCATCAGTCATGGAGCTGATGAAGAGATGCATTCCTTGTACGTGGTATGGCCGGCATTCCCTGTCTTTTCCCGTGGTTTCGTTGGCCCTGCTTTTCCTGCCACTGATGCTTCACTATCCTCTCTCTCACATGAACGAAACACGCAACCCCGGGGTATAAACTCCATCATGTCCTTTTACAACATCGCGTAGGGAGGGAGAGAGAGAGAGAGATCTGCAACATAGTCTTGCACAATATACCCTTTCATTTTATTTCCCCCTCTTTCCAGGCTTCATATTTGCTGCTCGCCTTCCGCACCAACAGGAGCGCCTCCATCCTGCTCTTCCGCCTCCATCTCCTCATCCAAATCCTCAATCGGAAAAGTCAAGATGGCAGCGATATTGCCCAACCCCTCCAACCTCTTTCCGCTCTCGTGCGCCGAACTCAGCACTCTCACCTCGCCGCCCTCGGTCTCGCGGACGCGATCCACCAGGCCGACCCAACGGCGCCTCGTCGCGATGTCCTGGCTCCGAAACAAGGCGTTCGAGATCAACAACACGCCGCCGCCGCGCCCCACGGCGCCCTTGTCCGCCGCCTTCTCCACCTCGCGGGGCCCGTACCACGCGCGGCCGTCGTCCAGGCGCAGAAGTTCGAAGAAGCGGTCCATGAGCGCGGTTTCGCGCGCGTACTTGGTGTCGCTGAGGCGGGCGAGGACGGTGGGCGACTTGAGGACCTCGTTCAGGGCGTGGACGTGGCCGGACGAGGCGTGCGCGACGAGGATGGCGTTGGCCTGCGCTTGCAAGGGCTTGCTGCCGGTGGAGAGGGCGCGCTGCTTGATGTAGGCTTGGAAGGAGGACGCGAGGAAGCCCGGGGAGGCGAGGAGGAGGGGGCGAGGGTCGGTGAGGTCGACTTGGCGGAGGAGGGTGGAGAGGACGGTGGAGAAAAACTTTTCCAGGCCCTGGGGAAGAAAGTCAGTATTCGAGGCGGACTTGGCATGGTGGGGGGGGAGAGGGAAAAAACCTACCTTGTCGTGGTCGCCCTGCCCGCCCCTCCTCTTCCGCGGTATGGGCGTCTCGACGCGCTGGCGCAGAATGGTCTGGTGCTCGGTGATCAGGCAGATGTTGGCCATGCCCTCCTGCATGACGACGGCCCAAACATCGACGCGCTTGGTCGGGTCGGTGGCCTCTTTCAGCGCGTCGAGCGCGATGCTGTCCCAGCCGTCGGCCTTCTCCAGCACGAACTGCCGCTGCAGTTCCAGGTCCAGCGTGTGGCTCTGGCCCAGCCCGACATGCTCGTTCTCCTCGGCCACGGTGCCCGACACGTGTAGCTGGCTGCTGCCCGCGTCGAAGTCCGTCTTCGTCACCCGGATCTTCAGATTCGTCTGCACCCGCTTCGACGTCGTGGCGCCCGTCCCCGATGTTATCGTAACTTTGCGCAGCGCCGCGGCGCGCAGCATGTCCAGTGGTCGTATCAGGTTGTACGCGTGCCACATGTCCTCGGGTTCTTCGGGCAGCAGCGTCGCGGTGCCGGTGCCGGTGCGGCGGTCGATGTTCTGTTTGATGAGGCGCATGGTGATTTGTCGCGTGTACTGGGTCGAGTCGGTAGATGGCTAGGTTTTTTGGGGGGCACAGGGTGGGAGGGGCGGGCGTGGTCTTAAAAATCGGTCGTGATTGCAGTTTGGACTGGCCCGCGGTGACGTTGGTTGGGGCGGGCGGACCCTGGCCCCACCAGTATCGATAAACAGCAGGCCATCCACGGCTTGATCTTTACACATCAACCGCCCAAATTGGTATTGACCCGATAATGCATTGAATTGTGATTTAGTCTGAGTGTTGAATCCATTGCTTCCAGGCTGGCTGCTTGAGCACCAGAGCACACGATCTAGTCAGGCAGGTATTCCTTCAATCGACTGTCCTCCAGCAGCTAGTACAGAGCTATGTTCACCGCCCGAATCTCTTGATCTCCCACCACCTCAGCGGCGGAAACACCAGCGCAGCCCATGCGAAGCCCACGTAGTTGCCCATGTCAGCGCCATAATCGCCAACCGTGCTGGCAATGGGCCCAATGTACCAGACCTGCGCCATAGACAGGATGGCACCCGCCCACCCCACAAGAAACGCCGCCAGCGCGGCGATACCCAGCGGGAGGTGCTTTTGATCGTCCCAACGAGCCCAGTCCCACGTCCGGCCCGAGCTGGCCCGCCGGAAAAGCAGATGTTCCTCAAGCGTGATGGCGAGCCAGATGCACACCCAGTAGCCCATCAGCGCGAGGAAGTTCGTGAATATCTCGGCCAGGTGTGCGCGACCCGCCGCGGCGCAGACAGTGTAGATGACGACGCCAATCGTGTTCCAGACGATGCGCGGCACCTGCGCGCACCAGCGGCCAAGGATCTGGAAGTCGACGCCGGAGGAGTAGGTCGGCACGATGAGGTTGGCGATAAGACCGAGAGCGACGACGACGCCGCAGAACTTTCCAAATTCACCCAGTGGCGCGAAGCCCTCGACTATCAGCGCGCCCTGCGAGGTCCCGTACGCGGCCTCCCAGCTAGGGTTGGCGGCCATGCCGGACGCCAGCCCGATCCCGACGATGAATGCGAAGGTGAAGCTGGCGGAGAGACCTACCATTGTTACGACAAACACTTTCCACGAGGGCGTGGACGACGGGTAGTACACGAAGTAGTCGGCGGCGCCCCCGCCGTACGTGATTGCGGCGGCAAGGCAGAGCGAGAAGAAGGAAAGCCGGTTCCCCGCAAGCGTGCGTGCGTCGCCAGCGGACGAGGGCGTCGTGGTATCAAACTTCGGGCCGGCAACACCAGCAAGAATGCAGATGATCATGAGCTGCGGCAGCCAAGCGTAGCGCTCATACATGTGGAACACAGAGTAGCCAAATGTGGTGATCCCCCAAGTGATTACGGCCACGATGATGATGCCCACCACGACGGACATGGTGTTCGCTGACACGGCCGAAAGGATCTGCCCGGCAACCACGCAGTCAATCAAAGCGTAGCCAAGGAGGACGATGATGTTCAGTAGCACCACGATCTTGGACGGATACCAACCCATCGTGTATCGGGCGAAGATCATCGTCCGATTCCCGGAACGCGGACCGAAAGTTGCGGCATATGCAACACCAAGGCATCCAAGAAGCATGCCCAGCACCGCACACAAGCAGCTGTCGGTAAAGCCAAGGTAGTAGACGGCGGGTCCCAGCATTCCGAGTGTGATGTTGTTGGCTGCCAGATTGACCGAGAACCAAAGGATTGCGATCTGCGAGTAGCCCAAGGAGCGGAGGTCATGCCGCTCGTCTGGCTCCACACGCTGAATGCCGCGTGCCTCGAGGTTGTCTGAAGCCAAGAAGCCGTCAGCATCGTCGTCCTCTCAACGTGAAGGATGGGGCCACGTGCACTCGACGAGAGTTTCCTCAAGCACCTTGTACCAGCTCTTAGTGGTAGCCAGGGCGGCGGAAGGACGGCGGGCGGCCAACTGCTCATCGTCCCGTTGGGATGGTGCGCGGCCGTGCAGGTGGGGAACGAAGCCCTTCTCAACGTCAACCGTCGTGGCGGGCTGCTGTTCGTGGGGCATGGCTCCCTACGCCGAAGTCAGCATTCCACAGCCCATGACGCGGGGCAGGGGTTGCAAGGCAAGCAGCACGCGTTCTTTCGCTAGAATTATCTAGATCAAGTTCAACCGTATCTTCTCAGAACGACTGGCCAGTAGACGTCTCCCGCGGCGGCACCAATCCGCCCGATTCCCCCACACGGTCCTGCAAGCTGACGGCCCGCTCCGGATGGTGTGGGGGAGAGGGGGAGTGGTGGTCGCACAAGGGGACGCTACGGAAGCCTGACGAACACCGGTGTCATGCTGATGCTACCTAGATACCTTGATTCGAGAGATGCTTCGTGCGACGGGCCTGCATTTTGCTTCGTGGTCGTACTTTGGGTGTTCTAGACGGGCGGCGGCGATGGAGATGCAACAATGGACGGAGACGAGTGAGGTAGGAGGATGTTGAGGTGGTGTGTTCGGCAAAAACTGCGGACTGACTCGGCAGCGACCGGGATGCGGCTTTGTGGCTTCTCGAATGCCGCCGATCCCGAACATCTTTTCTCCACCCTGTCGCCGCCGTGCTGGGCGCCAAGCATCTAGATTTCTGGGTGCAGCTCTCAAGCCTGTGAACCAAGGAGAATTCCAGACTCTCCTGGGCGGCTGTGGGGTGCAGCACCCCCGCAGCGGCCGCGACTTCTCGTTCGCCGGCCAAGGTTGCGATCTTTGGTAAGCTCGAACTCAATCTCACCCGCTTTGGCAAAATCTTCCAAGCAAGGGATTGCCACCATGGGCGACGTGATTATTTTGTGTGTTGTCTTGCTGCATTCAGCATCCAAGGCAAGGGATTCCGAACGTCGGCTTCCGGTGAGCCAATCGCACGCCATCATCATTATTCACGCCATGGTCGCAATATTGCACAACATGTTGCAAACGAAAAGTATTTTTATTAGGTAGGTGAGATCGAGACCTTTGCCCCGCATCAATTAAAGCGCCAACTATGTGATGCTAGCCAATAAGAACGATGGGTATTCGCTTTTCGGTGAAGGATTGGTATCCTCCGTCTCAAGAAATGCTAACAACACCCGTGAAAGAACCACACTTTTGAAAAAAAAAACACCCGGCTGGTAGTGTGTAGCCTAGACATGCGCCGTGCCCGCTCTCGGGGACTGCCATCCGCCTAGCTTCGCCTTGGCAAAGGGTGAGAGCGATGATGGCATCGACTCCACAGGCTCGAGGAAATAATTCCCGGCTGCCAGGCTGCCAGGCTGCCAGGCTGCCAGGCATGTGCGCGGCTCCGCCATGGTCAAGGATGTGGGCCAAGGGGGAATGACGTCCAGAGCGTCGGAATATGCGGGGATGATTTTTGCTAGAAGCCTCGGCGCCAAGCCAGGACTTCAGCTCCGCCCAATCATGGTCCGAGACAGGCGAGGTATCGCGGACCATGGCGCACGGTGGGCCAATCCGCCCTTGGCGAAGTCTTGACCTGACTCTACATGTCTTTGATTTGCCTCCGCCCGACCAGGCGCGCAGTGTCGACGGTGGACGGTGGACGCCGCAAGGAGCACGACGTCAAGGTGCCGTGCAAAAAAGAATCCCGAGTGATGATCGCTGGCAATTGCAGCAGCCCGAAGCAGCAATGACTTCAGACCGCATGGCTCGATCCGCTCCTAGTCCTCAGACAAGGGCCATGGGCCGTACTGTGTACCGCCATGACGCAAGAGTGGTGGAACACGACCCCCTGCCCATACAGCCGCGAAGGCGGTGATTGGGATCTCCGGCACTGCTGTGGAGAAGTGTGGGGAATCAATATGGAGGTCGTGCGGAGGGATCGCCAGAAATTTACTCCTGATCGGAGGGCTCCGCCGACGAGAAGCGCGACGAGGTCGACGAGGTCGACGAGATGGACGAGTTGCGAGGAGCGTACAGCGGGCGCGCGGCCGGCTCCTCGTCGTCGTCGTCGGGGGTGAAGAGGCTGGGGTCGGCGCGGATTGCCTGGCCGCCGGCCAGGTTGGTGATGTAGATGTACTTGATGTCCGAGGCCATGGTGGTGGAGGTCATGGTGGTGGAGGTCATGGTGGTGGAGTGCATTGTTGGAAGAGTAGATAGAGTGGGTTGCTGGTTGGTTGCGGTAGGCGGTGATTGATGTGTTTGACGGCGCGTTGCCGTCGTGGGAAGGGCAGATACTTATAATGGAGGCACCCTGGCGATAGGCTCCGCGAGGTGGATTAACGCCGCCTGAGTCGGACATGGCTGGGCCCGGACGCAGGGCTAGTGAGTCAGCTTGGCGCTTCGGTGGGCTTCAGTGGGCGCTGATTGTTTTAAGGTTCGGAGCCTAAAGCGGGTCGAGTTCCGCAAAAGCCGGCAGCGCGCGACAAGCTGCCTGCGCGAATGCACCCTGCCGCCTGCCTGCGCCCCGAGGGTGGGGAGCGCCCCTCAGCGCCCTCCATCACCGCGCGTCGCCCATGCCACTGCCACGGCCTGTCGTGTTCGCTCGCGGGGCCCAGAACCGTGTTGCGCACGCCTCGGCCTCGGCCTCACGCCAGTCGGTGGTCGCCGCCAGCCCAGCCGCGCGTGATGACTTCGCCCGCGCACGCACCACTGCAGGACACGGAGCCTCGCTGCCAGCCCGTCCGTGTCATCCCCGTCGCCTTCCAGCCCATTTCTCATCGGCGTCCGGTTTCCGAATCTGAGCTCGGCTGTATCCCCCCAAAGTCCGCCTCGCGCCCTCACTGATCAGATCAGCTGCGTGGCCGCCGTCAAGGCACGCCGCACGCCAGACAATGGCACACCATGACGGCAGGAGTGACGCACGACCCGCGCGCTGGCGATAAGCCTAGGTGCATTTGCTTTCCGACCGGTGCGCCGTGACGCCGCTCATCCCTCGCAGCCAAGCCCGCCCATTCGTCGCAGCGCCCGTCTCCCAAACGTTCCTCAAACCCCAATCAATCTGCTGCTCGGGTCGCAACCTCCCGCGCGCTGCCGTCTCCGCGATCGTCTAGCTTTCGTCTAACTTTTAGACCCGTGTCCCCGTTTGCTTCGCCCTGCGCATCAGCGCCAGTGCTCCCCAGCCGCGACGCCCCGCGTCCGACATGGCTTCAGCACCAGCCACCGCCGACTTCAGGCCCGCACTGGTCATCGTCGACGTGCAGGAGGATTTCTGCCCTCCTGTAAGGCTAACCCCACACTTATTTCCGCCCTCTGATCGCCATTGCACCCAGATGTGCTTGACCGCCCGCAGCCACCTCGACTTGCACACAGTCCCCCCCATGTCCGTTTGGCTGACCCCCGCAATCTCGCTACCAGACCGGCGCGCTGGCTGTACAGGACGGCCGTGCCATCGTGCCCACCGTCAACCGGCTGCTGCGCCTGCCCTTCGCCGTGCGAGTCGCGACCAAGGACTGGCACCCGCGCGACCACGTCTCATTCGCCTCGAACCACGCGGCACCCGACAACGTGCCCTTCGTCACCACCGTAACCATCGCCAACCCGCACAACGCCGATGAGACCCAGACCACGCGCTTGTGGCCGGTCCACTGCGTACAGGGCACGCCGGGTGCCGAACTAATCCCAGAGCTCGACCAGAGCCGCGTCACGGACGTGGTCGAGAAGGGCCAGGATCGCCGCGTCGAGATGTACTCGGCCTTCGCTGACCCGTTCCGCCGCCCGCACGTCGCCCGCAGCGGGCTCGCCCATCTGCTCCGCGCTGCCAAAGTGTCGGACGTGTTTGTCGTTGGCCTGGCCATGGACTATTGCGTCAAGTTCACCGCCCTGGACGCAGTCGCCGAGGGCTTCCGGACCGTGGTCGTAAGCGAGGGGACCAAGGCTGTGGAACCGGCGCGGTGGCCCGACGTGCAGGAGGAGATGGAGGCGGCCGGGGTGGGCTTCGTGAGCGTGGACGGAGACGAGGTCAAGAGAGTGGAGCAGCTCTTGTAGGAGGGAGAGGGAGATGTGTGGGTGGGTGGGGCTACCACCTTCATGCTATCATAGTGGAGCACCCATCCGGCGTGGCGGTGAGTTTGGTTCGTGCGCGTGGAGCTTCTTTTCGCGACGAACACTGCTCCTGCACACTCCCTTGATGCTCAAACCATTTCTTCTAGAGACCAGGCGGTACAGGTAGGACTGGATGGGTTCCCGCTGCAGCTCTGTCATAGCCACGATGGAACCATTCCCAGATCACGGCAAAGCCGGCCCGCTGAAAATGAAGCAGTGATATTGCCTTACCGGCGGGAATCCCATCTCGAAGAACGGACGCCTTGCAGGTGATCATCAGTTTCGCAACCGTTTTGAGGCAACCATTTTGCCTGCAGCATCCCCTGTTCATCTTTTGCCTGTCTGAGCCGATCGATCGCAGTCATCGAGGCCACGGCGAAGGCAAGAAGAGTGGGTTAAGAAGCTTCCCCTCCTCCGCATCCACGTTTCAAATGTCACCGGGTTGTCCCAGGCCATGCGTGGTATGCCCCCGGGTCTGGATGTTTGTTCTCTCGCTTTCTTACGGGATCTACTCCTCTAAGTTGCTGGCTCTAGCTTTGGTCGATGGAAATTATCGGATGGACCTCCCCAAATTGCGGTATGTATGGAGGATGCCCACGGACCAGGCTCGAGCGTTGCGTTGCTATGCTTGCCCTCCTCCAATAGTACATGGGCCACCGTGAGGCAGGAACTGACTAAGGCTCTCTCAAGCAGCATAACATCACCGCGACGCAATCACGCGAGCGTGATTCTCGTTTCGTAGGTATATAAACTGTGGTCGCTGCCCTTCCTTCCCTCCCCCCCACCCGGGGGATCTGGTGCAATTCGAATGCCAACACGCAAAATAATGTATGACGGTTCGTGTTTGTTGGAGCAGTCGTCCTCCAGATGTTCTAGACCAGGTTACGAGATGGACCCACGTCACTACATGTAAAGGCTAATGTGAATCTGGTAAACACCGTTGCCTTGTCAACCATTTGATGACGCGCTCTGGCCTCAACCGATCGGGCCGCATTTGCTGTCGCCGAGGCGCCGTGATGCGGTTTTATACCGGCAGTTTCTTACGGAGGTTTGTGGGGTTTCATAGAGAGGTCGAGGTCATGCCAGTTCCATGCACGCAAAACACATGGCGTCCGGCTCCGGGCTGTCTTCACCTCGGATTCGGAATTGCTTGCCAGACGTTGGAGTATCGACCGGAACGCCGGTCTCTTGGAGGGTCATGGAGAAACAGGCCATGAGGGCACCTCCGATTTGCCTCACTCAGGATGTATGGGTAGCCCGGGATGGAGACGAGCAGGGTAAACCCTTTGCCTCAGCGCCCTGGCTGACTGTTGAACAAGGGATTGCTTGACGAATGAATATCGCAGACAAATACACGCTGGTTGAGACGGCTCAGGCCACGAAATAGCTATGGATGCTTCGTACTGGGAGTTTCCGACTCTAATCTTCCCCTTCAAATAAGACGAGTTCAATGATGAATAAATCAAGAGCTGCAAAAACACTAGAGTAAAACGATCGGCGAGAGGGATGGAGCCCTTGGAGAAGTATACAAGGCACACTGTATATTGACTAAGATAGTTGAGGATTGGTGAGTATTGGAATAAGTTATTGAGAAGGAAAAGCCTTGCGAAAGGTGGACAAAAAAAAGCCCATGCTAATCCAGGACTTCAAACGACGGGAAGAACCAAACTGTCGCTGGGAGGCAGTCACTTGGTGTCGGAGTTGTTAGTCATTCTCCGGCGACCAGCAAGCATGTGATCATGATTACATTTTCGCGGGTGTAGAGTTACATTATTTTATCCTTTACGCTTTGACTGGCTTATACTAATGCAGTTCCTGTGGCAACCGTGATTTAGGACCAGACTAGCATCTTTAATAGATAGTAATATGAACCTATTAAACAGTTAAGTACTCGCCGATCTATAATCAGCTATTCCTGATAGTCTATATATAAACTCTCCTCTTCCCATATCAGGGTAGCCTATTGCATAGGGTGCCATGGGTATTGAACGCTAACGCTAAAATTCCCAAAATCTCCCGACCACCGCGGAATAAAAGCGCTATGGATCAGGGGCGCCGATTCTCACCGGCGCCCCTCACAAGACCATCGGCACTAAAGACGATGGCAGTAGCGGCGCGGAACTGACTCGGGACGAGCTGCCGTCTAGACCTGGTCCACGACGCCGCGGCCATCCGACGGTGCTGCTTAGGCGTCTGCAAGCGCGGGCGCAAACCGCCGAGAAAGATACGGACTGCGCGGTAGCAACTGGGGGCCTGACTGGGTCGAAGATGTCGCGGCCAAGATCGAGCGTCCGTTGGTGAGATCGCATCAGCACGCGCGGCCGGCTGATCGTCAGTTCAAGTCGGTCGCGAAGCCGAAGATGTAAGATAAGGAATGCATATAAAGCCTCTGGCCAGAATCCACTACCAAGAGCAGTATTCGTAGCTTCTAACAATCATTTGCCCAATAACTCAGAGCTGGGGACCAGAGCCCAACGGACCGCGACTTGAGTCTCTACTCCAAGGTGTCTCTGATGGTGCCCCACAAGACCTGAATGAGTAAATTCTTCAAAACAGCGTTCATAATCAACTACTATCCTCTTCACACCTCAAAAGTCGAAGTCATCAAACGCTGCGTCCTGGATAAGCTGCGTTGATAGGCCATAAGCAGCAAATCTTGACTCGTGAAGGCTAGTATCGGACGTGTGGTGAGCTTCAGGAGAAGCCGGCTTCGGCGGCGGAAGCATGCTATAATCAGCGGATGTGCATCTGGTATCGGGCTCCTTCCTTTGCTTTGGGGAAGATGATTCGTGGTCATTCAAGGCAACAGCCTTTCTCTTCTGAGCCTGCCTTGTAGGCGGTGTCAGTGGCGGGTCAGAAGCCAGAGATTCCGGGCTGACATCACCCAGTGCTCCCGGCGGCACCACTGAACGAACTTTGGTTTGGTCGGCAGCATGGTCCCTGGAAGGCCGGGGTTGTGTCTGGATCAGGGGCGTTTCGATAGCCGCAAGTTCCTCAGCCGAAAGATCCAACTCCGAGGAGAAGAAAGAATCAGAGAGTGTCGAGTACGGCTGAAAATGCGTAGGTGTAGTAAGATCTCGATCAAGTTGCGAGTTCGAAAGCAGCTCCTCCAGCAGCTCCGTGTCCATTAACGGAAGATCCGCGTCAACTTCTCCAGATGGTGCGGCAGAAGCTGTGAGAGAAGCCTTCGAAGTCGGCGTCTGACCTTGTACGGCGGCTAGTAGAGATTCCTCGTCGATGTCATCGGTACTCCAGGGGTTCGCCTCATGTTCTGTCGGTTCGTCACTCGGCCTGATATTCGCGAGGGCAACGTTGTATGTTGCGAGAGAATTGTTGTTGTAGCTGTTGTCCGTCTCCAAGGGGGCGTTGTCGCTGTCCGAACCGGAATCGGGTGCTGAGCCAAGTTCTTTGGGTTCTCGTTCAAATACGGCGGAGACTTCGTGAAGGTTGTTCTTGTTTTCCACGCTGTTGGTGCGGCTTCTCGGCTCGCAAGGGGTGTGATTCAGGGCGGGATGATGATGGCAGCGCCGGTCCTCCCCCTGGGCATCCTCGACCCAGTCCGCGTCATTGCGGATATGTTCGACAGGCTTGGCGTCCGCATTATGAACATGGTCACTTCCACTACCCTTACTCCATATATCTTCTTCAGCTTCGCCACCGCTGTTGTGGACAAGGTCGTCGATCTTCTCAAGACGCTCATCGGTATCCTCAGGATGCGAGATCTGGGAAGACTTGAAAGGGTTGGCATCCTTGGGTTTGGGGTCTGGTGCCGGCTTTGGCTGGTCTTTCCGAAGATATGTGCGGAACCAGTCTTTCTGGCGGCGCTGGGTGAAATTCCAGCCGCAGGCCTGGGTTGCATCGCCAATGCCGTTCCTGCGAAGAGCGTCTCTCTGCTTCCGCTCCTTGTCCTCTCGCCGCTTCTTGGCCTCCTTGCTTCTCTTTTCTTTCTCGCGAAGTTCCTCGGCATGGCGATCGGCAGCGGCGGAGTGCTCGAGGCGTTGGATCTCGCGATCTGAGAGACGGCCATCGCTCTTGCGGTATGCGGCCTTTACTTGACGAGAGGTCTGTTTTATTATCGTAGACATGGTGCAGCAATGTGTCGATGGACAACCGGGTTAGGGTGCGGGGTCGCGGTGGCCGACGATTGCGTGGTGGAACTTCGTGCTCATGGCGTGGACGTGAGGTCGGTTCAAGGGCAGCACGCCTCTTGTTGATGATATGCCGAGGGGTGATGTGAGCGAGCGTGGTTGCGGTGCAGTGTGACGATGGTGTTTACGGAGTGGCGGCCAGGCGGCAGCGGCGGGTCGAGAAGGCGCGTCCACTCGCGTCGCGCGTCGCGTGAGCACGTGAATAGCCATTCCTGCCTGTTCTTCTCTGCCATTCCATCCCGTCTCCTCGACTCACACCTCGCTTCCGTTGTCCGCACGACTGCTCGCTGCTATGATGGCGGAGTCACACCTGAGTCGGGCGCCGCGCGGTTTTCCACCGCGGGGCTGAGTTTCGTGCTCCAGCCCCTGCAGGCAGAATTTCTGCTTATTTGTTGCTCCCCCCTCGTCCCTCTTCGTGCGACCGAACGCATTGCCTCGGTCTTGATTTCACAGAACAGTATTGGCCAGCCTCCTCAGCGGAACGGCCAGGAAGTGCGCGGATACGAAGAGGGTTGCGAGTGTGTCAATAGTGCCAACTCTACCCCACCCCCGCCATCTCTCCGATCCTACGGACGATCTGTGATTGCCAGACCGCGGCGCCTCGGCCAGGAACACCGGAATGGGCATTGGCTGTCGCCGCCGATCAGACGCCAGTCAGCCACCTGACATGGTGCCTGGCCGATACTCGCAGCGGCTGCCAGCCTGAAGTGGACCGTCGCCTATGTTTCCCGCTTTTTCCTCGTCCACCATGGTCAGGTGCTGGTGCAACTTTTCGGCGCAATGACCATTCACGAAGTCCTACGGGAGAAAAGCCACGGCGTTGGCCTTCCCCGCAACGAATTCCCGTGCGGAGAAGTGGTGGAGAGCGCGGGCGCCATCCTGGTTGGGTATGCGAGGCCGCTGCGCTTACGCCCGGCGCATGTTCTACACTATTCATATCACACCCGTCCACCTATCAGAGGCGCACGTTGCCCGAGTCAGCAGCCCTCGCCGCCCTAGCGGGGCGGCTCTCACCAGGCGCTGCCTGTGAAGACTCGTAGAGAAAGGCAGGTCCTACTGCTAGAAGCTACCTCTTCCGGTATTGGCGTCGCCCTCGCTAGCGAGCTCGGTGCCCAGTCGGCCGTTGCTATCGCTTCTGCGAGGCTGCCGAGGAACCATTCCAGGGCTCTGCTGTCTTTGTGCAGCTTTCGGATCAGCCTCGTGGATATTCCAACACTTAAAAAGCCGCAGCCTTCCGCTGCTTCTCGCTCAGCAAGCAGCCAGTGCTCCTCTCTCTGCGGCTCTGTTGTTCATCATGGCACGTCTGTCTCTGTCCATCGCTGTTGCGCTTCTTTCATGGTGGGCAGCTGCAGCTCCGACGCCGCTTGAGAAGAGAGGTATTCCACCACCACCACGTCTTTGACCCCAACTCAAGCTCACACCTGAACAGCCGTCAGCGCAGACCTGCTTGCCAAGTTCAATCTTTTTGAGCAATATTCTGCTGCATCCTACTGCGCTCAGAACAACAACTCGACGGGCACCGAAGTCTCGTGCGAAGCGGGGAACTGCCCTTTGGTGGACGCCGCGACTACCGACACCGTGATCGAATTCGAAGAGTAAGAGACCTGCCCTTACTGTTGTTTTGTTTCACATGTCTTCTTGAGTTTCCTTTCATCTCGCATATTCCGCGTTTGGGGCTTTCTCAACCCCCATGCTATTCTTGTTCAATTGTCAATTTGCCCCCTTCAAACAAAAGATGCTCCATCATGTCAAAATAGTCAATGGCCTCCTTCATTCGTCTCTGAAAGCGAATTTGCAAAGACGATTTTCCAATCATGTCCTTGAAACCCACCCCCAACTGACATACCAATAGCTCAGTTGTCACCGACACCACCGGGTTCGTAGCAACCGACTCTACAAACTCCCAGATCGTTGTATCATTCCGCGGCTCGAGGTCGATCCAGAACTGGATTGCAAACTTTGATTTCGGTTGGTTCTCTCGTGCTCCAACACTTGACAGTACCTGCGGTCTAATCCCCACAACAGCAACGACCGCAACCACTATTTGCGACGGATGCCCGGCGCACTCAGGCTTCTGGAACTCTTGGAGCGAAGCTCGCTCTTACGTCGTTGACGCAATAGAAACAGCCAAGGCTGCAAATCCCAGTTACCAGATCGTTGCCACTGGTCACAGCCTGTGTGTAAATTGCCTTCCCTATGCTTGAACAATTAGCTGATGAAAGCAGGGGAGGCGCGGTGGCTACTTTAGCCGCAGCGGATCTTCGAAACAGCGGTTACGATGTGGCCTTGGTCAGTTTGGAGTTGAGACTTGCGTCAGTGTACAACTTACTGACGTCCATCCAGTACACTTACGGCGCACCCCGTATCGGTCCGGCTGCCTTGTCTGATTATATCACCGCCCAAGGCAACAACTACCGCGTTACTCATCTCAATGATCCCGTACGCCATGACTCCTATGGGCCTTTGAGCAAATAAAAAGCTAATCATGGTCCAGGTTCCCCGCCTGCCCACTCTCAACATGGGCTACGTGCACATCTCTCCTGAGTACTACATCAGCAGTGCTAATGATGTTGCGGTGACTGCCAACGACATCAACACTTACGTGGGCAACTCCAACCTATCCGGCAACGCCCAGTGGGGCCTAGCAGTCGACGTTGCCGCCCACCTCTGGTACTTTGGCGACGTTTCCGCATGCGAATGATTTTACGATTTTACGATTAATGTTGTACGTTTGGAGTTCAATTAAGGGTATGTGGGTCTGGTGGACCCTCGAGAAGCCTGGGGTTTTCAAGCTTGGGCCAGTTTTGCTCAAGCACGGAATGCTTCGTTACCATATCCGGTGCTTAATCCGCACCACTTAGTGGCGTTTTCGTCTAAAGAACCAAGAAGAGGAGACTATGATTCCGTGCACAACCACCCCTGTCATATGACTGCGCCGCAAAGCATCCGTGCTTGTGGATGGCGATGATACTCGAAGCTACCTAGTGATGTGATATTTTCGGACGACGGTGGCGCTGCTTATCCAGTAGGACCAAATTTTTGTTGGAAGCACATCGACATTGGGACATGGGTGGTATGTTTCTGTTCACTCCGTCAACTTCTACTAACTCACGATTCCTCTCGAGCAACCCGAACGCCGCATTCGTAGCAACGGACCCGAGTTGACCGCGCCGCCCACCAGAACAAACGAGGTCATACGGCGCAGCCACGTCCCACGCAACAGTATTGCGCACTTTTTAAATGACGCGAAGCCTTTGCGCCCAAGTAACATCCTTTTTTTGCGCACTCCAGGTTGTCCAGCAGCTCTGTTGCCATTCATCAGTCCACGATACCTGGGTCACTGTCATTTTCTTTCCGCTTTTTCTTATTGCGGATGGAAATAGCACAAGTCCATAGGTTTTAGTTGCTCCACTACTTTACTCCTATCTGCTTTATACTCTGCTTATGGATCTTCGTGTGATGTGCTGGCTGTAGGTTACATGCGCAGTGCATTTGCCGTTTCAAGACCACTCCATATGCACCGCCCCGCTATTGCGACTATCACTTGATTCGTATTCATAGTTATTTCCAAAACTATCATTTCGGTTTCTTATCTACCGTCTAGCCTGGGAACAGACGGCTCAACCACTTTCATTGTTTAACGAATCTCAAGTGACAATGGTGCAGCTTCAGTCTGAATTGCCGTTGGAACGGAAAAGGAATGGAAGAGAGACAGAGAAGGGCAGAAAGACATGTATGCTTGGTATGGCGTCAAATTTCTAGGTGCGTCTACTTGATGTGCCCCGAAGCGCTGTCTCGAAGCATTTGTAGAGTAGGGGCTGACAGGCGTGTGGAGGGTGATCAAACTGCTTTATTAGGAAGCAAATGATCAGTCAGCTCTCTCTGATGCTGATTTCTCCTTTTCGGGAAAGCGAAGGACAACATGGGCAGCTTAGTGACTTGATCAAGTTGTCGACTGGAAAAATTGTGCGGAGAAGGTCCTTCGGCTCAAACAGTTGATATTCTTCGAAAATTCCAATTCCAATTAATCGGCAATCTAATAAGTTCATACAATTCCCTTCCTCTACGAATGTTCTGCGTTGTTATGTGACTTCTCAAGTCTGCTTGATTATCGATGATAAGTGGCCTGAAGCAGGGCCTGCCTGACTCACGCCTAGACAGCATTCCCGCACATGGTCCTCTGACCTACCACCACGACTTTAGACACGCCCTCGACAGGCAAGCCTGACAAAACACCCAAAAGTCCGCACCCAAAAACTCTCTCGTGACGAACGGCCGCCAAGCCAATTCCGTCATGTCGCACCCACCCAATAACGCCAATTCTCGTATGTCCTCCCCTCCCCCCTGCTCACCGCCTCCCTCCCCTCTCCCGGATTCTCCGCCCCCAATAGGTATCCAGCCCAGCCGGCTGACGTCTCGACCGCGCTACGTCACTCCACCCGGATGCCACACACACAAGGTTCGTATGGGTGGCTTGCACGTATGCACCTACTTTTTAGGTCACTTCTCCTCCTGGATTCGATCCGCGATTCCGCATCCCGACCTGGTATGTACATACTCAGCGCGAGCTGGGGGGGCGGGGGCCTGCGGCGCATCCCGAAAAAACCCTATCGGCTGTCCGTCCGCAAGAGCCGCTGCCGGTGTCTCGGAAGGAAGTCGCAGCATCCCGGTGCCCGCCCACACTACGCACGGGAAAAGAAAAATACACTCAACGCCGGGGCTGCGAGGCTAAGCGAAAGTGCAGCGGCTTCGCCAATCAGGGCAACACCGGTAGCCCGCCTGACTTTATTGTCTCGGAAGGGGAGGGAAAAAATAGGGGGAAGGAGATTGGGAGTAGTATGTATGTACGTAGCATGCACGTGTGGTGTGTTGCACTGCTGTTAGTCGATACAACGTCGGTTTTTTTTTGGTTTTTTTTTTGGCGAGTGTGGGTGTAACCCGGATGGACTGTGACTGTGTGGGTTCTGTGTCACGGCGGAGAAGCAAGATCATGTTTGCTTTTTTGCACCCGTTCTCCACCTCCACTTTCCAAACGGCTTCTTCGGATGCACGGCCTTGCGTCCGGCGGGAATTGCAGATTGCATCACACCTACATACATCCTATACAGCTCCATGCAGATGCAGTGTAGATGGGCGGCGGCGGCGGCAGCAGCAGCAGCAGCATGAGCACGCGTCAAGAGAGCGCATGCGGGCATAGCTCTCGCACGCACACGTCCGAAAGAAAGGGAGAAAAAAGAAAAAGACGATGGCCGGGGAACGGCGGACAGGATGGCCTAGTGGCCCTCATGCACGGCGGAAGAAAACGCGGCTCCGCGGTGGAAGAGGTACGCGAACATCAAGCGACAAACGCTCTTGCATTGTGCATCGGGAAGGATGGGATTGCAAGTTCCAGACCAGTCCCCAGACGCCACGAACGTCACGCAGTGGCCTGACGTCGTCCAAAGTGTAGGTGCAGATGTTGCCTGAGCTCACCTCTCGTTGATTGGGTCTTTTTCCGCATGAAAGCTGAAAGCAAAGTACCGTCTATCTTCTTTCTTTTTCCCGACGGACTGGTTTGCGGTGCAGGTGCCTGTTGACGCGGAGTGAGCCGAGGCTGCATGGAAAATGAATGTCGGCCAACGGGAAGTCACCAGTCTGCTTCCGGGACTGATGGTAGGGAATACTACAAGAAGTCAAAGGGATGCGACACCATGCATAGGCGCTTAACTGCATGTGCGTTTGAGCATGAATTGTTCAAAGTAGTGTTTGGGATGCCGCGAATCGCGCAATACCGCTCATTCTCAATAAAAACTTCTGACGTGTCGCCCTCGTTACGGCAATGACACGCACTTCCGTTGAAGCTGCAAGCCACGCACCGCTATCGATCCAAGTGACAGCCACCGAAAACATCCAGGCAATTGTTGCTGTGTTGATGCAGATGAAATCAGAGGGTATCAATGCAATGAAAACAAGTCTGTGTGTTCTGCATTTCCATGTGCCATCATTCAAGCTGTTGCAATTGCAGCTTTATTCGGGCTTACGTGCGTAGACAACACATCTGAGGCTCAGTCAGCAAAAGGCGTGTATGGAGAAGCAAATGGGACAACCAACACATCGTGCCAAGCTTTGACCTCGTCCGACTTGACGCCCTTCAATAACCGTGCTCTATAATTCTGAACCTCTTGATAGGACCACTGCGGCGAGAGAATATCCCCATGTTGGTCAGCAAACCGACGTTGACACCAGGGCTTCTTAGTATGCTGAAACTCACCCCATGAATTCTGGTCAACAGCGCCATCACCCAACCTTCCATCCCGTCTTCCCAGTTCTTGAGGTTCCAGCGACCGAGCTCTTTAAGACGCTCGTCATCAGACCAGGGGCCAATAGGCCAGAGGAAGCGCTTAGTAACGACATCCACAAACCCTGCCGGCAATCAGTTTGAAGAACACGGCGAAACACACAAGACTGCCGAGGATGATGGAACAAAAAGAGAGCCCGACGTACCCGCCTGCTCAATCATCCGGCTCATATGAGTCGCGACTTCAAAGGTTTTGTTCATCCTGTCGCCAGCTTCGAGGAGCAGCGGCCCGAAGCTTCGGATGATATCACTATAAGGCGTCTCTTTGGGTTCCGTGTAGATGTCGATGCCAAACTCCAACTGTTCAAGGTACCCCTTCGGTCGAAGATGCCTGACGATAGCACCACTGGTCAGCCAAGAAGGTTGCTACACAAGAGAGATGCAGACGCAAAAATGCTCCGATTGGCCGGCATGCCGAGAAGAAAACGTACTTCATGCATTCTTGATAGAACTTGGGCCAGTTGCCTACGCTGCCGGTCAATCCACGGACATGGATAAGGTCGAAGCTGTTTTCCGGATACGTCCATTCGCTGCAGCAATCATCAATCTCGAACCGGACGTTGGGCGGGGCATATGGGACTTGGGTCGGCGATAAGTCGGTGCCTATGATCTCGCACGACGGATACCTGTCTCCCATGTCGACGGCCCACAGGCCGGTGCCGGTGCCGACGTCCAGCACCCTCTGCGGATCCTGCAGAGGCGAGAGGAAGAGGGCGTCGTTGAGGGTGAGGAGCCACACGTGATGCCTTTCCCGATCGGGCAATGTCAGCACAATGGCGTCCCGGCTGTGGGCGAAGCACCGTCGGCCCGGGATCCGGCGAAACACATACTCTATGCTCCCGGCTTTCGCCTGGCGATCGTCGTTGGGCTGGTAGTACGCGCCGTCTCCTGCAAGCCTCGGCGTCAGAGTCGGCTCGGCGGCGGACTGCAAGGCCGCGACTCACGATAAGCATGGTATCTCCGCCCGTTCTCATATCGGTAGGTGGTGATGTTGGACGCCACGGTCCGGGACCTCTGGCTGCATTAGCTTTGGCTTGCCGGCGAGAGTCGACGAGCCCCTCGCGCGATCCTCTGCTGCGCGTCATTTCCCCCCCAGTTCTTTCGCTCGCTCGCGCGGCGAAGGATCAATAGCGCCGATCATCAGAGGAACACCAGTCGAGGAAAGGGGATTTGCTCACGAGGTGAGAGTGTGGTTGTCCTCATGATCAGCTGGATCTTCCGGGAGCTCGCCCTAGCGCAGCCGTTAGCCCCAGCGTCTAGCGCGGTTCACGACACAGGCTCGAGGAGTGAGGTGAGGTGAGGTGGTGAGGTTAGCTTGTGCACCGCCCCGCGTCGAATCAAGAACGGGGCGCCTCGGCGGCGGGGCGGCGCAGCGGCGCAGATGGCACTCGCATTGCAGCGGCAGATGACCGGCAGCCTTGAGGCGAGGAACGGAGGGGGGGTGGTGGTGGAGAGCCTCACTAGTACGTCGTCGGGATGGTGCGAAGTCATGTCCCGGCTACTCTGGCGGCCGCTTGCTGCGGCGGCCTGGTGAGCTGCCTGTTGCTTGCTGCTTGCTCCCTGCTCCCTGCTGCCTGCTGCTCTTCCTGTCGCGGGCCTGTCTGGCGCGGGGGGGTCTGGCACGCGGGGGATCTGATCTGCTGCTGGATCGGAGACACGAGCAGCCGTGGTACCGGCGCGGTGGTGGAGCGACGTCGATGCGGTATGACTTTGTGCGAGGGCGGCAACACGTGAGCGACGACCGAGACGCAGGCCCGCCCTTGCTGCGTCGGGATGCGTGGGCGATGCGCGATCTCGAGGGTCCAAGGGGGCAGTCGGGGGTTGCACGCTGCTGGTTTTGAGATGCGAGGGAGCTGCCGGCTAGCAAGGCGGAGACGGCGACCGGGTCTGTGGCCCTGCATGGCACCGCAGCGAGGCGGTGGGCGGCCAAAAGCCCACGGTTTCACGAAAACCCCCTCCTCCCCGCTCTCCGCCCAAGTGACTTCTTCGAGCGTGAGTTCTGCTGCTGCTGCTACACGTACAGCATCGTGGCTGCGGGCTGCGGGCTGCGGGCTGCGGGCTGCGCGCAGCTCCATCGCCCCAGGCCTTACCGCGCGGGCGGGTCACACTCACGGCTGTTGCGAGCGTGCGTGGCCCCGGGTGGCCGGTTGCTGGGAGATGGGCGGCTGCCGGGCCTCGTCGCCTGCGCCGGCCGGCCGCGCAGCAATTGGCCTCGCTCACCGGTCGCAGCTGTGGCGATGCTCCGCCCCAGATCGATCCGCTCTGCGCGCGATCCTGGCCGGCCGTCGTGTGCTGCCGCCACTGCCGCTGGATTGCGAAAGGTGAGACATGCGCTTCTCCGCCCTCCAGCCCTCCAGCCCTCCAGCCCACCCTCGCCTGCCGCCGCGAGCCAGCTGCTGGCCCAAACACCCCCGATCTGCACCCAACAACCACCCCGTCCACGGCCAGCGCTACACCGCATCGACGGAGCCGATCGAACTCCTCCCGCCGAGCCTGCGGCTGTAGCACCCTGCCGCCCGTGCAAAGTGCTCTGTGTGGCCGAAGCCTATTTTTGCATTGCATTGTCTCCCAACCCGCTCCCCATGGACTTTTTCGTGGCACTCGCTGCTCCTGTATATGTACATTCGGCGCACCGCCGCCCGATCCAGTAACGCAAATTCCCCGTTTCCATGCCTGACGTACACTAAATACCCCGTCCCTCCAGCGCCGTGAAGGATGATGCCGAACAGATCGTATTTTAGCCCCCGATACAAACAGCGTGATGACACACAGAGCAGTCGAGTCCAATGCTGCCAAAAAGAAAGAAAGAAAAAAATCATAGCCTCGTGGGTCCCGTGTACGGTATTAGAGGACACTTAGCCAACCCGACTCCAACGCCTCTTGACTCCCGCCAACTCAATGCCCTCCCCCGTTGTCTACGTATGGTCTTGCGGCGCACATGCATGTGATTGCCTCCCCTACTTGTCGTCCCCAGAGCCCGCCGGCCGCTCTGATTCGTTCTCTTTCGACTTGGCTTTCTCGCGCTCGTCTTCACTCTGACTGGCGCTACCTTCTCCCTCGGCGATTATGCCGTCCTTGGACTCGCGCCTCAGACGGTCCGCCTTGTCTTTCAGCACCCGTGCTTCTTCGGCCGCCCGCTGCGCGCGCACCTGCTTCTTCCACATGCCGGCGTACTTGCCCTTCTTTGCCAGCAGCTCCTCGTGCGTGCCCTTCTCCGCCACTCGGCCCTCGTGCAGCACCAGAATCTGGTCCGCTCTGGTGATGGTGCTGAGACGGTGCGCAATGACCAGCATTGTTCGCCCTTGGCCCAGTGTGGTCAGCGCTTCCTGGATGTGCTGCTCCGTCTCCGTGTCCAGTGCAGCCGTCGCCTCGTCAAGCATGATGATGCGCGGGTCCTTGAGGATGGTACGCGCAATGGCCACGCGCTGCTTTTCTCCACCAGACAGCCGCAGCCCACGCTCGCCGACCTTGGTGTTGTACCCGTCCGGGAAGGTGAGGATCTTGTCGTGGATGCTCGCTGCGCGACATGCGTTGTACACGTCTTCGTCCGTTGCACTGAGGTTGGCGTACTTGAGGTTGTACATGAGTGTCTCGTTGAACAAAACCGTGTCCTGTGGCACCACACCAATGTGCCTCCGGACAGAATCGATGCTGATATCTTCGACGTCGTGACCGTCCACCTGGATGTTGCCTCCCTGGATGTTGTAGAAACGGAAGAGGAGACGGAACACCGTCGACTTGCCGCCGCCCGATTCGCCCACGAATGCTGTCGTGGTGCCTGGCTTGCAGTGGAAGTCGAGACCTTGCAGCGCCGGCTTACGTTCATCGTACGCGAATCGGACGTCATTGAAACGAATGTCTCCCTCGCAAGTGGGCAGGTTCTTGACGTAGGGCCTGTCCACAACAGTAGGTTGCTCCTTGAACAGTTCAAGCATGCGCTCCGAGTTGATCATGGCCGACTGGATCATACGGTAGAACGTTCCGAAGAAGTTCAGAGGCTGCTGCAGCTGTGCCATGTATGTAAGAAGTGTGACGAAATGACCTACCCTGCTTTGTCCCGTCGTCACCTCGTATGCCGCAATGAAGCAAGCAATCATGAGGCCAAGCATGAAGACTAGGTTTTGCGTAATGTTCATCAGGTTCAGAGAGAACAGTACCCTGTACTCAGCCGTCTGGTACTTGGTGACTGCCTCCCGATAACGGTTGAACTCGTACGCTTCCGCGTTGAAGTATTTCACCGTTTCGTATGACACCATCGAGTCGTTTCTTGGACGTGTTAGCACTGATACTATGGAAGCGGGAAACTCGACTCACTTGACTGCATCCTCTTCTCGGTCTGCATTCACCATCTGGCGCCTGATCTCCGCACGCCATTGGGCCATGCGGATGGTCAGGTAGACATACCAGAAAGTAACGACGGCTACAACAAGAGCATAGTAGGCGTCGAATGCAATGAGGAAGAATGCTATGGCGACACACAGATCGACCAGCATCGGGACCACCTGGAAAGTCACCTGCTCCAAGAACGTGTTGATGGAGCTCCCCTTGCCAAGAGCCGAAAGGACCTCCCCGGTTTTCTTCCCAAGATGGAAGTCCAAGCTCAGGCCATGGACATGTTCGAAGGCAGCGACAGAAAGCTCACGATAGGAATACTGGCCGACGGGGATCCACAGCGTCGACCGTGCAGCGCCAAGAAGCCCATTGCTCCCTTGCAGGAGTCGGCAGACAATGTAGAGACAGATGTACATCCATGGCATTCTTACCGGGGCTTGGTCTCCGGACAGCTCGTTGGTGATGGTTCCCACCATGTAGGGCACCAGCACGTTGACAATCCGCTGCAGCACGACGATCAGAAAGCAGATGACGACCATGATCTGCAGCTTGCGGTCCTTGGATGGCCAGAGGTACGGAAAGAACACAGAGTACCCCTTGAGGTACTCCCACCAGCTCCTTGAAGGGATGTTGTCAGGCCGGCTCCAGCCGGCGGGTGCTCCTTCGGTGTGCTTGTGCTTGCCCCCTGAGGGAGCGGAACCGTAGTGTGTGGTGCCATTGGCGCTGCCGTTCTCCGCGTTGTGTGCAGCCAAAAGTCCAGTGGATTCGCTCGGGCCGTCGACGTCGGCCCGCTTGCTGCGATTGCGTTTGGCCACGAAGATGAAGTAGAAGCCGATCAACGCGCCAAGCAAGATGATGCGCAGAAGATCGACGCAAACTTCTGTCACCTCCCACTCGGTCATATTGTACCTAAGTTTGCCACGGCCTCCGTGTCCGCTACGGGGCTCGCGATGTTTGTGGGTGTAGAGGGAGAGCGAGGCGGCCAGCAGCGCAAGCTCAAACAGCAGAGCCACAATCCAGGTGGCCTGATGCACATAGTTTGGCGCGGGATTCGTATCGATGATGGAGATGACGAAGAGAATGTACACGAAGAAGGAGCCGACGAGATAGATCTGTGCAAGGTCAGCCGAGTGTTCATGGCCCAGGTCGTTCAGGCGTGCCGTCCGGTCTTACCACGACGGACTGGCCGCACCACCATTGCTCGCTGCGGCCGTAGAGGGCATGCACGATGATGTTGATGGCGTTGGCGACGAATGTGAGGGCGACGAGCACCGAAAGCCACTCGAACAGCAGCTTGCGGGCGCGCGGGAGGTCGCCGGCCTGGGGGTCCTTCTTCGGCGGCGTCCGCGGAGGGGTGCGCTTGGGCAGAGGCTTTCCCCCAGGGCCGGTGGGCGCATGGTAGGCTTGGTCGAGGTCATTGGAATTGGCCGCGGACGAGGACGAGGCGGCGACGGAGCGGATGGTAAAGGTGGTGAGGAAGAAGACCAGCAGCACAATGGGCGAGGCGTAGTGCAGGTACAGGAGCAGCTGGCGCGTGGTGGAGTTGGAGACCAGCGGGTGGACTGGGCCGGGCGGCGTGTCGTGTTGGGGCATGGCGGGTGGTTGGCGAAAGGAGGGAGCGGGCGGCGGTGGAGGAAAAGGGAGCCGTCAGGCAAGCATGACAGCAACTCGGGCGGGAGCCGCTCGCGTGAAGGTTGGCTGTGGCGGTTTTGTGGAGAGTTCGGGAGCTTTAGAGTGAGAGACAACTGCGGCGCCCAGGCGGCGGCGGCGTGCAGCTTCTAGCCCGCCACAGATCCATGTGGACACACGCACGGCCGCGCATCTTGTGTTCGATGCCGCTTGCGCTTAGTGCCGGCCAGGGCTGCTGCTGCGGCCATCACAAGGCCTGCAAGTGAATCAACACCACGCAAAATGTCACACGCGCCCCCGCGAGTCGGAGGCCGATCCAGCTGCGTCTGACGGCCGGGGCTGCGCGCGCCTGCAGTCGGTCCGCCTTCCACGCCGCACCGCCCTCACCGCAACGCCCTGGCTATGCTCGGCCTGGATGCAGGAACACGTTGACCACGAGCGCCCCTCGGTCCAGCGAGTGTCTCCCCGCGCACGCCATGCCGGCCGACCCTCCGCCTGCGCCCCCGCTGCCGCCCCAGCGCCAGCAGGCGCGCAACGCCTTCACCAGATTTGTCCAGCAGTCCTTCACCAGCTACGGCGCGCGCCCGCCCAGCCAGGCGCAGGCCCGCCCCGACAGCGCGCGCCCGCCGCTCCAGCCCAGAATCCCCGGGTGCGTCCAGTCGTGTCATGTGTGATGCCGCCCGCCCTGCCGCTGCTGACCCCCGCCAGGCTGAGCTCGCTGTCGTCGCAAGATGCAAGCCACAAGACCGGCCTTGACATCAGCGCCGTGCACATCAATCAGGAGCGGACACATGCCGTCCTCGCTGGCCGCGAGATCCTCAAGACGGTCCGCATCACTGGCACCAAGTGCGCCGAGGAGACCAACCTGCGCGCTGCCATCATCAACTATGCCTCGCACCACCAGGCCGGCGCCCCCTCCGCGCCAACCAGGCACCGCGACACCCTCGAGATCCACGATGTCAAGTGGTCGCATGGCAGCTACAGCTCCCACATCGCCACCGCCGCCGCCAATGGCAAGGTCGTGCTGTACGATCTCAACCGCACCGGCGTCGAGCTGGCCCAGCTGCACGAGCACCACCGCCAGGTCCACAAGCTGGCCTTCAACCCGCACCAGGGCTACCTGCTGCTGTCCGGCAGCCGTGACGCAACCGCTCGCCTGTGGGACCTGCGCGACATGAAAAAGGACGTCATGTCTTGTCCCAGCCGCGACCGCTACTCGGGCCAGAGCGAGGGCATCCGCGACATCAAGTGGTCGCCCACCGACGGCGTCGAGTTTGCCTTTGGCACCGAGAACGGCGTCATCCAGCGCTGGGACTACCGCATGAATCGTGCCCCCAAGCTGAAGATCAATGCCCATGATAAGACCTGCTACGCTATCGACTGGCATCCCGACGGCAAGTACCTTGCCAGCGCGAGCGCAGACCGGTCCGTCAAGATCTGGGACTTCTCCTCCGACCAGCGCCGTCAGAAGGCTGCATGGTCCATCCGCACCCCCTACCCGGTTTTCAATGCCCAGTGGAGGCCGCCCTTCTGGTCTCCGGATCAAGAGCATGGCGTGTGGCAATGCACGCAGCTGGTGACGGCGTACGATCGGGACCACCCTGTCGTGCATGTGTGGGACTTCCGCCGCCCGTCGCTTCCTTTCAGAGAAATACCCCTCTATCAGACGGCACCTACAGATCTCTTGTGGCGTTCTCGTGACCTGCTCTGGACCGTTGGCCGCGAAGGCATCTTCACCCAGTCAGACGTGCACTTCGCTCCCAAGGTCGTAGACAGGCGTAACATGTCGTCCTTTGCCGTCTCCTCGAGCGGCGACGTCAGCGCTTTTTCGCAGAAGCGCGTCCGGCGGCGGCCTTCCGGCGGGTACGAGTCTGACGAAACTTACACCACCGATGGGCGAACGAAGCGCGAGCTGTCCGAGAAGAACAGCCTTCCACGAAGCTCTGCAGATGACAGCATCGATGACAGCTTCCTCAGCTCCTCGTACAAGCGCCACCATGGTCGAACGTCGAGTAGCCGTTCGACAAAGTCGATCAGCAGCACACCACCCTCCTCGGACAATCCTGGCAAGATGCTTTTCCTGAACGAATCCCTTGCTAATCACAAACACTCGTTCACGCCAAATCAGGTGGCCATCCGCGGTTCTGTTCCCGGATCCATCAACGTGCCTCTATTTACGTTTCTTGCGCAGAAGTACAACATGATCGCGATCGAGGATCCCCCGACAATCCAATCGTTCCAGAACCTCCAAAGGGTGTTTGATGCAAATGCAGAGTACGCCCAGAAAGCTGGCAACCATCGATTGGCGAACTCGTGGAGGGTGGTGGGTCAAACAGTATCGGATGCTGTGCAACAGCGGGCGGCTGCAAATCACCGGTGGAGACTGGAGCAGCAGCCAACTACTCCGGCCAAGCCACTTCCGTCAGCAGTGAGCAAGAATGTATTGACAGAGAAGAAAGAGCAGGATCTCCTTGCCATCCCTGCCACGCGCGCAATCTACGGTCCAGATGGGCAGGCCCAGGCTCCGGCCGACAGCTCATCACAGGTACCGACGCCGATCGCTCGCGCAATCAACCCAGCCAAGGCCTCGACGCACGCAGAACAGACCGCTCTCCCAGACCCTGAGCACGACGAAGCCTTGGCGCTGCCGCCCTCCCTTGTAGAGAGATATATTCCCAGAGGCCAAGGCCGGCCGGAACCCTCGTCCCGGCGTCAGGCGCGCAGATCGAGCATTGCGCACCCCTCATGGGCCGTCTCGCCTAACGAGCTCGATGAGCGACGGGCGATGGCGAGCAGCTACAGGGTTCCGCCGCGTGTTCCTCTCAGCTTAGAGCCCTACGGCAGCAGCCCAGCTCTGCATGGACGCCCCGATTTCGATCGACATAATTCTGGAGAAAGCTTTGCCATGTTTTCCGCGTCGACCGACTCGCACGGGTTATCCGTGCCGGGCTCCTTCGCGAGTGGTAGATCCCCGTCGCACGTGCAGGATGCGGAGTCCTTGCAGGACCGTTGGGACCACCAGAGCAGTGGCCCGGCTTTCTCGAGCTTTGGTAACGGCGCCACATCTGCGAGTGGGCCAGACCCATACATGGAGTCACCGGGTGGCTTACATGCTGACGTGCATAAGGTGCGTACGCCGGTTTCGTCACACCTCTCACGTTCGGTTAAATTGCTTCTTCACGCATGCGCCACTTTCCCAACACTGACTTGGGCCTAGGGACCCCCGCTGCGCATCAATTTTGATGACTCGGTACCAGATCATGGGAACATTAGTAGCAGTGCAAGCGAGCAAGGACGCATTGCGCATAAGGCCATAGCTCCAAGCGTTGCCAACACCGAGCCGGGTACCAACGTCATCAGCTCGAGCTCGGAGCAAAGCAGGGCGATCCATGACATTGAGACGCTGCGGAAGCACAACCAGCTCATGCGCAACTCGAGCTCCGAGTCTGACGCGTTTACAAGCACTCACGGCAGCTACTCAGAACTGTCCGTGAGTAACTTCGACATCATGGAAGCAAGCGGCACCATTGTGCCCGACGGTCCAGCTGACGCTCCCTCTCCGAACCTCGCCCGCCCTCCCTCGTTGATCCATGAATCCATCAGCGCCCCTGCTGCCATCGAGACAGTAGGTGCAGACAATGACGCTGTCATCCTGTCTGACTACCTCTCCAAGCATGCGAGCGTGGACAGTGAGCTCAGCGCCCCATTTACGCTCGTAGACGTGCTTCGATGGCTTCTTGACTTCCACACGAACACCCTCTCTGATGCGCAAACAGTGTCCATTATGCTTCTTCTGATCTCCGACTTCCTCCCTCACACTCACCCTCTCACAGATGTCTCTACCTCTACTCTCCTGAACCAGTATGCAGAACACCTTCATTCTCTCAACATGTCGCCTGCCCAGATTCGCGCCATTCTCAACTCACAGCTTGCGCCTCTCACGCGTACTGGCATCAATCCACTGCAAGCCGAGTCGATATTGCAGACGTATCACACACAGCTCCTTTCACTTGGCCTCTTCAATTCTGCTGCCCTTCTCCGGCGAGTGGCATATCCAACGTATCCAGCTGTGTATGAGCAAGCACTGCAGGAGACGCAGATTGGACTTCGGTGCACACAGTGTAAGAATCCCATCAACAACCCAGTGGATAAGACCTTGTGCGAGAATTGCAAGGGGCGGCAGGCCCCATGTCCCGTGTGCTGGAGTGCATTACCACCAGCAGACATAGTGCCGCTTGTTGCACCCAAGAGACGAAGCAAAAGCCGAAGCAAGACGAGAAGCCACCAGCACAGTGCAAGCGTGAGCAGCATCACGATACCTCGGTCAAACGCTAAACACAAGGCCGCCAACGGAGGCCGGCACAGCCACACGCCTTCAGATGCTTCCCTGCAAATGTCCCGCACGGCCACAACCGCAACAGCGACGACGGTAAATTCCGCCGCCGACGGACCCTCGCTCGACTCGACGGCGGCAGACGGCCCTTCTTACGTCGACGCAACGGAATCGCCGGGTTCGCCACCTTTGCCACCCGTGCTCTACTCCTCCTGCGCCACGTGTGGCCACTCGGCGCACACGTCCTGCCTGCGCGCCTGGCACGTCGACACGACCCTTTCGCTCGGGGCCTGTCCCGTCAGCGGTTGCCTGTGCGACTGCGTGCGCGGGCCCCTTCGCGACGAGAAGCTCGAGGAGCTCAAGCGCCGCAAGGCGGGCGAGGAGCGCGGCCGGGTCCGCGACGACGGCCGCCGCGTGCGGGACAGCGGCGCGGCCATGAGAGCGGCCGCCATTGCCACGCGTGGCGGCGGTGCGGCCGCCGGCGTCGTCGGAGACCGAACCGCGCTGGGCGGTGGCGATAAGGGCGGCGCCGTTTTTGGTGCGGGAGGAGGCTTGGGTGGCGGCGGGGGCACTGCGTTCGCGGCGGCGGCGGCGGCGGCGGCGAGTGCGTCATCGCGAGCGATGGGGTTGGCGAGAGCTGAGAGTATGAGGAGTGAGAGTCAGAGGGGCAGGGGTGTGGATAGAGATGTGGGGGGCAGGCTGGAAACGCGAGATGATAGCAGCGCAGGGATTTCCGCGGGGGGTGGTGGAAGGAGAGTGAGACTCGTAGAGCCGTCGGGTAGAAGTACTTGAGTGTGAGTCTGATTGTAAACTGTGTGCTTAAAGCATCACGAAGTCTGTCGACATTGAGAAGCCGATGGACGTGTAGGTTTGAGACAATGATGATGAAAGCGAGAATGAGTGTTGATGATTCTTTATGAATGAGAAAGTGGATTTTCCTTTTATTGGGCTGTCAGACTGATTTCTTGATTCGTCATGTGTTCCACCAAATGGGCATGTTGGCAATCCTCCCCGACTGAAGGTGTGGGGGAACAAGATAAGCTGACCGGCGGCGTTCTCCATGTGAAAGCACATGACAGTACGTACTTCGTAGCTGTGTGGATACCTTGTCTGAGCCGCTGCACCGCCCAGTAGAGCATGTACATTGTCTAGAGTATACAATTTTCAACACCGGTTCCATCCACTGCATATTGGAAGCTACAGAATGAAGTGGAATAGTATCTGGGTAGTCTCAAATGTCAGTTAGTATTGCGCGCCTGAGCAACGCAACATCGCATTGCAATCAGGCAATCTACGTCGTCAATCTGGTGACGAAGAACTGTAAGATATTTTGTTGCATACCAAAGAGCCGCTCATATCATTTAGCCGGAAGACTCAATCGGGCTTTCTTCCATCTCGATATGTACATATTTCGCCCGGCGATTTGGCTTCGTTGATGATAGCCCACTATGCTTCGGACATCTCGGTCTAGTCAGCCTTCGAACTGGGTTCTAAAAGGTTCCTAACGTCCTTTCCTAGTCTTGGCCAGGTATTAAATTTGTCTCTTTCTTGAAAAACGAGAGACTCCGCGGCTTGGTCTCTTAGCTTGATGAGCTGCTGAGCGATGAGGAGAAGTGGAAGTGGTTGGTGATCCAGCTCGCTTTTGGGCCGGGACTCTCCGCACTGCTTGGCTGTTTCTACGTGCTACCGTGGATTGTAAGGGCTGCTGTACTGATTTACTCTGGCTCATTGTCACGATCACTGAAGTGTGCTGAGGGTCGACTGTTGGCAATTTGTGGAGAAGTGTTGGTGTCTTCCCACTCGATCCGATGTTCTCCGCGTACGTGAGTCTCTGCTTGACACGCGTCAAAGAGCCAAACAATTCTTGTACACGTTTCCCTTACCACTGGCGTAATCGACCATGGCTTGAATAATAGTATGGGGGCGTGCTAGAGGCGGGCGATAGATACGTAAATATTCGCTTTCGCGTCATGGTTGTTTACGGCTCGAACGTTGACCAAGTCACTTCTGCCCAGATAATATAGGCGCTTCGAATGCCACTTGAAAATAAAACCTTGTGCTCTCGTGCCCTCTTAGGGCCTGCGTAGGAGGCTAGGGAGGAGGTAAGCTGCCGAAGAGGGTACATACCCTTGCGACAGTCGGTACTCACAGCCACCATCTATTCACATCTCTCACCGCGGCGAAGCTCAAGCAACAACAAATAGGAAGCTAGTTGTCGTATAAGTATACCGCGATGGATGTGTTCTTATTCCACTTGATAAAGCCCAGGTGTTGAGCCATCATCTCACACATCTCACTTCGCGAGACCACCACCTCACGCCTCACGCCTGACGCCTCACACCTCACACCTCACACCTCACGCCCTCACCACACCATTGGTATGCCACCCCAAGTTCGAATCCCCACTCGGGCACACACATAAGCAACCGGAGTGGCAAAAAGAAAGGCAAAAAACTATAGGAGCTCGACCCGAAGGGAGCAGCATCTATAGAAACAGGCTCTTTGAGAACCGCCTGTTTTTTCCCGTTACACCCACCCAACCATACCCCAGTCTCACCTGGGGCGTCCTTGCTCGTGGCCGTCTCCGAATGGAAACGGGTCTGGCAAACCACTCTGCCAGTCATCACAAGGACGGGTCATGCTAGTGGCTTCGACTTCGCTCATTATATAGCAACCCCCACCCACCCATACTCCCTCCGCAGCCCATTTCCAAGCATTCAGCCAGCCCTTAACAGTCCGCCGCTCATCATCACTGCCGCCGCTCCCGCTTAGCGACCGACCTCTATCCGATTGTTCTCTCCAAGCTCACCTTCCGCAGCTGCCGCCGTCGCCGCCGCCGCCCCAACCGAAGAAAAGGTTCACCCCACCTCCCCCCCAATTAATGTCGTCGTTACCGCGCCAGGGCTATTACATACATGGACGCGCCCCGCCGGTGAAGCGCGCGCACCCAAAGCCACCCACCCACCATTGCCATCCTCATCCTGCTCGGGGTCACGGCCCGGCAGACATGGATGGCCTGATCGAGTCGCGCGCCATCCCAGCTCCAATAACCCCCCACAGCTCACTTCCGCACCCGGACTCAGCCCTTCTCTCATCGTCTTTGCAGCCTCACCTCCCCTGCGTCCCTCTCTCCGTCCGGTGAGGCGACGGCGCACACCATACCATACCTGAGATTTGGCGAGCGCATCCCGTCCTCGTCGGATCGTGAGAGTTGGCGTGAGAGTGGGCAGGCGTGAGATACGTGGGCCTGCCTACACCCGGGACACGTGGACGTTTGCGAGGACGCGGCAGAGATGGAACCTGCGATTTTATGCAAGTTGCAACTCCTGACGGAAGTGAGTTGAAACACTCTGCACGCACGCCCGATTGGTTGGTTGGTTGGCTGGTTGGTCTGATGAACGGGTTCGTTTGATACTCGGCTCCGCCGCTGCTTGCGATGGTTTGCTATATACTTTGGTGAAGTATGTACACGAAAGGAGAGTCGCAGGAGCCATGCTCCAGGTTCCACGCCCTCCCCGGTAATTACTACTGCTTCTCTCTGCCGTCAGATACATGACGCTCACGTGGCTGTGCGCGTGTGTCGAACTCGCTCCATGCCAATTAATAGACCCGCCCCTCCAATGATGCGCCAAAATAGAAAAAATGACAGATAGTATCCCCGAATTTGGAGGGGGAAATGTCCGGTGGTATCATGCTCTTCGTACCCGACTATCCGCATGGAAAATAAAAAAAATCCAAGACCAGCTTCGCTCCAGCCACCGACTACAGCATCAGAAGAGTGGCAAATGCGGCAACAAATGCAATCATGCTGGCACCAACGCCCTGGAGGCCCGCTGGCGCCTCGCTGCTGCTGCTGCTGCTGGAGTCGTCGTTGCCTTGGCTGAAACTCTGAGACCCAGAAGAGCTCGACGAGCTGGAGCTGTCGCTACCATCGCTGCTGGACGAGCTGTCGCTGCTGGAAGAGCTGTCTGAGCCGTCCGAGCTCGAAGTGGTGCCAGAGTCGCCGCGGGCACCAGCACCGCTCACGCCAGGGACCGACTCGGGCGCTGCTGCCGTGCTGGAAGAGGAAGCGGCAGAGCTGGTCTTGGTAGAGCCGGAAGAGGCGGAAGACGACTTGCCGCCCTTGTCGGGGTCCTCACCAGTAGCCTGCAGAGAGCCGAGGACGACCTGTTTGTTGGAGATGACGACCGTGTCGTTGGTCCCGGCTATATCGTCGTAGATGTAGGTCTTGGAGCCATCCTTCTTGGCGCCCGACGGCGGGTCGTAGCACTCGACCTCAATGGACGAGAAGTGAGCGTAGTAATAGCCATTCTGCATGTACTGGCTGCTCCAATCGACGAGGCCACCGGCCCATTCGATAGTACCCTCGCCATTGGAAGGGAGACCAGCAGGCCAGAGCGAGAGCATGACACGCGAAGGAGTCTGCGGGTAGTCGAAGCGGTTAGAGGTGGAATTCCAGGTGTCCTTGCGGTTGAGGGTACGCATGGTCTTGCCGTCAATGGACCATGTCAGGGTGTCGGGCTGCCAGTCAATGACGTATTCGTGCTCTTGGTTGACGGTGTCGCTAGACATGTCGAGGTGCTCGCCATTGTTGTCTGCGAAGTAGATTAGCAACCTGATGGCAGCAACAACGGGGACGAAGACGCACAATTGGTCACTCCCTGGCTGTAAAAATTGCTCTGGGCGTGGTCAATGTCGGTGCCGATGAACTCGAAGTCGATTTCGTCCCTGGCGTCACTCATCATGATGAAGGCGGTGACGACGCCCTTGCCCTGGGAAGTGGTCATCTTGGCGGTGATCTTGCCGTACCAGACGTAGTGGCTGCTGGCCAGCAGAGTGCCGACGGTGTCCTGGGCCATGGTGAGCAGGACGCCGCCGTCATACTCGAGCGGCTTGCCGGTCGAGACCCAGTTGGTCTTGGTCGCATCACCCAGGTACTTGGAGATGTCGGTGACGCCACTGAGCCCGTCGATCTTGAAGTTGTCCGCATTGCACACGGGGGCGGGCACGCACGAATCGAGCTGGTGCGAGAACAGCGGGTCGCAGCCGCCGAGGCAGTATGCGCCGACGCCGCACTGGCCGTACTCTGCAGGGCGGCCACGTTAGCTACCTAGCCATGCGGGGCGACAGGCCGAGGGCGAGTGACGTACGGGAGCAGCACGGGGAGCTGGCGGGGCACGGGTTGTTGGGCCCGCAGGTAGGGATGTCGGCGCGGACGGCGGGGAGGGCGGAGAGCAGGGTGATAGCTGCCAGCGCAGCAGCAGACGCGAGCGAGCGGCCCATGGCGACGGGAGTAACGCGTGCGGACCGAATGGGGCGGGCGTCCACGGTGGTCGATGTTGGTCGCACGGGGGGGCGTGTGTGTGTGTGCCTAGGACGGCGGTCGGCAGCTATGTAACGTGCGGGAGCGAGGGTTGAGCGGGTTGAGCGGGTCGAGCGCGAGGGCAGGGCAGGCGCGACAAGCGAGTGTTTGTGCCGGCGCTTGCTGGGCACGAAGCAGGCAGAACGAGGGGTGGAGAGGAGGGAATGGGAGACGGAGAGCAGGCGGCCAGGCGGCACGGCCGCAGGGGGCGCGGCGGGAAGAAAAGAGCAGCATGGGTGTGTTCAGAGCCACGGGCGCGATGCCGGTTCGAGCCTGTGGAGGAATGGAGGCAATTAAGGTTGGCTGACGGCGATCGCCCATGCGGAGGATTCGCCCTCAGCCCATGCCGCAACAGGGCCGCCCTATGCCGCGACGGGCAAGGAGCCCGGCCAACACGAGCTCTGCAAAACCCTGCAGGGCCCGGATACGCGCGCAGTCGACGCAAAAATAGGCCGTGGCATACCGCCAGGCCGCCGCCGTCACTTCGTAACACGCCCCGTAGCGTCCGGCCTGCCTGAACGGACTGGCTGCGTTGCATTATCTGCTGCCCCGCGACTCATGCGCCCTGGCTGCTGGCCGGCTAAGTACTTGTGTGCGGCTGCCGGCCCAGCCCAGCCGCGTGACCCGCCCTCACACCACTCACCCGCCCCTGCCACATTCCCTCGGCCTTTCTAGCGCCTTCCCTTGGCCTTCGTTGTTGTCCTCAATTCCGCCTGTTGTTGAAGAATCCCGTGCATCCAAACTAGCTCTTTATGCTTATCTACTAAGCTCGCCCTTGCCTACACCCAGTCATGGACATCCGTGCGCTCGTATGTCGTGCAGACTCTGCCAGAAAAAGCTTACCTCCCATCTGCCCGCTGTCCCGGTAACGATTGGCTTGCAGCAATGACTCCATCCTGCAGGAAAAAAAAAAGAAAAGGATGAAGAAAATGAAGCCCGAAAAAACAAGAGCCGCATGCTGCACGTCATCCTTCCCGTGCCGCCTCTGAAACAGAACAAATGAAGTACAGTGCCGAACTCAGAACGGGCATCATCCATGCTCACCCCCTCACCCGACTTGCAATTACCATTCGAAAATGCCATCTCCGAATCCATGGGTATCGTGTTGTGCTGCAAAAAAATAAAAAATAGAAAAGCCACTCTTTGAAACACCCTGAGAGAAGCGTCGGTGCATCATATCCACCCCTGTCTCTTTCTTCACTCCTCAAGCCTGCATGCTCTCATGCGAGTCAGGTTGGCATTTGGGGCAGAGCAGTGGGTAATGCGGCAGCGCTTCAAAGGCGCCGACCATGTTGACATTGCCGCAAGGCCTGAGCGTGCCATAGCCCGACTTCTCCCTGGCTCCGTCTTCAGAAAAGGGCGGAAAGATGCTCGGATGCTTCTCGCAGGCCTTGTCCGCCGATCGAAGGTGCTCGTACACCGCGCCATGCGTCAGAGGCCCGCCGTTGGTGCTGGTCCAGCCCTCGTCCCGCAACTTCTCGACCTGCTCATTTCCTTTGGGAATCGAGCCAGCAGGCATGCCGCTGCCTCCGCGCCCTAGGTACGGTGCCCTCGGAGCCTGATTGGGTGTTTTGGGCCTGTGGCCGTACGACGCGTTGGTGATCGTGCGAAGAGCACCACCATATCCCAAGTCCCGGCTCACGTTTGAAATACTCCAGCTGCCACCAGAAGGCCCAACAGGTGTACCGTATTCGACCCCGGTGGTACCAAAATACCCAGGGACTGTACTGTAAGGGCCTCCCGCAGAGCTAGACGACCAAGAAACGGACCACGACGGATGTGGGTTGTACACACTTGCATCCGTGTCCGATGGACGGTCCCTCGAGTTGCTGTGCTCCTCAGAAAACCTTCTTGGCCCCTTCTTCTTCTTTTTTCCCTTTCTGCCTGTGCACGAAGCGGTTGGCTCAGTGGTAGAGCTTTGGTTTGGCAACATTTTACCCGGCGTATAATCGGTAGATTGCGTGACCATCCACTCTGGCGGCATCTGAGGGCGAGCGTGAGTCCCACGGCTGGCTGTGACTAGAACCTGGTTGCCAAACTGGATGCCTCCAGGGACAAACTCTTGGGCTTGCGCGTTCAGCCTGCTGGGAGTCATCGCGTTGCCATTGAATGGACGTGATGCAAACGCCGCACGCCTGTGTGGAGGAACGCTGATACACGTGGAAGTCGTGGTTCCAATCGAGTTGCCAGAACTCGCAAGCGCACCTTCTTTGCTAGCCCTCACGTTGGAATTGTTGCCGCTATCGAGTGAATGCAGCGGCCACTGCGAATCCTCAAAGGGCTTTGAGCTACTGCTTTGATCCTCATCGAACGAAAATTCCGAGTCTGCTTCCAGTTCAGCCTCGAATAGGCTCTCAAGTACAGGCCCGTAACTTCCCTCCTCAGGCGTGCGGCTGGCCTTGGAGCCAGGTGACATACTCTCGAACTCGGTTTCTTGAGATGCGCTAATATCCGACGTCTCTGGCCAAGTGTTAATGGTCTCCGGCGACCGTGCATCGTTCTGTTCGGTATCATCCAGAGTTGACTTCTTCTCGGACGCTTCTCTCTCAATATTCGAGTTCTCCGCATAGTGAGATATAGCTTCGGCGTGTGTAGCTGACGAAGCGATGGGGCTTGTGGCCTGGGAAGAATGCTGAATATAACCGAAACCCTGTAGTCCATCCGGTGACGGTACAGTCGGATGTTCACTGGTTTCGAACGAAAGACCCAAAGGGTTGTGCGCGATGCTCAAGCCGATCTTGTTCTGCGAAGCCTCACGTGCTTCCGCAAAGTGAACATGCGAGCGTGGATGCTCAGCATGCCGGATATCTGCCACAGCGGTGCTAGCCTCTGCGATGGCTTCATTTGACCTGCTCATTTCAGACCTCGCGATGTCGATAGCAGCGACTCCGCCCTCTTTCCTCTCGGAAGTAGCAAGTGTTTTAACTTCATCTTCTGAACTTGCAGTACTAAGAGAAGGGTCTTTGGTGACGATGTTTTGCAAGGGTGGCGCCGCCGGAGAGGGCGTCCTTTGAATATCGGCTGGTGGCTCAGAGGCCGTCTCGGACACACTGGCCTCATGTAGAGGCTTTGGTCGGACGGGTGATGGCTCAGATCCGCTTGTTCTGGGTGCGCCGCTCCGACCGAGTGCAACCACCAGCCTCGGAATGCGCGAAGGAGAACCGGGTTGCGGGAGTGGGTGGTAAGGCTCTTCGCGCGCAGTGGCAAAGCTCTGGCTCGAGCCGCTTGGGAACGGGGAAGCAGCTGCAGTCTGGCATTGAGACGTGGAGGTGCTATCAGAAGAAGAAGCTTTGGAATAGGTCTTCGAACCTGCTTTGTCTGGGGGCACTGCCTTCGGTACAGCGGGAACGAGCTTGGCCGTGCCTGATGTTTTGTCTTTCTGCTCGCGCGCTGCCGCTCGACGAGCGGTTGCCAATACAAAAGGCACAACCTTGGTAGGAGACTTTGGCGTGACTGTTGATCCCTCATGGGCGGCCTTGAACTGCCTCCCGAGGTTCCCAAGTGACTTTCGCTTGGTCACGGCCGGTGTAGTCTTCTCAGAGCCTAGCTGCAGCCCACCGGTCCACTCTGCCGGCAGCCGTCTCCTGGGACTGCCTGACTGGTGCGCAGCATTGGTGCTGGAATGCGGCCTCCTGAAATCGAGGGTCGCACCGGAAGCACGGGGTGGCGCCATGGCGGGAATAGAAGGAACAACTAGCAAAGTAGGGTCAAGTATATCACTCGCAAAGGATGACGGGGAGGTTGAGACTGTACCAGCGTCAGATTCGGCGGTAGGCTCCGTTGTGGAACTGCTATCGGGCCTGAGCGAAGGTGCAATTAGCAAGGGACACTGTTGGTGTGAGAGAGAGGGGACTCACCGATCTACGCTGACCAGTCTCGCGACATGCGCCCAGGATGACGCAGAGGAAGACCGAGCTCGGGCTGGGAGAGTGGATGATAGCGGTGCGCTGACGGGAGAGAGCAGCGGAAACTCAGCGGGCGAGCGGATATCGATGCTGGTGCCTTCGGGCGTGGGAGAGCGGACGTGTTCCTGGAGCGGCCTCGCGGCGCGGACAGTCTGGTCCCAGCCGCCGCTTCCGTGCTCGGTGACGGTCGACAGCGTCGAGCCTCTGCGCCCGCCGCCTCCGCCTCTGTAACTGCCCCTTCCGACCCACCTGCCTCTACTCGAGTCTTCGTTTCCCCGGTTCCCCGGTGCTGGCTGAAACGGGTCGGAACTGTGCATGCTGGAGGCGTTACTGTCACCCGCTGTCTTGGCGGAGTCGAGGCGTGCAGCAAGACGTTGCGCAGGTGACGACAAAGCATTTGACGCCATCACACAGGCTGGGGTGGCTTGTGGTACCGATCCGGAATTAGCCTCTGCGGCGATGCGGGCAACTGAAGCCCATGTGGGCGGAGGAGGTGTTTGTTGCTTCGCTTCAGCCTGTTGGGCGGGTGGCTGCAGCGACACCTCCGGTCCCTCCGCCCGCTGCTCTACGACGCTTGCGCATGCACCGTGTTTTCCATGTCCTGCGGTTTGTCCGGACGGCTTGTAGGTCGTGCTGTCTAAGGCTGTGGCTGTGGTGTTGTGCTCAAGCCGAGGTTCCACGCCCTCTGCTGCGTCGCGAGGCTGAGGCGCCCCCAGCACAGCGCGCTCATAGGCTTTGTCGCAGAAGTTGACCAGAGTGAACTCGGGATGTCGGCAGCTAGAATAATAGATATAGCGATAGTTGCACATGGCGATGTGTAGCGACCGAGTTGCCGAGATTGGCGGATTCAGGATGTGGTGTGGTCGATGGAGAGAAGACCTGGGCCGGAATGACTTTGCCTCACCCACTTTGTAGTAAGTCTCGGGAACAAGCAAACGGCAAGCGGGCCAGGGCCCCAGGCCAATTGCGCCCGGGCGCGATGTGTCACCTTCTTGCTGGTGAGTGCTTCGACCTCACTTCGCTCAGACACACACCACGATGCCAAGCGGGAAAAGGCCGCGCCTCAGTCAACACTTCCTTCTGACAGTGGCATATGTACAGGAAAGGCTCAACTATCCTACTGTAAGGAAATATTCACCGAGCAGCTTACTCGTTCTACACCCCGAGCCCCAAAGCCAGCCCGCTGCTTACGAGCATGATATGGTGAGCTAAAGCGGCGTTTGGCGGCAGAGGTCAACGTCTTCTCAGCGTTAGCTCAATTGCAGATCAGAGAGCTTCCAGCTTGGAGGGTTGCCCAGACGACAAAGTCTTGGGATGGTACTCACGCTCACCACCAGCTACGTCTTTGAAGCCTACAGACTACAACTTGGAGCATTTGCAGAATCATCTGACAACTCGATTTCCCTTCCTAGAACTTTCTCTTCTTCTTTGGTCCCTGTGATTTCTCTAGCGTGCGCTTGAGCTCTTCGCGCTTCCTGTTCGCTCGCTCCTGCTCCGATTCTACGGTCACGCTGGGGTCGCCTGTCGATGTAGACCTTCTTTCTGAAGTCGTGTTATTCGAACTTGTGTCCAGCAACTGTGAACGTTCATCAATACTCGCTCTCTCCGCCCCAAAATCATCGAGCGAAGATTCCGCAGTTCTGTTCCCACCGCTTATACTGCGAACCCCACCTGGGACAGAGACCGTAGCGGGCGGAGGAGTCGAGGATGCGCTGCCATTTGCACTTGTCGGTGTCTTCTTACCACCAAGTACGCCGAGCTTCCCTTTGCGGGAAGACGCTCCCGCAGGTTTATCCGTACTACTTGGGCCAGTTTGAACGACGGGCCCGGGCGCCTTTGCAATGTCTGTAGCATCTTCATCTTCGGTTTCGGATGCAGTTGATTCCTCGTCCGCTGCCGTGTCGCTAATCATCGGGGTTTGCTCAGGCGGGTTAGATGTCCTTCCTCCCAGTCTACCGAGCTTCTTTGGGCTTGGCGGAATCACCGGGGGTTTCCTCTCTGGTGATGTGGATATCAAAGGTGCTGACAAAGATGCGGGCTTGTGTGTTCCTAAACATTGGCTGGACGGCGCGTCAAGGTCTTCGTCATCGGTCGTCTCGTCAGGATCACGGCTCTGAGCTCGCTGATGCAGAGGCGCCAAAATTTTAGGGCCGTCAAGCTTTTGTGAGTCTTTGGATCTTCTCAATTTCGGAGGAGTATCCTGGCGCTGCTGAGAATTAGACAGGACTGAGAACAAGTCTGAGCACGGCGCACCTCGAATTCATCCTCCTCTGTCACTGGAGTTCCGTCCTTCTTTGAAGCATCGCCGCCTATACTGGCAGCGCCAAACTTGTCACCAAATGCATCAACAGAGTCGCTGACGGCAGAGGGTAACGTGGAGGGCCAAAGGTCATCTGTATCCATCTCACCATCTACGTATTCAGTAGATGCAGATAACAACCCAAGAACCTGGTGCAAGCTTGCATCTAGCATCCGGGTAGTTTGACTTTCGATGCGGCTCTGCTGCCAACGCTTGGAATCAAAAGGGCCAAGGCCATGGACCTGCCGTGCTGCTTGTTCTCTGGGCGTCAAACGCTTGGAGCCTTTAGGCCCCGTCGCGCCGGGAAAGACACTCGTGACATCGGAACCGGAGGCCTCGAGCCTGTCCAACAACTTAGAAATGACGTGATCTTTGGCAGCCAGTCGGGCGATGAGATCGTCGACTTGCTGCATGTGATGATAGGTTTTGCGTATGAGGGGCGAGACCAAATGGTGCTGCAACGATATGGGAGGCAAACGCTTGCAGTTCATCATCCACTGGAGGTCGCGAAGCGAGCCGGGCAAAGACGCTGAGATATGAAGCCTCAGGGCGCGGGGATCCTTGATGTCCTTGAGCAGCTGCCGGCGCGTGCCGGCGCGGGCCTCAATAGCATCTCGAATACGATCAAGCAGGAGATGCATCTGAGTGGCATCTTCAGTCGGATCAATCGGAGTTTCCTCGAGCAAGGCCTGTTTGCATATGTTCCTCCGGTCCATGCTTTCCTTCCAAACATGGCGGAGGTCCGTCAGAAATACGACGTAGCTGTTGGCTGTGAACTGGGTCTTTGCGAAGAGCGGCGGGCACGATGCCGGGGCGCCGTCGACCCGGAGCGGCTTCCAGACGACTTCCATCCGTGATGCTGGTGGCGGCAGACGAACGGCGGGGTTGAGGTGGTGTGGGTGTTTTGGCGCGCAGGCCCCACGGTGCGGCCGTGACGTCTGCCTGCGCGCAGCAACCCTGGCTCACGCTCGGTCGCGTCGCCGCGAAGTAGCTTCTCGACCACTTCTGCTCCACACTCCGGAACAGTCAATCCGCACAACGCCTTGCCCCTCGCCATGGACCCTCAGAACCAGCCCCCGTGGCGTGCGCGACCGGCAGGTGGCCCCCGCCGAAAGCCTGCGTCAACTGTCCCCAGCAAGCGCTCCGCCGACACGCAAGAAGAAGAATGGGTTGCCGGCGAGGATCGCTTTGTCCTGCAGCAGGCCAAGAAAAAGGCCGCCATCCGCGTCAAGGGCGGCCGCGCGAAGCCCATCGACTGGCTTGCCGTCACTCTCCGCGTCATCGACGGCACTCAAGACGTCTTGGACGAGGATGACGATACCGACCTGGACATTGTCGACCCCGAAGGCGTGCTCGAGTCCCTGGACGAGAAGCAGATGGAGGAGCTGGAAAACGACATCGATACATATCTGACTCTCGAGACGGACAGGAAGAACAAGGAGTTCTGGCAGGTACGTCGTCGCCCGAATTGCATATGCGCCGCAGATGGCTGATCCCATCCAGACTATGAAGGTTATCTGCAAAGACCGCCGCCAGCAGTCCAAGTCCTCCGCTCGAGAAGCGCGTGGCGTGAGCTCCGTTGCGGCCGACGTTGATCGCCTCCTCAGCCCGAAATCACTCGAAGAGCTCGAAGCACTCGAAAAGCAGATCCGGAGAAAACTCGACTCCAACGAGCCCATCGACGTTGATTACTGGGAACACCTCCTGAAAAGCCTCCTTGTGTGGAAAGCGAAGGCGAAGCTCCGGCGCTTGTCTCAGACTATCATCAACAGTCGGTTGCAAGGGCTGCGCAAGCAACAGGAGCAAGAAGCACTTGTGGTGCAGGACAAGCTGCGGGGGATTCTGGGCTCGAACTCGGCATCTCCGTCTACTGTGGCGTACATACAGGCGATAGATCCGGAGCCGTTCTTGAAACTGCGCTCTGAGGACAAGGCGCTTGAGTCTGTGGATGAGAAGGCCTTTCTGGATAAGATTGTGAGTTGGTGGCATGGAACCATGTTGTTTCCTCCAGGGCTAACTTGTGCAGGCTGAAGATCGGCGCAAGGTCTTGAAGCTGGGATACGTACCTTACAAACAATCCGGCCCTGACAAGGCTGCGCCCACGATACAGTCCAAGCCAGCGGACGCGGGAAGCGCGCCAGGAGTCTCAAGGTTCGCGACGCGAAACGAAGACTTTTCACACGCCACGCAAACACTGTACGAACGTGAGGTCGCTCGGGGCGTCAGTGAGAATGAGGAGATCTTCAATGGCGAGGAGGAGGTCATCACGCCGAACAAGTCGCGGTGGGCCGACAAGTACCGGCCGCGCAAACCACGCTACTTCAACCGGGTCCAGATGGGCTATGAGTGGAATAAGTACAACCAGACGCATTACGACCACGACAATCCCCCGCCCAAGGTGGTTCAGGGCTACAAGTTCAACGTCTTCTATCCCGACCTGATCGACAAGACCAAAGCCCCAACGTATCGCATTGAACGGGAGAACGGACGAAAACGCGGGCAATCATTCGCCCCGGCTGGCGAGGAAGACACATGCTTGATCCGCTTCATTGCCGGGCCGCCGTACGAGGACATCGCATTCCGAATCGTCGATAAAGAATGGGACTATAGCGCGAAACGGGAACGGGGGTTTAGGAGTAGTTTCGACAAGGTAAGGCTTCCCATGGAGCGGGGCGCCACTCGGGTTTTAGTGGCGGTGATGTTGTGTGTAGTGATACTGATAGGGCGGACAGGGAATCTTGCAGCTTCACTTTCAGTTCAAGAAGGTACGCCGCCATTGTCCGCTCGTACCGGGCTGCCGTGCAGGTCATTGGTGCCGTCTGCTAATAGACAACAGATCTACTACCGTAAATAAGACGTGTTGTCCCGCTTCCCGTTCCGGTCGGTTGGAGACGGCGGGCTCGGCCAATTGTGTCAACGTCACTACCATGCAAGCACCCTGTGTGCCGTTGTAAAGCACCATTGGTGGAACGTGGAGACTTTTCCGGGTTCGGAGAGGCGTCAGGTCAGGGCTCCAGAAAACACGGATTGCCGTTGGTAGCGGCCGCGGCAATGCAGCATGAAACTCCGTTGATCCAATGGGCGCTGCGCAGGCGTGGTGCATAACGTGGTGTCGGATGTCACATGGCTCGGGCCATTTCCCTGCATTCCCTTGGCCAGTAAGACGTCCAGCTTTCGTGTATGGTAGAAGGTCTGACAAAATAGACCTTTCAACGTTTGGGATTCAGCAGTCGCAATCGGTACATTTCAACGGGCAGTGATCAGCTGCTTTGCCGTGTCACACAAGGCAACGCTATGCCTGTCGAACCCTCAGCGCAAGCGCTTGTGGTGAATGGCAACCTCCCAGCAAGCCCAAACACGGCATGGACAGTGACGGCTGGGGGCAGGTGTGGTGGAAGCAGTGGTCCGGCGCCGGCGGACATGGCGAGCTCGCAGCGGGCCGCAGGCTCTGTGCCACCGGAGGCATAGTCCGTGCCGGAATATCAAATTGCATGGGGCGTTAGGGCGAACCGAAGGCTTCTAGAAACAGCGGCGGGCGGGCGGTGCCTTCTACCCCTGCGTGTATGCGTGGCTGCAGAAGGGTTGACCAGCGGCGACGGTCCACTGCAGCATGCCGTTGGCGGTGTGTAATGCCGTCGCCAACTCCAGCAGGCTGAGCCAATGGGCCCACCGGTCCGGCCGGGCGTCATGGCTGGCGCAGGTCCCGCTGCCTAGCTGACCGGGCTTAACAAAGCGCTGCCCTGGGCGGAAGGGGGGCGTGCGAGACTCAGGCTGCATTTGTTTGTGCACATACTTTGTGCGCTGGCCACGCTGGGCGGGTGATGGCATCGCCTGGAAGCGGCCTGCTGCCGGACTCTCCCCCGATCCGACTCCAATAGAAAGGTCCCACTGGTCGCCTGTTGCTGTGTTCTGGAATTCTTCCACCCACCCCCCTTCCCACCCTCCACAACAGGCTAGTGTCACGGTTGGAACCGGCCCCGCCTACTGCACACGCGCTGCGCCTCCTCCAACGCAGTCACGGTGTATCATGACAGTTCCGGACTCCCCTCGCCAGCTTCGGCCGGAGCAATTTCAGATGCCCTTTAGGAGTGACACGTCCAGATCCTCTTTCCTCTCGCACGTTTCCGTCCGCCAAACCTCGCCTTCTGCCATGCCGTCGTCAGCCTTGTTGGTTCCCCTCAAGCAGGAGAATGCTCCGCCGCAGCCATTCGAGGACCATGAGCAGCTCTTCAGAAACCCCTCATCGGGTGCCTCGGACACCTCGCTCATGGACTACGACTACCCGTGCCAGCACCCTGACTTCTCCAATTACCAGCCCGCCGCAGCATCGCGTCCGCCCGCGCCGCCCGACGCCCTCGGCTATGCGCCGCAGCTGCAGTATCCATACCCCGAGTGCCACTATGTCTCGCCTGAGCATGATCCGACCTGTCCCCGGACTCTCTCCAACTTGGGCTCGGGGCAGCTGTCCGACATCTGCTTTCCGCCCGGCTATCAGTTTCCCGGCCAACAGCAAGGCTTCTGCTTCCCCAGTCACGGCTACCAGATGGAATTCGCCGGCAGGAGTCAGTCCCCGCCCGCCGACACTGGCTTCTATCCGACGCCCCCTTCGCATGGACTGCCTTTCCGCAACACCCCAGACTACCATCTGAAGCAAGACTTTGGTCAGGCGCTCTATGACGACCGCAGCTGCCTTGAAAACGAGCAGGACGACAGGACCGATGACAAGAACGAGCCGTACGCGAAGCTCATCTACCGAGCGCTCATGGAGAGGCCGGACCATACGATGGTGTTACGCGACATCTATGACTGGTTCAAGCGCTACACGGACAAGCCCAAAGAGAGCAACACCAAAGGATGGCAGAACAGCATCCGGCACAACCTCTCGATGAATGGCGTGAGCATCCCAGCCCTTCCCCACACTTGGCGCGGACCAGCTAACCAAAAGTGTCGCAGGCCTTTCAGAAGGTTGAGCAGCCGGCCGGGGAGGATTCGAAGAAGACCAACATGTGGTGTCTCACCAGCGAAGCGATTCGCGAGGGCGTCAAGTCGACGACACGTTATCGCAAGAAGGAGCAGCACAAACGGGGCTCGAAGCATTCTCACAACCCCAACCATCGCCCATCCGCCCAGAGACAGGCCGCCGGGGCGAGGGGCGGTGACGCAACGAAACGGTCTACCGAAAGACGGCAGGTGCAGCAGCGACAGCAGTCTGAGCAGGACCTGTTTGAACAAGGGCTCGGTATCGTCTGCGACGCGTCGCTGAATCCAGAAGACGAAGCCTGCTCGAACCCATACATGCTGGCCCCGATCCATGAAGGGCCGCACGCACCTTACGTCTATCCCCTGCGCGATTACATGCAACACGACCTCGGGCAGTCGGAGGCTTCAGAATCGAGGTGCACATCACTTTCGCCTGCTGCTCTCACCCCTTACCAGTCGTTCCCTCAGAGTCCGATGCAAGATCAAAGCTGGGGCTGCAATACCATGTCAGACGTGCCATCGCTGTTTGCCCCCACTACCGGCTTCTTCGCCGGGGGTCAGCTTGGTAATGGGTGCGTGGGCCTTACACCCTCCCATACCCCATCGCCGTCTGACGGGGGTGACCCCCCCACTCCAGCCAACAACCCAGGAGGCTTGGACATAGACCCTGAGGGCCACTTGATGCCGCCTCCACCCACGACTTTCTTCGAGGTGGAGGGTGCTATGATGTAGGAAGGCGTAGGGATACCACGAGGGGGTCTCTACTTTGCGCAAGTCTCCCTGTTCAATCGTCTTCGTTGGTCATGTTGAAACCCCATCCAGTGCTTTCTCCATCGGTCCTCTCGCTTCCCCTCTGGCTTTCGATCCTATCTCGCTATGACGTCTTTTGGTCTTTTCGCACATACCCCCCCTCGAGCAGTTCCCATGTCACGCACGACCGTCTACCCGTACCATGTCTTTTTTTTTTTTTTGGCAGTTAGTATGTTTTCTATAGCCACATTTTCGGTATCGTCTGACAAGTGACGCGTAAACAGCTTTCTTCCCGTCTTGTTTGACTGCATGTTATCCCGAACGTGTAGCGTTGCGACATCTCTGTCCCCTTTGGTGTTCTCGCGTACTTCAATGCCACGCGGATGACAGGTCGTCTATGTATGTACAAGTCTGTACTGCTCCCCCCGAACAAATGTAGTAGTGTTCTCATGTTGTGGATTTATTTCCTTGCTTGCTTTCGTTCCTTCATCTCGTCTGGAGCTGGAGCTGGCCCTTCGGTAGTAGAGCAAGCACAGAAGCAATTGATTGACATGCGCTTGCAACATGCGTTGAAAAACTGCAAGTGGTCGGTCTTGGCGCATCACCCACATATAAAGGTTTGTAGTCGGATCAATGTATGGGAGATGATCAGCTTCACTGAATTACATGATCAAAGGTGATCCGCGGTGGTGTTGCAGTTCTGACAAACGAGATGCATTCCAGAAATGGCCCAAGCTCTCCATCTTCGAGCACTTGGCATGTGTGCACTGAGCGATGTTTTCTTTGCGCCAGCCCAGCGAGCGTCGCTCAGAGCCTAACAAGACGCCGCGTGTCGCACGTGCATATTGATATGTTTCTCTCACCGCATCCAGAGCCATGCCCTTGCGTTTCCTTCCCGACACGTTGGGGTTAGGAGGACGCAGATCGGAAACAGATAGGTCTAGCTCGCCTGCAGGCACCTATTGACACGATGATGGCGCAGGCGCTGGAACTGCAAGGTGAAAGACGCGGGCTTTGGGGATCCCAGGCTACAAGATAATTGTGAAAGCGTTGGGGCGACATGGCCCTGCAGCCGTCCGCGACATGCATGTGGGCATGTCTTGGAGATGCCGTGTCAGCGTAGGCGCAAAAGAAGCACGATGATGCTGTCCACGTGTATTTCAGTGCATCCCAGAGAGCCGGTAATGGGAAATGACGTATCGGGCAGATGAATGACACGCTCTGGTTCTATTCCAAGTGTGCAATGCCCTGTCTCACCATTTAGGAAAGATTCCACATCTCCTGAAGTTCTGCCGCTGGCTCGCTACAAGGCCGGTGTAAGTCACTCGATGATTGCATGAGGTGTGATGATGGAGGCTCACACTTGGCGTCAAGACAAAGCCAGGTGCTCGACAGCTACAAACGAGTATGCTGGAGAGCAGTGATGCTGGCCGAGAACAACCAGCCCATCCAAAGGTATGTTGAGAATAGAAAGCTTGATTTTTAACGCGTCCATGGCACTTTGGAGCGTGGACGTGATGGGCTGCGACATGAGTTTACTAAGCGGACTGTAACATGCAAAGCTGGCGACCGCGTGCGCTTTGAAAGTTGCACCCGCTGATGCCCGATGTGTGCGACATGCGACTCCGTATGGCTCCATGTTGGCCAGCTGCGCAGGTGCTCGGAAAACAAAGCAGTGGTGTGAGCTGTTCCTCGGAGCCTTGGGAAGGCACATTGCGTGTCGCGCGTCGGTCAATGCAATTGTCTCTGGTTCTGGTCAAGATTCGAGCATTTGCCTCTTTCCCCGCAGCGAGTAAAGGTTGCCTCGTCTCAGAAGGCGCGGAGATGGTGTCGATACACTGCTTTGCCAGCTGTGGTGAGGTGCAGCATCCATAGCGTGCAAGAGAAAGCCGGGCGTGGAGGGCTGCGGCGCAGATAACCGGGTCACTGGGTCAGTCATGGAGGGAGACAGGAGATTGCAAAAGTGAAAAGTGACACGACGTGGGTGCAGTGGAAGCGACGTGGAAGCGACGTGGGCTCTGACTAAGCAAGCTTTGCCGACCTCTATATCTGAGACGCGCGAAACTGCCCCTTTTATCGACGCGGCCCGCAGACACCGGAGCCAGCAGCAGAGCTGTCGTCAAGCCTCTGGCGCTCCTTCTTCCCCGGACTTGGCTGTCCTCCGTCTGTCGGCATTGCCTTCGCCTGGGCACGCCGCCTTCTCTGGGGTAATTGTGCGGAGGAGATATTGTCCACCAATGGCCCGCAGCGCCACGCCCGCGCACGGCACTTGCGAGCTGGGAAATGCGGAGAGCCCGCGCGCCCGCCTTACTCGTTGCAGCTTTTGCTCAATCCTCCACGACCGGGGCCCTATCCACGACACGGACAAACCAGCGCATTGGCGAGATTGCAGCCCATAAATACTGACCGCGCCCCGCCAATGCTCTGCTCACCACCCCACCGCTCCTCTGCAATTGTCGCCCGCCATGTTGCCCGGTGCCGCCGTTGCTCTCCTGTTCCTGAATGCCGCCGCATCTCTGGCCTCGCCCGCCGTCCACCACCATGCGAAGCTACGCAGCGCTGTCTCTATAGGCCCGCAGCCCGCCTACAGGCCCATGCCCGACTCCCCGGCGAGGAACAGGACTTGCGTCGTCACCTCCGCCGGCGACGGCTCCGACGATGGCCCCGCCATTCTAGAAGCCTTCCAGAGCTGCAGCCCGGGCGGCACCGTGGTCATGTCCGCGAACACCACCTACACCGTTGGTACAGCTTTGGATCTGACCTTCCTTAAGCATGTCGATTGGGGTAAGTCAATGACTTCATTCGTAAAAATCCGCCAACAAAAAAAAAGAGAGAGAGAGAGAGAAAGAATGAAAGCCGAGACCGTACGCGAGAGCTAGGAGCTTGAAAAGAAAAAGCCAATCGCAGGGGAGCAATGTACATACCCTTGGAACAACACTGACAGCATCCTGCAGCCATCGAGGGCACGGTCAAATTCACCGACGACACCGACTACTGGCAGGCCAACGCCTTCAACCAGACCTTCCAGAACGCCACCACCTTCTTCCAGCTGGGCGGCGAGGACGTCAACGTCTACGGCGGCGGCACCCTGGACGGCAACGGCCAGGCCTGGTACGACCTGTACGCCGAGGACATCTACATCCTGCGGCCCATCCTCTTCGGCACCATCGGGCTCAAGGGCGGCTCCATCAGCGACATCAACCTGCGCTACAGCCCGCAGTGGTACAACCTGGTCGTCAACAGCAGCGACGTCGTCTTCTCCAACATCGACATCGCCGGCGGCAGCGTCTCGTCCAACCCGGCCAAGAACACGGACGGCTGGGACACGTACCGCAGCACCAACATCGTCATCCAGGACAGCCACATCAACAACGGCGACGACTGCGTCTCCTTCAAGCCCAACAGCACCGAGATCGTCGTGCAGAACCTGTGGTGCAACGGCAGCCACGGCATCAGCGTCGGCTCGCTGGGCCAGTACGCCGGCGAGGTCGACATCGTCGAGAACGTCTACGTCTACAACGTCAGCATGAGCGACGCCTCCGACGGCGCCCGCATCAAGGTGTGGCCCGGCAGCCCCGCCTCGCTGTCCGGCGACCTCCAGGGCGGCGGCGGCCTCGGCAGCGTCAACAACATCACCTACGACACCATGAAGGTCGCCAACGTCGACTACGCCGTCGAAATCACCCAGTGCTACGGCCAGAAGAACCTGACCCTGTGCAACGAGTTCCCCTCCAACCTCACCATCTCCAACATCGTCGTCAAGAACTTCGAGGGCACCACCTCCGACAAGTACGACCCCCGCGTCGGCTACCTGGTCTGCTCCAGCCCCTCCGTCTGCAGCAACATCACCCTCGAGAACATCGACGTCGTCAGCCCCTCCGGCACCAACCTGTTCACCTGCAGCAACATCGATGAGGCGAGCCTGGGCGTGAACTGTACCGCGCCTTCATCGTAGAAAGGGGGACGGATGTGTTTCGGTAGCGGCGAGCAAAGAACGGATGAATAGTTGAAATTTGAGAATCCATTCAAAACTTCCCATCTCGGAAACCTGATAGGCACTGTGAGCTTATCAGACTTTGCTATCCACGATATCGTAAATTGACATAATGAGTTCGAGTTTGCGGGCCCTCCTGGTTCAGGTTGGTCTGTCGATTTCGGGGGTTGCACGTGAAGGTGTTGCCCAAGTCCAAGATCACAATAGGCCTTGGCACCCCTCTTGCAGTCGGATCAAAAGGTTGGGACGCACAACCTGGGCTTAGACTGAAAAAAAAAAAATAAAGGCAATGTAGCTCGCTGATTAAGAATGTCTCGCCCGTATCTGTGCCACATGAGCGAATCTCAGCCCCAGCAGCTCTTCATAGGCGTGTTGATCTGCGGCGCTGAAGTACACTGCCTCCTCGCTCATGCGACCCAGCTCAGGAGGCTGCCCGTCGGGACAACCATCTCTGAAAGGTCTGAATGAGGAAGTCTTGGTCCGCCGGCGCACGCAAAAGTATGGCCTAAACCGGGAACAGAGAAGGATTTTGGGGAGCACGCAGGGGAAAGGTTGTAATCGAGCTTGACGAACGGGGCGACCTCAATGCGGCACTGGCTAACGCGGTGATGTGTCAACAAGAATGAATTGTTCTGGCGTGAGGAATTCTTTTTTGAATTCTTGGGGTTCTCGTCGCTGCCGAATCACCGAGATCGTCAAAAAATTCGTCAGGGTGCACTGGAGTTGTCTTCCTAACTACAGCGCCAAAGCCTTCTTATCCGGAAGGCTCCTCTTGGTATGCAGCCAGCAACGCTACCGAATCCCCGAAACCGTTTACACCGAATGAAGGAGCATTGCCTGAGACGAAGGCTGTTAGTTCCGAGTTCACTGTCCCGCCTTGTCCCTCGCCAACGTCTTTCTTTTCTTCCTCTTTGCGTGTTCCTCCCAACAGTCGATCTGGTCCGGATGGTCTGTACGTACCATTTTTCCGATGAAACCCTCTCCTCTCGACCCAGCATTTACCGGCTGGCGCTCCAGACATTCTTGAGGAAACCGTCGCGCTGAGTCAAACGGTTGATGGAGTCGTCGCTCTCGCCCATGGCGCGGACGAAACCGCAGAGGGCGTAGGTCTGGTTCTCGCCGGTGTAGCGGCCGTTCTCATCGACCTTGCCGACGGAGATCTGGACGGAAGCGTGGTCCTTGGCCTGGATGATGCGGTTGGTGGCCGAGCACTTGCGGGGGACGTAGCTGGTGGGAGAAATGTCAGTTGCGCCGTGTTCTGCGGGTGCACTCCCGGTCATGCAGGAAAGCAAAAGAGTGCCGCTGCGAGGGAAAAGACTCACAGGTCGACGAGCTCGCCGCGTTCGTTCTCCATTTTGACTGAGGTTGGTGGGGGGTCGTGGGAGCGGTGGTTGGGCTGAGACTACGGTGGTTGTCGCTGCTGCTGTCGTCGGTCGTTGGTCGTCGCGAAATTGGGTGCAGTGCGATGCCACCTCGCTAAGCCCTATTAGCGCGCCACGTGACCTCCCGAAGCAGCACCACCCATCACCTCCGCGCTCGGCAGACCCCTTCAACCACTAACGCCAGAAATTTCCTAGATTCCAATAAACTTAAAAAAAAAAAAAAATATGCAGTGCGGTATGAAGGCCACTTCATGAGAGTAGTACTGAAAATTCCGAACTCCCGCTGGCAGCAACGCACTTGCGAAGCAACACATCACGCTCACCCATCGAATACGTTTAGGAATCGAGTCAAATCATTTAATCAAATCGGACATGGTATATATCAAAAGGAAATGTACAGGGACTCGCCAAACCCGTCCAAACCTGGTATCTCCCGACAATCCTTCCCGAACGCCTCCCCAATCTAATCATATCCAATATTACAAAGTCGGTTCCCGCTTCAATCCAGTGTGATAACGAACGAACAAGGTGTCAATGAAGTGCTCATGTCTGATCCCCGGCGACCTCTTCTTCGCAAACTCATTGATCGCATTCTGTAGCGTCCACTCGAGCCGCTCCACCAGATAGCATACAATGAAAAAGCCCGTCCTGTTGAACCCGTAATGACAGTGCACGCCGATCAACGGTAGGTTGTACGATGCTTTCTCGCGAGGAACGCCAGCATTCTCACCGCGAAGCCTGTCGATCAAGGTGATGAACTGCTTGACCTCGTCTTCCGTCGGCGGAAGTTTGGAGACGGTTGGGAATTTGTGGTACTGAATGCCCCCATTCTCCAGGCCTTTGGGATCATAGACCGGGCTTTCGTGGCTGATATCAACGACGGCGCGGATCTTTCCTTGCCATTCTTGCACAAAGATCCGGGGACAATGTGCAGAATCAACCTCTCGTAGCGTTTTCATTGCACGGAAAACACCACCGATAGGCTCTGAGACTGGAGTGACGGCCTGCCATTTCTTCAGGTTCTTGACATCCCATTTCCCTTCGGTGGTGAGATACTTGAGTTGCCAGCCAAGGGAAAGCCTCTTGTCAACCCGGTCGGCGAGAAAGCCCTGAATAAGGCCCGCCAGAGTTCTCGCCGTTGTTGGTGCGTAGAGCAGGGCGTGGGAAGCGGGCGAAGGGAGGATGGCAGTTTTGAGGCATCTTGCCTTGGGCTTCAGAGTTACTGAAGCTTCTCCATCAGTTGTTATTGAGACATCGAGCGGCGGAATTGAGTCGGTGTCGAGGCTATCGAGAAGTGTTTCCGAACCGGTTCTGTAAGTTTGTGGCGATCCGTTCGCACTGGTGAGATCGACCGGAGCTGCCGTGTCGACTACAACTTCTGCCCCTTTTTCCCGCGCAAGCCCAACACCTCTACCCATGAAAGTTGCGATTTTACGGATCTCGTTCGGCGGGGTGACAGGGTCCGCTTCTCCAGCGACGAGGAAGACTGGCATATCGAGGCCTGCCCACACCTCCTTCCCCGGCATGCCTTCCTCCTTTTTGGCTATGATTCCGGAGTGATCTTGGCACCATGTTCTCGGGAGCGTCCCTCGAGCCATGTTTTTCCACACGGGTGTGCGGCTTTGCTTATTGAAACGAACTTGAAGCTTCTTCGTCTCCAAATCGGCGTCGGGGCCAACAAATCTCCGTACGCTGGCACTCTCTGTTCCGCCTCGTCTATCCCAGCGGCGCCATAGATCGAAGATCGGATTGGGGATGTTCAGCAGCTTGTTGAACTTAGCTGCCTCTTCCTCGGTTGGAGGCTCCGCCTTGGGGCAGATGGCGATGAAACCCAGCACATGCTCAGAAAGAGGCCGGGGTTCAGGAGCCGACGATGACGCCAGATAGGCAGATATCGAACAGCCGAGGCTATGTCCGATGAAGATCACACCTTGACCGGCTTCTTTGTCACGGTGTTCATCGACCACGGTCTCGAGGAGGGCGGCAAGTGCATTGACATGATAGGCGCCAGGGCTCTTTGGCGCAAACTTGGAAAGGCCGCAGCCTGGAAAGTCTATGGCCAGGCACGGGGCCAGGTTGACCAGACTGGTAAGGAGGGATTGAAACTGGGCAGCACAGCCACCAAGCCCATGGACGAAAACAAACAACGGGAGTGGGGCTGGCTTCTTAGGAAGTTTATCGCTCTGGGGGTGTGGTCGATAGAAGGTGCGGACCGATGGGTATGTCCAGCCAGTACTGGAGACAGTGTAAGACTTGTATGTCGAGTGCTTCTTCAGCAAGCCGGGGTCCGTAGCCACAGCATCTGGTAACAGGGGTTAGCGTGTGACCTCCAAACATCATGCGTTCCCCACCTAGGCCAATGGTATCTGAGACGCTGCCGGAAGCGCTGTCGCCGTCACGCCCTTTCCCCACAGTTTGTGCACGATGCCTGTGAAGCAGCAGGCCGGGCACCAAGCCACAAAGTAGGGAGATTTTGGCCATGTCCGAAATGGTCAGTGGACGGGCAGGATCGACCCCCACCAGGGCGAGCAACCGGCTGAGCAGGGAGAGAAAAAGACCCTCGGACTCGGGAGAGGACGGCGATGAAGACGCATTGACGGAGGTGAGAGTTGAGAAAAACCGCGGCTTAAGAATGGAGGCGAGGCCGTTTGGGACGAACAGCATTGCAGCGACTATAGCAGCGAGAGCGCCATGGCCACGGTGAAGACCCTCCATGTCCGGGAGGACAGCAAAGAGGCCTGGAGGAGAGCCCAAGCACTGCTGGTTTGGTGCGCTTGCAGCGGTCGGAGACGAGGCGGTGGGCCAATGACGAGCGGGGATGCACGGCGTGCTTGGGCGGGTGGAGGAAAACGATCGACACGTAGAATGCGGCCGACGTGCAAACTCAGGAGGCGTGGCAGCAAAGCCTCCGGATTGACGCTGCGCGCAGTGCGATGCCGACGGGCCCGGAATGCCAGTAGTGCTCCACGTGGGCGATGCTGGGGCGTGGGTTGTGCAGCCCAGCAGCGGGTACGGCCGGCGCCGCGATCGCTTGTCGCTGGGGGCTGCTGGACGCGCACTAGGCTCCGACACGTGCGGGCGCGGCAGGCAGGCAGGCGAGCTGCAGCTATGAGTTTGGTGTTGAAAGAGCGACCGGGCGGTGACTCAAAAAAAAAGCAGGGCTGCGGCTGACGATGACGTACCCCCAACAAAGAGTCTGTCTCTACTTAGCTCCCGCGCTGCGCGCAACACATGTCCTATCTCGCACTTGCGTTAGCCGGCGCGCTCTTCTGCGCGGCCCCCATGGTCCTCAAGGCAGGCGCCGCCAGCGGCCCGCCCGCCAACCCGCCAGCCCGCCCGTCAGCCCAATGCAGGGCCGGCGTTGGTAATCCGTACTCCGGTCGGATATCCATCAGGCTGTGCCTGAGGCAGCATTGCGTCGTCGGACACTCGGCACCGCGGGCATCGGCAAGTGCCCCGCGCATCGCATTGGCCAATCAGCGACCACCGACTGCTGCTGATGCAGGCATCGCATCGTCTTTGTCCCGAGAGGGCCGTCTCACGGCGTCTGACTGTCGGAAAAGCTTCGATAGGCTGCCTGTTGGAGCTAGCTCTCCGCAGTACCCAGTAGTCGCCCAGCTATTCCGACTCCAGGCGGTTCGCCAATAGCCGGCCGATGAGGGGTAGCTGGGTAGCTCTGTTCCGCGCCTTCTTCAAAATGTCTTGTGCCCTCTTGCCATCTGTGCCCACGGCAATTGCGCCTCCAGTCGGCCCAGCTTTCTCCAATCGAACTACCTCCCACAATGGATTCGGCAAACCTCCACAAGCAATCCGAACCTGAGGAACCCCGCTTCCTCAACTTCCCACACGCCCCAGATGGCGCCACCCGCGACGGCAAGCCTGTGCTGAACAGGTACTCGACCGTTGTCACCAAGGGACATGACTTCCCGGGTGCTCAGGCTATGCTGTATGCAGCCGGCGTCCCCGACAAAGAGACGATGGAGACTGCCCCTCAGGTTGGCATTGCCTCCGTCTGGTGGGAGGGTAACCCATGCAAGTAGGTACCCACTGCCGTGCAGCTGCTAGTGACCCCGCTAACTCATGTCTTCCGTGTAGCATGCACCGTAAGTTGAATTGCAAACGTTGCTGCTCCTGAGCAGAGTCAACGCTGACGGACCGTGACAAAGTGCTTGATCTGGGAAAAGCCGTGAAGGATGCCGTTCAGAAGCAAGGGATGCTGGCATGGCAGTATAACACGGTTGGAGTGTCCGATGCCATCACCATGGGCGGCGAGGGTAGGTTTCAGCAATGTCCAAGCATCGTCGTGTGCTAACGCCCTATACAGGCATGCGCTTCTCCCTCCAGACCCGTGAGATCATTGCAGACAGTATCGAGACCGTCACATGCGCACAGTTCCACGACGCCAACATCTGCATACCAGGCTGTGACAAGAACATGCCCGGCTGTGTCATGGCCATGGCGCGTCACAACCGCCCGGCTCTGATGCTTTACGGAGGTTCGATCAAGCCGGGCTATTCAAAGCTGCTGCAGAAGCCCATCAACATTTCGACTTGCTACGAGGCACATGGTGCCATGGTCTACAATACCCTGAGAGCCGAACACGACCCTACAATCACGCAAGATGCTATCATGGATGATCTGGAGAAGAGTGCATGCCCGGGGCCCGGCGCTTGTGGAGGCATGTACACGGCAAACACGATGGCGTCGGCCATTGAGACGCTCGGCCTTACTCTCCCTGGCTCATCCTCCACCCCTGCGGAAAGCCCAACCAAGATGCGCGAGTGCGCCAAGGCAGCCGAGTGCATCAAGGTGTGCATGGAGAAAAATATCAAGCCACGTGATATCCTCACAAGGAAAGCTTTCGAGAACGCTATGGTCATCATGATGGCTCTGGGTGGTAGTACAAACGGCGTTCTCCACTTGCTCGCCATGGCCGGAACTGCCGGTGTGCCTCTCACGCTTGACGATTTCCAACACGTGAGCGACAAGATTCCCTACATCGCCAACCTTGCTCCAAGCGGCAAGTTCTACATGGCAGAGCTTTTTGAAATCGGCGGCATCCCTTCAGTTCAGAAGCTCCTGATCGCTGCGGGCTTGCTGGATGGCTCCCTCATCACTGTCACAGGCAAGACGCTTGCGGAAAATGTAGAGTCGTGGCCGTCCCTTCCGCAGGGCAATGAAATCATCCGCACTCTCGACAACCCTATCAAGAAGACTGGCCACATCGAGATTCTGCGCGGAAATTTGGCTCCTGGAGGTGCGGTTGCAAAGATCACTGGCAAGGAGGGCTTGAGTTTCACCGGAAAGGCCATGGTGTTTGACAAGGAGAGCGAACTTGACAAGGCACTCGCCCAGGGCCAGGTCCCACATGGCGAGAACATTGTTATCCTGGTGCGCTACGAAGGTCCCAAGGGTGGTCCAGGCATGCCCGAGCAGTTGAAGGCATCTGCTGCACTCATGGGCGCCAAGCTCACGAACGTGGCACTAATCACCGATGGGCGGTACAGTGGAGCATCGCATGGCTTCATTGTTGGCCACATCGTTCCAGAGGCAGCCGTCGGAGGTCCAGTCGCTATCGTCCGTAACGATGACGTGATCACAATCGATGCGGAAAAGAACAGGCTCGATGTCCACCTAAGTGACGAGGAGATTCGGAGGAGGATGTCAGAATGGAAACCTCCGAAGAGGCCCGTCACCAGGGGTGTCTTGGCAAAGTACGCCAGATTGGTGGGAGATGCCAGCCACGGCGCGATGACGGATCTTTTCTGAGTGATTTTACAACTTGGTTTGCCACTCTTCGATGATAATTTAATCCCTTGAATGCCTACTCAACTTTCCTGATGGTCTATTATATCACCCTCTGACCACCTTGACCCGTACTCTATTGTGCCTCGTGGTAAGGGGTCCATCGATTTTCTAAACTGCGGTCATTTCTTGGCAAGCATTTGGATCTGCTCATTCCTTATCTTGCTGCATCTCTTCAACCATAGAGCTGTCAATTGACGTGTTGGCGACACAGCCCTAGAAGAATACTCAACGGTGATTCGCGCGGATCTGACTGGTGCCAACACTCCCCGCTAACGTCTTATTCGTACATGATATCTTGTGCCACGGGCCATCAATCCAAGCAAACGGGGGGCCTTGAAGCACCCATCATAGGGTTCTCAGCCTTAGAAGCCTAGTCTGTTTACCTCACATTGTCCCTCTCGCACAATATCACCAAGTCTGTGTTACCCACTCGAGTGCAGCTAACCGTGTGCCGAAGAAGGACGTTGGTCCCATGTGGTACCGCAGGAGTACGGACACCCCGCACCAATCAGGTCTTGTCGGAGCACCGGCTCGCCTTGGTCGACTCCTTGAGGAGGCAACGTAGTATTGAAGTCTCTCTAGTGCATGCGGCGTCGTGGCCGTGTATCAGAGGTGCCCAGGATAGCTGTCTACCGTCTAACGCTTTTGACCTCATCAAACCTCACAAATGACTTGAGGAAAACACTGGCAGCGTGCATCTCCTCCTCCACAAATACGTAGCTCGTGACCGCGTCTTACTACTTTTATAATACGCCTTGTGTTTCTAGTAACCGCTTTCGGCTTTGGCTGTGACGGTAGGTCGTACTCTTCATGGATGCCAATACAACCAGTTGCAGCTTTTTGACCATGGGACTGCCAGCATTAAGCATGGCTATTACGCACTCCACCCTACGCTACTTTCTATAGCAAGCTCTTCTAAGGGTCTTTAAGCCAACTCCCGCATGAACATGCCCTTGCTTGTTCCTTTTTATCGTTTGTTAGTCTTATATCATATCTCTATCGCGTGCGGTCGAAGGAAGGGGATCCCAATAAAGTTCGAAAATGTGTGACTCGAATCAACGGCAGTGTCCAGAGCGGGTGACACATGAACGCGCCCGACATCGTCGTATTGCGCCCGCCATCTGATCGCAACAGGTGAAGCTCGTAGGAATTGTTCCGCGTCAGCCAGCAGCGTTGCAATCTTGTTCAGAGCAAAGGCTTGACCATGTCCAGATCCATATATCACTGCTTCGGAGGTCATCTTTTGTGAGATCAAGATCACCGTTTGTACGATGGATCATCAGTGGTCTCTGGTAAGATAGAGGTCATGGATCCATAGTCGTTGCTCCCTGACCAACGCACCACCCTTTCCAAACGAATATTCCCCAGCCAGTCGCCCTAGCACATCTTCAGCCTTGAGTTAGCTGAGCTGTCACGCCTCCAACAAAGCCACACTGGACCGACGTTCTCCACTATCTTGAAAGAAACTTCTTGGGATATTACTTCAGGATGTGTTACGTGCTCGTTCCGCGCTACACGGTATGCTCGCATGTCTCGCACCGGCCTGCGCACTGGGGCCAGCAACCCTGTGCCAGGATCCAACAAGCCTTGGACGAGATCAGCAGTCCCAAGTACCATAGCCCTGCGCTCACTGATGCCGCACTCCTCTCAGACCAGGGGGGTCCAAAGGAGCCGTCCGGGGCAGCAGCCGCTATGTCATCTACCTCCATCAGCCGCGCTAGCGATGGCTCAAACGGAGCATCACCGAAGCCTCCGCGACATCTTGGAGGAGTCTTGAAAGCCTCTTCCATTGATGGTGCAGCAACGGAGCGCGCGCTGCCGATGCTCCCGTTCTGGATTCCGGATAGCTGCGTGCTACAGCCAAAGACGGTCGAGAAACCGGTGCATGGCTGGTGTCCGGACTGCGATTGGGAACATGCGAGGCGGATGGGATGGCTGGGAAGAGGGGGGAAAGTAAGGGCGTGGGGACCGGCGGAGAGTGGCTGGGGCGGGAATTGAGGGAGTTGATCTCCTTTGCACGTATGGACCAACAGATGGTGGGATAAAAGCTTCAGCCTTCGATTAATCCGAGGTCAGTCTGGGCACCGGAATACGTAAGCCGATGGAAGTCATGAATGAGGCTGGCGGGTTCGATGGGATTCGAGGGCGGCTGGAGTTAAGAGAATGTCCGCCACCAGTCCGTGCGCGACACACGTGATAATTTTCAAGACGTCACTTTGAAGCTGCCATTGCCGCGCCTTCTCGCCGCCTCCGCTTCTCTCCTCACCAAACAACCGCGCCTCCGCAACCCTCTGCCCGCACGCTTCGCCCACCATGGCGTTCATGCTCCGGCGGCCCTTCGCCATCGCCTCTGCTCTCAGGCAGGCTCCCAAGGCCTCCTCGACCACCATCCGCGCCTTCCACAACACGCCGCTCAAGTCTGCGCCAAAGAGCTTCTTCACCGCGAGGTCGGCCGCGCCCTCGCTCGCCGAATCGAACAATGTCTTCCGCAACACCTTCCGCGCCTTCCGGCGCAACTACTCGCAGCAGACTGCCACCACCTCGAACCCCGAGTTCAGGCAGCGCTTGATCTACGGCGCCGGTATCTTCGGAGGAACGCTTCTGGCTATTAATCTGTAAGCCCTCTTTGTCGGCCCTCCCTGACGCATGACCAAAGCTGACGCCATGTGCACAGCATCTTCAATCGTGAAACCCGCGAGGATGGCGGCATGCCGCCCCACGAGCGCAGCTATCTGAACGACACTTTCCTGCACACTGGTCTCGGTATTGGCATCATTGCTATCGCTGCACGTGCTCTGCACTCGCAAGGATGGAGCTACAGACTCATGAGTGCGAACCCCTGGTTGGTCTTCGGTGTTGGTATCGTGGGATCCATTGGCTCTATGTACGGGTGCATGGCTACTAGCCCTGAAAAGTACGTTGGTCCTCTCTCGTGGAATGCAGAATCGCCATACTAAACTCAATGATAGCTACGTCCAGAAGTATGCTTTCTGGGGCCTCTTCAACCTGACTCAGGCCGCCCTCCTTTCGCCGCTCATGTTCCTGCAGCCCGCTTTACTCGCTCGCGCTGGTCTCTACACCGTCGGTATGATGGGCTCCATTGCCTTCGTCGGTGCGACCGCCAAGCAGGAGAAGTACCTCTACCTCGGTGGCCCTCTCCTCGCTGGTGTCGCCATCGTCGCTCTCTCTGGCCTCGCGCCCCTTGTCCTGCCCGTCACCGCCACCCGCACCCTCATGTGGACTGAAAACCTCTGGCTCTACGGCGGCCTCGCCGTTTTTGGCGGCTTCACCCTGTACGATGTCCAGAAGGTTCTGCACCACGCCCGCATGGCCGAGCGTGGTGTCATGAAGCGTGACGCCGTCAACGAGGCCATAAGCCTCGAGCTCGACTTCATTAACATCTTCGTCCGCATGGTTCAGATTCTGGGCATGCAGCAGAGGCGGAAATAAATGACTTTGGTTTAAGTGCGAAATGGAAGGCTTACTATAGGCAATAATCATTGATGGCGTTGTTTAAGCGGTTACCCTGATCGCAATGTCTTACACATCCCCGCTCTTGCAGTTGGCACTAGCAGGTTCTTTTTTTTATTTTGAAACGGAGGGAAATGGTCCTTTCACAAGAAGACAAAAAAAACAATTGATAATTCTGGAATGAACCGAAGCCAAAGACAAACTTGATTTGTACACGATTTCCTTGAATGAGTGATTTGCGCTTTCTCACAAAGGAGGCTTGGGTACGTACGTACCTTCGAGATTCATGTACGCCAGAATATCTCGATAAAGCTGACCTCTTATTACATGGTGCGATGCAATGACTGTGTGTCATTAAGTTGTTACCCCTTCCCATGAAAGATATGCACTGTCATCTCGTCATCGCCATTTTCAGATGCCCAAAAAGAAGAAGAAACTCAACGCATCTAGCACTACCAGATTGGTTGCTTTTATAATCGCATTTTGATCATTGATTATTGTAATGACCGTCTATATAGTGTAATTAACAAATAATAGCTTCTTTGGCTACCAGTTCATCTTCCTCTCGCTCTTGTTTCCCACTTTCAAACAAAAGAAAAATGAGATGGACAAGAAAGAGAAGGCCATTTGCGAGCATACGCCAGAGAGTATTTATAACAAATGCAGACAAAAGCCGCCTCGCACCCACATCATCTCCCAATCTGCATGATCTCGCTCTTTATTAGCCATCTCCCCCTTCCCGCCAAACTACATGTAAACATAACAGAACGGGCCGGCGAGGGTGCTCATGGCGTCGCGGATGGTGATGGGGTCGGCGGTGTAGGCGAGGTCGAGGACGTCGTCAAGCGTCGTGTTGGCGCTGGGCGGGCTGTTGTTGAGCGTGAGGGTGCCGCCGACGGCGTAAGTGCGGGCGTCGATGTCTTGGTTCTGCCACGTCCACCAGACGCGGTCGATCATCGAGTGGTGGAGGTAGAAGACCTTTTGTTTTTTTTTCCCTTCAGGTTAGCTTCAAAGTTGGAGAAGGGTGCTTGGGTGGTGGTGGTTGCATTGGTTCGTTCTTACAGGATCACCGGGCGAGGCAAAGAGATCTCCACCAGGGTCGCCGTTCATGGTCATATGGCCGCCTGTATGGATTCCCATGAACCCAGACGGGAAGTCTCCCTGCATGACTGTCTGAAAGTCTGATATTTCGTCGTACGTCTCGATGAGCGAGGAGGTGTTGAGGTCGTTGGTGAAACGCGACGACACCCAAGGGTTGATGTCGCGACGCACGCAGCGAGGGTTCAGGCCGAGGCCATCAGCGCGCGGGTTGGTCGTCAGGTCGGTGTAGGCGGGGGATACGGGGCCGAGGCGGGTCGTGAAGTTCTGGAACGGGCCCGACGCTATGCAGCCGCCGCCTTGCGCTGGCGGGATGGTGATGTAGGGTGCTGCGGACGATGGTACGTACACAGGACTGTGCTCCTGGTACACACCGTCACCCGACATGGATGTGTCCGAGCCGTCGAAGATGGGCGAGAGCCGGGGGTCTTCAGCGTACTGCGGCCAATTCCAGTAGGGCTGCGTGCCCGTATAGCCGCACTCGTTGCGGAGAGCTTGCTCGTACGACCAAGTGAAGTAGCGGTGCCACGAGAGGAAGTTACCCTGGTTATGCGTTCAGTAGTTAGCTCTTTGAATATCCATGGGGCCGGTTTTCACTCACGGTTCCGTGGATGGTTAGGGTCTGGTTGATGTGGGTGGCCACGAAATCATCGTAACGGGTCTCGCATCCCGGACAAAGCTCACTTGGAGTAATGGAAGGCTTCGTGGAGATGCACTGTACAGCGGCAATGTACGCTTTTCTCTCCTCAACAGAGAGAGCGCCCCTGTATCGCTGGTAAGTAACTGTTTACTTCACTCGGGGCTGGGGACTTTGACGAGGGAATACGCACCATTCCCTCCGAACAGACACGTTTTCGAGGGTGCAGCTGTCGGAAATGTAGCCATTGGTTTGGATATACAAGCCCAAATTCGCCAGAGCCGTCGCGGCCAACTGGTCGGTCTTGAGCAGGAGGTTGTTCGCGGCGGCCTCCTTCTTCACAATGGCGGCGCCACTAGCTGCACCCACAAGCGCCGCGGTGGCGACAACCTTCTCGAAGAGCATTGTGGCGAGCGGGCCGGATGTTGTAGAGTCCCTGGACCTCTCCACGAATTGGCTTGATGGGAAGCTCGGTAGCGGAAGGTGTGGCAGGAGCAGCGGCACCTGTCAATTTATTTGCTACGTCCTTTTTTTTTTTTCGGCGCATGTAGGTAAATGGCTTTACAAAGAGACGGATGGCCGGCAGTGCATAGCGCTGTGGCACAGAAGGGGGTTCGGGGAATGGATGGGAGCGAGGTTGTAGCGTTAATGCGCAGAGAAGCAGGGCGGTGATTGAATCTCGGTGAAGAAGCCCTTAAGCAGGGCGCAAACGCGAGACAGCGCCACCCAAAAGTCGGCTCCTGCACGGCAGTTGCTCGAATGCGGCGAAGAACCGAGCTGGCGTTCCATTCGTGAAGAGGGAAGCAGCCCGCAAAGCCCCTCGTCTGCGGCATTGTTGGACTCGCATGTGGCGGCGCCGGAGAAAAGCGGTAGCTAGTTAAAGTGGGCTCCGCGCTGATTATCAGCGTGTGCCGTGCCGCCATGTAGATGGGGGCCGAATCAAATAAAGAAAAAAAAAACTAGAGATGCTGTGGGATGAGAGCACCATTGGCCCAGCGTTGCACCGGCCCGCTCACAATCCAAGGGAAAGACTTGCACGAGAGTCGCAGTTGTTGGGCAGCTTCTGAATCTCAAACATTGTCCACGAAGATTGCAGGAAAGCAGGTTGGATCTGGGGCTTGGTGTGTGGGACAATGCCCCTAGGCCGTATCAGGGTTGGTGCTCCTGCGGGATCGGCCTTTATTATTCAGACAACAACACTTCAGGCAGAAAGTGTCCGCTCGCTTATTCCAAGCCTGGCATGCGCGGAAAATGCCAGCTTGCCACTTACTCGGTCGGGCAGGCATTTAGATGACACAGCCGAGTGGCCAAGTTATCGATATCGATAATATAGCCATGCTATATGTTCGCCAGGAGGAGCTACTGCAATCGGAGTGCCTCTGGCCTATGAAGGGAGACTCACAGGCTACCTACATCTTTCTGGGCCATTCGGAAGCGAGGACGCAGACAAGGAGATGTAGAAGGAGCCACGCGTATGTCAAAGCTGGCTGTTTGGGTCTTCACGCAACTTGGCAGGTGGGATCGACTTGAGTTGAGATGGCGTCCGGTGCACACTGTTCCATAGATTCGGCTCTTCTGCTGTCGTCTAGAGGAGAATACGTCACAAAGAACACGGGCTCGGGACGTTCAAGGACAGACTTCCCGGGCTGGGTCATGGTGCGGGCGACCATGGCTCCGGCTGTGGACCACCACGTACGTAAAGAGGATCGACGGCGAAGGCGAGGGGCCAGGTCCGTGCCTGAATAGATGTGGGCTCCAGGAAAAAGACAGCAGCGGCAATGGACCCGACACAGCGGAGCAGCCGAAAGAGCAGGACAAATCGCTACCCCCGGCGCAAGTCGACGGCCTTGCCATCGTCGATTTCAGGCAATGATGTCCTGAAGCACGCGCCTCAGACGGCGATCAAGCAACGATCTCCCGCAGTCCATGACGCGTGCCCACGGCCGCTTCTCGCGCTGTTTCGGGGCGCGACGGGGATGCGGGAGCGTAGGCTGGCGGCTCTTCTGAGCCCGGACGAGCCACAGGGCGGCGGGATGGGGGCCGGATGAGGAAGCCGACAGCACGGGGAAAGTGGGAACTCGCGAGGGCCTGGAAAGACTGAATCGCAAACAGACAGAGGCGGGCGGGCGGGAAGGATGAGATGCAGTTGCGACGTGGGCGAGGCCCAGTTGCAAGCGAGCCGCCTATCTACGCCCAGCCAATCACAGCCGCCCGCGCCTCGTACCTGCCCTTAGCTGCCCTGCCTGCTCCTGCCTGCCTGCTCCTGCCTGCCTGCTTCTGCCTGCCGCCTGCCTCACATCGCTGTGCCGCACTGCAACACCATCCTCTAACCGACAACGCCCGCTCCGGCTCCGTGCCCGCACTGCCATTGTTGCCACGCCATCTTGTCACGAACCTACTTGCGCAATCTGGCCCCATTAGCCGTCCCCGGCCAGTCGCTTGCGCTCCTTTGATTGCCCGGGCTCTCCGTCTGCCGCCTTGTCTTCTCATCAATCCGTCTCTTGCGCAGCCACCAGGGAACATTGCAAACCCCCGCGCCGTTGGAGACGTCCCCTTGCGGCACACCCAGGTGGACGCTGCGGGCGCATTGACGTGAGGGCTCCTTGTCGAGTATCACAGCAACCAACGCCCTGCTTCACGCTTCCCATGGACTTCTCCAAAGCTGGCCCGGGAGCTGCCATGCCTTCTGCCAGTCTATTCTCCAGGCCCGTTGGGACCTTCGGGATGCGACGCTCGATATCGCCCGGCCTCATCCCTGGTCCGACAGCTCATGCCGGGCGCCGTACTGTTTTAGCACCTTCTGGCCCAGGCGGTTGATCGGCCGAGAATACCACCCCTCCTCCCACGCGGTGGCGTGTACCGTTGGTGACCCCTCTTCCCGAAAAAGAAACCCGCGCCTGCTCATGCAGCAACAGTGTCTCCGGCCTCTCCCGGCTCTGGCATGGAGACCACTGAACCCTGCATAGGCTACCAGAAAGACCATTAATCTGCCGCCAGCCTAGCTGGTCTCGGGCCGAAGTCCTTCACCCGCCATGTGCTCTTACGCCACGACGCATCTTCTGCGACAGGCTCGTACGCTTGGCTCGCCAGGCACAAGGGCGCCATGTGGAAGCCCACCCGCCTTTCCTGTAATATCCTCGTCGATCCATTTCCTTAACATGCCGGCCCCCTTCCATACTTTCTGCGGGCCTTTTGCCTGAGTCTTTCAACGCGTGCTCACTCTTTTCCATTCGATGTTCCACATAGATACCTTGGTTCGCTCTGTTCACAGCCAACGCATCAGATTCGATCCCGCAAACCCCTTCTCTTGATTCAATACAGGCCAGTGGCGGCCGGCCGTACCACAAGGACGTTGGCTGTTACCAACATGTCCGTCTACTTGAAGCGTCAATCCGGCTCTGATCCAGGCCGTAACCCCGGGCCTCCAAGTTTTCCGCCAGAATACGTGAACTTCAGTGCTGCCGATGAAATACTCTCCATCACCAGCGTCTTTACCGCCTTGGCGTTGGTGTTGGTCATCCTCCGCCTCTACGTGAGGGGATGGATGTTGAGGTTTCTTGGGTCGGACGACTATGTCATGTTGTTTGCCATGGTCAGTATCTCTATTGCGAGCAAACTAAGCTGTGGGAGTACACCTTTACTGATTCAACCATGCAGGTGTTGAGCCTAATCGTCATGGTCTGCTTTGTTCAAGAGATCAAGTACGGATTGGGGAAGCACGCTGTCGTGATGCTCTCGGACTCTGTCAACTACACGAAATTCTCAAAGTGGCTTTACATTCACAGCCTTATCATAATGGTCGCGGTCAGTGCGGTCAAGGTCTCGATTGCACTGTTCCTCATGCGCCTTGCCGAGAGAACAAGGAAAGTTAGGTTTCTGTGGGGGATGATTGGTGAGTTGAAGCCCGAGACGGGAAGGCTTCTCTGCTAACCTCTGGCTCGCAGTATTCCTCGTCCTCTTCACTGTTGCTTGCGCCTGCACTTTGATTTTCCAGTGTTCGCCAATCGCTGCCGCTTGGGACTACTCCCTCCGTATGCCACCGGCGAAGGCAAAATGCTTTTCGATGAACACTTTCAGAAATATTGGCATGTTCAACAGCATTGTAAACATCGTCACCGACCTCCTCTTTGCATCGCTTCCAGTTCCTTTGATCTGGGAGTTGCAGATCAACATTCGAGCGAAGCTCACGCTGGCCTCTATTCTCAGCCTCGGTTTCTTCGCTTCCGCCGCAGCCATCGTCAAGTGCGTCTCGCAGTGGAACGTGCTGGATGAGCCGGATTGGACAGTGTACGTATCCCGCCCTTCGTCCAGCTTTTCCTACTCGGACCAGGTTGCGGCTGACCACGTCACTCGCTCGCAGGCATGACTCGTTCAACGTGTGGAACTGCATCGAGCTGAATATCGGCATCGTTGCAGCCTGCCTGCCGGCCCTGAAGCCTCTGTTCAACTGGTTCCTTGAAACTGCACGGGCAATTACCAGTTCTGGCGGACGATCTGGTATCCGTCGTCCCACGGGCTACGGCAGCCGATCGACTACGCTCGGATACATGAAGCAGCATGATAGCTTCGCCATGGCGAGCATATCACGGTCTCGAGGAGACGCAGCAATGGGAAAGATAGGTCCATACGTCGCACAGGTCTCGGTGGGTGTGAAAGAAGTAGGCAAGAAGGCGCCCGGCTTAGACAGAGGACTTCCTCTGAGCTCGGACTTGAGCAGAGACTCTGGCGGCTCGGGGTCCAAGGCATCCAAGGAAGGGGAGAAGCATTGGGATGTCGAAGCAAGGAAGACCAGCGGCGATGGTATTCTGTCACACGAAGAGGGTGGTTCCAGACCAAGAGGCCACGTCATCCTGCGAACAACGGAAGTACATGTGAGCTGAGTGTGCGGGTCGGGTCTATGGTCATATGGTCGGTATGTTCTGCTCTGGTCCCCTCGATTCTCCTTTTCACGTCTCATACTTAGCTTGGTTGCCGCGTTAGAAAGAAAGCTTTTTGTTGCTCCGGGCACTTTTACTTGCGTACTTGCATACTGTACTGCATGTTCTTGAGGCGAGGCAAACTACCAAGGAGCGCCGACAAAAGCCAGCATATCTGACGAAACATGCGACATCACGCCTTCGGCTTGGGGATTGTTCGGAGCCAGGGCTCCGTGCCCCGACCTCGACCGCTTCTCCAGCGCCTGATGTCGTCTCTGGTCTCCACATTGCGGGGGTTGCCGGCCGAAGTCCGGCCATGCGCATGACATGTCGATGGTCAACAGCAGGACCGCAGCCCGTATGAGTGGCCGCCTCGGGAACGGATGCTCCTACCTGCCGGGCCTTCTCAGGAGCTCGTCGTACCAACGCTCGTGATTTGCAATACTGCGGGGTGCAGGGCGGGGCTTCTTCACCAACCATTGCCGACGGCCATTCCGCCCGACGCTACCAACATGTTCTCGCCGACCTCTCCGGCCCATCGCTACTCGTATGACGCGCATCATGTGGCTTCGGTCCAGCCCACCCCGAGATGCCAAGCACGCCGTCCCCGACTTTTGATCAAGCTTCCCCACGCTCTCATGCGCCATCCCTGCTGCGGCCGTGAACACCACCTCCTCGGTCCATGTTCCTTGCATTTGGTCTTCGCTCAACCATTCAGACGTCATCCGGCGCCACCTGTCTCGGCCGTCGCTGTACCGCCGGTGGCGGCTAAATCGTGAGCCTCTGGAGATTTTTCATGACCAAGCTCCACCAGCATGTTTTCTTAAAGGAAGCGCGGCTTGCGGTCGTTGCAGCCTTCGTGCATACCCCTCTCGCACCTGCAACAATGGCCCCGTCCGCCCTATTCCGACGCGCTGCGGCAGTCTTTGGCACCCTCGCAGCTTCCACGCTTGCCGTGCCGTACGAGCAGTACATCCTCGCACCCTCCAGCCGCACCTTGCACCCGGTCTCGGTATGGAAGGTCAATGGCACCGTCCCGGGCGCCGAGAGCGTGGCTGGTGACGCCCTGGGCAGCGCCACTTTCACCGACGCCTCGGCCGCCACCTTCGACTACGAGAAGAACATTGCCGGTGTCGTCTCCCTGACCGTGGGCGACGTGTCGGACGAGAATCAGTACATTGGCATCACCTTCTCCGAAAGCTCGCTCTGGATCTCGGGCGAGAGTAGCGACGCCACGGCCGACGCGGGCAACGACGAGACGCTGTGGTTCCAGCCCAAGGAGGCGGGCGTGTACACCGTTCCCAGGCAGAACGAGCGCGGTGCATTTAGATATCTGAGCTTGGTCCACAACACCACGGGCAGCTTGGAGATCACCCAGGTCACGACACATTACACGGCCATGCCGCACTATGCCGATGACCAGCTGAGGAACTATACCGGCTACTTCCACTGTGACGGTAAATATTGCTTTGACGAGCGGCTTAAGAGGCTTTTGCTAACGTCTAACGGATGAATTGCTGAACCGTGTATGGTATGCCGGTAAGTATGGCTATTCGGTTGACTCTGTGAGAATTGACTGCTGATTCCTCCTGGACAGGCGCGTACACCAACCAGATCTGCACAATCGACCCCCAGTACGGCGACGCCCTCATCTACCTCAACCAGATCACCTCCAACATGACTTCGGACGAAGTTGGCAACCTGCCGTGGTACGTCAACTACACCATCACCAACGGCACCTCGGCGCTCGTCGATGGAGCCAAACGTGACAGACTGGTCTGGGCTGGCGACATGGCCATTGCCGTGCCTGGTGTCGTCGCCTCAACAAACGACCTCGTGTCCGTGCGAAACTCTCTCAACTCGCTCTTCGACATCCAGAACAAGAGCACTGGCCAGCTGCCGTATGCCGGTCGGCCCTTCACTTTCATGCTCTCGCACACATACCATCTGTACACCATCATTGGCGTAGCAGATTACTTCCTGTACTCGGTAAGGAAAGGGAAACTTCTGCAAAGGATATCCTACCACATAGCAGTGCTGACAAAGTTTGGCAGGGCGACATGGACTATCTGCAGAGCACCTGGTCCGACATCAAGCTGGCCATGAACTTCTCCCTCGGCTTCATCGACTCAAGCGGCATGATGAATGTGACGGCGCCGGCCGACTGGCTGCGCTTCGGCATGGGCGGCCACAACATCGAAGCCAACGCCATCCTGTATCACACCCTCAACCAGGTCTCCACCCTCGCCTCGGCCCTCAACGAGACCGACCTCCTCGCCTCCTGGTCCACCACCGCCTCGGGCATCAAGACCGCCGCCAACGACCTCCTCTGGGACGCCTCCGCCGGCCTCTACCGCGACAACGAGACGACGACACTGCACCCGCAAGACGGCAACGCCTGGGCCGTCGTCGCCAACCTGACCCTCAACAGCACGCAATCCGCGCAGATTTCGTCCAACCTGGCGGGGCGGTGGACGGCGTACGGCGCGCCCGCGCCCGAGGCCGCCGACGCCATCTCGCCCTTCATCAGCGGCTTCGAGCTGCAGGCGCACATCGCGGCGGGCAACGCGTCGGCGGCGCTGGCCCTGACGCGGCTGCAGTGGGGCTTCATGCTCGACGACCCGCGCATGACCAACTCGACCTTCATCGAGGGCTACAGCACGACGGGCGAGCTGCACTACGCGCCCTACACCAACGACCCCCGCATCAGCCACGCCCACGGCTGGGCCACGGGCCCCACCAGCACCTTGACCTTCCTCGTCGCCGGCCTCCGCCTCGTCGGCGCCGCCGGCGAGACGTGGCGCCTCGAGCCCAGCTTCGGCGACCTCACCGCCGTCGAGGCCGGCTTCGCGACGCCGCTGGGCGCGTTCAGCACGAACAACACGAGAGACGCCGAGACGGGCGCGTTCAGCATCGTCTTCGAGACGCCCGAGGGCACGAGCGGCGCGGTGAGCGTGGAGCGCCCTTCGTGCGGCGGCACCTTGACGGTGAAGCCTGACGGCGGGGCGGAGGCGGATGCCGTGACGAGGGAGGTGCGGGAGAAGGAGGGCGGGGACGGGGACCCGGTCGAGAGGATCGAGGTGGATGGGTTGAGTGGCGGGAAGTGGACGGTCGAGTTTGCTTGCTCGGCCTCGTGAGTGAGTGAGTGAGTGGGCGAGGCAAGTGAGAGGGATGATAAGTAGCGAATCAACTTCCGTTTTTCCGCTCTTGGAAAACATTGTCAGGACGGCATTGGAAAGCCTTATTATATGCTATGCCAGCGTTGCTGCAGCAGCGAGCATTGAAACGACGGTGTTTTCGTTGCAGTGATTTGTGATGGAGGAGTCTGACCATAGGAGAACTCGTCAAATTCGTCGTTGTCTTTAGGATCCATTACGTGTCGAGGGTGGCTGTGGCAGTCCGAGAGCTGCCAGCTGCTTGTCGCATCCAGCCCCGTCTTGGTAAGCAATGGTGGCTATCCTTTGTGATGCAGAGGTCGGAGTAGTACTTTTCCGGGACCAGAGACAGGCTCGGAACCTTCAGCGACGAATACAAACAAGTACGGAAGAAGTTGAAATATGTCATGACTACAAAAACAACGAGAATACAATTGGCAGATTAGATTTTTTTTAGTCTACCATGTCTATTTCCTCAGTCTTGTCTCTTTTCTCGGTGCTTGGGTCTTAAAGGAACAGCCGGCCACACAAGACATGCATGCCCAGGCCCCAGGCATACCCCAGCCCGCTGTGTGGGAAACGAAAAGAGAAAACAAAGCAAAAACAAGAACAGAAAGGAAATCATCGAGGGTTCTAAGCAGGGTCCATAGGCTCCTTTGGCTCCTCGCCGTAATTGCTACAAATATCTGGAGCATCGTCTCCCTGCGGCACTGCTGAACACGCAGCACCAGGCTCTTCCGAAAAAGCCCAGATCAGCGGTCGTGTAATCTGGATAGTTGGATCGATATTTCTGGTTCCCAGACAAATGCTGCGGCTATGGAGGTGCCGCCGGAGGACTGCAACTGCAACCCTTCCAAGTGTTGCAGCGTCTCTTTCTGCTTCTCAGGGGTTTGGGGTGGAGAGATCACTTGGCCTTCACCCTCTCGGGGCTCGCCGTTCACGTGCCGAGGCGGGTTGAAAGCTACGCCAACGGCTACCGAGCTAGGTCGGCTTGCATGAATGTCTGAGCTAGATGTCGGCATGGCTTGTATGTGGTGCCGAAAAGTTGTGGAAGGAAGTGGCCGAAGCTTTGCGGAAGGCACCGGCTGACACTGCGGAGCTGAGCTGTAGATGACAGGCACTCCGCCATGGCGCCTGCCATGCCATCGTGTGGTGGAAACAATCACGGCATAGGCCAGATGTGACGGTACAGAGAAATGGAATCTATCGCTACCCATCCATCACGGCTTCAGACCACCCTATTCCAACACGTTTCTCTCCTCTCGGCATTTCTCGTCCTTTTAGACTCATCTACCTCAACGTCTGATGCATCACGCTATTCTTGTAGCTCTCGCTCCTCGCAAATAAATCTTCATGCGTGCCCTGATCAACACAGCTTCCTCCCTCGATCAGGAAAATCACATCCGCCTTCCTGATAGTCGCTAGACGGTGCGCAATGACAACAACAGTGACGTTGCCCGTCATGAGACTGTCGAGAGTCGTCTGCCAGATGCGCTCGCTCTCGGCGTCGAGAGCCGAGGTGGGCTCGTCAAGCAGGAGCAAGCGAGGCTTGCGCAGCAGCGCACGTGCGATGGACAGACGCTGACGCTGACCACCCGAGAACTGAGAGCCCTTGGTACCGCAGCGCGTGTTGTAGCCCTCGGGAAGCGACATGATGGTATCGTGGATGTTGGCTGCGCGGCATGCCACCTCAACATCCGCATCAGAGACATGCACACCCGGTGGAGCCCCGAGGGCGATGTTGAAGCGGATGCTACCGTCGAAGAGACACGAGTCCTGCGGCACAAGCGCGACGTCGTCGCGGAAACCCATACCGGTCGAGGGTAGGTTGCTGATGGTGCGCCCGTCGAGCTTGACCGTGCCCGACGACGGCTTGTAGAAGCGCTCGAGCAGCGCCAGTGTCGTCGACTTTCCAGATCCCGAGTGGCCCGTCAGCGCCGCAAATTGGTTCGCTTTGATGTCAAGCGTCAACCCCTTGAGCGCCTCGACATTGGGTCGCGACGGGTACGCGAACCGCACGTCTTCAAAGGACACCGACATGCCTTGCTGGTTCTGGCTGCCCTGCGACTTTCCGAACTGCTTCATCGCAAGTCCGCTGGTTTCATCACCGTCTTGCTCTGGGTTGTACTCGTCCTCGAACGACGTCAGGACATTGCCACCATGAGAGTCTTGGTATGTACCCGCCGACGGGTCGCGCGGCGCGCCATCGATCAGATCGAGGATCCGACGCGCGCCGACACCAGCGCGGGAGATGTCAGGCGCCAGCGAGAAGAATTGACCGCAGCTCTGGGCTGAGAAGAGGAGAGCGGGCAAGACGATGAAGAACTGCGTCTGCGTGTAGGTACCGTCCGCCGTCTTCTTCGCGCCCCACCAGTATGCTAGCGCATAGATGAGGTTGCTGACGCTATAGGATAGGGCCAGCCAGAAATTGCCAATAGTGATACCCTGGATAGTCGCGTCGTAAGGCTCCTTCAGAGCGCGTTGGTATACCGAGAGCTCAAGATTTTCGAGAGAGTACGCGGCGACCGTCTGAATGCAGTCAACCGCTTCCTTAGCCACACCAACGGAAGTGCTAAACGCTTTGGCGTGCTTCTCATGGAATCGCGCGTACATGCGGAGACGAAGGTAGCCGGAGAGCAGCAGAATTGGCACTGTGGCCAGGAGAACGATGGCAATCTTCCACGCAACGATGTGCGAAATGGTCACACCCATGACCAGGCTGACGACGATGGAGAAGGAAATACCGAGCACTGAGCCCGTCATGCCGCTGAGACTGTTGGTATCGGTGGTGATGTACGAGAGCAGTGTGTCAGGGGTGCGGCCTTCGGACTCGTGCCATGCAACATCTTGGTGGAGGAGAGAGCGCAGCGTCAAAATCCGCGTTTTGACCAGAAGCTTCTCAGAAACAAAACCAAAAGCAGAGCCGCGTGTGACGGAAGCACTGAACTCGAGTATAGCGAGAAGGAAGAAAAGACGGGAGAAGAAAATGCCACTCCATCGGACAAGTGCCTCGTCTTCGCATGGATTGATGTGGGAGATCATGTTACCGAAGATCAAAGCCTCAGCGGAATGAGAGCCTCCAACGATGATGGCTGCGATGACGCCAACGATGACATACAGACGCCACCGGCGAGCAAGTCTGATAACAGCAATGAGGGTGGAGATGAAGGAGCGCTGGTGTTTGCTTTTGTTGTCCGCTACGACGGTAAGTTCTGGGTTGATGTGGGAATCGAGCAGCGGGAGATCTTCGTCATCGTCGTCAGAATCCAGGTTGACATCGCCCATGTCCGCATCCCTCTTTTCGACATCCGAGAAGCGGCCGCCGCTGCCAGCTGCAGAGGATTCCCCCTTATCGCCGGCATCAATCAGCTGTTGAGTGACAGCCCTGTCCTCTTCCTTCTGGATGTCTTGGATCTTTACGAGCGAGGCGAAAACGCCGTCTCGTTGAATGAGCTCATTATAGCCACCCTCCTCTTCGACCTTGCCTTTGGCCATGACGATAATCTTGTCCGCATTTTTGACAGTAGCCAGACGGTGTGCAATCACGATGATAGTCTTACCCTGACACGTTTCCTCCAGCGACTTCTGGATATTCTGCTCGGAGAACGAGTCCAAAGCAGACGTTGCTTCGTCAAGGATCAAAACCGGTGCGTCGCGGATCAGAGCGCGAGCAATAGCCACACGCTGTTTCTGACCGCCAGAAAGCTGCCTACCGCCAGGGCCGACCCGCGTCGCCAAGCCGTGTTCCATGTTGTTCGCAAACTCGGTGACGCCGGCACGACTGGCGGCTTCCTGCACTAAGCGGATGGTCTTCTTGCATGCGGCATCAGCAGCCATGTCAAAAGTAGAGCCCTTCTGGACCTTCTGGACGCATTCGTTCAGGCTACCATTGCTAATGTTGTCCTGAAGGAAGAGGTGGTCACGGCGTGGTGAGCCGATTAGACCGAAGGCGATATTCTCAAGGATAGAGACATCAAAGAGGGAGGGGTTTTGCTCGACGATAGCGGTGTTGCTGCGCAGAAAACGTGTGTTCATCTCCTTGATGTCCATGCCGTCGACAAGAATGGAACCTTCGCCATCTTCGAGATCGTAAATGCGCGGGAGCAGCGAAGCGAGTGTAGACTTGCCGCTGCCGGAGGAACCAACAAGGGCTGTGATCTTCTTGGGCTCAATGCTTAGGGAAACACCGTCGAGAACCTGGGCATCCGGGCGCGAGGGGTAGCGGAAGCGGACATGCTGCAGCTCAAAGCCACCCTCGAAGCTGGGTGGAATCTGGCCGTGAAAATCGGATGTGCCGTCGATTTTCGACTCACGATCAACCGTCTCAAAGAGCTTCTTGGAAGCCACGGCTGCTCCAGAGAAAATCTGCAGAAAAGGCGCGACCTGGGTGAGGATGAAGGAAGCTGATATGCATGTCAGCACTTGTTCGTTGAGCAAAAGTGGCAACAGAGCCTACCGTCAACTAGAACCAATATACATGTGTACACCCTGCCGACAGTGAAATTGCTATGGTCGGCAATTGCGTCTGCAATTTGCTGGCTGCCCTGCCAAATAGCCACGGCATTGGCCGTGTAAGCGATCAAGTACAGACCACCAAGTTGCAGGGCGGCAGTAATGAATTGACCAATAGCGGCAGGCTGCACCTTCAGCAGATGGCCGGCAAATATGCCCTCCAGACGGGACTCCAGACGAAAGGCATGCACGATTTGAATGTTGGACAGACACTCCGAGGCAATGGAGCTGGCTTCGGCAACGGCACCAGTCACCCGCTTTGAATACTTCACCGTGAAGTGACCGCCCGCCTTCGTCATCGCCCAGTATGTCGGCACAAGGGAGAAGAGGATGATGGCAAGTCGGGCGTCCATGATGAAGGCCACTCCGTATGCGGCCAAGAAGTATGACAAACTAGCAATGTAGATGCCGACCTTCTCGGAAACTCCGGCTTGGATAGTGTGCAGGTCGGTGTCCAGGCGCGAGGCAACCTCGCCCGCAGGCATGCCATCGAAGAAAGCAGCCTCCTGGCGCAACAGAGCGGACAGGTAACGAGTGCGGAGGCGGCGAATGAGGCGCTCACCAAACAGGGTCCAGCATCCCATATAAATATAGATCAGAGCGAAGTTGAAGCCAGCGACGATGGCGACCATGACGACTTTCTGGCGCACGGCGTGTTCCAGCCGGGCCGGATCGGGGGCGTCATCGCACGAGGAGGAGTTGAGGTCGTCGACCAGCTTGCCGAACAGGATGCCCAGGAAGGGGAAGGGCAGGCCGGCGCACATGGCGCCAACCACGCCGGCCACCAGCAGGAAGACATCGAATTTCTCGGGTTGAGCGGCGAGCAGCAGAGGAAAGAAGTCCTTGTCGATGAGCGAGCCAGCCAGTCGGGCGAGCAGGCCTGCGCGGGATACCTAACGACGCGAGGTCAGACGGCTTATCGCGCAAAGTGCGGGGAAACAGGAGCAGGAGGCGTACCTTGGTGGCAGCCATGGCTGTTGCGCAGCTGTTGTCAGTGGCGCGTGTCGTGTGGTCGAGTCCAGGGTACACCAATGCACCAGCAGCAGCAGCAGCAGCAGCAGCAGCAGCAGCAGCAGCAACAGAAAGCGCGAGCTCAGGCAGTCATCCGGTCGTCGGCAGCGATCGAGATCTCGTTCATGCAACGGTCGGGAATTTTTTGCCGCCGCTCAGCAGCTCTGGACGGCAGGCCGCATGGCGAAGGTGCCATGGCACCCTCGTATGCCGGAGCTGGTGACCTCAGCAGGCGATGGACGGCCCGTTTCCCCGAATATCGGGCGGGCGCAGCTGGGCGCTCACGAGGGGTGGGCTTGGCTGTGTTTGCGGGAGGTTGCTGGGTGGGTTGACAAGGGCAGGAGGCTGTGGGCAGCGGGCAGCGGGCAGCGGGCGGCGGGCAGCGGGCGACGGGCAGCGGGTGTCGGGCGTTGCAGAAGGCGAGGCAGCGAAAGTGGCACTAAATCTGATAAGACAAAAACAACCGAGCTCCGAGACCGCCTTCTTTGCTCCCCGGCGTCGATTCCAGACATCTCAGGCCCACCGAAATTTCAAGCCGGATTGTGCATGTCAGCCACCACCTTCCTGGCCTATGTGGTTTGTTCCCGTTGATTGCGCCGCGCGAAGCGCCCTTAGCCTGCCCGCCGCGCCTCTTGCAGTCTTCGATCGCACGACGCCTGTGGCGCCCCAAATCGAACGCGTGACTGTCATGCGCGCCGCCCTGGCTGCGTGTAGGCGCCGACGCCGCCCTCTCCGCTCAGAAAATGGGAGTGCAGGCCGTGCCGGTAGCAAAAGCAGCAGAGTCTGAGGTGAACCCAACACCGTCCCGCGAGCCAGCATTGCTGAGGGACCGCAAGCCACCGGAGCGCGCCATGTTTACTGCCCACCACACGCCTTCGTCTCCCAACGCCCTCTACTACGATCCTCAGATGGTCAGAAAGCTGCTCGGCACCGAAGACAAGCCTCGCCGCACTGCTACTCGCCAGACGCACGTTTCTGCGCCCCAGGTCAGAAGAGTTGACAGCGGAGAGACAAGTGAGACCGCAATCAAATTCGTCGAGCCCGAGAGACAGCGAAAGGATCCCAGAGGGAAGCGGCAAAAGGTGAGGGCCATGTGCTCTGCAGCACTGGAGAAGTTGAAGCCGACGCGATGAACTGGGGGGCTTTCTCGTGAGTTCAGTCCGAGCCATCAACCGTCGCCAGGCTGACTCAGGCCTCCACAGTTGAAAGAAACGGCTGCTGCTCTTGACGGTGGCCTAAATAATACCACAACTGCGAATCCCCGCTATGTCTCCGTCGGAGCAGCAACATGCATACTCAAGCTCACACGCAATGCTCGAGAGTAACGAGACCCAAGACCCAGCTTCGGACAGCAGAGAAAGGAAATGATGCCTGAAGGCGCGAAGGAGATCCGAGTGAAGAGGTGTTCGATAGACAACGGGAACCAATAGTCCGGACCACAAGACCTAGAATTGATAGTAAGTCATGGCTTCTCTGGGGTTGATTTTGTTTGGTTGGATGGTCAGCAGCATTGCGGCCGTTGGCGCGTGTGATCGACTGGTGGCCATGGATGTTTGCGGATCTGTGGCCCTGCATGGTAGGTTGAACTGGTGCATTCCCCCCCTAGCCAGCTGTATGTGCTACGCCAAGCAGTCATGCCTCGGCGGGCGGCCCGGGCGTTATTTGATCTGATTGATGGTGGGGAGGATGGGGTGATGCAGCAGCGAGACCGCCCCGAACGACCGAATCTGATAAGATCGGCCCTCGCCCAAAATCTCTGCACCGGGCGCGAGTGCCGACGCAAAAGGAAATGCAGAGGTTACCTTACGGTTATCAGATGGCGCGCGGGTTCGCCTTTGGCACTGGCGCCAACTGCGCGCAATGCGGGTGGAGACGCTGAGTCCGCCGGGCCGGGCTCTCACCTGCTCTCGATGCCCACCCGCCCGGAAGCACGGCAACTCGCTCCCTAACTTGCAACTGCTCGGGTTCGTATCGCCGTCCCATGATCTACCTTGGCAAGAGCCAGCTCGACCTGCGGGAGCTCCCGAGCGCGTCAAGTCCGATCGTCCGCCTCGTACTTACGACTCCCTCCTTCGCAATCCACGCCTCGCAAGACAGCCGTGAGGGGCAAGATGATATCTTATCTGGAGGATCAGATAACCGTCCAACGTTTAAACATGGCCGGGCCAGGCGAGTTTATTTCGTCGTCTTGTCGTGGCTTCCGTCAACGCCATCCTCTCCATCTCATCGTCGCCTTGACTTGTTAACCCCGAACCCTCGCCATCGTCTCCGAGCCCGCCCAGCCTCTGGAACTCATCCAGCCCGGGACTTCCAGACCGCCGATCCCAGAGATCTTCATCGTCGTTCATGCGCTCGCCATGAATGCGCCTGCCGGCTGGCTCGTCCACCAGGACCGCTTTCTCCAGCCAGGCCAGTTCCAAGGCCGATCCCACCCGCAGTCCACTGCCGCATGCGAGGGCGTGACAAGGCCATCGGAGCCCCAGACCCAACCCCAGAACAGCGTGGAGCAGATGCAATACTGCGGCCGTGGTCCAGCCAACGATGGGAACTTCTCCGCCAAGCCGCGCGTCGGGCCTTCGGTATCCAGGTCTTGGAAAGGTTGTTTTTGCATATGATGGAGTAAGAAGCAGATTACGGACGGCTGTTTCCAGTTGAACCGCGCTCTTGGCACCACGGCACGAGATTGCGGCGGCACCGAACGTTCTTTACTCGGGCCCGCGGGCAAGGGGTAGGAGCTAACCCCATCTAATGCGCTCCTGATACCCGGATGGACGCCAGGTGGGCTGATGTGAAGGCACGGGACCATGTCGGCGGTGCTTCTTATCGAGATTCAGGAAACAAAAAAAAACCTCAGGAAGAAAAAGCCACAGGCATCACTTCCCCACAAGCTTTGGTCAATGATCGACGGTCGTCGAGTTTGTTTCGCCTTCCGGTCCTGCTTGCTCTTTGCTGCCCGTCGAGAACAATACCACGGTTGTATCGGATCCTGCTGCGCTGCTGCCGATCTTCATGCAAGGTCTACCCTTTTCGTAAAATGCCGAAGGGCATTGGAACTGCGGCAAACTGAACCGGAACACCACATGGCAGACTGAATCATTTTCATACCTTGCTCCTGACGAGGACAAATGGAAACCTCGGTACCTCCGGTCGCCTCGCCTTTTCTTGCCGTCGCCTCCATCGTCTGCTCGACCGCGCTTCCATTGACCATGGACCCCGTTCTGAGCCGTACGTGTCATATTATTTGGACGTCCACACTTCGCTTAAAATGTCACCTGCCTTATCGAGTTGTTTGTTCCGCGATCGATGATGGCACAATGCCAGCAAAGCTCTTCATAGGGCTGAGGGTCCACTCCGCCCGCTCCTACGCTTTACTGGCAGTCGGCTGCACACCACATTGCATGACGAGCAAGGCTGTCTTCTCACATGCGATTAAGTCATCTGAGGTACAAGAGACAACGCTCGTGCAAATCGTCATTATCTGCAGCTCGCATCGTTGATCGTGCTTCTTGTTTGCATCATCAGAATATCCCAGAAGCCCTTGTAATAATCAGTGCCAGTATCTGACCATCGGCAAATACTGTATTGGGAAGTCATCTGTCCTGGGTGCACAATAATGAACCGTCAAATCCATCATTTTTACATTCGACTATCTTACTATACACGATGGAAAACTCTATCCAATGCCCAACCTCACCTTTTCTTCGTTATTGCGAAAATACATGAACCTTTTCTCCACTCCTGCTGGAGCGACAGCATTGCTGCATCCCAGCTCTTGCCTCGCCATGTTGTCCGCCATCTGTTCTCCTTCAAGCCTCTCGCCGCTCAATCCCCGTGTTCCACCGGACCCTCTCCCTTCCGCTTATCCTTCCCATCCTCCTCTTCGTCTTTGACCGGCAATTCCCGCCACATCATAACAAACACCACGACAAACGGCAAGCTTGCAGCCGCGACGACGCACAAGCGAGCCTGCGTGACGCAATACGCCCTGACCACAGCATCGCGGACGTCGGTGCCAGGTTCCCACTCGAGCTGCTTCTTCAGGCTACCGTAAAGCTCTTCGGCGAGATGCTTCTTGCCGGGGGGCAGAAAATCCCGCAAGAGGCCCGGCATGGAGGCGGTCCAGACGGCGCCGGCGACGGCGGTGCCGACGGAGCCGCCGACGGAAGAGAAGAGCAGCAGCACGGCGAGCACCATGGCGATGTCGGAATGCGCGACGGCGGCGTTGACGGCCGTCTGGTTGGCGACGACGAGGACGGCGCCGGCGACGGCGTTGGCGAGCTGGCACGCGATCACGTCCGTTGCCGACGTCGCGTGCGGGTCGCGCACCGAGGGGACCAGCGCGACGGCGGCGAGACCCCGCAGCGGTAGAGCCCAGAGTGCCAGCCGCTTGTACTGGCCCGTCTGCCGGATGATGTAGGCGAAGGCGATGCCGAGCAGGCAGGACGTCAACGAGAAGATGTTGGCGACGTAGCCTGCTTCGCGGATGGAGAGGTAGCGCGCAACTTGCAGGTAGGACGGGAAGTAGGCGTGGTAGGCGTTGAAGGTGGCAAAGGAGCCGAAGCAGAGCAGGCATGAGCCTAGCACCGTCCGGTCCCGGAAAACGACTCGGTATGGAATCAGTCGAACCGGTGCGTACTTCCACTCCCAGACGCCGAAGAGGCAGAGGCTGGCGTAGCCCGCGAGGAACTTGCTTAGAGAAGATGCGGAGAGCCAGTTCGTGCTGCCGTCTGAGGTGGACGGTAGTGCCCGCTGGCTAAGCGGGAGAAGGATCAGGGCGAGACCAATGGTGAAGAAGATTGAACCGACAGCTGTGTGTGTCCGTTAGTCGCTTGTGAAAAAACGTATGGTTGTGCCGTACCGTCGAACTGGATTGCGAATCTCTTCGCTTGCTGCAGCCACGGCTCCCTCCGCTTCAGATCGTTGGGCTTCAGGATCCCTTTCCTGATGGCCACATATTTTGTGTGGAACAGAAGATAGATGATGGGGAGCGAGACGAGAGGCGTGGTGATGGCAAAAGTAATGTAGGCCCATCTCCAGTTCCAGGTGTCCTGGAAATACTGTGCCACAGCCGGGCCGGCGAAAGTAGTCAAGATATACGGGGTACTCGAGAGGGAAAAGGCAAGAGCCCGGTTTCTGAGGCTGGAGGTATCTGCCAGGAAGACCTGGAGCACATAGCCTACACTGTCAGATGCGAATGGTTCCAGTGCGGAATGATAACGAACCGATGCCATCGAACCCGACCCAGTAAAAGACCTGAGGCCGTGTGAGTTGCCTGAACCGGCCAAGTAGGCATGCGTAGGCTTACCTGAGCAATTGCATATGTAGCTACATCCCTACAAGCTGCCATCAAGACCAAGCCTACCAAAGAGCAGTTCAGTACATGGACATATACAGAATGCGGACAAGAAGCGAGTGGACCAACCAAGAGTTGTACACGCTACCATGGCGGCATAGCCTTCCCCGCGGCCCCAGATATCGATCAGCTTAGCAATTGGGACACGCGCTACACCAGCAACCAAGCCTGTGCTGACGGAGATGGTGGAGACGAGGGCATGCTGGGAAAAGTCACTGGTGACATAGGTGACCAGGTTGGCGCTGGCTTGCGTCTCCAGCGAGCAGCCGAGAACGACGAGAAAGACAAACAGGTAGGCAGTCTTCAGCAGACGCGGAGTCCAGATGGAGCGGACAGCTTCAATGTCCCTGACGCCTTGCTGCGGAGGGTCATCGGGGTGGTCGTGCTCGGCGTGCATCAGCAAAGGCGCGTCTTCGCCGGGTATGTCTGGCGTAGATGCTCGCGAGATCAGAGTCCAGGCATCCGCTTCCAGGCCGCGATCACAGGATCTTTGGCGCAGGAACATGGTAGGATAAAAGGGTGGTAGCAAAAGGACATGCGCCGTCGCAATGAGTGGGCGCAAAGCATCTGGAGAAGCGCAGGCTGGCTGTGACGCGGCCGCTGACGCAGGAACGGCAACTGCGGTGTCAGGCAGGCCGGCGTGGGACGCAGCGGGCAGGCACCGGAATTATCGCGGCGGGGTGCAGGCGCGACGCGAGCAAAAGCGGATCTGATAATTATAACTTTAACGGGCCACTCTAATCCGTAAATCCCGACGCTCGCCTGTCTTTTCCCGCCCCGGCCGACTCGCACTCCGCTGCCCTCGCACCCACGCCGCCATGCACACACACTCATACACACACAATGCACCAGCCCGACCGGCTGACCCCCCCGGCTGATACGGCGATGCGTTGAATAACGCCCTGGAGCCGCTCCTTCGGCCTCTCTGCATTTGTTTTCTCGCTGCGCGAAACAGCCGCCTATGCCTCATGCCATGACTGCCGCCACTGCCCCCGCCCCCGCCAGCACCAACGGCCTGACCAACGGATCCAATGGCCACGCAGTGGATGTGCAGCCGCACCGCGTCCTTGTCGTCGGTGGGGCCTACGCTGGTGTCGCCGCTATACTCGGCCTGCTGAACGGCCTCGATGGCAACCCCGTCCGCCCGGTCTACGGCGACTTCAAGTCCGACGTGCCCAATCCCCGTCCAAAGACGCCCGTCGAGATCACCTTGGTCGACGAGCGTGATGGCTTCTGTATGCCTTCCTCCTTCCTCCAAGAGCTTCGTAGAGGCTAAGCGTGCTAAGTCATGGTCTGCCTGCAGTCCATTCTGTGGGAGCTCCGCTTGCCCACGTGGCCAGGGGCTCCGTCGAATCCTCCTGGCTGCGTTACAAAGCTCTGTGGCGCCTGAAGCGCAAGGAGCTGTCGATCCGCCGCGGGCGCGTCAGAGAAATCCGCCCCGATGCCTTGTCTGCTACCTTTGTGGACTATGACGACGACAACAAAGAAGTCACGCTCGACTACGATTACCTACTCCTGGCCACGGGCTCGCGGAGAGAATGGCCAATCGTGCCCAAGGCCAACTCCTACAGGAGCTACGTGATTGAAGCCCACAAACACATTGCTGGCATCGAAGTCGCCAAAAGCGACACTGTGGCGGTCATCGGCGGCGGTTAGTATCTGATCTGATCCCGTTGATCCCCGCGCATCATGTCCTCTGACTGCATCGTCTGACAGGTGCCGTTGGGGTCGAGTTTGCCGGCGAGATCAAGAGTCATCATCCCCACAACCGGGTGATCCTGATCCACTCGCGCAGCGAGCTGCTGTCCAATGAGCCTCTTCCATCCGAATTCAAGGCTCAAACTTCGACCATGCTGGAAGAGATGGGGGTTGAGCTCATCCTCGGGCAGCGTGCCAATGTCATTACTGAGGACGGCTTCTCCAAGATCACCTTGACGGACGGCAGAGTCATCAATGCCGGCCATGTCTTTCCGGCAACCTCACGGTACTCACCAAATACCGAGTGCCTACCGCGTGATGCTATCGATGAGAATGGCTACGTCAAAGTCACTTCCCAGTAAGGCCACCAGGAAATCGCATGCGGTTCATTCGGGCTGACTTGAGTGATCAGCATGACGCTTAAAGATATCTCAAATGCGGAGCGTCATTTTGCGGCTGGTGATATCTGCCATTGGTCCGGAATCAAGCGCGCTGGACCTGCCATGGTCATGGGCCATGTTGCAGCAGCCAACCTTTTCAACGCCATCCTGAAAAGGGACGACCCAGATGTCGAGGTTGAAGTGGCGGAGTTCCCCGAGGTTGCGCCCATGATGGCTTTAGCGATCGGCTCGGCAGCAATCACCTATCACCCTGATAAGGGTGTCTTTTGGGGTCCGGAGAGGTTGGCGGAAGTTTTTGGTAACGACCTGGGCTGGGCTAGTAAGTTACTTCGCATACAAAAGTACGTGGATTCGACTAACGCTGGTAGACACGCTGAGATTTCTCGGTCTCTCTGACCCTGAGCCTTCCGTGGAGGCGTTGTGAACTTGAGCCTGGAAGCAAATGGTCTCTTCTTGTTAAGTGTCTTCTCAAATTCGAAAAACCTTGGATATCCGTTTTGAGAATTTGCTCAATCGTTACTTACAACGAACTTTAAAACGCCTGGTGCAAACGTGTTGCATCATTGGAGATACGCGTTACTGCAACCCATCGTGACTGAGCATCATTATTGTGGATAATGGTTTATGAGTTTCCTCGACCCTGACATAAAAAGCTGCATACCTGACCTTCTTTAAGACAATATCTTTTGGCCTCTGTTAACCTGAGCTTTACGAACGGTGGCTCAATCCTACACCTGTCTTGCTGCTTTCTCAGGTTCCGCACGCTTGTACATACACCCAAAACTTGACAGGTCATTGATCAGCTGCATGCAAGTTAAGCATAAACCCACCCCACGGGTCGTTACGAGAGCGTAAGCCGCCCGGCCGCCGCCGCCGCCCGCAATCGTTCCGTCTCCTACAGCCGAGCTTATAGAGAAATGGGGGCGATGACGTTTGTGGCGACAATGCGGACACCGAAGCTGGTTGAGTCTAGTTACATGAGCGGTACAACGGTAGGATGGTGCGAGCTGCCGCCGAAGTCGGCATCACTTATGGTCTACTGCGCAAAGTTCGGTGGCACGGCAGAATTGTATACTGGCAGGCCTTGGGTCTACCGATAGCTGTCCATGCTCTGGGCAGCAGCCTCTCCATCGGCAAATTTGGGCATTGAACTTCTTGTCGTACGGTCATGACGGTCACGATGCAGTCAGTGCGTTAGAACATGGCCGATGAGGTCAAGGTGCTCGATTCAGTATCTCGGTTGCAACATGCAAGGCAGCCTTTACGGTGGCGGCTAGAGAGGAGAGCGGCTTCGCCACTTTCATCGGGCCATCTGATAATGGATCGGAGTGTCGGACGTAGTGGGGATCAGTGGTCCCGATGGAGTGACAGAATCATCCGCACAGGTCCGCGGAGTCGGATGGTGTTACAAAAATGGATAGGCACCCTGGCGGAATGGGTCCCCCTCGTATTCGAGAGATGGGTGGATAGAAGGCCAGGCGTCGCTGCTGGAAGGTAGCCATCTGTGGGGACGGATGTGGCAGATGGTGGCACGCCCAGGCCATAGGGGATATCCAAGAAACCGTTTGCAGATGCTTCCCCACCTTGCCAGGAAACAAAGATTGAGCCCGTGCGCAGTGTTGTATTGTGTGATCGCATCTTTTCCATCTGGTGCTCGGCCATAGCCACCTGGGCCGATCTTCTACTCCCTCTATCTCCGAGGATGGATAGATGTAGATGGTGGACTCACTGAGCCTTGGGGATACCGAGCAATCCACTATCCCGCTCACATGAAGAAAGATGACTGCCCAGACTTACGGCGACGTCACCAGCCAGGAAAAGGCAAGATGGAGTGGTGCCAATGTGCAACGCTGCGGTTCTCCGAGCTGCCGAGGCGGCCATCATGTAGGATCGCTTAGCGAAACATGTTTTCGCTGCATGTTTCCCAGTCGGTGTCCCTGCCAGGGGAAGTGATTTTACTGGCGGCATCGAGGCTGGCGATTGCGGAGCAGTGAAGCGGGCGCCGAATGGCACGGGTAATCAGATGATCTAATCAGGGCATACGACCTGCGGCATTTAGCAGCATGCAGACGGCCGGGGGTGCGGGCGGCGGAGCCACGCGCGCGCGGATGGACCGACTTGGCACCAGCAGCGCCCACGCTGCCCGCCCAGCCTGAGCCGGGGCAATGCTTGACCGAACTTGGCTGCTGCCGGCTGTGACGCCGTGCAGCGTCAGTCCAGAAGCCGGTGGTGAGCAGATGCTCGGGCTGCACAATGCTATCTATCTATCGTCGTGCTTGCTCAATTCGCTAAGTAGTTGTCCCGCTCCTGCTCTCCATTGCCGTCATCAATTCAATTCCTCGCAGCCTCGCTCGCAGCCACCATGGCCCACGTCGAGCCGGCGCCCGCAACCTCGCGCATCGAGCTGCCGCTGGAGCTCAAGCTCCCGCACCCGTGGCTCACCTCGTACACCATCGCAGTCGCCGGCCACGACGACAGCATCGAGCAGCTGCACATCCAGCCCACCGCGTCGACCGACCAGAGCAGCAGACCGGACAGTGGCCGCCCGCTGCCGCAGACGCTGCACAAGGCCGACCTGACATGGTCGCAGCTCCAGCATGACGACACCAGCGACCTCGCCGACGGCAACAATAGCTCGTGGGCGCGCGCCCGCCGCACACCCTTCACCACCCTGCGCTGGACCGGCCTCCAGCGGCCAACCGTTGGCCAGGCGTGGCTGGTGGCCTACGCCCTGTTGACATTACACCATAAGCGTGAGAGCATCCGCCTCATCCTGTCCGGCTCCGGCTGGCAGGACCTCGCCCGCGAGCTGAGCCGCGTCGGACTGGTAGTCGAGCACCCGCGCGCGGGCGAGTTTCCGCCGCCCCCGGCGCAGTACCTCCTCTTTGCTGGCGCCTTCTGGCAGGGTGCTGGCTCGCCCGTCGGCTCACGGCCCATCTGGCTGGGGGACGCAGCACTCGAAATCGAGGCGCACTTCCCGCCTGTGCCCTTCCAGCAGGCGCCCGTCACCGTGTCGTTTGCAGAGGCGCCGCGGCACACGCAGAGCATCGTCCGCCCCGCGAAGCCGACGCCGGGCAGCGTCTTGTACAGCCGGTACATCCCGCACCTCGGCGAGCACTTCAGCATGGTGGCGCTGGACTACACGAACGCAGACCACCTCGACTACTTCCACGCGTGGCAGAACGACCCGCGCGTGGCCAAGGGCTGGAACGAGACGGGCACGCTGGACCAGCACCGCGAGTACCTGCGCCGGATGCACAACGACCCTCACACCTTCACCATCCTCGCCCGCTTCGACGACGTCTTCTTCGCCTACTACGAGGTCTACTGGGCCAAGGAGGACCACATGGGCGCCCACTACCCCGCCGGCGACTACGACCGCGGCCGCCACTCGCTGGTCGGCGACACGCGCTTCCGCGGCCCGCACCGCGTGAGCGCCTGGTGGAGCGGCATCATGCACTACATGTTCCTCGACGACCCGCGCACCATGCAGCTCGTCGGCGAGCCCAAGTACGTCAACAGCACCGTGCTGGCCTACGACTTTGCCCACGGCTTCCACGTCATGCGCTTGGTCGATCTGCCGCACAAGCGCAGCGCCTTCGTGGCCTGCAGCCGCGAGAAGTTCTTCCAGCTGTGCCCCCTGACGTGGGACGGGGAAGAGATTGTGCCACCGAGCTTGGATCGGTTGGCGAGGCTGTGAGTGATCGTGGCGCAGATGAAGCGGTCAAGGGATGGTGCGTGCCAGGTTTCCTCGTTGTTTTTGTTCCATGTCGGATGTATATATATAACTTTGAGCTTTTTTTTCCCTTATTTTTTGGGCGGTAATTAGTGGTTGTCACTTGATGTGGAAACGATCAAAAGCGTCTGTAGCTTGAACATGCAGGGTCAGCAATGTGTTTGAACGGTCTCTCAAAGCTCTGTATATGGTGAAAGCTTTGCACTGCAGACGTTGTCCCGAATCTTGAATGACTACGTTAGACGGGAAGCAGGCGGTCAGCTGTCCTTGACTCAGACCGACAGAAAAAATTGCCGTTTACGGGTAGCCAGTTGCAGTAGCTCAAACTATGAGTGATTGACGAATAGTTCGGTAACAGATATATTGATAACATCTAAGTCGGTGTCTGAAAGTTCCCTTCTTTGGGCATAGGTACAAATTTACTTTTCCTCCACCCCAACGCCGAATTATTCCATGAAAAGGGGGTCTAAAGTATGCACAGTTCGTGAGAAAAAATGATGGGCGCTTCGAAGCTCGTTCACACGACCAGCTCACCGCCCTTGGCAGCGACGAGCTCATCGCCATACTTCCTGAGCTCGTACTTCTTGATCTTGCCGCTGCCGGTCATGGGAATCGTGGCGTCGACGCCGTCCTCGCCCAGCCAGAAGACGTGTGCAGGCGCCTTGTGCCGGCCAAGGTGCTGCCGCGTCCATTCTCGCACTTGATCGTCCGACAGTCGCTCCTGGCTAGCCGCACGCTGCAGGAAGGCCCCGACCACCTCGCCGTACTTGGTGTGCCGCAGGCCCACGACAATGGCACGCTCGATCGCAGCGTGTGCTACCAGCCTCTCCTCGATCTCGAGAGGGTAGATGTTCTCACCACCTATAATACGAAGTATAATCGTCAGCAGGTGCTGCAAGGGAGGTATGCAATAGGTGGGAAAGACGTGTGATTGGGACGCTTACCCCTGATTATGATATCCTTGAATCTGCCGGTAATGGTGCAGTAGCCATTTTCGTCGAAAACGGCCTCGTCACCGGTATGCAGCCACAGGATGCCCTGCTCGTCGCGGATCATGCATTCCTCCGTCTTCTCCGGGTTGTTCCAGTAGCCGCGCTGCAGCTGGTAGCCAGCCATGCACAGCTCGCCGCGCTGGCCCACCGGGAGAATGCGGTTGTTACGGTCGACAATCTTCGAGTGAGCATGCGGAAGGACCGTTCCGACAGTGGTCAACCGCCGGTCCACCGTGTCGTAAGTGTGTGCGTTGAAGCAGGTGGGCGAGGCTTCAGTCAGGCCTGGTTGGTTTCACGTTACACAATCAGCTATCAGATCACGCTTATAAACGCTGCAGCCACGTAATCGTGCGTGGTGTGGCATTAGAGTGGGGGCGTGGGAAAGCCAGGGCAAGGGATAGATAAAGAGACTTCGCCCACCCACCCCCGTCCTTTCTTCACCTCGGATTTGTTCAACTTACCGTAACTACTCGTGTATTCAGTCATCCCCAGCTCAACCAGAATACCCTCCATAAGATGGCGGGGCACCGGGGCGCCAGCGATGATGCCAGTTCTCAGTTTGGTGCAGTCGAAGCCGTCCGGCCGCGGAAGTGAGAGAATGGAATCGAACATGGCGGGCACTCCGTGCAAAGCGGTGCATTGCTCATCCGAAATGGCACGCAACGTCGCCTCTGCATCGAAAACCTCGCTCGGAAGAACAATCTTGCTACCGTGCGTGATGCACGCCATCAACCCAAGCACCAGCCCGAAGCAGTGGAAGAGCGGCGGCGGGCATGCAAGGACATCCTCGCAAGTGAACGCCATCCGATCTCCAATGAACCTCGAATTGTTCACGATGTTGCTGTTCGCCCAACCCTGTCAGTTTTCTTGTTCCTCTCCAAGCACCCAGGTCCGCTGTTTTTATTTTTTTTTTATTTTTTGCTAGATGCGGGACTTACTGGTGAGTGAGCATTGCTGCCTTGGGGTTGCCGGTGGAACCACTGGTGAATTGCAAATTGCACACGTCGTGGGTGTTGAGGGCGGTGCTAACGCGGTGCAGGTAGAACGGAGAAATAACGTCACCCAAGCCGATCAACTTGTCGTAAGAAGTAAACTCGGGGATCTGCTCGCGCAGGGCGATGACATGCGCTAAGGACGGCAGGGTCTTCAGGCGGGTCTCCGCTGATCTCAATTGCTCGACGAAGGTGCCGTTGTCGTAGCGGCCAATCCTCGACTGGATGAACAAAAGCTTGCACTCTGCGATTGGATCAGCGACATCGGGATCCGCGCGCTCCGCAATCAGGCCGGCAGCGGACGTGCAACACCAAGACCCCTCCAAACCAACTCACCGGAATGGTTCAGGGCATAAGTAGCCTCTGTTGCCGTGTACGTGTTGTTGAGCACGACCAGGATGGCGCCAACCTTTGCGGCGGCAAAGAAGACGGCGACGTACTCCTCGCAGTTGCCGGCCATGATGGCAATGCGGTCTCCGGGCTTGATGCCCATGGCGAGCAGGCCGCGGGCCAGCCGTGTGCTCTGCTCCCTCAGGTCGACATAGGTGCAGCGGGTGCCGGTCCACGGCACCACGAGCGCCTCGCGGTCGCCATACTTGTCGGCCTGGAAGTCGAGGAGCTCGCCAATGGTGAAGTTGAGGAGAGGAGGGTCGACGGGGCCGTGGACCAGGGAGAGCTGCAGGCCCTGGGGGCGCGACGCGGGGTCGAGGATATGGAGAGTCTGGTTCAGGCGCTGGACGGCGGGAGTGGGCGCGGCCATGGCTGGAGGCTGGGACTGCTGCTGGTGCTACTCGAATGGACGCAGCTCTGGCAGAGAAAAGGTACCGGCGCGATTGATAAGATTTCGACGGACGGCTGGGCCGCGTAGGCGAAGCATTGGGTCCGTCGCGTCTCGGCCGCTTTTCTCAGCGCGCAAAGAGCTTATTCCAGTGCGCCGGAGCTGCTGGCCAGCCAGAGCTCGCGATCGCCGCCGCCCGTTACCGGAGAGGGCATGTCGCACGAGGCAGACACGCGCGGTGGCTGCGTGCCGCGCATTGTTTCTGGGGCTTCTAGGGCTGCTGAATTTTCCCTGGATCCATCAGATAGCCGGCGTGGCCCCAGGCTGGCCCAGGCGGGTGTCGTAACATCGGGCGCAAGCTTGAGTAGGTGGCTGCGCTAGATGGAGTAAGTGTGAGGAACTGGCGCCCAGGCGGCTGGCGTACGCGCCGGTAGCTGCCGCTATCAGATCCGCTTTTAGTTTCGTATCCCGGACATTGCCGTTATCTGATCAGCTAGCCGGGGGCGAGTCTGTCGTGGTGCTGGAGGTGCCGAGGTGCCCTGTACCCTGTGCGCACAGGCCCGCACGCCCCTGTCAGCCCGCGCCTGCCCCGCCCCGGTCGCCCCCCGTCGTCGCCCCCCGTCGCGCCTTCCTACCCCCGGCCTGCTCTGCCACACCACACACCAAACAATCTCGGATTTGCGTGGGGGCATCACCACCTCCGATCCTTCGCTCCGTACCTTCCACGCGCGCCCACACACGTCCGGGGCGTCCAGGGCGTCCAGGGCAGCCGCCTCCCGCGCGGACGTCTGACCGAGCTAGCACTGTTTCCGGACACGCCGCGGGCCAGCACCTCCAGCGAGCAGGCGCCATGACACCAGCCCGCATGCACGGCAAATTGGGCGGGAGGGTCGTGATGGCTGTGGTCTCATTCCGGGGCGCCTGGGACGGCTACCAGCCTGCCGAGCTCCCACAGGCCCATTCCGCCTGCTGCAGCGCGACATCGGCCCAGCCAAGTGACGGAGATGCGACCCTGCTGCGGCAAGATTGAAGCTCGTGTGTAGCTTGGCCCTGTCGAGCTTCTCCAGATTCGTTTTTCTCTGGACCACATGGCTGCCGTATTGGAATATATCCCGCGCTCTATGTAACCAAGGTCCCAGAAATCTCATCAGATCCCAACTCGTCGACCTACACTTTAGAGCTCTGCACCCCGCAGGCCTCAGCCCGCAGCCTCTTTGCAGCAATTGGTTTTGCATCCATGTCGTTCTCCACGAGCTTTCCCGCCCTCGATACGCTGTATCGCCCGCCCTTAGCGGCCGGGCAAGCCGGGATCAGCAACGGCCTGGGAGGCACCGCGGAACTGCACCATGACAACAAGCCTGCAGATTTTGCTTGGAACAAAGCAACCCTCGCCCGCGGCTCTGTTGCTCTGACTGCAGATACTGTTCTTGAGGCAGGCGCGCGTCTCATAGCAGCTTTCACCGGCGAGGATGACGTAGTCTTCCACTACTCTTTGCCTCCCGCCGTCTCCAGCTCCGTCGAGCAAGCGCCGGAGAGATTCGGTATTGCCACGGCTGTCGTTGAATACGACGCTGCTGAGCGCGCCAGATCATGCACCATCACCACATACCCAGGTCCCCAGCATTCCTACGGTGATGCTCAGACCGACTTCGCCGTCGATGTCCTTGAAAATGGACAGACGGCAACTTTCTCCACCAAGGTGCGTTCCGCTTCATTGTTTCACGTGATTCGAGCTGACACCGTCTGCAGCCATTCGTTTTGCGAGTGGAGCTCGGATCCAAAATCCAGCTTAGCATTCATTACTATAGACAACTGATGTCTCCTACCATTGGCCAATCGATGCTCAACTTTGTCATTGACTACTTGACATCGAGCTCTTACACTGCACCACCAAAAGACAAGCAGGCAGCTATCTGGTCAAAACTCAACTACCCTTGTCTTTCCCAGCCGCCGCGCCTCCTTGAAGATCAAAATCACGGTCATTATGACATCGGGCCGGCTTTGCTCCACTCCGCCTTCAGACGGCGGGCGAAGGACCATCCCAACCGCCCAGCCTTGGACTTCCTGGTATCCATTTCCCCCGTGTCGCCCGCAGTTCACGATATCTATACCTATTCCGAGCTGGACAGGCTCACGGATGCGCTGGCTGCGTGCATAAGGTCCAAAATTCCCGCGAGCGATAAGCAATCGGTTATCCCAGCCATCATCTCCTCATCGGCTGAACTGTACGTTTGTTGGCTTGCTACTATCAAATCTGGCTGCGCCTTCTGTCCTGTCTCTCCAGAAGCACCAGCGGATCAACTCCTTTACGTCTTCCAGGATGTTGAGGCATCGCTCCTTCTAGGTCGCGGTCCTAAGGAAGGAGCCTTATCGGGAGCCCTCGACGATGCCTTTACTTGGGTCGATGCGACCGCTTTCATTGACGAATGGCGCTCCACTGGCAGGAAGTCGGCCGATGCCACGATTCTCCCTCCCATCGATGAGAATGACCTTGCCTATGTTATGTACACCAGCGGATCTACTGGAAGACCAAAGGGAGTCAAGATCACTCATCACGCTGCAGCGTGCTCAGTTGCTTCCCATTCCCTCTACCTCTCTTCTCGGTCGACTTCCATCCCTGCCCGTTGGTTCCAGTTCGCAGCACCCACCTTCGACCCCTCTGTCATGGAAATCTTTGTCACATTTTCCACTGGCAGCACACTGTGCTCCGCTGAGCGCCAAACAAGCTTGACAGATCCCGAAACGACCATCACAGAGCTGCGTGCCACCGTTATGATGGCAACGCCAAGTATGGCAGCTATCCTGAACCCGCACAAAGTGCCTACGTTGAAGGACCTCTGGGTCATGGGCGAAGCCGTCAACCGCAGGGTTATCGACAACTTCTCTACCGACTCTCCGACCCGCATTGAACGTCATGGCAACAGCACTGCCATCTCACCCGAAGGCTTGCTCAACGCCTACGGTCCGACTGAAGGCTCTATCAACTGCACTGTGGTATCAAATTTCTCGGTCCACGACAGAGGATCCATCATTGGAAAGCCGCTCCCCACCTGCGCCATGTTCGTCATCGATGCTGCAGAGAAAGATGCTGTCGTCATGCCTCTAGGCTTCCCCGGTGAGCTGGTAATCGGCGGCCCGCAAGTGTCTGCAGGATACTTGAACCGGCCTGAAGAGACTGCGAAGGCTTTCCTCGAGAGCGAAGAGTATGGCAGACTTTACCGGACTGGTGATCGTGCCAGAGTTGTGCAAGATAGGGATGGCAGTCTCACCATCGAATACCTCGGTCGTCTTACCACCGACCAGGTGAAGCTGAGCGGAAGGCGTGTCGAGCTCGGCGATATTGAGGCGGTTGTCGAGAAAGTGGATGGCGTGAGGGAGGCTGTGGTCGTGGCACACAAGCCATTCGGTGGCGGACACGGTAGTGAGCAGGTGGTCGCTTGTATCCTACCACACGCTGACGCTGTCCAAGAGCTTCTGGTCAAGTCTTGCCAAGCCGCAGCTGACAAGTGGCTCCAACCCCATATGCGGCCGTCCAAGTACTTTTTCTTCGGAGACATCCCTCGCTCTCGTTCCGGAAAGATCGATCGCCGCTCCATGGGAAAGCTGGTTGAAGAGCGTTGGTCGACCGTTGCGGCACCCGCAACGACTGACAGGCCTATGAGCGAAGACATCGTTCTGGATGAAGCCGTAAAACAGCTTGTCTTCACTGGGGTTGCAGATGTTACGGATATCTCAGCCGATGACATCTCTTCCTCTGCAGAACTGCTCTCGTACGGATTTGATAGTCTACGAGCAATGCGGTTCCTACAGAGAGCCCGCGAGCTGGGTTTACAGAGATTGACCGTCGGCGATGTTGTCACCTGCCGCACTTTCAAAGACTTGGTTGTGAAGCACATGAAGACACCCGAGCTGGGGCAAGAAGTCAGCAGTTCTGATATTTCTCCTGATGCCTGGAATACTGCTGCAGCGGCCTTTCAGCATAAGCACGAAGAGGAATGCGCAAGGTCCCTCGATGTGCCGACCGAAGTTTTCGAGAAAATTCTACCCACTACGTCAACTCAATCAGGTATGCTCGCAAGCTTTTTGCGTAGTCTGATCGACCCCGCGGAACAGGGTGTCAAACACTACATCAACCACTCGGTGTACGAAGTGCCAAGCGGCCATGACCTCAGTGCTGTCCGAGATGCTTGGCTAGAGGCTCTGCACAACGGAGATGCATTCAGGATGGCCTTCGTCTCTGTGGATGACGACCTAGCGCCCTTCGCTCAATGTGTCTTCAAGGCATCGTGCCCTCGGGGCCAGGTCCAAGCTACGTCGTACCGCTGTGAATCAGACGATGAGTTTTCCAACCTTGTATCCAGGGCGCTGGAAGAGGCTGAGTCTTCTATCGTTTTGGATCGGCCACCTCTGAGCCTCGCTATTGTGCAGTCACCCAACCGCGCTGGGGTTATACTTAGCCTGTTCCATGCCATATTCGATGGCGGCTCCCTACAGCTGCTGGTGCAGGATGTGGAGGACCGATTCTTTGGCCGTGAGTCTGCCAACAGATCGCATATTGATGTGGCAGTTGATCGCCATTTCCGCGCGGACCGCGAAGGTGCGAAGAAGTATTGGCTGAAAAAGTTGGAGGACTGTGCACCGACTACATTCCCTGCTCTTTCCCGCCTGCAGCCGCGGTATCTATCCAAAGGTCCTCGTGTTTCCTCCGTGCTGTCAGAGATCACTTTGAACGATCTGCAGAGTGCTTCGAAGGCATCTCAAATATCATCCCTTGCGGTCCTCCAGGCAGCCTGGTCCATTGTCCTGTTTGGCTACACTGGGGCCAAGGCCGATGTTGTCTTCGGTAGCGTTGTTTCGGACAGGTACAGTCAGGAGACGGCAGACTGTCTTGGTCCAACCTTCGTTACTGTTCCCATTCGCGTGTCTGCGCACTCTGACGTGCCCGTGAAGGATGTCACCAAGCGTCTCACCCTTCAAAACACCGAGGCTATTCAACACCTTCATACTCCGCTCAGTTCCCTAGTCACCTCGGAGGGCCGTCTGCATTACGATACGTTGCTTGCCTTTCAGAGCTTCCCCGGTGGTGCTGCTGGGAGCGATTTGTGGAAGTCCATCGAATACCCGCCCATGGGGAATGACTTTGCCGTCATGCTTGAGATCTGGCCCACCGAGAATGGACAGCTTTTGCTCAAGGCAACTTATGAGCACAAGTGCCTCGACGACGTCGCAGCGCACACCATGCTGATGCAACTCGAAGGCGCCATTACTTTCATCCTGGAGAATCCCAATGAATCGTTCCTGCATGGTCGCTTCGCTAGCGGGGCAGAGCTTCTTTCCGCGTTTCCTGAAACCGCAAAGGCAGACACTACCGGTGAGGTTATGCTGCTGCATGGCCCGTTCGAGAAGCTTGCCGCTGAGACTCCGGATAAGCTGGCGCTTGACTTCTTCTACGGCCTTGACTCTGACGCAAAGCGAGTTAAGTGGACATTTTCTGAGCTCAACGAGAAGGCCGACGCTCTAGCTCGCCACCTCGTCGCTAAGTTGGGCTCCCTTGCAGATCGCGTTGTTCCAATCTGTATGGAGAAATGTCCGGAGCTGTACGTGGCTATCTTGGGTATCCTGAAGGCTGGCGCAGCGTGGTGCCCCATCCACCCTGATTTCCCTCCAAAGCGCCAGCATGACCTCATCGCCCGTGCTGACGCTTCTCTTGTCATCTTGGCTCATTCAACGGCTACCATCGATGCTTCCGCTATTCCGGAGGACGTCGAAATTCTGAACATTGCTGTTCCTCTGCCGGACAGCGAAATGAATGTCGCAGCTGTTCTCCCTGCCCCCGAGCCCCAGAATCTGGCATACTTGATCTTCACGAGTGGTACAACCGGTCCTCCCAAGGGTGTTCCTATCGGCCACAAGGCTGCTGCTTCGGCGATGCGCGCCCTTTGTGAGGTCATTCCATCCGACACCAGGACTGGAACCGTTCGTGGCCTGCAATTCTCCCAGTACACATTCGATGTGTTCGTTGAGGACTTATTCGAGATCTGGAGGATGGGCGGCACAGTGGTATCAGCACCAAAGGAGCTTATGCTTGGCTCCTTCGTCCAACTTGCCAACTACTCCAAGGCTACTCATGCGCACCTTACTCCGGCCTTCGCCAGCGCCGTCGCCCGTGATAACCTCGAAACCATGGAGGTGATTACCATGATTGGCGAGAAGCTCAATCAGCCTGTCGCAGATGACTGGGGTAACAACATGCGCGCCTACAATACCTACGGTCCTGCCGAGGCGGCTGTTGTCTCTACTGTTGAGCAGTTCGGTCCTGGCGGCCACAGCCAAGTCAAGAGCTCCAACGTCGGCGTTCCACTTGCATCTGTCGGCGCCTACGTTATTCAAGATGGCCGCGCCGTCATGCGTAATGCCATTGGTGAGCTGGCGTTGTCCGGCGACCAGCTGTCCTACGGGTACTGGAAGGATTCTGACAAGTCGAACGAGAAGTTCATCTGGTGCGAGAGCCTTCAGCGCACCGTCTACCTCACCGGCGATCTAGTCAGGCAGCTTGGCGACGGTTCCATCGATTTCGTGGGCAGGGATGATGACCTGGTAAAGATTGCGGGTCAGCGTGTGGAGCTGAGCGAGATTGCATACTTCCTCCGCGCCAGCCACCCTGCTGTGCAGCAAACCGAGATTCTGTACCTGGAATCACAGAAGAGGTCTGGTAGAGTTGTTGTTGCCTTCTTGGCCGTTCCAGGCTTCGGCGGCGGCGAGGGTGAAGACGCCGCTATCGTCAAGGTAGCGGAGGACAGCGCGGGCAGGCTCCTGCCCGCCCACATGATTCCAGACTTCTTTATCGTTCTGCCAACTATCCCGCGTACGCCTTCGGCAAAGGTAGATCGCCACGCCCTTAAGCGCATTTTCTACGATCATGAGAACACCCGCGTCAAGGAGGTTGTGGAGGATGTTTCGGCTGTTGAGTGGCGGGAGGCCAACCCCGTCCTGGTCGATGCGCTGGCCCAAGTCACCGGTGCTCCCAAGGAATCCATCAAGCCGAGCAGCACCCTGGCCGCTTTAGGGATTGACTCCATTGGAGCTATCCGACTTGCCGCAAAGATGAACGCTGCACAGGGCTCTCTTTCTGTCCTGGATGTCCTGCGCTGCAAGACTATTTCCGACATTGGCTCCTTCACAGGCCAGAAGGAGGCCCGCCTGGGCTTGGCTCAGAATATGAAAGACTTTGACAATACTTGGGCTGCTCCCGTTGCAGCTTATTTAGGACACGGGGGTTTCAAGGTCGCCCCTGCGAGCGTGCTTCAAGAAAGCTTGCTTGGCGAGTCCATGCAGAACCCACAGTCGTATTGGAGCAACCACTTCTTCAATCTTGATGGCAGCATCGATCTACAGCGTCTGAGAGACGCATGGCTACAGATTGCTCAGGAGACTGAGTCTTTGCGAGCAGGCTTCGTTCCCAAAGCCGCTCTACCAAAGCCTGGTTCCGCACCCAATGTGGACTCCATATTCCTGCAAGTCGTCTACGAAGAAGCGCGTGTCAGCTGGGTTGTTCAACCCGTCGAAAAAGGCAATTTGATGGAAACTGCTAGAGATGTCTCTGTGCAGACCGCCCGGCGCCACCAGGATTCGGTCTTCAGACACCCTCCGTGGGCTGTGAACATTCTGGAGCATGGAGAGGCACGGACTATGGTCGTGAGCATTCACCATTCCCTCCATGATGGCCCTTCTCTGGACTTCATTATTGCCGAGCTTGGCGCCAAATACAACGCCCATGCCACAAAGCCTCGCTGCCAACTTCTCGAGGCTCTCGCCATTGCAAGCACGGATGCCGATCTGCAAGCTACGGAGGCTTTTTGGGAGAAGGAACTCCAGGGAATTTCCAGTGACATATCCGAGGGACCAGGAGCCAAGATAAGCAAAGATGCCAGTCCTGCTGGAATGCGCACGACCGACCATGTATCCTCACTCTCAAAGAAGGAGCTGCAGGATGCAACCCGCCGTCTTGGCGCAAGCTCCATCGCAGCTGTGATCCGTGCTGCTTGGGGTTTCAGCTTGGCTGAGTTCTGTGAGTCTCCAGACATGGTATTCGCGGAAGTCCTCTCGGACCGCGTCATGGATGCCAGACTGGAGACGGCCATTGCTCCGCTCATTTCCGTCGTCCCCGTTCCTTTCCGTGCTAGAGGCACTGGAAAAGAGCTTATATCCGAACAGAACAGGATTTCGCGCGACACTTGGGACCATCGTCACGTCAGGCCCGGAACTGTGAGAAGAATCCTTCAGCGTCCCGTTGATCAGCCTCTGTACCCAGCCGTTTTTGTTTTCCACCCTGACGGCGATGCTTTTAATGCCCATACCCAGTACTCCTGGACCAAAGCTGAGGATCTCGTGCTCAACGTTGAGCATGCCATGGCCTTCAACGTGTGGCAGGTCGATGAGAACATTACCCTTTCCTTCTCTGCGGCAAACGATGTTATGAGCGAGCAGCATCAGACCCTTTTCGTCCGCCAGGTGGATGCATTGCTGTCGGCAATGATCAGTCACCCAGATGTTGAGGTAGCAGATCTCACGAACTTTTTCCCAGATGACTTGAAGTCTGTCACGAAGCCTCGCCCCGACACGCTCTGCCCAGCGAAGGTTGATCCTACTTGGTGGGTTGATCACTTCGCAAAGGAGCATCCTGACTGGAAGGCCGTTGAGATTGCAACGCAGATCTGGCCAGAGGCTGAGTCTGTCTCGTGGACTTACAAGGAACTAGACACATACGCCAACCGTGTCGCTGCTTATATCAACAAATACGGCAGCGGGGGTGGAAGTGTGGCCCTCTGCATGCCCCGTACACTTGAGGCCTTCGGTATCATTTATGGTATCTTCAAGTCTGGCCAGACCTACCTGCCTCTGGAAGAGAGCTTGCCCCTCGACCGTAAGATGTTCCTTTGCCAGGACAGCAACGCTTCCCTGCTATTCACCACTGCGGATCTTTTCGAGGTTTCCCCAGAGTTTGACGACCAAACCTGCAAGGTCGTGGACGTCGAAACGGCCGGCTTCCAAGATGAGCTCACTACCTTCGATAGCAAGCCTGTGCCCATCACCTACGATCCCGGCGCCAATGCTTACGTTCTGTATACTTCTGGATCCACAGGCAAGCCTAAGGGGGTTCTGGTAAGCAGACAGAACCTGGCCTCGTTCATGGACGCTCAGTCCGAGTTCATCTGCGACGTTGTTCCGGCGACCAAGACCTTGGGCGGCACTGGAAAGTATCTCAACCTCGCCAGCAGAGCTTTTGATGTCCATATCGGAGAGATGTTCCTCTCTTGGAGACATGGTCTGACTGCCATCACTGCCCGCCGCACTCTCCTTCTCGATGACCTAGCAGCTGCGCTCAGGAACCTGAGAATCACTCACGCCAGTTTCGTGCCGTCGCTGCTTGATCAGACTGGCCTGACTCCGGACGACGCTCCTGAACTCGTGTTCCTTGGTGTTGGCGGAGAGAAGATGACCGAAAAGACGCGAAAACTTTGGGGTGGCCACGACCGCGTCGGCCTCATCAACGCCTACGGCCCAACCGAAGTCACCGTTGGCTGCTGTTCTGGCCGTCTCTGGCCCAATTCCGACCCGAAAAACATTGGAAGCCCGCTAGGAGATTCCGTTGGCCACCTCTTCCGTCCCGGTACCAACACATATGTCAGGCGTATGATGCCTGGTGAACTTTGTTTCACTGGTAGTCTGGTTGCGAACGGCTACCTCAACCGCCCTGATGCTGCAGGCTTTGTGGAAAACTTCAACGGCGAGCGTATGTACAGGACGGGTGACATTGTTCGCTTGATGCCGGACAACAGCATAGAATTCCTGGGTCGGAAGGACGACCAAGTCAAGATCAGAGGTCAGCGAGTTGAGCTGGGCGAGATCTCCGAGGGCGTCAGGGTTTCTTCGTCTGAGCCGGTCAACGTCGCCACACTTCTTTTGAAGCACGAGGAGCTCTCTCGTCCTCAATTGATCGCTTTCGTCGCCAGCGAGAAGGACATCAAGGTTGCAAAAGAGAAAAAGGAAGAATGCAGGTTCCTCGACGAGCGATTCGAAGCCATGAATGCAAGCGTCCGTCCGAACTGCCAGAAGATCCTCCCAGCGCACATGGTTCCCGACCTCTTCATTCCCGTCAACGTCATCCCGCTGACTGCAACCTCGGCCAAGGCGGATACCAAGCTTCTCAATACTCTGTTTTCATCCATCCCCGTTGCTAGGCTCATGGCCGGTAGCCATAAGCCTGTCGGTGCACCCGCCGTCAGTAACAGACCATGCACGGCAGAAGAGGAAACTATTGCAAGTATCCTCAAGGCTCTCATCGCTGATGAGTCGCGTGAGATACGACCGGACACATCCATCTTCGAGCTTGGGATTGACAGTCTCAGTGCCATCAGCCTTTTCATGAAGCTGAAGGAGGTCGGATATGAATGCAGTGTGGCTAACGTCCTGACCCACCCCACGATCGAGCAGCTGGCGACATTGCCCCACAAGGACAAGCAGCAGACAGGCGGCATTTCTCTTGAACAGATCCGACAACAACTCGCACAAATTGAGACCGACTACCGCGAAGACCCGGCGCCACCTATTCCTTCCAACCTCGTGCAAGCAGTTCGGCCTTGTCTTCCGCTCCAAGAGATCATGGTCGCTCGATCTGCTGACTCCGGTGACGACAGCAATTCATTCTATGTCAATCACATCATGCTCCAGATTGCCGGCGGCGTCGACATTGAAAAGTTCTGCCGCGCGTGGGAGGCGACCGTGGCTGAGAACGAAGTCCTACGTACATGCTTCTGGTTCTCGGGTGATCACTTCCGCCAGATTGTGCTTCACCCAGATGCTGGTAAAATCGCGTGGGGTTTCGCGAGGGCAGAGGATGACACCCCATCCCAGACCGTTCTGTCGCAGCTCTACCCTCGAATCCGTCAGGATATCGTCCAAAACCTGTCTACCAAGCCGCCAGTTCGCTTCACATTCGGCGTCTCAAGAGGCGGTCAACGTACTGCTCTCCTGATATCCATCCACCATGCGCTCTACGATGGTGAATCGCTGGGTATGCTCTTTGAAGAGGTTCACAAACGATACCACGACTCCGCTCCGGACCCCAGAGAGAGCCCCGGATCCCTTGTCGAGTACATCACCTCTCGAGACAAGGAGAGTGCGAAGAAGCACTGGTCCGGCTTGCTTGAGAACTGGCAACAGACACGCCTTGTCGCATCGGATAGTATCGACCATAACGCTCCGGTCACCATCAAGTACCGTACTTTTAGTGCCAGTCTGACCTCCATTGAAGCCGTTGCTTCTCGGCAGAAACTTACCGTTGCTGCTGTCTTGCAAGCCGCATTCGGCACAGCTCTGGCGCAGATGTTGGGCACGAACGACATCATCTTTGGTGCCGTCCTTTCCGGCCGCGCCGTACCAGTCAAGGATGTCAACCGGATCCTGGCACCTTGCATTACCACCATTCCGCAACGCGTCAATCTGTCTAAGCTTGGCACTACCCTACAGGATGTATTCGCCACCTTCCAGAAGCTCAGTTATGAGAGCCTGGAGTATCAGCACAGCTCTGCCCGGGACATTCAAGTTTGGGTCGGCGCTGACCGTCCCCTGTACGATACTTTGTTCTCGTTCGCCCGTGCGCCAGAGCAAACGATCGATTACGATTTGTGGGAGGAGATTGAAAGCGACATGCCAATGGATTCGTCGCTTGCAGTTGAGGTCGAATCCGACTACGAGAGCGACAAGCTGAATATGGCCGTTGGCTGCACAGCCGCCTTCGGTGACGGCGTCAAGGCGGAGGAGATGCTTGAGAGGATCGAGATGCTCGTCGACACCGTCCTCAACGGCGACGCACTTCCGCTTGCTGACCTGGGCATCTCTGTGGAGTCGCCCTCTGTTGATGCAACCAATAAGAAGATGACTACCTGGGATGAGGCCACTTGGTCTGAGGAGGAGAAGATCATCAGACAACTCGTCGCAGACTTTGCCCAGGTTTCGTCGGATAGCGTAAGCAAAAACACGTCGTTTTTGCACATCGGTATTGACTCGATTACTGCTATTCGCTTTGCCAGAAAGCTCCGTGAGCATGGGTACAACCTTTCATCGGCAGACGTCATGCGCAACAGCTGCGTCGGCGCACTTTGTTTCCACTTCAAGCCAGAGACGGTTCAGGCTACTGCCAACAACAGAGGTGGAAGACAAGATTCTGTGTTTGAGGCTCACCAGCCTGAGCTCGAGATCCCGGCCTCGGTCAAATTGAGAGAGGGCGATATTATTGAGGCTGTCTACCGCTGCACTCCCCTGCAGGTCGGTATGCTGACTCAGACATTGGGTCTCGATGGACGCCTCTACGTTCACCACCATACGCTTCGCCTGTCTCCCGATGTAGATCTCGCCAAGTTCAAGGAGGCATGGGAGAAGAGCGTTCGCCAAATCGACGTTCTCAGAACTTCATTCCATCGCTCGGGTACCGAGTGGGTAGCCGTCGTCCATGAGAACTTTGTTCCCCGGTGGAGAGAGGTGTCGACGTCCGACATGGATGCGGCGCTGCAGAATCTCCAGCACACAACGGCCTTCCATGAGGAAAGTCAATTCAACGAGCCCCCAGTCAAGGTAACCGTTTTCTCGGATGGCAGCTCCGTTGTCTTCTCAGCATCAATGCACCATGCGTTGTATGACGGCATGTCCGTACCCATTCTCTTCCAGCAACTCACCGACAATTACTTCGGCAAAGATGTCAATCCCTCTGCTCCATTCCACCAAGCGGCAAAGATTATGACTGCCAACCAGAAAGCGGCCATAGATTTCTGGAGCAACAAGCTCGGGGGATACAGGAGCATCAGCATACCGCTCACCGAGGAAGAGACCAGATCCAAGCGAATGACGCTGGCTAGCATCGATATTACGGACATCTCTAGACCCCGGGAGAAAAGCTTCAGTGTCCAGAATATCACTCTCCTGGCCTTCGCCAAAGCTCTTAGTAGCCTTGTCCAGCGTCGCGATGTCGCCTTCGGCATGGTACTGGCTGGCAGAAGCCTGGAGCTGGAGAACGCCGACACTATCATCGGGCCCACCTTCAACACCGTGCCGTACCGCATTCGCCTGGCTAATCCTCTCTCTTCAAACGAGATCCTTCTACAACAGCTGCAGCAGCTGACTATCGACGGCATCGAGTTCCAGCATGCTTCCTTCGCTGACGTTCAGAATCGCTGGCGCCAGGCTTCCAACACCACCGATGCAACGCTTACAGACAGTCTGTTTGTATTTCAGAAGGTGAACTCGAGTACCGTTGAGAACTCGCAGAGCATCTGGCAGCCCTACGAGACGGAGGAAGTGTCCGTGCCTTCTGAGTACAAGATGAACTTTGAAGTCGAGCACGGCGACCAGAGTTTGGTCGCCCGCGCTTATTCGCGTCTCGGGAAAGATCGCCTCGACGCCTTCCTGTCCACCTTCCGAGATGCTGTACAGGATATTGTCGAGCACCCTAGCCGCTACGTCACTGCGTGCCCACCTGGACTGCGCAGCCTGCCACTCGAATCCGCGGCTGAAGAAGAGGAAGCTATCACTTGGGACGATCCGGCGGTCCAGCGCTATGCTGAAACCGTGCGCTGTGCCATGTCCCGTGTCGTCAATGTTCCCATTGAGAGCATCGAGCTGTCTACAAACATCTTCTCCATCGGTCTGGACTCGATTGCTGCCATTCAAGTAGCCTCGCAGTGCCGCAAGGCAGGATTCCGTATCGGTGTGGCCGACATCATCGCAGGCGTTACTCTGGGTCGTATTTGCAGAGCTATCGCCTCCATCAACAGTGCTCAAGAGTATACTGCCCCTGCCGAGAAGGTTGCACCCGTCCTTGTGCCTGAAGAGGAATCCACCGTGCTCGCCAAGTTAAACGTCACCAAAGACGAAGTCGAGGCTATCATGCCCGCTCTGGCCGGCCAAGACTACCACATCGCCAGCTGGTTGGCTTCCGGACGCACGCTGTACGAGCCGACCTGGACTTTCAGGGCTACAAAACGCCTCGATACCGACAAGCTTGGCCAGGCGTGGCACGCTCTTCAAGAAAGGCATTCCATAATGCGCACAGCCTTCGTCACCGCCAGACCTGACCAGACCATGCAAGTCGTGCTCAAGCCCTCGAAGATTGTCTCCAGTACCTTCACGATCGAAGAGGCCACCGGTGAACTTGAAGAAATTGTCAAGACCGCCGTAAAGCGCATCTCCCACACGCCATCTGACCTCTTCACACCTCCGGTCCGCCTACACCTTGTTCGCAGTAGCAGTGAGACGGGAGATGACGCAGACGCTCTCCTGATTACCATGCACCACACCACTTACGATGCGTGGACCATGTCTCGCTTGATAGCCGATCTACTCCACACATACTCAGGCAAGACGCCGGACTCGTCTCCGCCGCAGTTCGCAGACCTGGTCGCCTTCACGCAGCGCTCACTCGCCGCTCTCGACCAACGCGCCTTTTGGCGCCAGCACCTCGACGGTTGCTCGCCCACAATCATTCCGCCAGTCACCGGCGACGGCACCGACGATCCAAAAGACCGCTCTCAAACCTTCGTCATGGCATCGAGCACCGCGCTCTCGCTCCGCGCCGCCGAAGAAGCGGCCAAGACGGCCGGCAGGCAGCTGCACACGCTCGTGCTCCTCGCCTTCGCGCGCGCCCTGGCAACGGCCACGGCGTCGGCCTCGCCCACCTTCGGCTTCTTCCAGCTCGGCCGCGCCGCCTCGTTCGACGGCATCGAGGCCGTCAGCGGGCCGACGGTCAACCTGCTGCCCCTGGGCGTGCGCGCCGTCCGCGAGCGCGACGCGCGCGAGCTCGTCGACGAGCTGCTCGCGAAGCTGGCGGAGCGGATGCCGTTCGAGCAGAGCAGGTTGAGGGACGTGGCGGCGTGGGTGGGTGGCGACGACACGCAGGCCCAGATGCCTTTCAACGCCAGCTTGAACCTGCTGTGGCACGACGATGTCGTCGGGAGAGAGTTTGGCGGCGAGGAGAGGCTGCTGGAGCCGTTGCTGGTCGGTGTGCCGACGGATTTTTCGGCGAACGCGGTGATTGAGGGGGAGACGGCTGTGGATGGGTTGGATTACGGTTGGGTGCGGGAAGGGCAGCTGTTTGTGGATGTGGGCCCTGATAGGGAGTGCGATGGGATCAAGTTCGGTGTCAGGTGCGATGGGAGGCTGATGGGAGAAGAGGGCGTGAGGACGTTCGTGGCGGTATTTGAGAGGGAGATTGGGGAGGTGGTAAGGGCGTTCGGTGCGTCGGAGGCACAGGATTGAGGGCTGTGTTTGGTAAATGTTGAAGTGAAGACAGGCGGGTGCGTATTGGAAGGGTTTAGGGGTGAGGGAGTTTCGTGGGGCTTGAGTTGTGAGTTTTCTCGAATGCTGGCAATGGTTGCAACTCAATGGAAATAGATAGTGGTGTGCTTGCGAGAGTTTAATGAAAGCGTAGATAAGAAAATTCTCAACGCTCTTAACTTTAATAGCGCCGTGACCAAAAGCCTTTTTTTTTCTTTTTCAGGAAACGCCCCGGCCGTAGGAGAATTTTGGATGAAGAGCTCTTGTAGTTGTAGGTTAGGATTTAATAGTGGCCATGATTGTAAATAATTGAGTAACGTTGTGTACTAGAATAGAATGAGAGTGTCCGACGGGCCGACAAGAGGTTCGGTGTGTTAGTGGAAGATTTAGAACGGGCTCGAATATGACCAAACACCAGGCTCACCTCCTCGACGCACAACACCCAACGCAAACTCACTGCAACTAAAGTGAAGCAAGCGAATGTTCGGGGCTATACCTTCCAATACAGTGATTTCTCAGACGGACGAAGCACAAGCACATCAATGCCACTCCATCCTGTCGCCACTTCAGTGTCCCGTTCTCAGCACGCGAGCGTCAACGTACACCGATTCCACTCACTGTCGGATGGTTCTAGAGGTGGGGCAGCTGGATCATCTCATGATTTAGTCCCTTTGAGTTTAGTGCTGTTAGAACCGCCGTCTCGTGGTTCCCATGTTACTATCTCGCGGCTGTTACGGCAGCTATCTTTAATTTCCATTGGACGTCAAACATGCCCGGTCACTCTACATTTCTTTGGACCGAGTGGCACAGACTACTACTCCATTCCTGAGTGAGCGAAGTTTGGTGAAAGCGTGATTACGCTTTCACGGACTGCATGACCTCACCTGCGGTTTCACGACTTCATCCATCACTAACTCGCTATGACGTCCCAAAAATCGTCTCATGAGGCACCAGACGATGAATTCATCACCGCGACGAGGCGTGGTTCCGCAGACATGAGCGAACAAGGGCGGAATATGGGATCGTGGGCGATTGTGGGCGCGCATCATGAAACGCGTCGTGAAACGCCGCGGCGGTTGTCGCAGAAACCACGCCGAGTCACTAATTCACGCCGTTGACTAATCCCCGCTAGCCGCAACGCCAATGCCGCGCTCTGTGCAAAGGCAAAAGTCATGGCCAAAGAAACACGGTCCTGCATGAAAAAAAAAAAGAATTGCTGCCAAGACATACAACAAGAGTAGCACTTTTAAACCCCAAACCTTTTTCTCCGCATGTACTATAGTGTAGATTCACAACAGTCTCAACACCGCATTACCATTCATCACGGATACAAAAAGTCCATAGTCATCTAATCATCAAATGTAGCCTACCCCAAACACCAAACGCCTTGCAATGAAAGAACTGCTAGTCGTGCTAGAACCATGCAAGAGTCCAGAGTGCTGGCAGATTCGGCCATTTTTCCTGCCAACTGCCAAGAATATCTGGGACACGCTCATCAAACCCGATTCTGGCACTACCTTGGCCTTGATTCCAACCTTGAGGACCCTTCAATGCTCTTTCCTCCCTGGCGGCATCGTTGAGTCTGGTAGCTAGATCGAGAATGGCCTTGCCACCTACGAGAGCCTCTTCATGGTTGTCTTTGATATCGACGTTGAAGACGTGGACAGGACGATTGAGCGGACTGCCTCTGTTGAGCAAATCATCGACGACGGCATCCCAGCAACGCTCCTCGCAAGTGATGACGACATCCACCACACCACCCTCGACTCCAACGGCACCCTTATCTTCACTGTGATTGACACGGGGTACGCCGACACGCCAGTCTTGCCAACGTTCAGGATAGCGCTTGGTATTGCGATTGCGATCAAGCATGTTGAGGATACCGTTGGCGCGGTACAGTCGAGCATCTTTGCCCTCGAGTTCGCGATACATGGCGTCATAGGTGGTGTTGTTGAAAGCGTAGACGTTTGGCTGGGATATACTGGGACCAGGTAGACGCACGAGAGAGCCGGTGCCGAACGAGATGACGGGGTAATGGGCGGTGGAGAGTTGCAGGTGGGCTTCCATGGATCTGCGGAAGACAGGCTGCGTTAGTTTTGAGCACGCAAGACGAGACACGGGAGAGCAGGAAGCAAGAGCACATGCGAATGGATGCACAGATGTGAATTGATGGCGTGGTATATCTACAATGCGCGAGGGCTCTTTTTGGCGGGTATCCATTGTGGCAGCCTCCTCCCCGACAGCTGTGAGACATACCTGTTGTTGTTGCTGGCACACACGGTACAGAACTTGAGCTTGTAGCTGCTGTCAGGATCACTGCTGGGTGCGGACTGCATTACCGGCGGAGCACCGTCGACGGCCACGACGGGGGAGTCGGTGGACTCATTAGCCGGCGGCGCCGGCGGCGGCGCGGGCGCAGCCTTACCGCGCAGCCGTGGATCGGCAGACATGGCGCAGTGGGTGATGAGGCTGTATGACGTCGTCAGCGTGGTGCAGATGGCGCGGTTGAGACGCGGGATAGCGTGTTGAGGCGTTCAGAAAATTTGCGTATACGGTAGTGGTGTCTCCTCATGGGGATAGGACAGCTCCAATAAAGGGTATCATCATGAAAGGGCGCGTTGGGTTGGCAGAGGGCGAGGCGGGGGTGGCGGGGGACACGTACCTGGAAAAGCTGTTGACGCGCAGGAATGGGACGCGCAGGCGGCGGTGGTGAAGTTGAGCGGCGGCGGGAAGGTCACGTGAAGCGGTCCGGGCGCCTCGCTTGGGCCGGGGCGGCTTTGGCTTCAGTTACAGCAGCGTTGAGCGCGAGACTAACGCCAGGCTAAGGCGGGCAGCGGCGAGTTTGCGCGGCAGCTGGCCAATGGCGCGAGGGGGCGTTGCATCATCGCGGGCGCTGTCGAAGGCGGTCGCGCGCTGACGAAGGCGGGGTCTGGGCGCTGGGCGAGCGAGTCCGTGCCGGCGGCGGACGACGAGGGCGAGCGGTGGCGGGCGCTCGCCGGCGACGGGGCTGGCAAGATGGTTTTGTCGTGTGCTGGTTGTCAGGCGGTACGGTGCTGCGAGGCTCCTGATCAGCGGTGCTCAGCATTCTGAAACGGCCGATCTATTATTAGCCCCCGAACAACACAAGCCCGCCTGCGTCTCGAAGTCTCGGGGCGTCTTGGTCGCATCGCATGCCCTCAGCGCCTTCCCCAGCACCACCGCTCGAGTCCCGGCCACGTCCAGCCTGCCCCAGCGCCCGCACCCCCCGAGCCTTGCCCTGCCGACAAGCCCGCGCGGCTGTCACTGCTAGCGCCCGGCTGGAGCAACCCTTGGCCGCCTCCGCTCAGGCCTGACAGCCCACAAATCCATCACCACCACCGCTCAACACCCACCCGAGCCTTGCTGTCTGCCCTCGCAGGCCCCGGCCAACCCCCCGGCGCCGATTCCATTGGCCCCGTCCGCCCGCCTGCGCGCGACGGCCACGCCCTCCAGCACCGCCCCGCGCCCCGCGCCCCTCGCGCCATTCGCTGTGCCGACCCCAAGCTCGTGCCGCCGCCGACAACACGCGCCAACCCTCGACGCCTCTCTACCGCGTAGCCCACCGCCGCCGCGCCGTCCGTTGTCCTCCCAACACCTCACCGCGGCCGCCTGCCCCGGGGAGACGAGTCGCAGCGCAGCCCGGACACTCGCATTACACACGCCGCGCGTACGCGCCATTGCTGCGTCGACCCGGCGCGCATTCCCGGCGCGCTCATGGCTGCGGTTGTCTCCCCTCAGACCTCGCAGGACTCGGGTTCGCAGGAGATGGCCCCGCAGTCGCCGCCGAATTCGCAATCGGCCAATGCGCTGCCTCCGTTGATAACGTCTCCGCCTGCGCAACCGCCCAATGCCTCCAGCTCACGACCCACCTCGTATGCCAAAAACCGCCTCTCCACCATGTCACAGGTGTCGGCCGCTCCTCCTCGATCGCGCCCGCAGTCGACGGCCTACCCCATCTTCCACTCCAGCCTCAGCTACACCCTCGTCCGCGACTTCGCATACCCGCCCTTCAGCCCCCTGTTCTACGGCCCGCTGCCCGAACAACGCTCCGAGTCGTCAACCCCCGTTAGCGAAGCACAAAGCAGACGCGTGTCGGATCCGTCGCTCTCGTGGGATGGCTCGCGAGGTGGCTGGTCGCTGACGTCGTGGGAGCCCCGGGGCGAACAACTACCCTCGACCAGCTTCGGCGACGGGCCGCCGTGGAGCGAGGACGAAGACCTCCACAGCCCGGTGGTCACGAGTGCGCGCCACCGGAAACACAAGTCCAATTTCGTCGGATTCGACAGCGATCGGGGCCGTAGTGTAGATCGGGGTGCACGGCGGGGCTCTTACCACTCGACAAATGGCGATGGAACCCGGAACTTTTATGTTAGCGACTTCGACGAGGCGGCGAATGGCCCAGGCGGTGAATATATTACTTATCCGGCTGGCGACGAGGGCAATCCAGGCGGGCTGTCGGTCCCATCGTTGCAGGGCCGGCGCCCGAGCTACACGGACGAGGATGGGTTGGCGTACGGATCGGAGGACGACGTGTCCGAGACATCGTCCCAAGGGGGATATGCAGACGAGAGCCGGTACTCGCGGGATTACCAGTTTACCATAGCCTCTCCTGACGAAGAGATGCACGGCAAGGCCGTTGCACTGTTTGACTTTGAACGCGAAAACGACAATGAACTGCCGCTTACAGAAGGACAGATTATCCTGGTCAGTTACCGCCACGGCCAAGGTTGGCTTGTCGCACAAGATCCACGCACCGGAGAGTCCGGCCTAGTGCCGGAAGAATACGTGCGGCTCCTTCGGGACATCGAGGGCGGCTGGAACGGTTTGATGAACGGAGCACAATTTGCGGAGGATCACATGACTGAAATCAACAACGAAGCCGACGCGAATCATGCCGCTCTCACGAGTCCGCCGGGCGAGGCGCTGACGCCCACGCAAAACCACCATCACCGCCGCGACGCCAGCGGGCAGAGCGGGACCTCGGAATACTACACGCCTGTGGTGAGCACATTTTCCACCAGCTCCAAGGACCTGCAAAAGTATCCTCAACACCTGCTTGGCAGTCAGGCGAACACACCGATAGGGGACGGAACGTTTCCACGGAGAGGCAGTAAGGCATCGACCCAACCGAACAGTCCAAAGAAAGAGGATCCAGAAGAGAAGGAATGCAACAAGGAAAAGCGCGAGGAGGCCCAGGCTGCTGGAAGCACCTAGGTACTAGTTGACGATGGTGATACCCAAAGAAGGCAGCCAAGGCTGCCAGGCATTTTGGTCTTGTTTCGAGTTGCATTAGCCGGAGTATCTGCTTTCGGAGTGTTGGCCAATTCCGCAGCGATGCTGTCGGTTGGCTAGTTTATATCTTGTCTTGCTACGTTGCCTTCATCAACTTGTCTTCAATCAAACCCTCGTTCTTGTTTCTTACCTGCCGGCATCAGCGTCGTCTCACTGATCGGCTGGCGTTCGACGCTTTGTCTTGGACCCAAGCGAGTCTCACAAACTCCCGAAACACAGCCAGGGCAGAACCGGGGCTCATTTGTCAGTGTTCCTACAAGACTTTGCTGAAATTTCAGCAGCCGCGTGTAGTATAGTACTGATGGAGAAGGACAGGAGGCTGCTAATAAGTCCAACTCGGAATTGATTTGGAAGGACAAGACGCTTTTTTTTCCCTCCCCATCTATTTGACATGGACATCGTATGGCAGGTTCTTCATCCGGAGTTGGCACCAAATGCGGGCTGATGGCTTGAACATTGCTAGGTTTCTCACGGTCCGTTTGTGGAAGCATCCATGTCTCGGTAAGGTCGACATGCGAGGGTCAAAAGTATGCAATATTCCCAAGCCGCAGCGTGGACGGCAAGGCAACCAATGGCGAGGGTACATACGTCCAGCGTGGGCACAGCTAGGACGCACGGGGGCGCAGTCGGGCAGAGAATCACGACGGCGACTTTCTCCAAAGTGCAATGTGCCGTATCGCAACGGACGGATTCGCGCATATGGACCGGGTAGGGATTTGGAGAAAGGAGTGCATTGCTGCCAAGGGCAATGATCCATGGAGGCACTCGGATTGGGCGGGTCTGGTGGCTGGGCGGATGATTGGCTGCATAGACCGTAGAGGGGCCGCTGGAATCGAGGACGTGGGCCTTCCCAAGGGCGTTAGCCGGTCTCGCTTGCCACCCAGGGACGGTACGGGAGGCTCACAGGCACACAGGCACACAGGCACACAGGCTCCCCTCGCTGACTTTCCTAGCAACGATTTAACCTTAATCCCAGACACTTCCCGGCTGTACCGTAGGTACCACGTTTCCCCGCATACCCACTGGATCCTGCAAGCTGCACCTCACGACCCACAGCCTTGTTTGTTCTGCGCTGCTGACTGTCGGTTAACAACGCCGTCACGAACGGTCTGCTCACTGCTGCTGTGTGGTTCGTGGGTTTCCACGTTTCCCCTCCCCCACTTTCGCCGCCCTTATAAGCTCTGCGTCGACCGCGCCAAACACCCAAGGGGTTGTTTCACGCCCACCCGGTGGGCTGAAGGACTGCGCCCGAAACGTGGGCGGTTGCTGACGCTGACCGGGCCGAGGCGACCGTCGGGTGCGGCGGGTAGGGTACCACATCATCTGATGTTAAATTCCTCCAATCGGCCGTTTTTGGGGCCCGGGGATTGGGAGGTGTCAAACATGTTCCACCAAGTGCATGACCGTCCGGACCTCCAGACGAGGAGCCGCCGGACATGGATTCTGCCACGGGCCGTCAGTGGGCTCGTATCGGGGCATGTTTTGGAACGCCCGCAAGCCACCCCGGCGCGACATGGCTCGACATGGCTCCAGCCCACTATCCTATGCCTCCCGGGGGAAAGCAAATTGAAAGGATATCGTTGCAGACGCATACTGGGTCCAGCGCCACCGCCTCGTCTAGATGGTTGGTGCCACATCCTGCATGCGCATCCGCGCTGCCGCCGCTCTTGGGCCATGGACGGCCAGCCATTGATAAACCGCCACCGTCTCGCAGACTCTCGCCGGAAAGTCAATCTGAAAATCCAAAAGTTTCAAAGCAGCTGCATCCATGTTCAACTTGAAGATCTTCGTCACTTCCTTCCTCCCTCTCCTCCCTACCCTGGTGAGCGGATATGCCAACCCTGGCGCCTGCTCAGGGACTTGCGTAAACACGCATGACCCCTCGATCATCCGCCGCTCTGACGGCACCTACTTCCGTTTCTCGACGGGTAAGGCTGACCTTCACCCTTGACTGTCTCGGGTGCTGACCACCATGGTCCAGGCGGCAAGATCGCTGTCCACACGGCGCCGGACATCACGGGACCATGGACCTACCAGGGGGCTGCTCTCCCGGACGGTTCTTCCATCGACCTTGCTGGCAGCGATGATCTCTGGGTAGGTTGAAGTCGGTGTGGACTGATGACGACGCAGACGGCTGACTGAAGCACACAGGCGCCCAGCGTCCACTTGATCGGAAGCCTGTACTACCTGTACTACTCGGTGAGCACGTTTGGGTCGCAGAGCTCGGCGATTGGCCTGGCGCGGTCGTCGACGATGGACGTGGGGAGCTGGACGGACGTGGGCAGCACAGGCATCAAGTCGGACTCGACGAAGGCGTACAACGCGATCGGTAAGACAGGGCGGCGAGTGGCGACCCCACGACGCTGTTGTCTCGGGAATAATGGCGACTGACGCGGCGCGCAGATCCGGCGCTGATCAACGCGGACGGCACATACCTCCTGACGTTCGGGTCGTTCTGGAAGGACCTCTACCAGGTGCAGATGAAGGGCACGCCGACGGCAGCAAGCAGCTCGGCGTACCAGGTGGCGTACGACGCGGCGGACACGGCGATCGAGGGCCCGTTCATGTTCAAGTACGGCAGCTACTACTACCTGTTCTACTCCAAGGGCACATGCTGCGGGTACGACACGAGCCGGCCGGCGGCGGGAGACGAGTACAAGGTCCTGGTGTGCCGGTCGTCGTCGGCCACGGGCGGGTTTGTCGACAAGAACGGCGTGTCGTGCACCAACGGCGGCGGCACGATGGTGCTGGAATCGCACGGCACGGTGTACGGTAAGGCGCGGCGCGGGCAGGGTGTGGGGCTCCAGGGAGGCAAGGCTAACGCGCGGCACCACAACAGGACCCGGAGGCCAGGGAGTCTACGACGACCCCACGTACGGCCCGATTCTCTACTACCACTACGGTGAGTTACCACGGCACGGGGCGGGGTGAACATGCAGCTGACGTGAATGCAGTCGACACGACGATTGGGTACTCGGACGGGCAGAAGCAGTTCGGATGGAACACGATCGACTTCTCCAGCGGGTGGCCGGTGGTGTAGGCGCGCGCGGCGCGGCGGCTGGAGTCCCATTCTCTGTACATACATTTGGAGGCAGTAGTCTTGAAATCACATTGCAAACAAACGGGTGGATGTGCTTGATGCGAAAGGCCGAGATGGGCTCCACTAAACCGAGCAAACGAAACATTATAGGCAGCTGAAACTATAGCAGCGTCAGCCACTGGGCAGCGCGCGGTGTGGCGGGTTTCACACGCTTACCCGACGTTGAGCCTGCAACAGCAACACCATCTTCGCGCCCTGCTCCCTCGTCCCTCGTCTCCCGGCCCCCGTCCCTCAGCACGACCCGTTCTGGTACAATGCATCCACCTCGCTGTACGTCGACCCACGCCGCGCCCGCTCCGGGTGCAGGTGCACCACCGCCGGGCCCTCGCCCACGCTCGCCTTTGCCAGCCGCGCTGCCATCGCAAACAGCGCCTTGGTCTTCTGCGCCGCCATCCGCCCCGCCTTGCCGATCGACGGCGCCACCGCGTCCCTGAGTATCTCCAGCGAGTTGCGCCGCGCCCTTTCCTTGCGTTGCAGCTTCATTGCGTGTTGCCTTGCTGCCAGTGAACCACGGCCGCCGCTCCGGCTTTATCTCCGCCGCGACGCGACAAAGAGACGCGTGCGCGGAAGCTGGATGCGAGCCCGCCACCCCGTTTGCGACAAGGTCCTTGTCACCTCTCGTCGCATGCGGCTGACGCTCGCCATGCTGTCTGCTCCTTCCTGCCTGCAGCCCGCCTGTGAGCCTGCGCCGCCCTCGGCTGCACCACCACCATGTTGAACCTGCTTCCATCCGCTCTGCTCGCAGCCGCCCTCCTGCCCCCGCTGTCGTGCGCCGTCTTCAACCCGAATGCCACGACTAACCTCTTCGTCTACTATGCTCAGTCATCCGGCCGCTATGCACGCCTGGACGAGCTTTGCCTGCAGTCAGCCGTCGACGTGGTGATTCTGGGCTTCATCCGTGATTTCAACGCCACGGCTGGCTATCCCACCATCGACTTTGGCCCTTGGATCTGCCCTGCAAAGCGTCCGGCCAACTCCGCCGTCGCGCCCGGCCTCGCAACCTGCCCAGAACTGGCTGCGCAGGTGCAGAAGTGCCAGGACATTGGCAAGAAGATATTCGTCAGCATTGGCGGAGCCTCCTCCAACACCTCCTTCGACGGCGACGGAGGCGGCCAGGATGCCCAAGACGCAGCTCACATGCTATGGCAGCTGTTTGGAGAGGGCTCAGATACCCCAGACTTGCGTCCCTTGGGCAAGGTCGCCGTCGACGGCTTTGACATCGGTGCGTGTCCTGCGTTTGCCCCCTTGGCCCCCCCTTGCCTCATGCTCACTGCTGCAGACCACGAAGTCGGCTCGCCTTCCAACTACGACCAGTTTGTCAAGACTCTGCGCTCTCTGCTTGCTACTGCTTCCAAACCCATGTGGATCTCTGCTGCTCCGCTGTGTGCCTTTACTAACCGCACCATCGGGCCCAAGACTCTCGCTCTCGTTGACTTCATCTTCGTGCGCTTCTACAACTCCCAAGGCTGCTCCATCGGAACAAAGGGCTTTGCCACGAGCTTGGACAAGTGGTATACCTCCATGCCTGAGCCCGAAGCCGCCTTTCCCAAATTTTGTCTGTCCGGCCTGTCGTTCGATAACAACAACAGCGGCTTTGCACGCCCAGAAGACTTTGCCGACGCCATAGAACAGGCTCGCAAAGCAAATCTGCAGCGTTTCAACCCGGACAAGTTCGGCGGCGTGGCTCTGTGGGATGGCTCGCGCGGCTTGGCCACCACTGCCGAGAACGGACTCAACTTCCTCGCCTACACGAAGAATGTCTTGGAAGCCCCCTAGCCGTCATTTGCCATTTGCCTCTTCTACTCGACCCCGGCCGTTTCCGAGTTTGATGTAGCATTCTTAATCTACTCTCTTTGCCTGATCTCGCCGTCCTGTCCCCACTGCCAAGTGCCTTCATACCGCCACTCTACCAAACCGTCAATGACTCCGTTGAAGCTGGTGCACAGGATCCATCAGTTGGGGGCGAATTGATGAGCGCCTTGTCGGATGGAGTCTCCTCGTCTGTTCGTGATTGTCATGAACCCTTCAATCGCCATCAAAAACGCCGGCCAAGCACACCCGAGTTGCTCCGTGCAGCTCAACCTACCCCAACCCCGTCTCTCGCGTCCACCCTCTACTTCGACCCTGATGCACATCTCGGAGTTCCCGCTGAGCAGGGTCGATCCACACACGGGAGCTACAAATCGCATCGCGATCGACGCTATGAGCCGCAGCCTACTTGTAGCGACGCCAGCTCCCAGGAGTACTTTGATGCCCAAGTGAAGGTACCCGAACGACGTGATGGCGTCAACATCAGCCGGAGCCAGTCAAGCACAGAAGACTCGTATGAAACAGGAAGCTCGACTCTTCCAACGTCGACGGCGATATCTTTCGTCACATGTACGCAGAGCAGCCAGGAGGGATACATCACCGGCCCGGAAGACGCAATCACGGAAAGCGAAAAGGAAGCGCCAAACGCTGTCCGTTTCGAAGATACAGTTGCGGGCTGTGGCTACCCGGAGATCGAAGACCCTGTGGATCCCGCCCGAATACTCGGACCAAAGGACCTGCGAAACCAACGCATCTTCTTCTTCACCACGATTTTGTCGTTGAACCTTGCATGTGCCGCCGTCGCTATATTCGCCCACGAAGGCATGTTTGTGTTTGTTTTCATCCTTTTCATCAAGAGCAAGGACTTTCTGTCCGTCATCATCTCCGCCCTCGGACTCCTCTCCCGGAGAATCTACAGATACTTCAAACCGTTGGCTCCAGTTCCTCGGCAATGGATACTCACCCTCATTCCCGCTTATTCAGAGAGCGAAGAGCAAATTGTCAAGACGATATACTCGTTGCGAGACAACGACGTCGAACCGCACCGCCAGGTCATGGTTGTATTGCTGGACGGCAGGCACAGAGACGTAAAGAGCCATATGACCAGAGTAATCAGGGAGTTCGAGAGACCGTACATCTCCCTGAAACACAAGCGGGGCGTCTTACAGATCAAAGCAGGCTTTATGGAGGATGTGCCCGTCATCGTCATCGAGAAGGTCAAGAATAGCGGCAAGAAGGACTCGCTGGTTCTCTGCCATGATCTGTTCAATCACCCACGCCACAACTCGCCCCTGTACACTCAGCTGTTGAGGGAGGAACTATGGAGAGACGTTCTTCCAATCTTGACCGAGGGTCAGAATTTCCAAAATTTCGACATGGTACGTTCAATCCTGGTGGTCGAGTGTCGACGTTGCTCAGATTTCACCCCAGGTATTTTGCACCGATGCAGACAGCACCATCTACAAAGGGGCCGTGGCCTCCCTTGCCAATGCGCTTGCTAGGGATAAGGACGCCATCGCTGCATGTGGCCTGGTCTTGGTCGAATTGGAACCTGGATTCGAATGGTCGTTCTGGAATCTCTACCAGCAGTTCCAGGTAGGTCGAGCGTGACGAGGGGTAGGGCTTGGCTGACAAGCTCAAAGTACACATTTGGCCAATACGTTCGCCGAAGGGCGGAAGGATTCATCGGAAAGGTGACTTGCTTGCCAGGTTGCATCACAATGATTGCGGTGCGCGAAGAGATGGCCGGCGCGATTCGAAAATACGCGGAACCAATAACGATATACCCGGTGATTCACCATCAGGTCCAATATCTTGTGAGTGGTCTTTGCAGCGAGCACCAATACAGACGCTGAGACAGCAGCGTTCAGGGCACGGACCGGAGACTCACCTACTCGATGCTGTCGCAAGGCAAGAAACTCCACACGCTCTTCGTGCCCGAAGCCGTTAGCGAGACGGTCGCGCCCCAATCGCTGCAGCACTATCTGAGCCAGCGTCGCCGCTGGGGATCCAACGCATACTTCAACAATTACTTCTATTGGATGGGCGAGAAGATGATCCTCATCACCCGGATTGCCGCGTCGGTAGAGGTCATTCGTCTCAGCTTCGTGTACTACCGCATCTTGAACACCATCTTGTTCGTGAAGGGTCTCACGCAGGGGTTCAGCTTCATCAAAATCATCCCCTTGCTGATTGTAAGCCAGCTTCCTACAATGTGGTTCATGTTTTCCGTCTTCTGCCTCGAGGCCGAGCTAAGAAAGCGTGCGCATAAACTTTTCATTGGATATTGTATCAACAAGTGCATATCGCCTCTTGTGTCCCTGGCAGTATTTACTAAAGTGGCCAGAAACTTGGGAAGTCAAGGTACGAAACGACCGAACCATTCGTGCGAACAAGACGAAGCTGACTTGATGTCTTTCAGTTTGGGGTATGAGCGGTGTGACGGCCAGCTCCGCACCGGCCGCCACTTCAGAAGCAGAACAGGCAGCCGAAAAGGGAGAAGCCGGCATGCTGTCGCCAGGCGAACGCGCGCAGATCATAGAGGACCAGCTGGACGACCCGCACGACGCCATTCTCTGACGTGCTACGCCCTCCCCCTACTTCAACTCTTGCACCTTTGCTCTCTGGAGCTTCGTCACAACGCCAAAGTCGACTCCGGTCTGGCGGTTACAGATCGCAACGGCGTCGAAGTTCGCATCGATATATTCCTGTGTCCACCACTCATCCTCGAGCTTGTCCATCCAGCCCAGATGCTCTTTCGAGACCAGCGGATCATAGAATGCAAGACGGGCACACCCGAGGCTGTGCAGCTTCTCGGCAAAAGCAACACCCGGCGAGCAGGAGAGAACCGACTGGCCAGGCTTGAAGCCCATGCCGACGACGAGGATGCGGGGGGGAGCACCCTTCTGCGCCGAACTGGTGCGTCTGTGGAAGCCGCGTGCGATCCTGGCGGGGCGCTGCCACATCTTCGCGGTCGCCTTTTCGAGAACGGGGAGGTTCCTGTTGTTGGCGAAGAGGTAGAACGGGTTGACCGGGATGCAATGGCCGCCGACGCCGAGCCCGGGGTGGAACGGCGTGAAGCCGTACGGCTTGGAAGTCGCCGCCGCGATCATCTCGTCCGGGTCGACGCCGTGCGAGCGCGCTGCGTCGGCCATCTCGTTGACGTATGCTATGTTGACCATGCGGTAGCAGTTCTCGAACAGCTTCGTCATCTCCGCCACCTCGGGCTTGCTGACCGGGACGACGGTGTCGAAGGCCCTGCTGTAGGCGGCCTGGATGACGCTCAGTGACCTGGGCGTCAAGCCGGAGACGATCTTGGGGATCTCTTTGGCCGGTGGCGAGACTCGTCCGGGGTCGACACGTTCCGGCGACATTCCGCAATAGAATACGCCCTTGTAGCGCGAGAAGAGATGGCGGGTGGTGCCGACGGACACGCTGGACTCGATGACGATGACGCAACCGGGCCGGGCGGCCGACAGGACCATCTGGACAGCTGAGACGAGGTGCGAAAGGTCGACGGTGCGGTCTTCCTTCAGCAGCGTGGGGACGGAAATGAGATAGTGAGTCGCCGTGCGCAACATCGACTTGTCCGTTGTCAGCGTCGTCTTCTCCTGGCCCTTGAACGAGCGTCTGAGCTCATCGATACGCTTCTCCGAGATGTCGAACCCAATCGAACGGAAGACACGGCCGAATTCCCGGAGCAGACTCTTGCCGACGAAGCCCACGCCAACGACGCATACGCAGGGTTCGACCTTGTCGACGTCAACAAAGTCTCCGCTGGGCGTGACGCGGTGAAGCGACGGCGGAGACTCGTTGGAGCGTCGACGACAGTGAGTATACGGCATGTCGTGGAGGGCAGAAGTCAGAGCAGCTTTTGGTTTCACGCGAGATGGTTGTTGCCTAGGCCCAGGTAGTTGGCAGAACGAAGTGGGACGCTGATGCCGCAATGCTGCCCACAGACCTGAATAAATACCAGGGCGCGGGGAAAAGTCCAGACCCGAGGCTCGACCTTTCAAGATCCGCTTTGGAGGATGGCCAAGCACAGCCGGCGTGAGAACAATAGTGGTGCCGGGAGGATGCTCGGATCCAAATGCAATATCGGCTGATGGTATTCAAATGAGACGACGCCATTTATTGTGGCTGACCCCAGGCTGGTGAATTACCATCTCCATGACCCACAGCAGAAAACTTTCGGCTACAAGAGTACTGATCATGGAGGCGACAGAGGAAAGAATAATCGCTGACATCTGCAAGATCCTTTGTGGCCCCAGGTGTTCGCCTTGTCACTTATTGCGTGGAAAGGCTGTATTGGAGATATCTCATCACAAACTGTTCAGGAATCCCAGACATGGCAGATGGGCCTTTTGCGAGGGGGCATGATCAGGGTGACGCACAAAGAGTTGAAGCGGGCACTGAAAACGGTCGAAGCAAACAGTCTCGGCATTCCGGTAAAGTTGCTTTGGCATTCCGCCGGCGACAAAACTGCAGTCAACGAAGCCGAGCAGCGCCAAGGAGTCTTTGTCTTGAGACTGCCAAAAGGGAAATCTTCTCTTGATCCGACCCTATCTCGTTTCAGCTTCTAGGGCACCTACCCTTGACAGAGCGTTCCCTGCACGCATCACCGATGAATGGATGTTTGTCTTCCGTTCCCAGAGGGGTTTGCTTGTCTTGATTCCCGGCGGCTGTCCTTATCAAGGTCCCGGGACCACTGCTGCTTGTTGTTTGCTCAAGCCACCTTCGCTCCAACGATACAGTTGGGAAGTTTTCGCGGAGATCCTCGCCATCCGTTGCCTCCGGCTGCCCTTTCCAATCATGTTACTCAAGAAGACCTTTCTCGTGAGCCTCTTCACTACCCTCGCGGTCGGCCAGACCACCAGTGATGCCAGCTCATCGGGCACACCCTCCTCGACCAAACACGCCAAGCACAGCGCGGTTCGTTCCGTCACACACTTTCCGAGCGGCTCAAAGAATGCCACCGTGAAGGCCAACAGCAGCTCGAGCCCCGTGACCACCGTCACGGAGACGGTTGCTCTCAGCCTTGTCCTCGATATTCTCGGCATTTCAGTCCAGGTCGCCTCGCACACGTCTTCGGCTCACGCGGAGAAAAGCTCAGAATCTCGGCATTCCAGCCGACAGAAGTCATCGTCGTCCAGTAGCGAGCACGGCTGCTCGGTCACGACTGCTCCGCAGGTCTGCTGCGGGGGCCCGGTTACAACGACTGCGACGGCTACGGTGGTTTCGACGGTTTCTCAAGGGTTCGTTCTCGGGACAACGTCTACGAGGTCTTCGAGCAGCTCGACCCCGTCGATCCTTTCCGCCACGTCTTCGTCCGGGTGATCAGGAGAGCGCCGTGCTGCGATAGAGCGGAAGAAGGAACAGCCTTAGAAAGCCCTGCGTCTGTTCATCGGTGCTGATCAAGTTGTTTCGAGGGTTGGTCACGGTTTCGATTTGATAGTATCTGGGAAAAATGCGATATGCTTGAAATAAACCCTACGGTCCTGGTTTGTGGTGTTCGGGGTCAGTGGCGTGGGGTGGCGAGGTGAAGCATCGTTGTTGAGACAGCGGACAGTAGCTGCGACAAAGTGTCCATCGCAAGATGCTTTGGTGGAGATTGAGACCAACAGAGCGGCCTGGATGGAGAGTGACATGAAGTCCGGCGAGGAGCCGAAGGCCTAAACAATAGGGCAAAGTTAATGATAATCCTGATCGCAAAACGCCGCTAACACGCGGGATCTGTTCGTGCCCACGACGCCTGCCGTGCCGCTCACCCGCTTTGGCTAGTTGCCGCTGATCATCTTGCCTTTCTCTCAACAGTGGCTTTTGTGGAGCGAGAGATAAACCCGTCGTGCACATGTGCATGTTGATATAAGGTTCGATCAAAGACCCAACATGCACCGGGCCCTGGGATGAGTTTCTATGGAGTTCAACCCTCTTGCTGATTCACTTCGTCTGTTCCCGCCGGTCAATATTGGCAGCCACTACCTGCGCCTCTGTCACAGCCGACGGCGTCATGAACCACCAAATTGTCCAAGCATGGCTCGCTTCTCCACGAAACGCCGATCGTCGTTCCAATCCCCACGGGCCCATGCCGCGGCGCTGGCGGCGTCCTGATAAGTACGCAACCTAACCCTCCCCGCCGTAACACGGCAATACTGCCCTGATTCTTTCGTATACAAATCAAAGAAAGGCAATTGCAGGGACACACTCAAAAACCATGGCGGCGTGGGCGTCGAACCTAAGGGTCAAGTAAATAGTAAACCCGAAATGATAAAAGACATGAGGATGCACAGACAAAACACACTCCCTGCTCTGATGAATCAGTCATAACAAAATCCAATTGGAACAACGTAGCCGACAATCCATAGATCTGCCTCCAAAGCTGTCGATACAACCAATCTCTAGTATACTCAATCATGCTTGGTGGCCCCCTTGCTGACGGAGATTTCGTTGATAGCTTTCGCTCTTGGCTTAGGCATGATGCGAAGACAAAGGCCCCCGACCAGAAAGCCTACAGCGATGAGATCCAAAATATGCACGGCCCACCAGATGTGTTGAACGCCAGCGCTACACATGGTGACGTCCGATTGCCATTCCCCAGCGGTCTCGTCGAACCACACACTCACCAGACCAGCATACCCGCCGTATTCACCCATCATACTTCGGAGGGTCAGCTCTCGGATACCAGGAAGATCGCGATCTTGGGTCAGGATAGTAGACTGCTCCCAAGGAACAGCCTTCCAGGAGTCCCCTTCCCTGGGGCGGTGATGGTAGACATCACAGCCTTCGTGGTCGTGGCCGTTTACGATCAGACCGTTGCGGCCGATTCCACGAGCCGGGGCGGCAAGGTCACCACTCATGCCAAATATACCCTGGAGGATGCCCTCGGAAGCCGTATCGCTCAGGTGGTTCTGCTCCTTGACCCCACCGCCTTCGTCGTTGTTGAAGAAGTCGAAGAAGGGAGCATCGACGCACACACCGGCTTCCTTGTGCAGAGGTATGTGGGTCAACAGGAGTGTGAAGGTCGAGCGATCTTCGACGGCGCGAGAGCGACCGATGGCGTCATTGATGAAGTCGTATGTCTGGCTCTGAAGGTTCAGGTCGACGGCGGGTGTGTCGAGATTCATGCTGTTCAGGACGAGCAAGCGAAGTTCGGGATGGGACTCGTTGAGCGACTGCGAAGTCGTGACATTGGACGACGGGAGACGGAAGGTTGTCTCCCAGTTGACGGGGCCAAATTGGCGTTCGAATCGGCGGATGCGGTCCTCGTTGATGTCCCCAGCATAGCCGATGTCATGGTTGCCGGCAATGTTGATGATGCGGCGCTTCCAGGCGGCGTCCGTGCCCAGATCCTCGACGCGTGGAGTGGCAGTGATGTTGTCATGGACGCGACGGCCATGGCGGAAGACCCTGTGCCAGAAGCGATCGCTCCTCCGCTCAAACTCGTCGTCGGCAATCCATTGGCTACCCAGCAAATCTCCCAAGACAGCAACGTGCGTGGGGTCCGACCACCAGTATAGAGTGCGGTAGATGTGGGCGAGGTAGTAGTCGTTGCCGAACAGATCGATGCGTTTCCGGTAGCCGTTCAGCAGGCGCGGCACATCGTCGCGCAGCAGGGTGGCAGCGGCAGTGCGCGCGGCTTCGGCAAAGCCGACCTCGTGGACCCGTGGGCGGAAGTCGAGGAGACTGGGGAATACGGGAGCATCGGGATCAGGAAGCGAGGAGTCGCCCTCGATCTGCGGGTCGCCGAGGGCTAGTAGGCGGAAAGGGGCTACTCGAAGGTCGGAAGGGTGTGTGGTGTCGACATGAGGCGGGAGGGGGAAGTAGCAGCGGTGGAACAGAGGATAGAGATACAGGTAGAGAGAGGCCGCGAGGGCAATAGGGAGGAGGCCGCGGCCAATGCGGAGGGCGGCGTCATGAATTGACATGGAGAGACATGGTGATTTGGGGACGGCATGCGAGACGCGCAGCAGAAGATGCGGCCGGCCTGCCACTCGGCGGGCTCGGTAGTGCTGCGCGAACCGCCCACCGCCCCACCGTACTAGCCGCCCTCTGCTACCACACTACGGCCGTCCCACGCCCGCCTGTCGCGCAGCCACTCCGCCAAAATCCGCCGCCAGATGCGGCAGCGGCAGCGGGAGCATTGTCGCCGGCATGGCCCCGTCTCCTCCCTCGACGCATTGCTGCAAGCGTGTGCTTTGCGGCTCAGCACGCCGCCGTTGGCCTTCCACGCACCGAGGGGACTCTGGGTGTCCGAGGCGCGTGGAGTCAACGCCATGTCCCGGGACCACGTCCATGCCGCACCTATGATGGCGGCAAAAACAACAAACGCGTTTCCTAAGAAGTCGGCAGCTAGAAGAGAGCAATAATTAGAGAATAAGGTGCAGAGTTCCACAGACCGGAGGAAAAAGCACTAGCCGCTAGCGCTGCAGATCAGCCGTGCATCGCGCGCCAAATCTTGCTCAGCCCTACGTCGTGCCCGCCGCCAAAACCACGTCCGCACCCACTCCACGCGCTCTTCGCTGCCTCACTTGTCCTCCGCCCCGGCCCGTCCCGCAGCAATGCCTCTCGACACGTCATCCTACTCGCTCGCCCTGCTGCGTCTCGACGGCCGCCGTTGGAACGAGCTGCGTCGCATCCACGCCCAGATCAGCACCCAGGCCGCCGCCGACGGCTCGTCGTACCTGGAGATCGGCAACACCAAAGTCGTATGCACTGTGACCGGTCCGTCCGAGGGCCGTCGCCAAGGAGGCGTTTCTGCTGCCCAGCGCGAGGGCGAGGCCAAGATCGAGGTCGAGATTGGCTTTGCCGGCTTCAGTGGGATTGAGAGGAAGAGGCGGGGTCGCGGCGACAAGTATGCCATTGGCAAGCCATGCCGCCCGGAGAACGTCCTCGCTGACAGTTGCTTAGGCGCACCTCTGAAATGCAACACACCCTCGTCCAAGCCTTCGCGTCGACCCTGCACACCCAGCGCTATCCCCATAGCACAATCTCCATATCGCTGCATATCCTGTCCCAGGACGGCTCACTGCTGGCCGCCTGCCTCAATGCCGCCACCCTCGCTCTCGTCGACGCTGGAATCCCCATGAGCGACTACCTCGTTGCCTGCACCGCTGGTTCCACCGCTTCCTATGCTGCGAACGATGAACAAGCCGACCCGTTGCTCGATCTCAACAACCTGGAAGAACAAGAACTTCCATTCTTGACCATCGGCTGCCTGGGCCAGAGGGAAGAAGTGAGCGTGCTAGTGATGGAAACCAAGGTGCAGATGAGCAGGCTGGAGGCTATGCTGGCCGTGGGCGTCGACGGCTGCAAACGCGTGCGGGACATCATGGATGGGGTTGTAAGGGCACACGGGAAAAGAATGCTGGAGGCTACTTCGAGCTGAGGAATGCGCCACGGCATACCAGGACACACCCACCGCCAAGGCGAGAGGATTGTCAAAAACAAGCCAATCCACCGGGCCTAGCACGCCCTGACGACCGAAGGGCTTTGACTGCACATGGTCGATTCGGACGGTTCTTTGGCGATGAACAAGACATTGCCGTGCCTTTGCTGAAGCGGGCGCTTTCGCTTAGCAGCGGTGGCTAACAGAATGTCAGCACTTCGACAACACAGGCTGGTTGCGGGCAGAGAAGATAGCATGCGCAGAAGCATCTACCAATGCAGGGTGCCGCCATATGAATATTCCAATTCCATTTCCACCCGCCCTTCAGCAACCCTTAGACTACATAAACATCTAGCTGTGAAGCACAAAATATGTTGCGGTGATGTACACTTCGTCGACTACTTGAGGCGCGACTAAAGAGGAAAGAGAGGCATGAACAACAGTGTGAGGTACTAAGGCGCCCGCTAGATGCTCAGATATAAAATCTTTGTCGCGTCAGAAACTTTCATGGTATCATCAACGTAGATGGGGGAGAGAGAGGCAGAAGACAACGACAGCAAAGAGAAAGCCAAAAAAAAAAATAATTCGGGAAATGAGGTGAAGCAAGAACGCCAATCCCGATGCGGACAAATGATCTGGGACAATGACCGCGTGGAAGAGAAACCACACAGAAACCACAAACGCAAACCCCACTCTTTCTTGCCAGACGCCGGTCCCCTGTGTATACATGGCCGTGTGATGATCGAAATAACGTATGCGCTGCCGCTAAGAACGACTCTACCAGTTCTTCCCGACCGCCTTCTCGGCTGCTGCTAAGTTGCAACAGCCTCGTAGCGCGAGGTAAGGCTTTTCGCATCCCCGCCTGTCGACAATCCATTTTCTTTTGATCGGAGTTGCTCCTCATGTTCTTGGCGTTCTCCACGTGCCGTCCGCAACCGTGGCAAACTTGACTCCGCGGCCCTTCCTTTGAATCCCACCGTTGTTGATCCATCGGCTCAGGTTCTTGCACTGGCTGACGTCGAGTTCTTCGAGATCGCTGCAGCCTTCAAGAACCGCTTCAACGCCAGTTCCCGTGACACGAACGCAGCCTCGAACAGAAAGATATTTCAGTTCAAGGAGATGCAGGCTGATGCTGCGGAGAGAGCTGTCGGATACTGCTGAACCGCAAAATGCGAGGTTGAGGTGCGTGAGCATTGGGCAGCCCAGAGCGAGAACTTCCGTGGCCGTGTCGGAAAGGGCACAACAGAACGACTGAAAGTTGCGTTAGCAATGCTGAAATTCCACGAGGGCTGCGGAAAACTTACCAGATCAAGTTCTCTAAGCGCCTTGGCTGCATTCGTCAAGAACACAATCGCGTTGTCCGTGAGGTACGTGCAGTCTGCAAGGCAGATTCTCGTCAGGTTCGGAAACGGGTAGACGCTCCAGTGCTGAAAGCCCTGATCAGTGATTGTGGTGCATCTCGTGAGGTCGATCGACTCCAATCGTGTGGAGGCATGGACGGCAATGTGTGCCATCGACCGGTCCGTGATGTGTTTGCAGTAGCTCAGCGTCAAGCGCTTGAGCTTCGGGCAGCCGACAATGGTTCCAGGAGGAAGTTGTTGCACTTGTTGCTGCTGCTGTCCCTTGCGACCATACCGGCCATTCATCTGGGCTTGTTGTGCCTGCATGTAACCAGGAGGCAGGTCGGGCACCACCCAGCCGACTACGCGTGCCAGGAGGTTATCACCCACTTTGCGGCAGTTGCTCAGGTCAACCTCTTGCAGTGCTTTGGCCTTGTTGACCATTTCAAGCACGGCTTGGCCAGTGATGTCCCACACACTCTTCATCTTCCATCTCTTCACGTTAGCACCACACGTCGTTGCCAATGCCGTAAAGCCTTCGTCTGTGAGATGGAAGCAGTTGCTGATATCGACATAGCGAGGTCTCTGGCCGACGAAGGGACAGATAATATCAGTGAGAACTCGATCTGTGATGCGGCGGTTGTAGGGGGCCAGGTCCAAGTCGTAAAGAATACTGGGCGAAGAGGTCAAGATCTTGAGCCAGTGCATTGAAACGGTTCGAAGACGCATCAGTTCTGCAATGTCGAGATGCTGGAAGATGTTCACCAGGATAATGTCTGGAAGAACGCCCTTTCCTTTACGGCTGGGTCGCCGAACGATCTTCTGGCGTTTGAAGGAACTCGATCGCTCTGGCGTAAGGCGTTCTTCTTGCATGAATACGGGAGAGGGAAGGAGGCCGTTTGGCTTGGGAGACTCGTGGTGAAGCTTTGGCGCGTCCTGCGACTTGGGGGTCTCCTGGGCTGGTTCTTGCACCGGCGGAGCACCAGGTGGGGGCGGAGCAAGTGAAGCCCTCCTCGATCGAGAGCGAGCGTTGTCGAGATCAACGTTCAGGAACGGGTCAGGATCAAAGGGCTCAACGGTCAAGCCCTCATCTTTGGGCTTGGGAGGAAAGCCATTTGTTTCCTTTTCGGGAAAACTGTCTGTGAAAGTAACGGCGGGAAGGCTTTTTCTGCGCGACTCGGGGGTACGATCATTGATGACAAGCTCGTTGATTGCGGGCGTACCGTCACAAATATCGGGCATTTCCGTGTCCCTTTGGGCAGCGGCATCCAGCCGAGCTCTCGCGGTGTTTTCTATCTGCTGTCGCAGCTCTGGAGAGCACCGTTGCCACAGCTCGTTCAGGACATCGCCGCCAATTGCCAGGCATTCGACCGAGGCGATCGAGCGTACTGTTGCGGTGCGCCGCGGAGCCAAGTCCAGACTGACGACCTCTCCAAAGTATTGGCCAGCCTTGAGGCGGGCGATCACGTGCTGGATGTTTTTGGGGCTGGATTGCTTTTTCCTGGTTTCCTCGTCCGGGGGCGTCTCGGACACGACTTCGACTTCACCTCGCACAATGAAAAACACGTCGCGCCCGTGCGAACCCTGTTGGATGATGTCGGTGAACGGGGGGTAGGTGCGGGGTTGGGCGTTCAGACCCAGGAAATGCAGAATGTCCGAAGGCAAGCTGGAGAACAAGGGTAGCTCCTTCAACAGCTGGCGCACGTTGACAGTCCCGCTGCCGATGGCGCTCGACGCAGCCGCCTCGGCGAGGCCTGGGCTGGGTGACTTCCTTTTCTTGTTACTAACCAAGACCTCACCATCCCTGATCTCGCCGGCGTCGCCCATCTCCACATCGCCATCGGTTGTGTCTCGCGTCCGCTTGCCGCTGCGAGACGGCCCTCGGGCGTGCTGCTTGGAGTCTCTGAGCTCCTTCTTCTTGCGCTCCAAGATGGCCAGACGCTCCTTGGCCTCGTCCAGGATGGACTGCTCGACCTCGGGGAAGCCGGGCAACTCCTTCTTGAGGTCCTCCTTGTTCAGGCGGACCACCATGGAGCGCATCTTGGCGACAATGGTGGCCGTGCGCGGGATGTCCATCAGGATACCGATCTCGCCGAAGAAGGCGCCGGGACGCAGCTCGGCGAAGGTGCTCTCGCCGTCGCGCGAGGTGACGCGGACGCCACCGCGGACCAGCCAGTACATGGCCTTGGCCTCATCGCCCTCGGCTATGATGGTGTCGTGTGGCGAGTACAGCTGGGGCCGCAGGTGGGTTCCAATGGCGGCGAGAAACGAGTCGGGCGCGGACAGGAACAGCGGAAAGGAGCGGAGGCGGTCGATGAGGTCGAGGGGCAGGCCCTGGATGGTGGAGGCCGTGAGCGGTGAGGGCCGCACCGGCTTGGTGGGATTCGTCTCGGAGTCGAAGGCGCGTATCAAGGCGAAGGGGTCGGGAACCAGGCCGCCGTTGACCTTGCCGGCGTGGACAGTCGGGCCTCCGGACCTGTGATGGCGCCGCATGGTGGAGGAGCGGCGCCGGCGCGCGTGTCGAATGATGGTGGTGGTGGGCGACGGGTGCACGGGGAAGAGTAGTCAAACGCGTCGGCGACCTTCCACCCTTTTGTCGAGTCGGTGGGAGGAGCTGGGAATTACGTAAGGCAGGCGGAAGGCTAGAGGAGTCGCATGGTTCGCGGAGCGCGAGGGAATTGGGCGGTGCGGCTCCGGGGGGCGCTATATACTGGTGTGGGTGAGGGTTTGTTGACAAGAAGCGGTCAACTGTCTGAGCGTGTCGAGGGTGGAGCGCGGGGACAGGCCCTACAGGTGGGGAGAGCTTCGGCGAGAGGCAAATTGCCAATCGCTCACCACGACGCGGCGATGCTAGCGCAGGCGGGCAGCGGCACGCAGCAGCACGGCAGAGACGCAGCGTCCGCGCGAGCGAGCGGCTGCTGGATGCGCGCGCCGCGGCGGCGTGGCTTTCTTTGATGAGTTGTGAGACTCTGGGAGCCCACTTTGCGGCCCACCGTGCACGCTGGCTCGTGCCGCACGCCTGCCCTTCGATCGCACTTCGCGGCGGCTTCGAGAATATCGCTAAGCCGCGGCGACGCAGCCACCACGAGCGTCGCAGCGTCGCAGCGCGTCCAGGAGCCTGCCCTGCGCCTGCCCTGCGCCTGCCCTGCGCCTGCCCTGGCCAGTCGCCGCCAGCACGCTCGAGCGCTGCCCGGCTGCCCGGCCGCCGCGACGAGCTGGCCCGTTGAAAGGGGCTCCCTCCATGCTCCCTCCCGGCGTCGGTGCGCGGCCGCGGGTGACGGGCCCAAGCCGCCGCCCGCACGCAGGCCTGGACGTCATCCGCAGTGCCTGAAGCTGCTCCCAGCGGATCGCGCGAGCCTGCAGGGTCCAGAGGCTCTAGCAGCGCGTTGCGCGCCCGCGCAGGCGACCAGGCAGCCCGACAAGCGTTGTTTCCAGATCTTCCTCAGCGCTTGGCGGGTTGGCTGGCTCACGATCCGCCGGGGATCAGCAGGGGAAACTACTGGCCCTGCAGCCGGCCAGCAACGGCTGCCAGAGTGCCAGAGTGCCTGGCAGAGAGCCCGCTGCATCCGCCTTCTGACTCGCCACTCCCCACCCACACAGAGCCAAAATTCGCCGCCCTCTCCATGCCGTTTGTTTCACGCCCCCGTGTGCCCGATCGCTCCCGCGCTTTCTGCAGCATCGGGCTGTGACTCACGCAGAGGCTGGCCTTGTTTGTGGCGTGGCCGCTTCCGTCCGGCCCGGGTGCTGCTGCTCCCGCCTCGTCGCGATGAGGTACAGTACCTACTGTGTATGCTACATAAGAGCCGCCGACTGCTGCTGCCTGCTGGTGTCCGGCAGCCCGTGGCCTTCTGCCTGCTGCGCGTGTCCCGCGTCCCGCGTTCTTCGCATCTCTCCACCATGGACTCGTCTCCCAGTCCAGAGCACCCTGCGGCGGGCTCGCTTGCGCGCATCTTTTGCCACAAGCACTTCATTGTCCTCACTCTGCACAGCTCGTCGTCTTCCGCATCCGTCCCAGCCGGCGTCCTGAATTGGCTAGAACAGTGCTGCGTTTTACTCTGCCAAGGTGTGTTGTTTATCCGGTTACACCACGGTCTGGCCGTGCTTCTCTCAACCCCGTCTCGGAAGAGAGCAGCGCCCTTCGCGGAATACCGGAGGACGGATCTCGTGCACCCCACCACAGCCAGTGCTCAGAACGCCATATGGCGTGCACCGACGCTCACCGTTCGCCGCTGCAGGTGCTACAAGCCTACAACGCCCGCAACCACGTGAGCAAAGCACACGTGCATCACCGCCGTGGACATGGAGCACGCGAACCTACGGTGAGGCTCGGCGTCCGTGTAAGAAAGGCTGCGCGTGTGTGCTGGGCGTTTCCCGCCTGCATGACGCGGTGGTTCTGCTGCGCTGGCCCCATCCACCGTCTCCGCCGTCAGCACGTCCCCCGCCATGGAGATGCTCCGGGCCTGCATCTCTCGTGCTTCGCAACGAGACTGGCCTGACTCTGCGCCAAGCTCTGCCCGCTTCTTCGTCGGCCCAGTCGTCGTCTGCGCCATTGCTAACCATCGCCATCACGTGCAGAAATCCACGCAGCCCTCCCGCAGCTGCGCCTTCTCCAGCACCCCTCGGTGCTCGCCCCTGCAGATCCACCGACGCTGAACCCTCAACCTCTGCGTTATCTCGTCGGCGTTGCCCGGCAGCAGGCCCCCGACCCCCAATCGCAGCAGCAGCCGCCCGGTGAGCACGACGAGAAGGACGGTCAGCGGCATGGTGACGATGCCACGCTCCCCACTCGCCTGACGTGTGGGCTCCAGGCTTTTCTTAAGCAACTGCGCATCCACCCCGTCTTCTCGAGGACCTCCGGGCTCTGGCTCAATGCCCGTTATATCACGCGAGCCGACCTAGGTGCAGTCGACAGTCTTGCCAGCTACTCGCCGCCTGCATCTGCGCACGGCAACAGCAGCGACGGTAGTGTTGGCAACGTCAGGCAGCAGCACCAGCACCAGCAAACCCCGGCGCTGCCAGAATCCGCACTGTCGGCCATTGGCGCGGCCCTGCGCATTGCACCCGAGCCGAGCGCTGTTCCCACCATCGTCCCGCATTCGTCGCTCCAGCCAACGGCGCAGCATTCTGCCTCTCTCGCTGCCGCCGCCGCCGCCGCCCCCGGTTCGTCGTCGGGATCGAAAGCCAAGCTCCGCCCCGTGTCGGACGTCCTCGACCGTCTGCGCTGGGACGACGGCTTAGGCGGGACCGCGGCCTACGCCGTCGGCTACCGCGACCGTTTCGACGGCGTGCTGGAGCTGTCGCTGGACCGTTGGGTTGCGGAGAGCACTGCCGAGGACTGGATCCCGTTGCACCGCGTCAGCTACGTCAAGCGCCGTCGGGACGGCGTGCTCGTCTGGTGGCGTGAGGGGAGGGTGGACCTCGTCTTTGGCAGCGGGAACGGCGCTGTTTCTGACGCTAATGTGGAATGTGAAGGCCCAGCAAGGGCGTCTTCTCAACACAGCAAGCTTCTGTAGTGGCTCGCCACCGTGCCTGTCTGACGCCCCGTCTGCTACCGTCGATGCTGCATATATGCGGAGAACGTACGTGAGGCAGCTGTGGAGCAATGGAGAGAGAAAAAACGCGGGGGTGGCACTGCTGTGTGCTGACCTCTAAGATGGCGGCTTGGTGCACCTTTCACCATCTTCGCACGGATCCTAGCTAGGGCTCCATCAGGCACGGACGTCATAGTCAGCAGTCTGATAGGCCACGAGGTTAGCTAAGGTCGAGAAGGCGGCTCACGCGCCCAGGATCGTGTTACTAGGTGGGGTTAGCCTGAGATACGAAGTGTCGATCTGCATTTTCGAGAAAGAATTCCGGGGCTGCGGAAACGAGGCTATGTGCTGGCAGATGCCCATACACGATCTGCAACCCATTGCATTAGTAGGGTACCCATCCATAGTGCCGGAGAGGACCAGGTTTCCCACCAAGATTTGCAGCCTTGCAGCGCTCATGACATTCCTAACTCGGACTGTTGTCCCCCTTCATTCTATTGCTTGGCCCGATGGTGTATTTGCATTCATATCTTTACGTCATATGCATCGTGATTTACAGTCTCGCAGTTCCTAGCGATTGATGCTCCTGCCCAATGACCAAAAGTACCAGCCCACCTTCCGCAACGCCGTTCAAAGCACAGGTAAGAGAGAAAATGGAAAGGCCTTCTTTCATCGGGCTTTCGCCCGGAGAGGAGGAAGGGTGAGATGGGGTGGAACGCTTGTCAAACAACCCAAACCATGCAAGTTTCTTTGAATTACATACCGGAACGTACCACCCAAAATGATCATGATAGGGCTCGACCAAAAGACAAACTATGAAACCTGAATGTTCCAGGGAGGTTGAGAATAGTGTTCGTCCAAGTAACAAAGAAAAAAATCTTGAGTGAAATGACGGAACTCCGATGGAAGTAAAGACATGGTCATAGATCGTATCCAAATCGTTGAGATGAATCAGTGTCCAAGGGCGAAGTCCGATCAACGGCTCCTTCTTCGCCTGCGTTCGTAGTAGTAGTCATCGTCGTCATAGTTCGACCGCTCGTTTCTCACTTGTCTCTTTTGCTCAAACCTATCGTATTTCCTCTCCGCTTCATGCGCACCCACTGCACCAACTACAGCTGCTGCAACGGTTGCCAAAGTGTCTCCTTTAGTCAGCTCGGTCCCCAGGAATCCTCCAGCCAAAGCGCCCATGGCAGCGGAGGCGACACCGGTACCATGGGGAGACTTGCTGCGGCGGCGGCGTCTTGATGTCGAGCTGCGGACGCTGTCGTGGCGGCGTGGCTCGCGGTTGTATGAAGGGGCGTTTGAGTAGGCATCTCGAGCAGAATAGCTACCGCGATGTCCCTCTGCACGCGCCATCTGAATAGGCAGGGGGGCAGCGCTTTCCTGGTTAGGATATGCCCGTGCTGTTCGCGAATATGGATACGGTGGCGGGACGTATTCGTCTGTAGATTTCAAGCCACCGGTGGCAGGCAAGTCTTGGCCTGGCGGATACTCATATGTACCTCGCCGGTTCCTGAAGCGGACAACTTCATATGTGTCTTGAGCATGGCTCCTACGGCTTGCACGGCTGTGGATACTGCTACTGCGTCGCCCACTATAAGCCTCAGAAGGTGTGCTGGGGCCATCGGGGTCCGGGTCGTTGAATGCCTCGGTTTCGACAAAGGCACGCGTAAAGTCCCTGCGGGAGCGGCTGATCTCGTCCTCATCCTCTGAGTAGTCGTCGGTCTGCGTGAAGGGTGCGCGGCCGCCCTGGAGACCACTGACCGAGAGGGCGCGGCGACTGTACTCAGTGCGGGGCGGCAGTGGCCGGTAAGGAATTAGCTCCTGGCTCTGGCGATTGTCTCTGTAGCTGCGTGGAGCATCTCGATAATAGTCCTGTGGACGACCATCCGTGCTGTAGCGGTCGTAGCGATCAACCCGGTTCTGTTCTCGCCTGGACCTCCCCCTCTGCCCGCGTGAGTCGCCATAGCCGTAGTCATAGTCATAGTCGTAGCCATCGTCGTAGTGCCCGTCATAGCCGTAGTTCTGCTGGCCCGTCGTTGGCTCGTCTTGTGGTCTTATGTGATCTACCTGGCCCGCTGATTTGCGCCTCTGCCTGAGCTTGGACCATCGCTTCTTGGGGTTGGGGATCCTGTCGTAGACCTTGTCGTAATACTTGCTGTTTGCAAATTGTGCAATGGCGCCGGCGCCGATGTCCTTTTGAGAGTCAGTCGCAGGCGTCGGTAAACGGGCAGGAAGGGGCCAGTCGTACCACAAGGGCAGCATCCATGGCACAGGCGGCGAGCAGCAGAGAGGCTGCAGAATGGCGTTGGAGGGGACTGAGAAAGGCGGGCGATGCTTCGAGGGCTGTGGCGAAAACAGCAGGGTGAGTAGCGGGTGAGCGGCGAAAATATCAGCGGGCGGTGCTATGATATGAAGGCACCCATGGCTGCCCGAGCTGGCGTGCAGATGATGACGGGCTGCAGTAGGCGGCGGGGGCGCAGGGCTGTTCGCTGATCGGCGTCCGAGGTGCAGGCGGATCTGTGGCAGCAACAACGCATCGAGCGAGCAGAGCAGCGAACCATGGAAGAAGGTGTGGGCAAAAAGGGGAGGCGGGAAAGGCGGAGAAATACAAGCTCATGCGGGCGCGTCGCCAGTGTGCCAGTGTGCCAGGACATGGGCGACGGGTCGCGGGTGTGGCAGGCTGGCCGGGACGGCGCCCTGCGCCCGAGTCAGCAGCGTCGGCCAATCAGGGTCCGATGACGTATCTGGTGAGCGCTGCCTCTCCACGTCCGCGACGCGCTCGGCACATGGGCGTCGTCCACGTCAGGTCACCCGCCACAGTGCTGTCTCAGGCACAGCATGATCGCCAAAGTGTCTTTGCATTTCTACCGGACCATCAAATCAACAAAACAACCCGGCTCCCAGCCCAGCAGAACTCCAGCGCCCGTCTCGATGCTCCGCCGCGGCCGCTCAGGCCTTGGAAGCCTCTTCGAGCAGCTTGCTCTGCTGCTCGGGGTGCGTCTTCTCGACGTTGCCCTTGGCCATCTTCTTGGTGACCATGTTGCCGTCAATCTCGACGTCCTCGCGCAGCTCGCCGTCGACAGCGCGCCACTTGCCCGCGATCTTGAGCGTGCCGACGGGCGGCTTCGCGTCCACGAGCGAGTCGACGCCGCCGGCGACGTTGGTGAGGGTGAGCTTGTAGGTGGTCTGCACTACGGTCAGCAGCCGCCACGGTCACATGGCCTTGTCCCGGCCTACCTGGCCAATGGGCTTCTTGTCGGTGACGCTGTAGGTGGCCTGGGTGGTCGCGTCGCCCGAGGCCAGCTCGTAGGAGACGAGGGCAGGACACAGCGTCTTGATCATGAGGTCGTGGTTGTGGAGGGCGGTGACGACCTGCTCCTCGCTGAGGCCGGCGGGCAGGGGAGTGGAAACGCTGGTGGTGGCCATTTTGATTCTGCGAGAGCGGGAGTGAGACTGAGAGTAAGGGATTCAAAGTGTCTGTTCAGTGTCTGTTCAGTGTCTGTCGGCGGGGTGGTGCAGTCAGAATGCCATCGCTGGCGTCGTCATTTATACGGAAGCACTGGGTTGAGGTCGCGGGGCCAAGACGACGAGTCCGGCGAGCTGCTGCGAAGTCCGCGAGTGAGGACGAGCGTCAGCACGAGCGGTGCTGAGCCACTCACGGCTCCCCATGGTGGAGGTGCGCAGAGTGCTGACAGCCGGCGCAGGACGGCTGCTCTGGATGGCCGGCGGCGCAGCGCGCAGGGATGGCGGGCTGCGGGCTGCGGGCTGCGGGCTGCGCTCTGATCGGCTTCTCTCGGCTCCGCACTCGTCAAGCAGGCCGACGTGCAACACCAACAGCACAGCAACCATCAACCACCAGTGGTACAAACGCTACAAACGGCGCCTGTCCTCCTCCAACGACAGCTGCCGTGCCTCCCTCGCTTGCCGGCAGTCACACTCACACCTCGCCTCTGGCGTCTCTCGGCCGACGCGCTCCGCCGTCCCTTCAACGGCCACACATGCGCATGCTTCCCGTCTGACGGACTTTCACGGCATACCAAAAATAGCAGTGCTGATCGGCCGACGGCGCGACGCCCTCACTTCGCGGGCCGCGGTGCTGGGCGCTGGCTGGGCGCTGGCTGGGCGCTGGCTGTCAGCGGGCGTTCGCTCTGCTGTGGGCTTATAGCCCATCCATTGGAGAGCCTGGCCTGTTTGTTACACGCGGCCTGCTGGTCACCACCAGCCTCTGCTTCCACCACCACCAACATCGGGCCTTGGCGCTGCTCCCCCAACGCCTCAGCCCGCTCGCTCTCCGGCAGTCCGCTTCCGGCCTTCTGTTTCACCATCAGACCCACGGCCTTCTTGGGCCGGTCCGCTGCAGGTCATACCGTCGGACTGTAACGCTGCTAATTTCCCGACCATCTCGGGCGTATCGTCGACGGATAGCTTGCGAGATATCTGGCATCACTCAGCCCCTGTGCTTCTAGCAGTTGATCCGCCAGCTCAGCACACACCGCGGCCAGGTGCTCGTGGCCGACCTGTCGCCAGTGGAGCTTATGCGCCAGAATCTACTTGCGGCCGTCAGCACATTCCACGGCCCGGACTGTTTCGCAGATGGCGCTTACTGCGTCGCAATTATAGCTGCTGAGATAGAACTCTCCGTGCACAAGCCCCCACAGGAACCTACATCACACTCAGCTAAAGGGTAGGTAGAGATCTGCTCCCTGCCTGTTTCCAGGCTGAGACAAGGGGCATCGGCCATCGCCTCGGTGCTCTGACCGCTGGCAGGAATGCTCCTACATATCAGGCGCGGTGCATCAGCTACCTATTCCCACGCCAATGCGACAGCCACGTATGCAACGAGCGTTTCAACCTCATGATCGTTAGCGCTGAAGTCCAGATAAGCGCTAAGGAAGCCACCCCACACGGCTGTCAGCGCTGTAACGCTCTCGCTGGGTGTTTTCTGTTGTGATGCTGTAGCTGACCACGCCCAGCTTTCCCTCAACATCGTAGTCGTGTCTTTGGCTCGATAGCAGGGCGGCGGACAGCGGGCAGCTTGTCGACGACATCAAATTGAACACTGTACACATTAGCCTCGTAAAAGCAGATACTGTATGGCAGGAGCAAAGCGAAGCTTCTGATGACCACCCGGCTAGCCATGAGAATGCAACTGAGCCCCCAAACGGTTCGGGTTGCTGTCCGCTCCAACCAATCAGTAGGGCTTTCCAATGCGTGTTCGCCGATGCCGAACTTGTCGAGGGCCGTACGGCAGTTCTTCTGCTTGACCCTCTGTCCCGACTATGCCGATGTTGAACAGAGAGCTGGTACTGCTGCTGCCCCTCGCTCCAGCCAATTCCGTCCATCGTACGGACCGTTGATCCATGTCCTCGTGCGGACGCTCCTGCAACATAGCGATTCATGCTCCCTATTATGCCTTGCATACGCCGAGAATCCGCGTCAACCCCATCGCCGATAGGTGTGTCGACATCCCGTCCATTCAGCAGGGCCACGGCATTACTCGTAAGCGAGCTGAATTGCCGAACCTGCTCGCGCCATCCTTCCTTTTATGGTTCTATCCCCCTCCGTGTATCATGGTGTGTTCTGCCGTTCATATGGCATGTAAGGGTGTACTCGCTGGCGGAGCTACGAGTTCTTCGTGATATCGCGCTACTCGAAACTTTCGTTCTGTCTCGCCATTCAACGTTGGTATTGAAGGCGCTTCGGTATAATTGAACATGGACAGTAAGTGAGACGCAGCCCAGCATGGATATAATGGAAGGTGATGGTCGTCGCTACTGTAGAAGCCGCCCGGGAAGTCGGTGACGTCCTGAGAACCATCGTCTCAGTGGCCGATATCCTACCCAAAGAACCTTCCCGAGCTGAAAGCAACAGATAGGAGATGGCCTGAGGACGGGAAAAAGGGAGAGGAACCTGTAGTGCCTGTGATGGCGGTTACTCGCTTTACCGCCAGCGCGATAACGCTTCAATCGGCCATCGAACAGAGCAGACCCAGCTTTGTGCGTTTGGCCAAAAGGCTCGCACCTACTCAAGGTAGAAACGATTGCCTGAGCTGCCTGCATAGAATTTGATCGGTACGATGGCGTGGTTGGAGACTTTTTGCTGGTTACACAGAGCTCGGTTGTGGGACAAGGTGCGGTGCTCACGCTTTCTATTGGCGATCGCTGCTTCAATGCCATATTCAGTACGGAGGGCCTGGGCTCCGGCGAGACGCTTGGGTGCATGGCTTGCACAATCTCCATATTCGCAGTATTGTTGTGCTTCAGTCGAGGCCGACCGCCGTTTGGGGGTCTCTCCGGCCCCGAGGGACGTAGCGTTCGATATGTGCACGGCTGCATCTTGCAAAGCGAGCGATGTGGAGACGGTTGGATCCGCCAGTGGGGTCTGGAATAATGATGCATTCCGACAACTGCATGAAAGGCGGTACCCGAACCGTTTGAGTGGAGACGCCGCTTGGGCGTGGGACCGGTGCCTCGAGACGGTGCAACGCACCGTGAGCAAAGCCCATTGCCACGGCCCCTGCCCCATATGTCGATCCCCGTCGGCCATGGTTCCGAATGGCAAAAAAGCTTCGCGTCCCCATCTCCTGTGCGATTCGTTTCGTGGAGTGTCTTCGCGCAAAGCATAGTCTTCAGCTAGTCTCCATGCACTATCGCCCCACTGCCTGATCTCTCCGCCTCTTCAGACCGCCATGACTTGGTCTTTTCCTCTCGCCATCTTCCGAGTATTGCAAGACTCATCTGCTTAGAATGAACACTTCGTTTCATTAAGTGATTGATTGGTTGATTACTGTAGAGTGATGAGTAGCAAAACGCAATAGCCCCTGATAAACGACTTGCGAAACTCAGGACTTGCTCTTCCGCAGCTGGGAGGCGCATGCTCTTTATTGTAAGTGGAAGCTTGAGGGGGAGGCAGCAACGAGCTGTGTGGGATTATAGACTTGCTTGACGTCTCAGGACCTCTACCTACACAGTAGACAATTCCAGCAGTTAGCAGACGCTCTCTGAACAGAGCGCATGGCCAAGGACGATGAGCAACCAAGCTATGTAGCCGACATTGAACTGAAACAGTCTCTCGACGCCTAGAACACACCATACCCGAAGGTGCGGACAACGCCGCTCAGACTCTTGACCGCGCCCAAGAGTCATCAGATTCCTCACATTGGCCAAGAGTTCATCACCCACTACAATGTGAGCTTCAGCAGCGAGATCACCGGAAGACCCAAACATGCAGAATGTGACACTGCACCGTTGGTCGGCGGTCCCAATCGCGATGCGAGTATTCGACAAGGCTAAAGCAGCAGGCCTGATTATGCGAATACCGCATGCCGAGGCTCTATGAACATAGATATGCCTGCTTCCCTACCTCATCCGATATGAGCGGCTGGAAACATGCATTTGACTGGTGATTAGAAAGTCCCAGTGCTCTGTGCGTATGGCCGGAAGTCAAAGCAACGCCTGCTCGTCAGAGGCCGCCATTGTGGAGCCCGAACTATCGGCCTAGATGCCGAGCACAGCTAGGTACTTCTAGACGCCGTGTCCAGGTGCGATGTTCGACAAGCAGAGCCATGACCGTGCAGCTCTTTCGGCTCGCGATCGCCTAGTTACTGAACCTAACGGACGCACGGCCAACAGATCTGGACTGACCGAGCTGGCCCCACAGCAACAGCCGTAGGGCCCGCTATGCGCTGCACAAGCGTGAAATCGGCACGAGTACAATGAGATTTCCAAGGTCCATCTCCTTTGGGCACCTGTTGCCTAGCAAGAAAATCCTGCTGTGGCAATTGCGCCCCCAAAGCGGGTCGAACATACCGCTCTGCGTAGTACCTATGATTGCTTGATGTAGCATATCTCCGCGGGTAGCCTCGCGTGGTACGCGTTGGATCGGTGGTACTGTGCGGCGAAATCCAGGGACCAGGGGAGGCGACATGCCCGTGGGAAGGACGTCGCGCTGCACGCCGCTCTCGATCTGTCGCGCGTATCGCCGAGCGACTGGACACACACATGTAGATGGTTGTTTGCGCTCGAAGCCAGCGCCTATGCGGGAGGCCGTGAGACATGCGAAGAGGACGCAGATCGCAGGCAGATGGTTCCGTGGCGTGGAACACCTCATCGCCGAGGGGCAGGAGCGGTCTCCGGAGCACATCCAAGCCTGTTCAATTTGTAATTCTTCCTGAGTGGCGATAAAAGATCGCCAGCCCCTGTGATCTGTGATTCCGATGGGCGGCCAACCATCGCACCTGGCCCCGCTGCAGATGAAGATTGCCCGGCGAGACGGCACCGTCAGTTGTAAGCCATACGATTGCTTGGCCGGCCGCGGAGCAGAGACTTGGCACCGTAGCGGACGAGGTTCAAATGATCGCCATGCGTAGGGCAAGCACTGGCAGCATTGTCCCGAATAGAAACAGTCTCTAGTCGAGCCCGTCATGGCACAGCATGGCTGCGTGCTAGCAGCGAATGGGAAGGCCCGGGAGCCGGGAAAAGAGTTGGGACTTACCGTGGGAATGGGAGATGCGCCGGTCGGCAGAGCGGCTGTCAAAGCTGTCTCCAGGGCCGGCACCAGCTCCTTAGGACGGCAAGCAGAGGGCCAGTGCCTCAAACAATGTGCACACGCGAGTCGTTAGACAATGGCGCCGCGGCCTGGTCAGCCGCCTGTGGGCCGTCACTCGCGACGGGGCAATGGAAGAGGCCAGACAAGCTTTCCATCGTGTACGAGTACGGTGCCGCGGCACGACTGGTGTGTTTCCGAGGCGAGGGCGGGCCGAGGGGGGACTGCTGGATGCGGTCAGTATTAGGAGCGCAAACACCAGCGTTAGTAGGAGCCGGACTGGGCGTGAAACCCCGCAACTGCTGCCTTCGCCTGGTCGTTCCTCTTCAAGTCACCGACAGAGCGATCGGGCGGCGGCTGCGGGCGTGGCTCCGGCCCTTCTTATCGTCTGGCCCGCCGTTGAGGCCACTGACGCGCGCCTCATACCGCCATCGCGCCCCACTAGGCCCTGCCGTCGTTCTCAGCGCCAGTGCCGGACCCAGCAGTGCCCCCTCCTGCCACCCGGCTCGTACCGCCCAAACAGATCCCTCCGCTAGCCTACCCGCCGGCCAGCCCACACACCCATCTCATTTGAAGCATGCGTGTCTGTTGTTGTCCTGCTCTCCCCCCAACCTGGCCTCTTCGACCGCCCGTCGTCAAGCCCTGCACCGCGCCCATTACCAGACGATCGCCCGCTCATCGGAACTAATGCAACCGGCTGTCCGCCTGAAAACTGAGAATTGCTAGCATCGTGGACCCTGCTGCCTCCGTGCCTCCTTTCCCACCAAAGCCTGGCCCCAAACGCAGCTCGTGCTCCGTTGCGCAAATCAACCGTCACCCCGCCTCATCACTCCGCCTTGTTGCGACATAACATAGTGGCTATTGTACTTGAGCATTGCTGTATCGGTCTGCTCCCTGGCTATGTTTGTCTCCGATGTCAGCGGGGGGGAAGTAGAAGGCTCCCCCCCAGGAGTTGCATGATGCCTGCTGCCATTGTCTGCAGCGAACCGGCCTGATCGCCAAGGAGGGCTAACGAAGTCTATTTTGATAACTCGGTCTGGAATCATGGGGACGAACAGAATTGCGCACATTGATCCGCCTTGGTCGTTCTTTCATGGGCGGGCAGCGCGCATTATGCAGAGCATCCCCAACTAACATCATCTGTACTGTTTGTCTGGAGGCACAGCATCGAGCTCGTTGTGTCGGACTTGGCTCTGCGGCTGCTCCAGCCGCCAATGCGCCCATGTCTCGTCATTCGGTGAGAGGAAGTCCATCTGTCCAGTATGCGTGCCGCTCTCAACAAAGCCGGGAAAATGCGAGAAGCTCATTCGAGGCGCGTCCGGCATTTGCGAGGTCGCCGTTACCCATGCGTTCGGCGCCATGTTCCCGTACATGGCCGGTGCCGAGCCCGGCATGGACGAGCCACTCACGTCCACCTGGCTGTCTTGGCTCGAAAAGGGCCATGCGCTAAGATCGCCTTGCGAAGGGAAGAGTCCGTTAGCTTCATTGACATCTGCGTCCGGATGACTGTCTGGTAGCGATGCGATATCGTCCACACTCAATCTCAATTGAGGCATCGAGCCTGATCCCTCCGATCGTCGCAGCGGCGGCGTTGGCCGATGATCGGATCGTTGCCTTCGCTTGGGGGCGCTCTGAATCGTGTCGTCTTCAGTGTTCTGGCGCGATGCCGGGACGATGGAAGCCTCCCGCTGCGGACTTGACTGTGATATCTCGGCTAAGACATGCTGGAGGACGAGGCACATGCGTTCCGCTGGCGCAAAGATCGCCGACATGTCCTGAAGCGATACAGCCATACACTTAAGGCACTTCAGGATTTGGTTACGCTCCTTGACATCCTTGACGAAAGCAAGGTCTGCGATCAGCGTTGTGCATGCGACCCCCTGTTACATGTTAGCCTTGGACCTTCGGCTGTTGCGTCCGCCACGCACTCACCGCAGTTTGCATTGCAGCGCAGAAAATCTGCTTGGCGCTGAACCGCTGTCTATAATGCCAGAAGTTCTTGACCACGGCTATCGCATGGCCGGTGCAAGCTTTGCGAGCCGACACAACGACGGTATCTCCGGACAGATCTTTGGCTTCCGGAGAGACTGAGTCCTCGTAGCGCGCTAGAGGCCGGCGGATTTGAATGTGAACTGAGTGGTACTGCTGGTGCAGCACGAAGAAAGATCTGGGGGCCGTTTGTATATTCGCTGGCTCCCATCTCAAAGCTTCGGGTAAACGAGAATACCAGCCGCTCAATTCCCGGTCCAAAGCAACTACAGACCTGTGGTCAGTGCGATCAGAGCTGCTGCCAGTCATCGCGGTGGCCTCCCTGTTTTCCGCTGCCTTGCCCGCGATCTCCATCAGATCGATCAGCGCCTCGTAGATCTGGGTCTCGAGGGAGAGCTCCGGCCCATTGGGCAAACAGGTCCCGAGCCGTTCGAACCGTTTGGCCAGAGTGTAAACCTCCAGGTCCGAGCTCTTGATCGCCGTCGGTCTCCCCAAAAACAAAGACCAGTACTTGTCGAAGATGACACTGCGCAACGTCAGCATAAGGTGGGAGCAAAGGCGGGAGGGGACCATACCAGGCCCACAAAGCCATGTGTCGTACATCAACCTCGCGCTCTGACAGCCCTGACGAGCGCGTTTCTAAGTGGAGGCCAATATCAAAGGCCAACCTAACACCCATGCCCGAGTAGAGCCAGCCGGTGTGATCACGTCCCACGCTGCATTCGCAGTTCGCGAGGAGTAGGAGAGCCTGGACTTGGGGGATTCCACCGGGCCTTTCTAGCTCAACATCAAGCATGAACTTTGCCTCGCGGTGGAAAGTACTCTCTCTCGGCTCAAGCGCGATTCGTTGGATGTCAGGTCGAGCCTTGTCGGCATAACGGAAGCCGACAGCAAGGATGCAGATGTGGAGGAAGGGAGAATAGAAGTGCGGTGATCCGTGCTCGTAGTCCGCCAGGAAAGCTTCTTTGTGGATGACATGCAAAACGGCATTGAAATGTTCCCAAAAAAGATGCATGAGGTGATCGTGCGTCTCCTGCGAGAGCAGTCGGATCGTCTTGGTGGCTCGCCGTGCATGTTCGACAACTTCAGAGGACTTGGAAGCAGTGGCCTTGTCTGACGGAAGGTGGCAATTCATGAGTGAGCCAAAGAAGCGCACGCTGCCACTGGTCTGGTCGATGCCTAGATGACCTTTCGGGGCGAGCAATTGACTGACCAGACTCTGGCTCTCGTCCGACGGGTCCAGCAGGCGCGGAGACGAGGCAGTTCGCGCGGCAGACAGAAAGGGGACGGACTGGTCCACGCCGTCGTCGGACTCGCTGAAAGAGGCATTGTCCAAATGAGGCGGTTGGGACGACTCCTGTCGAGAGTCGTTTCCACGCTCAGGGTGCAGTTCCTCGGATCCAGGCAGCCCGGGTCTGATGCGTGGAGGGTGGATGACGGGTGGCGGTTCTTCTCCTTTTCTCCTCAGCAGGTCCTCCAGCACGGCAATTCGCTCCGTCAGAGAGGCCACATAGGCGCGTGATATCGGCCTGGTGAGGTCAGAGAGGCGTCGCCACGCGGAGGGCTGCTGCGGAAGGACTTACTTGCGGCGTTCGTCGTCGTTCCGGATGATGCATTCGGCGCCGGTGCGCCTGCAGTTGAAACACTCGGTCTCGCCAGGGCGTACCACGCACTGGAGGGCACGGTCAGCACTCAGGGCGCGTGGGGAGAAGCATGGGAGGCACGGACGCGGATGCGGCGGTCGCGACAGGAAGCACACGCTATGGAGGCGCGATGGCGCGGGCGCTTGGTGGAGGAGGCGGGGGGGCGGTGGTGGTGGTGGTGGGAATCGGCGGGTGCCGCAAAGGCGGCGGTGTTGGGGCTGGCTTGCGAGAGTTGCATATCCTGGGAAGGCGCTCCTGGTGCGGGCTGGAGGGCCGACTGCTGGGCGGGCTGGGGCATAGCTATACAATAATGCGGCTCGGGGAGCGTCGCCACCATCTGCTGACCGTCCTGGCTCACGCGCGGCGGGGCCCCATGGAGGGATGTGGTTGCAAAGGCGGCGCCCTGGCGGTTGGTCGAGCGGGAGGCAGCGAGGCAGGCGGCAAGACTGGCCTACCTAGGACCGGCGATCGGCGCAGTGAAGCCCGGATCTCCCCAGGCAGGCAACGTGGGAGCGTTGACGGGCAGGTGGCGAGTAGGTACAGTGTACAAAGCAGGGCCGCGCCGCTCAGGACGGCCGAGTCTGACTAGCGCGCGCGGACGGTCTCCGCCCTGCGCTGCGCTTCCGCCGCCAGCTGGCTTCCGCGCCGCCTGTCGGTTCGCTCGCCGCCGGCTTCGACACAACCCGCAACAAGCCACCCATGCCTTCCCATGCCTCGCCCTGCCAGCAGCCCGTCGATCGCCAGCCTCAGGCCACTTTCATGATTCATGCTGCCCGCGCCGCTCCCCTCTCTGCCTGCACTGATCGCCACCAACGAACCACCACCACACTCACGCCCGCCCGCCGTCTGAACCTTAATCCACATAAGCAGTAGGGTCTCGCGTGCAATTGTCCCGGAAGGGATCTGCAGACTTTATGGACCGCCCTCCCACGTGGCAAAATACATGGATGGCTGCTCTACCATCTCGGCTCACTGCAGCCTCGCCTGGCTCGTCTCCTGGCCTAGATCCGAAACCCCGTCAGCTTCTACTGGTCCATCGCCTGTCACGGGTTCCGCTTAAACATGCCTTCAACACGCCCGCGACCCTGCGCAAACTCCGACACCCACGCCTTCACAAACCGCGCCTCCCTCGCCTGCGCCTCTGCCACCGGCTTCGGCGGCAAGTCCGCCGTCGTCTCGTTCGGGAAAAGCCCGTTCTCATCCCAATGGTGCACTGCTTTGCCCGTGATGAGCATGAACGGCTCGCTGTCCGTCGACGTGCGGTTCGGCGCAGCAAACGCGTGCGGCGTCGCCGCCCGCCACGGGTCCGCCTCACCGTCGATGATGGCGAGCCGCGGATAGCTGATGCCGAATCCGCCGTACTTGTTGATTGCCTCGACGTCTGCTGCTGTCGTGATGTTGAACGCGTCTCGACAGACAATGGCGTTGTAATCAATGTCAATCAAGCGCGAGATCAGAGGTAGTTGTGTGCTTGGCACTCCGCTCCCTGCAGGCGGAAAAGACGCGTGAGCATGACCACTGGCGCGGGAGAGCAGCCGACTAACCTGTTTGGAGATAACCCCACCTATCATTGCTACCGTCAGCACCTAACCCCGGAAAAGAGTCCGCGCCATCAGCTACTTACTGCGTGCAATACTGGTACGGCCATGCTCGCCACGTCTGCGAAATGTCATCCTGGGCATAGAAAGTGGCGTTGTAGTTGGAGAAACACCCGTCTTGCGTACCGCTGCACTGGGAAACCTGCGTCAGATTGACATAGCCGATGTAGTTGAGCATCCTACTGCTGAGACTTGACACCTCATCGCTATATCCGCCGATGCGGAGCAGCTCCTCGACGTCCGGCTCCAGCGCAGCCGTGTCGGGGTACAGCAGCGAGTCCGAAGTGAGGTTGCTGCAGTACTCAAACACCGAAGGATCCGACACGGCGGGATCCCAATTGAGGCTCTGCCACCCCATGATGCCGTAGCTCAAGACGTTGGCAAAATCATCATCGTAAGTCAGGTTGCCAAGACCAAAGGCATTCTTGAGCTGATCCTTGTACTTGGTATTGTTTTGGTCCATCAGAATGTTGTCAACAACGTGTGTCAGCTTTTGCAGGGTGCTGACGCAGTCCGGAGGCCCGTACAGCCTCTGGGCTTCGTAATACTGCCAGTAGTCATATATGGCCTCCGTGACCCCCGATGAAGAGATGGCGCCCCAGAAAGTTTCGGGGTAGAGTTTGCGAAGAAAGGCCACGAAAGCGCCGGCATAAGAGCCGCCGTAAGCGATCCAGGGGGTGCTGGAAGGGCTCAAGTCATAGCTGTCCAGGCCTTCGAACGCGACGTGCTCTGCAAAGTACTGCGTGTCTTTCAACGCCTGAGCAGTGGTTAAGAAGCGCAGGTTCTCAGTGGTCAGATCCGACACGGGCCAGCTCTCGCCGTAGTAACGGTGCTCCAAGATGACGCCCAGCCCTCCGGTAGCGTTGGCTAACTGGGCAACAATGCCCTTTTGCAAATAGGGAAAGCGATCCTCACCGCTGGTTTCACCACTTGCGAGGACAATGACGGGGCCTCCGGGTTGGTAGTACGTGGCGTCGAACCAGTAGCGGAGCGGGAAGGTGCCATTTGTGTGCGGCTCGTACAGGGAATCGTTGTGGAAGTGGTCAATCGGCACGGAAATGTTGTAGGCAGGGTACAGAGGGGCGTCGCGGCGGTCGAGCTGAGCAGGCTCGGGCAGAGAGCGAATCTGGCTGGCGATAAGCAAATAGGGGGCGGGGCGAGGAAGGCTGTGAGCAACAGACCTGTTTGCGCAATTCGCGGATGGGGAGTGACGTGCGCAGGGCGTTTGTTTGGCTTGCCAGGCAGAGCAAGCCGACGAAAAGATGCGTGAACATGATAGCGGGCGAGGGAGCAGCTGGCCACGATGGGCAGAGCGGGCGGACGGCATACGGTGGGGTTTTGTAGCTTGCGAGCCGAGGACGGGGCCATGTTGATGACGCACGGCAGCTCGAGGGTGCAGATGGCTGCTGCTGCTGCTGCTACTGCTGCTGCTAGGAACAAGATGGAAGGTGGGCGTCAAGCTTTGCCGAGCGGGCAGGTGACTAGCCGCAGGGAGCAGGTGGCAGAGCCCTGTTGCAGATCCACAGGGCGCCGCAAAGGCCCGGGCTGCGAGGACGTGGGACCGCCCATCCGAGCGATGGATGCCTAGGTAGTAACTACCTAGGTAGGTCGGGCGGCCACAGAGCGCCTGCCCGTCTCGGCCACCGCCTGCCGTCGCTGCCCGCCTTCCTTGCCGTCGGTTGGCCCGCTGGACAGCAAAAAGAGCAGCCGCCGGCCCGACGATGGGTGCACTGCAACTCCGTCGTCCGCCCCAGCCTTGCCGTGCAGCCTGCTGCACACCCGCGTCTCCATCGGTGCGGATGCGAGCGGCGCCATCGGGCCGCTCACTGCTCCCCGCAGCCCCCCGCAACCCCGCCTGTAAGCAACCCTCGGGTACTTTTCACCCTCACATATCCCGCCTTCACCTCTACACCCAAATCTTTGCCTGTCTCTGCCGCTCGCCAATATGCCTCTTGCGTCCCCTTTTGCGCCTCTCCACATCGAGCAAACGGACCTGTTGGCCTACCTCTTTCCGCCTGGCCAGCATGTCTCTGACAAGCCGCTATGGATCGATGCCACCAACCCCGAGCGTTCCCTGTCGCCCCGCCAGATGCTGCAGTGGATAAAGAGGCTGGCCATCGGTCTGGACAAAGTTGGCTGTGCCCGCGGCCAGGTGGTTTTGACGTACACGCCAAACCACATCTTCGTCCCCACTGTCTACATGGCTACCGTTGGATCTGGAAGGATCTTTAGCGGAGCAAATCCCGCTTACGCCGAACAAGGTTGGTGGGACACATTCCCCATCGGTAATGATGCTGACGTGCCATAAGAGTTGTTGCACCAGCTGAAGGACACCGGAGCTCAGGTCCTCCTGGTGCATCCCTCCCTTGTCAAAACCGCAGTCTCTGCCGGCCAAAGAGCTGGTCTTTCTACCGACAGGATCTTCCTGTTCTCGGATGAGGTGCACAGTCCCGTTGGTGGGGTACGTGATTGGAGGGAAATGATCGGGTCGACCAAGCAGGCAGACAGCTATCAGTGGAAGCGTATGGCTGGACCTGAGTCCAGAGACACCGTGGCTACGGTAAACTACTCTTCCGGTACTACCGGTCTGCCAAAAGGAGTCTGCATATCCCACTCCAGCCTTATCTCGAATGCCGAGCAGGTGATATACATGCGCTACGCATTCAAGGAACGGACGACAGAAAGATGGACCGGGTTTCTACCCTTGTACCACGCCTATGGACAGCTCTATGCCAACATACTGGCCGTCAAACTGCACGCAACTGTGTACATCATGAAGCAGTTTGTTTACGAGGACTTCCTCCGTGTAGTTGAGACGTACAGGATCAATTCTTTGCAGGTCGCGCCGCCTATCCTGGTGATGATGAGCAAACGTCCGGAGACATCGAGATACGACCTCAGCAGTATCGAAGAGATCACGTGTGGCGCGGCGCCACTCTCCAAGGAATTAGCAGATGACATCGTCAGACGCTTCAATGTGACTCTGAAGCAGGGCTACGGCATGACGGAAACGACCTGTGCAGCCATTGTTATGCCTGGTGGAGCTGACCAGGTCGAAGACAAGTGAGCAACTCACCCACTACAGACTTTAAACAACGCTGACCAAGTTTGGAACAGTACCGGCTGTGTTGGCCAGTTGTGCCCAAACACTGATTGCGTCCTCCGGGATGATGACGGAAATGAGGTCCCAGCCGGTCAGCCTGGAGAAATGTACATTCGCGGGCCTCAGATTTGCCTGGGCTACTGGAGAAACGACCAAGCTAGCAAAGAAACTCTGAGTTCTGATGGCTGGCTGAGGACCGGTGACATTGCTGTGCAGCGGGATGGCTGGTTTTGGATTGTTGACAGGAAAAAAGTGCCCATAAATCCCCTCCGTACAGGAAAGTCTTCATCAAAAGTAGAATTGCTGACCGCCATATCATCTGATAGGAGCTTATTAAAGTGAATGGGCTGCAGGTGGCTCCGGCGGAACTTGAAGCCGTCTTACTCGAGCACGAAGACATCGCTGATGCTGCGGTTGTAGGCGTGACGTTGTAAGTCTTTCCCTCGCAGCCCCTTTTGCGCATGTTGACTGGGTCGGCAGACGTGGCGAAGAGTGGCCACGGGCATACGTTTCCCTGAAGGGTGACAAGAAGGGGAAAACGACGGAGAAGCAGATACAGGACTGGATTAAAGTCAAGGTTGCCAGATACAAGCAGCTGGCCGGCGGCGTATCGTTTGTCGATGAGGTGCCGAAGCTGCAGAGTGGCAAGATTATGCGCAAGGTTCTTAGGCAATGGGCGAGCCGCGATTCCCCAGCGTTGGAGGCCAGTGTAACAGCGAAGCTATGATCCAACCAAGGCAGTAAGTCAATGAGCTAGCGTAGTCTAGCTATATCATGTTTGGCCCCGTCGCAAGCCTGATTCCTACGGCCGTTTAAACAAAACCTCATTGTCTTGGGTATCCCTACTTATGCGCATTGCAGCTAAACCGATCCGAGGTTATTTTGAGCGTTGAGGTATTTGTCAAGCATGCAAGGGTTATGCAATAAACGAAGTCTGCATTCCCAATATTGGGACACAGCCAACGACGGATATGTAGCACCATCCCCAGAGCAAGTCTATTCGCTGAATTTAGTATATTGGAAGCTGAAATGGCACAATGCGGCACAGTTTAGCGGTGCTAGCAAGAGAGTAAGCACTCTAATTCAACTACGAAACTAGACTCGGGCCTGACTTTGTCGGAATTGGACGTAGACAGCCGGCAACACAAACCAACCAACCCGGATCGACACAAAATCTAGTCTATTGGCGCAAATTTTCTCTTGGCCCAGCTACGTTGCACCTTTTTTTTTTTTTTTGTTGGACCCAGAGCACAGCCAACAACGCCGTCCATGCACCTACGAAGTGCTTGTTGTTATTTCCAAACGCCGAGCGCCTGCATTTGCGCAGCCCATTCGGTTTCTTCCCTCGCCGGCAGTGAGAACGCTGCAGTCATTGGATCTGCTCATAAAGGGAGAAGGGGCCATGACTCTCACAGCTTCACTTGATATTTGTTCCTCAGCGCCTCTCCATACTTGACGAACAGAACCGGAATGGGTATCAATGCAATGGCGACGAAACCGAGCAAAGAGTTGCCCCAGCCCAGGCCAAGGGCCTTGTACATGGGCTGTCCGGCAAGGGGCACAAACGCGCCAAAAAGGGATCGCAAGACAGTGTTTGCGGCCATGGCAGATGCAGCGTGCAAGGTATAGACGTCTACGAGATACGTGTTCGGCGCCATCTATACAATGTTCGTCAGCATGACTTTCCAAGCTCGGGGACGTGGGACCACTTACGAAGATTAGCATCAAGCCGAATCCAATGAAACCGGTTCCAATAATGGGCACTATCCAATGCGTGTGCTTCTCAACAGTCCATCCGTACCAGAACAGTCCTATCGGCATCGCCGCTGCGCCGGGAAACATGAGCGGTAAGCGCTTTTCGGGGGTGAAGGTGCCTTTTGCAAGCGCACTGCGGACGCTCCGGTTGCCCCAGTAAGTATAAACCCATTGGCCGGTGACACTACCAATTCCAACTCCAAGGTAGCTCAGACCAGCGGTGCCGGTATTGAAGTTGTATTGCTCCTTGTAGACGAGAGTGAAAGTGGTGAAAAGGATGTAGAGGTAGGCATAGGCAACGGCGACGTATAGGGAGAGGAGGAACACGATGGGAGACTTGAAGAGCATCTTGGTGGGGCGTACAATGCTGAAGAAGAAGAGATCGCGGGGCGAGAGGCCGGTATCGAGCTTGCTACGAAGTGCCATATTCCCAGTCTCCTTTTTGAGGCGGCGCGTCTTGCGGTTGAGGATGGCGATGGCATATGTCTCGGACATGAGCATTGCACCAAAAAGGGTGACGACGGCAGCAGCGATGCTGACGACATTGAACGTCCAACGCCACCCAGCAGCCTGTGAGAGAAATCCACCTGACAGGGGACCTACGACAGGACCGATGCACGGGCCAGCGACCCAGATTGCCATTGCAGTGCCCCTTTGCTCGCGCGGGATCAAGTCTGCAATAGTTCCGCCACCTAGCGTTAGCGGGCTCGATCCGACACAGCCGGCCAGGAAGCGAAAAGCAATGAGCATGCCGAGGCTCGTTGATCGTGCACATGCTATGTTGAAGGCGACGAACAGAACATTGCATGTGTGGTAGAGCGGTAGCCTCCCGTACATCTCGGACAAGGGTGCAATGATCAGAGGGCCCACGGCAAAACCAAGAACGTAGACGGATACGACGAAGCCGGATAAAAGCTCGCTGGTCGAGTTAAACTCGGCCATGAGCTCGGGAACTCCTGGGGCGAACATGGACGAGGCCAGCGGAATGAGGAAGGTTATGAGAGACACGATGGCTATGGCACCCCACTTCTTGGATTTGGACCAGTTCATGGGGTTTTCCGGATCATTGGGACCGTCCCAGTCAACAAGGTTCGGATCTGGAGCATCTGGGGCGGGCGGCTGATCGGCGTCGGGATCATTGATGGAAGTGGCAACGGAAGCTTCGCTCTGCTTTTCCAGGTCGGCATCTTTGCTGAAGCGCGGAGCAACGGGGTGACGCTGCTCGGAACCGGGATAGATGCCCAGGTTGGTGGGAATATCTGCATCGTGGCCCTCTTCGGCAGCCAATTCTACCACATCGCTCTGCTCGGGAAACACGGCGCCCATGTCGTGACAGAGCGGTGGCGTCAGGCACTGACTGTCTTGTTGGGGGACGGAGTGGTGCTGAGGCGGTCGGCCAGTGAGGGCGGCGGATTACCGGAGGGCTGAGGAACTCGCGGGACCTTCTGGGCAGAACATGCAGCAAACAACAGGGCATAGACAGGAGGCATGCGGACCGACGATGGGACTTCTTGACACAAACAAACGGCAGCGCAAACAGTGGGACGGGGTTCGGGCGGAATTAAGGCGGCGCGACGAAGGGCTTAACGCCGCGCGGATTATGGACGAAAAGCAGCGGTCGGTCGGTCGGGGTGTCGGGCGGGGGTTCCAATGTTCCAATGGGTGGCTGCAGAATGGAATCCTCCTTTGCCAGATGCGGAGTGCGGCAGCCGGGTGGGGCTGCTGCAGGCGGGCCATGTGCCGGGCGAGGGTGGCACTTGTGGAGGGAGACATGTCCCCACGGAGCTCCGCCAATGGCGCAAGCGAAGTAGCGGGGCCCCAGCATCGTCGGATGTGGCTGGCGGGCGAGCAGGAGAGCGGACGACGGGAGGTTACCTAGCGAACGGAGAGAACGGAGAGAACGGAGGGATGGTGGGCAGTCACGGGCAGTAGGCAGTGAGGGGCATAGCGCTGCAAGAAGGAGCGTTGCACTGCAGCCGAGGTCATCCCAGCTCCCAGCTCCCAGCTCCCGGCTTTCCTGCAGCCAGGTCGCGGTTTCCGCTGGTTTCGGTGGCGCCTCGCGCCGATCTGAGCTTGCCGTCCGCTGCGCTCCTGTCGCTTCTCGCAGTAGTCCCTATTGCATTCGTTGTATTGATGACTCGCTTTCCGCCCCCTCGCCTGACCCTCTTCCGACTCACACCCGGATGACTATCTTCCCAATCTCGCTTTGCTTCTCCAATCTGGCAAATGCCTCCGCTGCCTGTTCGAACTCAAATTGCACAGCCACCGCCGGCCGGACCTGATGCTCCTCTACGAATCTCACGAACCGCTCGTTCATCACCTTGCTCCCGGCCCCCAGAACTCCCCTGACTGCGCCCACTGTCAGCAGACATCGCCTCTTGCCTACCAGGAAAAGGACACTTACTCGTCTTTGCCCCGAAGAGGATCGCAGGAATGAGATCAGCCTGCTGTTTGGGCTCCGTCAAAATGCCCAGCACCGACACCAGCCCGCCCGTTCGTGCACTGCGCAGCGACTCCTCGATTGTCCCGGCACCGCCAACATCGACAACGTGGTCCACCCCACGCCCGCCCGTGATGCGCAGTACCTCGTCTGCCCACTTTGGCGTCTTTCGGTAGTTGATGACATGCGTTGCACCCAGCTTCTTGGCAACCTCCAGCTTCTCATCCGTTGACGACGTTGCGATCACCGTAGCACCTGCAGCCGACGCAAGCTGGAGACCAGTCAATTAGCTTTACATGCTCCCCGAGAAAGGCCTGCCGACTTACTTGGATGGCGAAGCAACTCACTCCGCCCGTCCCCTGAGTCAAAACCGTGACCCCTTTGGCTGGCTTTCCAACGCCGCCTGGTCCTTCGAAGAGGGCGTTGAACGCCGTGAGGCCCGCACAACACATGGTTGCCGCCTCTGCATCAGTCAAGCCCTTCGGCGCTTCGAGGATTCTCTCATCATCCATCACCATGTATCGGACCAACGTGCCGTTTGTCTCTGCACCACCCAAGGTGGCATCGAGATCAAAGCCATCGCCGACATCGCCGTCGATCCAAGTGTTGACGTTCACAACCACCGATGCCCCGATGCGATCGCGCCACTTGGACGAGGCGCCAGCGGCGACCAGGGTGCCGGCTCCATCACTGCATGGAATGAGGTTTACCGCTGCCCGCCTAGGGTATGCTGGGCTGTGCTGCAAGATGAGGCTGTCGCGGAAATTGAGTGAAACTGCCGTGATGCGAATGAGCGCCTGGTCCGGCCCGGGTGTCGGCGTCGGAAGAGCTAATTGTGTGAGCTTTGACGCACTGGAGATCACCCAGGCGACATTCTGGTCCTTGTCTACCATTATACTTGGGGGGTACTCTTGCAGTGAGTGGCTTGGGGGCTTGGAAAGGTTGGTCTGGCTCTGGTCTGGCTCTCCAAGTGCATTGTCCAGTGCCCTGCCTTTATATTTGCAAACACACAACTGATCCTAATCCGCTCAATTTCTAAGCAACCTGCTGCCACCGGCCGTCGGTGTGAGGCGGCAGATATCGCGCCATTCGAGCTACAGTACTCTTCCCTTGAAGACATGAGTGACAGTCGGGTTTGGCTTACAAATCACCCCACTACATCAGACGGAGACCAATGAACCCCCCGTTTTGTTATCAGCCAGCGGTTCGACCACTTGGTGCTAACATGACGGACGAAATCTTTCGGTATGGGCTGCTGTGGGCTCAGCTACCCTGACAAATCACCTCAGTCAGACGCGGAATGGTCACCTGTGGGTCCACTTGTTTTATAGGCAACTACGAGAAGACTTGCCTTGCATTACGAAGCAACTCCGCGATTCCGCAAATGCAGCATTCGCCAACGGCGATTATTCCGCGTCGTTCCTTGGCATTCAGACACATGCTGGCTGCACAAACACCGTCTCCCGCATTTTTCTTGATGTTTCCCGGATTGGACACGCGAGGTCTGTTGATTCCTTCATAACTCGCATATCCCCTGAGTATAAGCGATTCTTGGAAGAAGAAAGTATACGGTTTAAGACCTAGCGAGGCTCCCATCATGCGACCTAGACAGTGGAGGTATCTACCTCGATGCTGTCTTAGATATTAACATCGATGCCGACAATCGATTAACTTGAAGGGTGGGGTCTATGTAGGATCGGCGGTCAACTTTCAGAACCGGTTTAAAAAACGCTGCAGCATCAAGTATGGATCGATTCGCGACGATGAGGCGAAACGAATGTGCCTCTTCGTCGCTACGTCGAAAGCAACCACAATAATGAACTTTCGCCCCCTTATAGTGTACGAAGAGGAAGAGATCAGAACACCATCCTATTCCGTTTCAGAAAGTATTTGTATGGTGGATACCGAGGAAGATTCGTTACAGAAGAGTCACTCCGCCTCTATCAACATTCAACAAGGCATTGGAAAGCTCCGCTCCAGGAGACATGTTTTACCAACTGTGAAATGACCCAGAAGCAAGTGCAGGCAAATTCAGCTACGTTCCACCCCAAGCACTTCCAGAGCAGTCACGTATTGGCAACTTTTTGGTGTTCGGCTTGTATCGTATACTTCTCCATACACGAGACTGTCCGCTCTCGCTGTACGATCTCAATACACACGACTCCCAAGCCGAGCAAGTGTCCAGATTGCAACAGGTCGAAAAAGCAGCTGGACTCGGAAGAGCGAGGGATGTGCCGCATGTGTTTCGAGTCCAAATACCGGCCAAGGAAGGAGAGTAAGCCGGCGAGGAAGATGAAAAAGTGACTTGTGGAGAACTTCCAAGGCAGGCGCTTGAATGCATCATGGCGGGCCATTCTCAGGGTCCACAGTCCACAAGATAGGCCATCTTCGACGCTGACTCGGTTGACCGGGATGTCATGCGTTTCAGTAGCTTCGGTACAGTGGGTGACGAAAGAGATTGACCCACCTACATGAGCAGCGGAATCTTACATGTGGAGGCGTTTGCAATGTTCTAATACTCGCATCTGCATCCGGATACCTGCTTCAGCTAATGATGAAGAAAGGTCGTTTAAACGTACATCTACGTCGGTATACTTGCTTCAACTACCCACACGAAGGATCGCCGTACGTCAATTTCTTTTGTCACCCACTGTGCTGGGAGGGCTCTCGGCCTTTCTTCGACTAACTCTAACACAATAAGTGCCTATTCAATGGAACCATTTCCCCAGTTTTCAGTGCATGTGCTGGACCGGCATGGATTCGTATGCGTGGGACCTTGGTGATCGGCTCAGGCAGAGTATGCAAATACTGATATGTTGATATCATTTGCAAGGAGTGTGGGTTGAAGCGGGCTGGTATTGGCAATGTGAGAAGATACATACAGTCATGAAAGCATCCAAAGCCCTTAGTAATCTAGGTTTAGACGCACGGCAGGTGTAGTGCAACCCACTGTTCTAAATACAGGTCACCGAGCGCTGTGAGGGAGAAGGTTTGGGACTGAGGATCAGGGCAAGCGCCAACCAAGACAGTCACAACGACTTATTCGGCATATTACGCTAGGCCAGGATAGCGGGGAATCTTACTAACAAAAGCTAGATCGCTCGTGGCTTTCGGGTCGAAGGTTTCTCGGGGCCTCAATGGCAACCATGCAGTCAAGGGAGCACAATCTGTCAGATTACTGTCCCCCGCCCCCCAGTCTGATGCTGGTGTGCGCAATGCCGGGATTGAGTGCAGCTGCTTGGATGATGCACGTACCAGAGCGATATGCGGAGAGGCGAGCTTGTTTGATCCTGAGGAAGGTGGGTCAGCGCCCTTGACGACATTTTCTCTGCCGGCGACACGAAGATGGACCAATCAGGCTCGCGGGTCGCGGCCGGGGTTGATGATCTCATCGGTTTCATCAATAATAATGGCCATGTGGGCAAAACCGTTTCGGAGGGATGCAGCGGCAAGAGTGGTATCCTGTCACCTGTGATCCGGCTGCCTGGTTCGCGCCTCTGGTGCTGGGATGAAGAGGATCTGCGTCGAGTGGGCCCATGAGACAACGGCTCTTTTTTACTGATCTCACGCCGTGTCTGAACACAGTCGGCATGCGTCACGAAGCTCGCGCGCCGCGGACGATGAATGGCTGCAGGCCGCGGGCGCCGCAGCTGAAGACGGGCGGCGTCCGGGCCAGCGTCCGGGCCAGCTTCCAGGTTCCGCGCAGCGTCGAGCATGCAAAGTCGGTCCGAGCGGTGTTCGCCAGCCACCAGCCACCAGCAGCGAGCAGCGTCATCGCTCGCGTCCTCGCTCGCGTCCTCGCTCGCGTGAGGTCCTCGTCAGGCCTTGGCCGGCAGTCGGCGCAGCAGGGCAGGCGCAGGCGACCAGCGCGACGTGCCGCATGCGTCCGCTGGCGTCCGCAGGCGGAACATTTCTGAGCGGCCATCGTCAGCGGGTGTCGCAATGCGCATCCAGAGGAACCGCAGACGCAATGCGCGCGCATCAAGGAGCGCGGCGCTGCATGATTTCGTAGGGTGATGTCATGGGCGAGGGCGGACCAACGGCCGGGCTTCAGACCCTGCAGCGCCCGCCCTCGGTGATCTGTGGAGGCGCATCGTCGCGTCCACGGCACGCCCGTCAGCTGGCACACTGTGCACTGGGCCGGCGCAGCGCGAAAGCGCGAAAGCGCGAAAGCGAGAGTTTCCTGGCGGGTGGGCGCGCGGCGGCATGGACGCAGCGTCGCCAGCGTCGCCAGCCGCGGTCAGGCCGGCGCTGCTAACCCACGCGTGGCGTCGCGGCCAGCCTGCTGCGCGCTGCTAGTGGCCGTGCCATGGACGCGACCCTGGCCGCCTGCTGCGTCGTCTGCCCTCTCTGCAGTGCCGCTGGATGCCGGACGTAGACCCAAATACTCTCGGCCCCCGGGAGCCTCACTGCGCGCGCTGCTCTCCTCTCCCGCGCTGCTAGCCCTGCTCGCCAACCCTGCTCGTCCGCTCGCCTGCTCGCCTGCTCGCCCGTGTCAGCACCGCAATCCCGCGCGTCGTCATAGCCCTCACCGACGAGCGCCCTCATTCCACCGAGCCGCAGCGTGAAACGGAGCGCAATCTGGCAACGATGCCGATGATCGAGGTGAGTGCGAGTCCCAGCCCGATGCCCTGGCCCGATCCCATCCTGCGGCCCGCCCGCACAGCAGTGCGCGACAGAGCCAAGGGGCGACCGGCGCGAGGTGAGCGCGGCTTTGACGTCTGGAGGCGCGGGCGATTGGCTGGGCCGGGCTGGGCCTGAGCAGCCCAGAATGCAGCCGCGAGCCTGCCCTTCGGCCCTGTCGATGTCATCTCGTGCGCCTAATCGCACCTTCCTGGTGCACGTCATACCTAGCCACCGCCCAGCTTGAGCTCGTCCCTCGCGCGTCTTTGTCACCTTCCCTCCCCCCAGCTGCACCCGCAATTCGCTCGCAGCGCCCGCTTCCACGCCCAAACGCTCTACCTCGCTGCACAGCTCCCCAACGCCTCTCCCACCCGCCTGCCTTTGCGCTACTCCCTCCGCTATATTCTCCGCCGCTTCAACCGTCCATTGCCGTCGCGCCCTGCGACGAGTCCAGCTCACTGAACCATGGCCGCCATACAGAATTTCAAGAACTTCCTCCGCCATGGCAAGCAGGCCCGCGCCACGCACTCGCCGCATGCTGAGCCCACCACCAACGTGTCCCCCGTCCACGCCCAGCAACAGCGTTACAACAACTACACGTCGCCCCCGCCGCCCGAACACCATGCCATCACCGAGCCCAACGTGATGGAGCACAAGCCACTGCACGCAAACGTCCCCGCAGCAGATTATTCAGCCGCCGCCGTCAACAACCAAAACCAGGCCGCTCGCGCAGGAGACGCCGCCGCCCGCGCCGCTGCCGACCACCACAAGGCACAGGCCGCTGCCAAGGCCAAGAAAGAGATCGACCCGCAGGTCCTCGAACGCATTGTGGCCGAGGAGCGGGAGCAGAAGGGCAAGCTGCCGCAATACCCCGGCCTGGAGCGATGGATTCTGCTTGAGAAGATGGGCGACGGTGCATTCAGCAACGTCTACCGCGCAAAGGACAGCCAAGGCCAATATCCCGAGTCGGCCATTAAGGTGGTCAGGAAATTCGAGATGAACTCCAGTCAGGTATGTGGCATCCTTGCAAGTTTTTTTGCTTTTCCTCTCTCGTCTCTCCTCTGCACGTCACGTGTGTTTGGTCGTACCGTCCGCTTCTGCCCAGCTACGCTTTTCGTCCCTCTTTTGCGCGATTACGTAGCCAACGCGGTGGATGCCTAGGGCGACAAACACCTCCATCCGGATTTCAAGAAGGCCCCCAAGACTGTGGAGGTTCGCACTCCTCCCATACAAGTCATCGCCGCCGCCACCACCTCCATTTTTCCCTTCTGTACGTATCTTGTGGTGCATGACAGGCGCTGACTCCCAGTCGCAGAGAGCCAACATCCTTAAGGAGGTGCAGATCATGCGCCAACTGGACCACCCCAACATTGTAAAACTCATCGACTTCTCCGAGTCTCGACAGTACTATTACATCATCCTCGAGCTGTGCCCCGGTGGCGAACTCTTCCACCAGATTGTTCGCCTCACGTACTTCAGCGAGAATCTTTCTCGACACGTGATTATCCAAGTCGCCAAAGCATTGGAATATTTGCACGAAGAGGCCGGTGTTGTCCATCGGTACGTTGTTTCGCGTTCCCTTTGCTCCTGTGTTGGCCCTACGACAGCTGACGTCATACTCCCAGTGACATCAAACCTGAGAATCTGCTCTTTTACCCCGCCCCCTTCATTCCGACCAAGACCCCCAAGCTCAAGTCTACCGATGAGGAAGATAAAGTTGATGAGGGTGAGTTCATCAAGGGTCACGGCGCTGGCGGCATCGGCACCATCAAGATCGCCGATTTTGGCTTGTCCAAGGTTATCTGGGACAGCCAGACTATGACGCCATGCGGTACCGTCGGTTACACCGCCCCCGAAATCGTGAAGGATGAACGCTACTCGAAGAGTGTTGACATGTGGGCCCTTGGCTGCGTGCTTTACACTCTACTTTGCGGTTTCCCGCCTTTTTACGACGAAAGCATCCAGACGCTGACAGAAAAGGTCGCGCGCGGCCAATACACTTTCCTGTCGCCCTGGTGGGATGAGATTTCTAAGCCTGCGCAAGACCTCGTTTCTCACCTGCTGACCGTGGATCCCGAGAAACGTTACGACATCAAACAATTCCTCAACCACCCATGGATTCGCGAGTCGGAAGAGGAGACGCAGGCCGCCGCGGACGCACCGCCACTCGCAACGCCTCTCCTCAAGAAGCAGCCTTCGGAGCAGTCAACCCTGCAGCCCAACTACGCTTACTTGGACGATGTTCCCAGCGCTGGTGGTAGACGCATGGACTTCCGCTCGCCAGGTGCTGTCAACCTCCGTGAAGTGTTCGACGTCAGTTATGCCGTGCACCGGCAAGAAGAGGAGGGCAAGCGACGGAAGAACTTCAAACAGGGCTACCGTGGCGGGAATGCGATGACCAGTCTCAACGTGCTCGACGAGGAGGACATGTACGATGACGATGAAGATGGACAGAGTGCGCCATTTGCAGCGAACCAGGCGGATCCTCCGGCGAAACTGCCCAAGAGTCAAGCCGCTGACGTCAGCGCCATGGAACAAAAGATGAAGAACACTACCCTGAGCGCAGCGGCTCAGGCTAGGCAGCAAGCCGGGACTGCGACACAACAAAAGGGCTATGGACAGCATTCTCCTGCCGTTGCTGCTGCTGCACGCCGCCAGGTTCGGAGTAAGGGCGCGTTCGAGCTAAGCCTGGATAACGCAACCTTACTCAGCAAAAGACAGAGGAAGCCCGAGCCAAGTGGTCTGCGGGAACAGATCGCTGCGACCGGACCGTGATCATGTCGAATGGTTCGCGTTGCTTCGCAAATCCAACATTCGATAAGCAATCAGACACGTAATGAGCAGTTCTGGGTAATAGACTTTTCAGTGGACTGGAAGAATCTCGGGGGCTTCCAGTCGTCGGTTGGACAGGCTGAGCGTTGCAAGATTCGAGGATGGATAGACAAAGCACTCAGCCACATGTTTTTCGTACTCAGGAGTTCGTGTACCGCCATTGGGCAGGTTCTGGCTGCGCTTGGCATTTTCCTCTCTATTTTCCACACGCGATGTTTGTTTTTCATGGCTGATGCAGCAGACGAAATGGGGCAATGAGGCGGGGAAACAAAGATTTCCAGAGGATTGGTTTGCGCGTTCCTTGTTTTCGAGCATATTTCATTCCGTCCAAGATGGTAGTTTCCTTTTTCCTTTCGATATTCCCTACATGGGGGCGACAGTTTCACATCGCGTTTCAAAGCGCATGGATGTTGCCTGTCATGGCCCGCTTGCGGGCTGGAGTTCGCCAATTCATTGCATCCAATATTTATCAACCTAGCGTCCGTGGTGCTCTCGACAGGCAAGAATCTGTTACCAACCGTTGTCACGATATTGAAAAGCGACGGCCTGGTCAAGAGCTGCCGATCAATTACGTGTTCAGACGGAATCAGTAGGCTAGCTCACGGGTAAGAAGAAGCGATTCAGACCGCAAGGATTTCGCACGCGGTTTGAGGAATTTGTTGAGTGCTTTGTAAAATCCCATGGCTTTCATACCCAGACGGTGTGTAGCGCTAGCAAGCGATGACGGCACATCAACACCGCCCCGCCGTTTGCGCTGAGGAGACTCAAGAAGATTGAAAGTGTCAGTGAACGAAGGGCCATCAATCATCTTCGTACAAAGTCAGCACGTGCGTGTGTCGTAATCGAGACCGGTGAACCACTTACCTGAACTCCCGCTTTGCGCCTGTGTTTCTCTCTAGGCGTCTCCTCTTGGCCTCATCTTGGTACCCGCGATCCTCTATCTCCTCTTTTATCTCGTGATCGATCTCCTTCCGTGCGCGCAGGACTTCGTTGAGCTTCGGGTAACGCTTCATGCCGACGACCGGGTGGGCCTGTATGCAACGCAGCTGTTCCTCACAGCGGGCCACCGTGTTCTCGAGGTCCTTGCGCTCGTAGCCTTTGGGGTGTGACAGCCTTTTGCTGTTGAGCTCGGGATATAGCAAGCCATTGCCGTTCCCGACGCCCTCGAACGCTTGTCTGTAGGGGACGAATGTCGGAAGGTCGTCGTGGAGCTCGGCCTCGACGCTCAGCGCCGTTTCGTGGCACCAGGCGCGGGCAACGTTGCGGGGCGTGTAGCCGCCGCCGCCCAAGATCAGCAAGGGCAGACGGAAGGATTTGACATACTCTACGCACTTGCCATGGGCGCGGATGTTGAGGTTGAATTTCCCAAGACGGTCGCCGCCCAGGCTGTCGGCACCGCACTGCAGCACGATGGCTTCCGGTTTGAAGATTTCAACGGTGCGGCCGGTGATGCGCTTGAAGAGCCACTCGTAGTCGCGGTCGTCGATGCCGTCGTCCAACGGCACGTTTAGCGAAAAATATGCCCCGGGTTCGGAGTAGCCCTTGGGGCCTGAATCGTCGGGTCCGCCAGTGCCGGGGAAAAATTCGCCATACTTGTGGTACGACAGAGTCATGACGCGGTCGGTGTTGAAAAAGGCGGCCTCGACGCCGTCGCCGTGGTGCACGTCGATGTCGATGTACAAGACGCGGACGTGCTTCTCAAGTAGATGTTGGATGGCAAGCACGATGTCGTTGACGTAGCAGAAACCAGAGGCCTGGCGTTTTTTCGCATGATGCAAGCCGCCAGACCAGCTGATGGCGATGTCGCTCTGTCTACTGCTCACCGCGTGTGCGGCTTCCAGCGTGGCGCCGGTGTAAAGCGTCACGTAGTCCCAGATGCCATCGAAGATGGGGCAATCATTAAACTCGTCAGTGAAGTCGTAGCGGTTAAGCTCCTCCTCGTGGCGTTTTTGGGTTTCGGTGTCGGATTTGATGTACTGCAGGAAGTCGAGGTAGTCGTTGTCATGAAAGCGAGAGATTGCGTCCTTGGTGGCTGGTAGCGACTCGTTCAGGTCCATGGCGTAGTGAAGGCCGTATCCAAAGACCAGCTGCTTGGTCAGCTGTAGCCGCCATGGCTTCATGGGGTGCTTGCTGCCAAAGTGGTGCTGCTCCACCTCTGGGTTGTAGTGGAAGGAGACGGTGTAGCCTTGCGGCCGCTCGATGCCATTCTGTTCGGCTTCCATCTGGTGAACCCGCTCTTTTTCTTCCGGGGTCAGTTGCTTGTACGTCATGTACTCGACGCTTGTCGAGAGTGGCGATGGATCTGGTGCCACCCAAGCCTGGACGATCTCGTTGTTGTTAAACGCCATATTAATAGCTTCGATGGCCCGCAAGAGGCCTCGGATGCCTGTCTCTCTCACGAGTGGCCAAGCAAAAAGTGAGCCAGGGGTTTGCTGGTCCCAGCCCCAGCCCTCAAGTTCCTGGAAATTTCCTCAGCCTGCGGTGCAGACGGGACTTGGCAGAGCGTGACTTGCGGACGGTTGATTCGGCGAAATAGGGCCTATACGACCGGACGGAATACGGTGGTAGTGGAAGGTGGGCAATAATGCAGTAGTGACGGCCAGCGAAGACTCGTGCGCGACTGGCGGTAGCGCGGTTGAGGTGGGCGTTGGAGATGCGATAGCGATGATGGGTGGGATCTGGGGATCGATCCGAAGTGCAACGAGATTGGCGGACCGCCAACAGACCCCGGCTGCGTACTGCCAAGCCGTCATTACTCAGCGCAGCTAGAGTCACGTGGTAACGCCACCGCTTGGAGCTGTCGCGGACCAGCCAGCCCAGCCCTGCACCTGCAACGACGATCCATCGAGGTTCAACCATTAGCCCTACTTCGAACGCAACCCCGAGTGCAATCCACTTGACCGGGTCGACGCAACGCAGCCTGCTACCGAGTGCACATCCGTCTCACTCGAAAATTTGAACCGCCGCAAGAGACGTAGTTGCCACGGCCAACCTCATTCCTGCCGCACCCCGCAGAAATCGCAGCAGTTTTGAGTTGCTGCGTGTGCACTCGTGGCTCTAGCCGGGGCCTGTCGCATTAGCTACAACCATGGCTCTAGCTGAAGATGCCGCCTCCGTGCTAGAGCTCTTCATTCACGATGGTGGGTGCTCTTGACACGGCGCGTCGACGACGAACTAAGTTTTGCAGTGGCCAATCTACCGGCAGAAATAACCCATTTGTATGAAGAAATGCAGGCAAAGGAGCAGCAGATCCAAGCATGCAATAACATCATCGACGCTCGCGACGGCAGTCTGCAAAAATTCGTGAAGCTCAACGGCAGCTTGGTCAAGAATCCCAAGGAGGAGCCGTACAACAAGTTGATCTTACAGAACTACGAGAAAGCCCAGACGCTTCAGGATGAAAAGGTCCATCTGGCGGAGAAGGCGGCTCAGCTGGTAAGTCTGTCTGGGGAAAGTCGACTTCGAGGACGGAGCTGACACGGGCGAAGCTGGATCGTCACGTCAAGCGGCTGGATATCAAGATACGCGATCTGACCAACGATGGATCCATACCGCATGATCCCCAGCTCCCGTCGCTCTTGCGCGACTCGCCGGGGAACCTGGTTGCACCCACGTCTTCGACAGCCACAGGGACAAGCACGCCTTTGAATCCGCTCTCTATTAACGCCCATGCAGGATCACAGCAAATAGCCAATGCTGCCATTGCGCGCCTGGCAAGTGCCGCCGGGCAGACGCGGAGTTTGAGTTCTCCTGCAATGGGTGGCTCGGGTTCGACGATTCTAAATCAGACGCACATGTCCAACGCGTCGGCAATAGCCGCCATGTCGGCCAACAACAGACAACGCGAAATGTCGGTTGGCAGCGACAGCAAACGCCGCCGTCTCAACGCATCGCTCGGCTCGCTCCCCTCGGCGAGCTCGTCCCTAGCCAGGCAGTCGTCGATAGGGCCTGGGACGCCCAAGGCGGGGACGCCTGTCGGCAGCCGGGCGGGCAGCCTGGGGCCGCGGCCAAGCACGAAGAAAAACACAAAGACGGTGCTGCCGGGCAAGGCGAACAGGAAGAAGATTGGCAAGGCTGGCATGTCGAAGAAGTCGGCGCGCAGGCTCATGGGTGGATCGCGGGCATCGCCGTCGACAACGGGCGATGATGAGAGCATGCTCAGCGACGCAGAGGTGTCGGACGAGGACGCATCGGCGCTGGGGCACGACGGAGCCGCAGACGACGACCCGATGGATCTGGAGGAGGACGCGGACGACACGCAGTACTGCATCTGCGAACGCGTCAGCTTCGGGGACATGGTGGCGTGTGACAACCCCAAGTGCGAGATCCAGTGGTTCCACTGGGAGTGCGTGGGGCTGACGCAGGAGCCCAAGGGCGAATGGCTATGCCCCATCTGCGACCCGAACTCCAAGTACGACAAGAAGAAGAAGAAGCTGCGCTAAGAGCGAGGCAGGCCGAGGCAGACGGAGGTGCAATAATGGTGCAATGGGGCTGGCGATCCTGCCTCGCTTGGCGCAAGGGCGGCGGGACTGAGGCATGCTTTCTGGAAGGCCGGGCGGCGCCACAGAGGGCGGCACAGGCGCGGGACAGGCGCGGGACAGGCCCGCGGCACCGCAGACGCGCCGCCGGGGGCCCAGCAGCAGCAGCAGAGGGGCGGGCGCGCAGTAGCTATCTTATCGAGCAATACGAAGCGTGGAGAAATACGGCCTGCCCGTCGCGCAGCTCTCTGATGTGCCGCTAGCTCCCGGGGCGAGGGTGCAGCGGGCGGCTTTGCAGCGAGGATTGCGGCAGGGATCCCCAGCAATTTCCATCTAGCGCGCCTGACCGTCCTGGGCCGGCGACGGCCTCGCCCATCTCTCCCCTTTCACTCTCCTCCCTCTACTGCTGCACCGTCCCGAAGCGCCGCCCGCCGCTGAAGATTGACGCGCAGTAAGCATAAACCCGCCGCCGACTCGCTCCTCCCTCAGGCGCCGCACTCCCATTGGCTGTTGCGCCACCAGCAAGCGCCCCTGACGCCGCGCCGCTGCCCTTCGACCTAGCTCCGCCCAGCGCGCCGGCCAGACGCCTGCGCCAACGCCAAAAAAGTGCACAGGGGCCTGCCACCCCGTGGAGCACCCCCTTCTGGTCGTGAGCGACAGCTTCGCGCAAGCTCAGTCCCTGCGCACTTGAACATCGCATCGCAATTCCTGCACATCCGCCGTTGCAACCGCGCTACCGCCTGCTACCGCCTGCCACCGCCTGCTGCTGCTGCAAGCGCCCGCAAGTGCAAGTTGTTTGTTTGCTTGCGCGCAGCCCCCAGCCCCCAGCCCTCGGACGCCTCGAGTCCGCCTGCCGAACCATCTCCCTACTACGCCCTACGTCCTGCGCCCTACAGCCTGCGCCTCACGTCCTGCGCCCTCCGTCCCATCCGCCCTGTATCACGCGAGCCTCACCGCCGCCGACACATGTCGCCGCGCTCGCGATAGCACTCGCTCCCCGAATACTCGTCTCTCGTTTTCCACCCCGGGCCTCGAACGCCGCTCAGCGCGTCCGTTGCCCGCTTCGCTCCCATGGCTGCTCGCAGCGGGACGCTCTCTCCCATCTCCGTCGACAGCGCCAACGATTGGTCCCCTGTTTCCAAATACAACGCTGTTGGCAGCGGCGACAGTGCCTACTCGCCCAGCGTGCCCCCGACGCCGCGGAACCAGCTCATAACGCCGCCGACCTCTGTCACCAGCTCCACTGACGGCATGATTCCCAATGGCCTCGGCCGCCCCCCGACGTCCAACGGTCAACCATCGCCGCCTAGCTCCATCGCCCGTTCGAGCACCGGCGATGGCCTGTACGCCGGAAGCCAGCACGATCGGGAAAGCATGAGCAGTCGCAAGGCTCTGATGATCGAGGAATCGCTGGCTGAACACTACCACGTATTGAAGATCTACCTTGGCCGTTACCTTCTCGACGAAAAGGGCAATCTGCGCCCCAACCGCGCCAGGGACAAGCTGCTCCGCCTTTCGTCCGTTCAGTTCCAAGAGCTCAGCACCGACGTCTACGATGAGTCGCTTCGTCGCGAGGACGAGCGCAAGCGAGGTGGTCCCAATGCGCCGGGCAATGACACTCCCAAATCCCTCCCGCCCAAGGACAACTACCACCCAAAGCGCAATCAGGCCCGCCAAAAACTCTCCACGCTGCCCATCGACCGCTTCCGCCAGCTCGCAACCGACGTCTTCTATGAATTGGAACGTCGCTTTCCGCGATTTCGGGCCGAGGCGGAGGCGCGCCCTACAAGCCCTACCGGCAGCATAGCTAGCAACCGGAGTCGCGGCCCTGGGAGAGGCCCAATACCAAGTACTGGCAGCATGGGCAGAGGGCCGCCGCCTCCTGGATACCGTGGACCTCCTCCCGGACCAGGTTATCGAGGCCCTCCCGGCCCTCGGGGTCCTCCCGGCCCTCGGGGCCCTCCTGGTCCCGGCGGCGAGTTTGGGCGTCCCTTGCCCAAGACGTTCCAATCAAACACCATCGTGCCGAACAAAGGAACCATGGTAGAGGATGATGATGATGATAACAGCGGAGCAGAAGAGGACGACGACGACGACGCTTTCGGCCTTGAGGATGCAGCAAGAAGATCAAGCAAGCGGACCACGAACAAGAGCATGGTCAGCGTAAGTCAACCCGCGAATGAAGACCACCCTCGGCTCAAGGTTTACTAATCTCCCACAGGAAAAACTCATTGCGGACCTTACGGCTCAGGTCGAGCAATTGCAAGAGAAGGCAGACGGCCTCGAAGACCAATTAAGAGAACGCGACGAGGAGGTTGAGAAGCTCAAGAGTGCTGATAATAATGGGGGAAATGTTTGTGTCCCTCAGATTTCAGGAGAAGAACGCGAACTGACTTTGGCCCAGGCTGCAGACGGTGACAAAGCGGACCTGGAACGTAAGTTGGAAGAGGCTCAGAGCATCAGTGATTCGCTCAGGTCCGAATTGGAGAAGACTCGCAACGACGCGTCAGAAACCGAACGCGAACTTCGCGCTCAGCTTGAAAGCGGTGGCATTTCAGGCGGCTCTGGAGACAACGACTGGGAGCAACGATACAAGCAACTTGAACGCGAACTCGAGGAACAACAGCAAGTTACCGATGAAGTCCGGAGGGAAGCGTCACAGTTCTTGCAAGAGATGCGGGCGCTTTCAGAGCGAAGTAATGCATCTTTGGAGAAAGAAGAAGGGCTTGTGGCCGAGATTGCAAGGCTTGAAGCCGAGGTCAAAGAATGGAAGACGCGATATGCCCGTTCGAAGACCCAGGTACGCCACCTGCGAGCGTCGTCGACGGGCCTTGCAAATCTCACCGAGGACGCCTCAGTCTACGCCCGGGATGGCACCCTTGTGCAGCCTGACGGTCTCATCAAGGACGTCCATCTCACAAAATTCCAGCTCAGCATCGATCAATTGCTGCAGGCTGCTCGCAAGTCGAACGCTGAGGCCGTTCTCGATTGCATGAAGGAAACTGTATCCTGCGTCAGAAGCATGACCGCAGACGTCGATGCCGCCGGCTCACCTACGAGTGATGACGGGGAGGATTCCGCCAAGAGACAGCACAAACTCAAGTCTCGCGTCTCTGCTACCGCGAATAACCTCATCACCGCCTCCAAGAACCACGCTGCAGCTCTGGGGCTTTCTCCTGTCTCTCTGCTCGATGCTGCTGCGTCTCACCTGACAACTTCCATTGTCGAGCTCGCAAAAGTTGTCAGGATCAGGCCCACTCAGCCTGGCGAAGAAGACTATGAGAACCTCGAAGTCAGGTCCAGCCGTCTCAGCGCCAACTACTATGGCAACGGCTCCAGACACACCAGAAACGGCAGCAATCTCAGCATCGATTCTGCAAGGTACAGCCGCAGTGGCACGAGCTCCCCACGCCCTTGGTCGGTACGTCGGTCTGAAGGTCCCAATGGGATTTTGAAAGGCTCCAATATCAACACTGTGCGCGAAAGCAGCGGTCTTGAAGAGATAAAGAACTACTTGGAAGACCAAACAACCGACCTCGTGAACAGCATTCAACCTCTTGTCCAGGAAATTCGAAGCACCCCGGCCGGAGCCGCTTTCCCGCCCCAAGCTGAGCAAAACATTGAGCATTACATCAACGACATCAACCGCACCGTCTACGACATTGGCTTCAAGACACGCGAGGCCGTGAGCAACACACGCAACAGCGCACTGGCCAAGCACGCCACGCCTGTCACTGAACTGCTCGAGGAATGCCGTGAAGGTCTGCTTTCTGCGCTCCAGGAGGACGAGGCTGGCAAGAGAGAGAAAATTCCCCCTCTGGCGTTCAAGATCGCAAGAGCAACCAAGGTTAGTGCTTGCCACGCATAGTTTTTCCGGCGTTTTGATACTGACGACAGGTGATAGGAACTCGTCCTGCGGGTTGAGAGGATTGACAACCGCGAACTGACGGCTGACATGACCGTTTCGAACGAATTCTAAGCGTCCCCGTGTTTGATTGATTTGCCGTCCCGTTCCTCTGCTGGAGGACTTTCATTTTCTTAGTCTTGGTGCATCCATGTCAGCGTAGGGACCACGCCCTAGGGCTACCCCCGCTTTTGGCTTCTCTCAACTTTCTTTTGCATTTGGTAATCACATGGCGGCTTTGCTGGCATTTTCAGCGCTGGTTGGCTCGGTGGGGCGCTAGCATCTCCTTCTGACGGGCTCGTTTTCTTTGCGGAAAACAATTTCTTTTCTTTTTTTTTTCATTCGTCAGAGCCCAGTAACGTAGAGGGGCACTCTTCGACCTGTACTTTGATACCATTTTGCCGCTTCGCTTCTTTTGCCGTCATGACCACGGTCGTACTCAAGCATTTTGCTTTAGGATTCCTTTTACGCTGGTCATAGACCATCTCTCATTGGGTTACAGGGTCAGCCGTCGTCTGTATAGGGCTGCTGTACCTCGGCTTCAGTATTTCTTTATCACCTGTATTAACGCAGATCGCAGTGCGCGTCGTGCGATTTACGAATCATTGAATGGTTCCCTTTCTCCGTTTGCGAAGTAATTAGGCTGGCGATGCAAGATTGGAATTCACGCATTATACACGTAGTCTTGATTGTTGTTTTTTCACCGTCGCCAACGATTGTTGGGGTTGTCATTCCCGTCTTTGAGGCGGGATTCGGGAGTTTGGGAGAACCTCGTCGTTAGATACTGCCGAACTCAACTACTTGTTACTTTCCCTAATATTTGCTGCTATGACCTGACACACTCTCTAGGATTGAAGGCCAATGATGCACAAAGGGGAAGATTGGTTTCACTAGAGGGCTCCCGCTACTCTGGTCTTTTTTCTCCTCCTCGACCTCCTTCTTGTCAAAGGAACCGTCGGTACGTTCCAGGGGTTCTCCGCCAATTTCGGAGGGCGACGTTTTTGGCAGCGCCGGCACATCAACGACAATCATGGCCTAGCTCTCAACGCGGCATGACTACGAACAGCGATCAATTGCTATAAAAAGAAAACCGAGCACGCAATCGTTCGCGGGCCACATTGACATGGGCGCCGCCGCGGATGGCGGATAGGTAGTCCGCCGGGGTAGGTACTGATTACTAGTAGTTCTTTCCACTCGTGGCACCAACGCTTCGTCATGGCTCTAGGAAAGCACATTTGCCGGCGACAGCATGTGAAAGTTACCTAAGGGAAATCGTCGGGAAGCGCGCATTGATGATCTACTGATCATCAGACATCGGTACGTTCCAAGGTCGAACGGTGAGGCGATCGCGAAGAAGCTTGCATCGACGAAATCGACGAAATCAGCCCTCGAGATTCTTGACCGGACGTGACGACACAAGACTCGAGATTGGGCCAAGAGCTTCACATTCACCGTGACGCAATACAACATCGCGCTCTGAGCTCGAAGGTTGAAAATGTGCAATTTTTGGGTATATCGGATGAATATTTCATACATGCGAAGTGTCGCCACCAACTTTTGCTTCCCGTAACATACAACTCTTTTTCCGCACGTCCTCCTCTTCCTCCCAAGTATCGCGACCACTCATTTGGCCTTGGTCCTTCCTATCTTCCAAAGACCTTCAGCTCGACGGTCCTCAGAACCGCGTAGCTTACGGCGGCGAAGGCGAAGCCGAGCTCGAAGCCAACGTCCCCACCGGAGGCGTGCAAAGCAATCTTGCCGACGTACCAGGTCTGCGACATGCCGGTGATCATGCCGGCGACGCCGAAGCCGAATGCGAGGACGGCGGCGATGCTCGGGGGCAGCTTGGACGGCTGATCGTAATGCTCCGGGACGTAGCCGGCAATGCCGCGCCTGAAGAGGAAGTGGTCGGTCACAGCGATGCCCTCATAGATAGCAAGCCAGTAGCCGATGAAGTTCATGACTATGAGACTGTTAGTCGGGGTTCCGAAGCAAGGCGAGAATGGAAGTTGCAGATGGCATGTTTACGCCATGTGAATGACGGAAGAAGGTACCAAGACTTACAGTTTTCAAGAACAGTCTCGAAATGCGAGTAGCCAGGGATAGCGATTGCGATGTAGACACCTGTTCCAAGCAGGGTCCAGATCGGACGAGGGACGGACTGCGCCCAACGACCAAAGACTTGCATGGTGAGAGCAATTGAATAAATATTGGGGCCTATGATACATGTTGGTCAGCGTACAGTCCACAAACGGTAGCGGTTACTGGACTTACAGTTGTTCGCAATGATGGACAGGGCGAGGATAACCAAGCAGAACTTGCCAAAGCCGCCGAGGGGAGGGAACAGCACGGCGGCAAGCAGACCGCCAGTGCCCGAGTTCGTGTAGCCAACTTGGTACCTGTTGTCTCCATCGTTGATGGCGGTAGCAGACATGATAGCAATGCCCAGCATCTCGGTAAACAGGAGCGGGAAAATCAGACCAAGAGCGGTTGAGATGAAGACCTTGCGGCGGCTCTGGTTTGAAGGTTGATAGACGGTGTAATCGGCGGCGTAGCTTGCCCAACCGGTAGCAAAGCCATACACGGTCACACCAAAGCTCAGAACACCGGCCATCTCCGACTGCCCGACGCCCCAGGGAATGCTGACGAAGGCGCCGCTGTGAGCAAAGGTGCCAAGAACTATGAGGAAGATGATGAAGGTCGGGATCCAGCTGTAGAATTCGTAGGCGTGGACGACCTTGTAGCCAAACAGGGTCACGAAGAAGGTGCAAAAGGCAATGATGATGATGCCGGCCCAGCCAGGGACGTCTTCGTTAACGGCATGGATCAGTTCGGCACCGACGATGGAGTTGACGGCGGACCAGCCTATGCAAGCGCAGACATTGAAGCAGGCAACTAGGTCACGCGTTAGCAGGCGGCGCGTCGCGTGAGGTTGCACGAATGCTTACTGAGTTTCACGCCCCACCAGCCGAACCAGAATCTGGAGAGCACCATCTGACGGAGGCCAAAGACGGGGCCGAAAGACGAGAACCAGCACACAGGAATAATGCCGAGGATGTTGAAGAACAAGCAGACGAGCATAGCATCGGCGACACCGAGGCCGAATATGGATTGGGCCAGCAAACCAATGGCGAAGGAACTGACAACCATGTTGGCGGAGAGCCACTGCGAATTCAATCAGCCAGCTGTGCGTGCAACGGCGCACCTGGAGGCGTTACCATGGTGCCGACGTTCAGGAGCGAGTGATCGGTGCGCTCGTCTTCGGGCACACGCTCAATGCCTCTCTGCTCGATGTTGAAGCGGCCAGCCAGCCTCTGGACTTTGGCGTACAGGCTGTTGCCATACTCGAAGCTCTCACCAGGCACGGCGCCGCCGTGGCCGGAGGGGTTGGAAGACACCTCGGCGTCGGCGGCCTTCTTCTCAACGTCGACGTAGTCCATGGTGGCGGAGGGAGAAGCACAGAGAAGGAGGACAACTCTAGCGAAGCTCCGCGAAGGAGTTTTGTCTTCGTCGAGCGTCTTGGTGGAAGGGGGACGGGGTGGGAAGAGTCAGGCAACGGCGCGCAGCACTAAAGTATGTATGTACCTAGTATTATTGCTCGCGCGTCGCTGATAAGGCCGAGTGCCGGGCCAGATCGGCGGATTCGCGTTTTGGATGGACCAGGGCCAGTCAGAGGCGTGTTCGCAGCTATGGCAGGAAGAGGAAACACGGCCGGCAATAGAGATAGCGATGTACCAGGCCGGCGGGCGCCCGCCGCTTGCGCGTGGCGCCCTGCATGGAAGGCGGAGCAGAAGACAGTGGCGTTTGGGCGATAGGCTTGGCCAGCCAGCTTGACGGCAGTTCAGTGGCGGCAAGCTTCGCAGGGAAGGCTTGTCGGACGATAAGGCGGCCCCAGGCCTTGGCCGGGCTGCTGAGGCTTGATGTCCCTATGCGTCGCTTATCGACACAGGCGCGGGATGGCTGGCGGCGTTGCCCGAGGACAGATCAGCCTGCCTGCCGCTCCCTATCTCTGCCCTCCCAAAACAGTCGGCGCTGGCCGCGCTGCCAGCACTGTGTAGTGCCTCCATCCCGCATTGCTGTCATTCACCCCTGTCATTGCTGTCGTGTGTCGTTGCCTCGGCCTGCCGGCCACGCGCAGACCGCCGCTCTCCCCAGACTTTGCGCACCCCGGCCCAGCTCCCGCTGCTCCACTGGCCAACCCGCCGTCTTGCGTCGTCCCGCCCGCCTGGTCGACCGCAGTTGCGTCGATCGCGCGCCTCGCCGATGCTGCAGCCCTGCCGAAATTGCTCGCGTCATGCGTTCATGCTGCCCTCGTCCATCTGCATTCGACGGCCCGTTGAGGAATGGCGGAGCGGGAAGGAATCGCGATGGGGAAAGACGTTGGAGCGAAGGATGAGGACGAGCAACAGACTGCCGAAGCGCGCGAGGACCCGCTGTCTCAGGCTCTGTCGGCGCTCTGTGATCCCAACCGCCGATTTGCCGCTCGCGACCGCCTTTGGGTGGCCCGAGCGCAACGAATTTCCGTCGCAGCGCGGCGGGGACCAGCCAAAAGTAACAATCCACATTGCATCTGCCTCGCGGTGACTCCTCAACGCCACTGACCTCCCTCCATGGTCGACAGATAGCCCGAGCCGCCCACATACCTGCGCTGAACCCTCCGCCACGCCGCTACAACACCTCACGAAACCGCCGCCGCAATGTCCAAGAAAGACCAGCTCTATGACAAGTGCGCCGAGCGCCCGCCCGAAACCATCTTCTACCAGGAGGACCTGTCGCTGTTCAATATTGCCAAGGATGTCGAGGAGCTGGCTGGTATCTGCCAGGAGCTCGTCGACGCCCACCTGTTCGAGCTGCTGGAAATGGGCCACCACAGCTGGGACCGCGTGCTATGTTGGAGGCTGCGCTCCCGCGAAGATGCCACAAAGTACGTTTTGAGAATCGCACCAAGATTGTTAGCTGACATGCTGCAGGCTTCGTGGCATGGACCCGAACGAGCGCCTGGTCTACTCGCACATCTCGTCGGCCGACAACCAGGGCATGTGGACGCGCACCATCAAGGCCAAGACAAACTTCCACCAGACCGTCATCAACAAGGCCCTGAAGTCGCTCGAGGGCAAGCGTCTGGTCAAGTCCATCACCTCGGTGAAGCATCCGGGCCGCAAGATCTACATGCTGGCCCACCTCACGCCCTCTGAGGATGTCAGCGGTGGCCCTTGGCACACCGATGGCGAGCTGGACATCGAGCTCATCGAGCAAATATCGGACGTCATCCTCGACTTCGTGGAGCGGGAAAGTTGGGTCGAGCAAAAGCCCCACCACGTCTCCAAAGCCGACATCAGGAGGAAGAAGGAGCAAGCCCAGCGCGGCGCCCACAGCGCCGTCCCCGAGGCTCCCAAATACCGCCCCGCTCTTGGCCGCAACGGCGGTCTCTTGCTCCCCCACTCGCCCGGCTACCGCAACTACCCGACCGCTTCTTCCATCCTCGAGTTCATCGAGAAGTCCGGCGTCATCGAGGGCGTCGTCATCCGCGAGATGGATCTGCGCTCTCTGCTCGACAACATGGTCTTTGACGGCAAGATCGAGCGGATGGGTGCCATGGGATACCGCAGCGTACGCGGCGCCATGGAGGCTGCCAACGACGCCGAGCTGGCCCAGGGTTACGGCAATGGCCTGTCGCAGGCACCCTGCGGCCGCTGCCCTGTTTTCAATCTGTGCGAAGAGGGCGGCCCCGTCAGTGCCAGCAACTGCGAGTACTTTGAGGAGTGGCTCAAGGCGACTTCGTAGCAGGGTTCTCAGCCTCTTGCTCGAGGTGTGTAGACCATTATCCCCCTCGTCCACCTGAGGGGGCTTCTTGATGCGGCTTAGTCATCCAATTTGCTTTGATAGGCAACTATTTCGACTTGCATAGCGACGGCGTTTGTTTTAGGAACGGGTAACGTGTACCAAGACTTTTCACTCGAGGGCATCTAACAGGGTGGGGTTCTGGTCTTTCTTTTGCATGAAGGAGATATATACTACGGCGGTTCACCTACTTGGGGTGGTGGAGAGCGAGCTGTTCTCCCGAGACTCGAGATATCTTCTTGTTGAGGATCATATGCTAGTTTGAGTTCTGATTGTATGGACAAGTAGGAAAGCCGAAGTTCAATTTGATTGTTAATGGCTCAGATGCACTTCCCGGAGTAAAGGCACAAAAGGTTTTGCGTATCATACCGAATCAAAAGAGAGAAAGAGGAACAAAAATCGCTGCGCTAATACAAGCTCTCCTCTCCAGGTGGCGAGGCATAATCTACTTCTTACAAAGTCTCTCCGAAAGTCTACGAGCCTGCCATCTTCATGTCTTCAAAATCACATGCCGCAAATCTCACATCTCTTGTGCTTCTTGAAATCACCCTGGTAATGGTCCAGATGGTCCTGGCCGTCGAGCCTCTCGCCCTCGTCGGGCAAGTTACCCATCCACGACATCTTCTCGCCCGTCGCAGTCACCGAGTCGAACCGAGAACCCTTTTCGTTGAGCTCCCTTGTGATGTCTTGGACGTCGACGTCGAGGTAGTGGCGCAGGAACTCGCCGACCTCGGTGTTCTCGTGGTTGCCGACCAAGGGCGCGGCGGCGCGTGGGTCCGAGGCGAAGATGTTGACGTCAGCGGCCGAGTGGCCGTGCGTGGACCAGCCCGTCTGGCTGCGCCTGCTGATCATGTCGGCGAACGTGTAAGGGGACACGTCCGGGCGCGAGATCAGCACCCCGACCTCCTCCCGCGTGGGGTCGTTGATCCCCAGACCCTCGCCCAGCGCTTTCCGCACCCAGGCAGCCGTCTCGTCGGCCGTGGGCTCCGACAGGAGGAACTTGTGGTAGTTCTGGGCGAGACGCTCGGCCGAGTTGGAGGCGTTGCCCAGGACGCCGGGGTACCAGAGATATTCGGGATAAGATTCGTGCAACTCTGTCGGAATGTTAACTTTGCAATCCCAGGTAATGGGGAGGGGAGGAAGCTTGTGACGGGACGGAGAACGTACGCCTTGCGGCCGCGAGGCCACCGGTCTCGTGGTCACTGGTGCTGACCATGATACCCTGGGTGCTGTCCTCCTCGAGGAATTCAAGGACACTGGAGAAGGCCTTGTCGTATGCCAGGACCTCGTGAACCTGTGCAGCGGGATCGTTGCCGTGGCCAGCGTGGTCAATCCTGCTTCCCTCGATCATGAGGAAGAAGCCTTTCTCGCTATCCTGCGTAGCGGCGCTCAGCGCCTTCATAGCCGTGCGCGCCATCTCGTCGAGGGAAGGATAAATGTCACCCTCATTCCTCCTATCGATCTCGTAGGGTATGTCTGTGTCCGCAAAGAGACCGAGCATGGGGAGCTTGACGGCGCTTCCCAGACGGAGACCGTCGAACTCCTCGCGGCTGTCGATGTAGTTGAACCCGTATGCCTTCTCGGCCATCTCAACAATGTCCATGTCGTCGCCACGACACGAGCCTTCGGTCGAGTTGGGCAGGAAGTGGCAGCGACCACCGCCGAACATGAGGTCCACAACGCGACCGAGCGGGTGGACGCCGACCATTTGCTCGGCGATGCGATCCTCCTCGGAGCGCATGTTGACGTGGGCAGCGAAGCAGGCAGGCGTGGCATCGGTGATACGGGTGGTGACAACGAGGCCGGTCATGTAGCCGGCGCGCTTGGCGGCCTCCAGCACGGTGCCGCAAGCAGAGTGATCGGGCAGCACGGAGATGGCGCCATTGTAGCTCTTGAAGCCGCAGGAAAAGGCAGTTGCGCCAGCGGCCGAGTCGGTTACCAGGCTGCTGGACGAGCGGGTGCGCGACTGGCCGATCAAGTGCTGGTCGATGACCAGGGTGTCGTCCCACGGCTCAGCGTTCTGGTACTGCTTGAAGCCACGGGCCAGCGACAGCGACGTCGGTCCCATGCCGTCCGACACCATGAAGATCAGATTGCGCTTGCCCGACGGCTTCGAGGCCGGCTCCTTGGTGGTGGCCTGCTTCTGGTAGACGACGGCCAGCACAATGACGACGGCGGTGGCAATCAGGGCCCAGGCAAACAGACCGAGCTCCCTCCATCTCTTCCAGGGACTGCGGGGCTGTTCGGGGCGCTTGCCGGTGCGCTCGCCGGTGAGCAGGGCGTCTTCTTCGGCGAGGTCGCGGTCGTTGGAGTGCTCGGATGACGGGCGCTGCGACAGCAGCGGGCGCGCCATGGTCGGTGGTCGGGGGCGCGTGCGGGTTTGTGGTACGGCAGGCGGAGGGGAGGGGTGGATGTGTGGAGGCGTGGAGGGAGGCCATGGGCAGTAAGTAGTGTCTCGTCTCGCTGGGAGCTGCGCCGATCGCTGCTTGGCGGCCACGCGCAGCCATCATAGGACCCGTCGTGCCGTCTCCCGCTGGTCATCACCCCGCCGTGCCCGCCCCTGCAGCAGCGCCACGAACCCGCACGCGCTCACCGCTGTCCATTCCTGCCGAAGTGCCGCAACGATGGCCGTCGCGCCATGGTATAAGTTTGGGCCCCTGGAATGATCGTCCTCGACAGCCACACCCCTGCTGTCTCCACACTCCCGCAGTCGAGCACTTCTCCACTCGCGCCAGGGCGGGAGCCAACAAACAGCCTTTTCTTCGACATAGTCCCATATCCAAGGTATTTAGTCACGGCAACCACATCCACCGCGCGGCTCTTGACCAGCCTGCTGCACCGATTTGTCCTGACCCCGCAAACCAAATATATAGGCATGTGTAGAAGGACCGATTACGAATTCCCTTGCAGCCATGTCGAGTCCAGAGTCAGACTGTGCAGCTACCGCTGCTATTTGGTGAAGCACTCGGACCCGCGGAAACACTACAGCTGCGAAATGGAGATGGAGCCGTTCGAAAAGCCCGACGTAGACATCACTTTGTCCCACATGTACTTCAAGCGGTCTGTAGTCTGGGTTGGTGCGGGGCTGGGCATCAGAAGGAAGCAGAAAGTGGTCGAGAGATTGCGGATCCGGTACGAAGAAGAGTGTGATGGATGCTGCCTCTGACGAGGAAATACAATTATAATGACACATTACTATATTAGCCCTACAAGTCAATCCCCAATCCCCAATCCCCAATCCCCAATCCTCCGCATATCAAGTATCACCAAGTACAGTTGACAGTCCCACAATGCTGATCGGGGAGCAGGTCAAGCTCGAGCTTGATCTCCACCTCAAGAACATTGCCTGTCCTCCATGAGCTCTGCGCATGCGTTTACTGGTTAACGCAGCCGCACTCGCCGTGGAGAGTGACGGCCAGGCCGACGAAGAGCTGTCCGAGGCCGGGGAGGACGACATCGACGCAAACGTTGATGTAGCCCCAGGCAAGGGCGATGACACCGCCGACGATGGCCTCGACGGCGATGAGCAGGTTGGCGATGACGCTGATGACGAGGTTGATGGTGACGTTGAGCAGGGTAAGGGAGACTGGATGCTTGGTGAGCTGCTGGAATCAGAGGGATGAACAGTCGTCTTAGCTTACCAACTCCGAGGATCTTGCAGGAGGCGTTGAGAGTGAAGAGGATCTCCAGGACGAGCTTGACGACCAGGCCGACAACAACATCGACGTCAGCGCCGGCCTCGCAGCCTTGAAGCTTGACGGTAGCAGAAGTGACGACATCGATGATGGCGGTCAGTTCGGCCTTGATGGCGACGATGGCGGCGGTCTTCAGATCGACATTGAGGTCAAGCCCGGTGGAGAGGCCGCTGCAGGTGCTGTTGATCTTGGCCGTGTGCACCTCCACATCGGCCTGGAGCTCGGTGAGGACACTGAGCACAGTGATCTGGGCGACGGCGTCGGCCTTGACATCGGTGCGAGCGATGAGATCATTGCTGACATCCATGGTGGGAGCAGCGAGAGCGCCCAAGAAAAGGCTGGAGAGAGCGAAAGCGGAGGCGAATGAGAACTTCATGTTGATGGTGTCGCGGTGCGAATGAGTGAGGAAGTAGAGAATGAGTGAGGAAGTAGAGAATGAGTGAGTGAGTGAGTGAGTGAGTGAATGACTGTTTGAATCGAAGGGATTGGCTTGAGTGATGGCATCAAGGAGTGGCCGTCGTCACACTCTTTTATATTCGGTGAGAATACGATGGTGCTCTCCTGCCCTACTACCATCCCCCCTACCATGAGACTATCGCCCGCGTACTGTCCATTGCCCCAGGTCCATCTGAGACAGAGAACATGTCGATCTTGGAGCTTGCTGGAGGAATCATGTCGATCTTGGAGCTTGCTGGAGGAATCATGTCGATCTTGGAGCTTGCTGGTGGAAGGATGTCGACTGTGTCGTAGTTTTGCCAGCTCAGAAGCGCTATGTGCTTCTGGAATAACTTTAACGGGCATATTCTAACGTGAAGTGGTGCGTTAGACGAGATTCAGTGAGGGCTGTCAGATTTGGCGTGCGCATAGCCCAAGATTGGAGCATGGATAGTAGTAAGCGTATGCACACTTGCCGAAAGAGGAAGACCGGAAAGTCCAAAGAGGGCTACTCGCGCGGGCGGATGGTTCGGCGAGACACAACCCTCGTGACACTAGAGCCTCGACAGGTCTTGGTGTCATACTAGGACCGAGCCGCCGGCTGCTTCGGCCCATGCATCCCAGTCCAGAAATAACATCACCCCTATACAGACGCGCGGCGGGAAAGGGGACCCGAGACACTGAACATTTCTTTTTTTCTTCTTCTTTTGGCCATGCAAACAACTCGGAGCGCTTTGAAGCCTGCGGCATCCTGGTGAGCGTAGCGGAGGACGTGAAGACTCCTGCTGTGCAAATGGATGCAAATTGGTCAGCGCACAGACAAACTGCCCAAAAACGCGCAGAGCATGCAAGCCATCTCTTTTGGCGCAGCCTCACGAATCCTCCACTACTCCTTCATTCCACGCAGTACCCCGTACCAAAGTAGCGGGAGCCGGACGCATGGGACGATCGCCCGCCAGCTCCAGCCAATCTGGCCCATCCGGCCAAAGGTGCTCCTTCCAAGCACTTGGCCTATCTCAGCGTTGGCGAGGTCTGATCAGAGGGTTACTTCTGTGCCATCGATGGTGTTCGACGGGGGAGAGGGAAAGGAGAGACCGGTCAGTCGCGTCGGTGGACTTCATTGGTGTTGTGATGCTGAAGCGCGTTGTGGCAAGCGCGGCACAGCGGCGACGTGTTTAGGTGATCGGCGCCCCCACCCAGGCAGGCGTCACCCAACAGACAAGCGAGCGACTTCATCGCATCCCCCGGAGCCTGCTCCTGTCGCTACCGTGCTACCAACTGTGTCCTGACCGCCATGCAGTGCCATTGTTGTCCATCGCAGCACGCCGCCGAGAGGCCGACGAGAGCACGCCTCCAGCACGCCTCCGGCACCTGTCCCCCCTTTTCCTCCAGCTTCTTCCCGTCGTCCGCGTCTCTCTGCAGAAACTCGCTCCCCGTTGTTGAAGCTCGGAAGAGAGCAGTTCGGATGAGCATGGCATTATTACGTGCACGACGTCCCAGGCCACACGGGCGCCCATAACATGAGAGTTCGTCACCGCCCGCCGCCCGTCGCCCGTATCAGAGGCTCGCTTGCAAGAGGGCTGGAACGCGGTCTCTTCCGCTCCGAGATGGGCGGCGGATACGCAAGCACGTTTTTGAGAAGCGCCGAACGGGTCGCCAGCGCTCGCTCAGGCGCTCTAGCGTTACGAAAGCCTCCCCTTTCTGTTCTCTCATTTGCTACTCCGTGACAGTCATGACCGAGTCTTCCACTCTCCATCACCAATGGAGCCTAGTGCCGAATTTTTCCCTCTTATCTTCGACTTCACGCCTCTACCGAGTTCTTACCGTGTTTATTTCACTTAGCTGCGCTTGGTCAGCCCAGGCCCGCTTGCCCCAGCGTCTGCAGCTTCTGCGTTGTCTTCCCTTTGCTCGTCCGCTCTGCCGTGTCACATTATTGAGCTGCCATGCATTCCTCCCTGCCTTCAGTATAGCCCCCTTCGAAGCCGTTGTCGAGCCTTGGCCTGGCGAACTTGCGAAAGCCTCTCTGTCCGATCAGTTTTTCCTGCCGGCTCCCTCCTCGGACGCGCCAGTTCAGAGGCAAACTGCCCACCACCATGAACGGAGTCGAAGGTATCCCTCGCGGTGCGCCGGCTTCTCCTCTGTTTGCCGTGCAAGAGACGCCTTCTGCTGGCCGGGCCGTATTCGCAACCTCAGACATTGCGAGGGGCACACCATTGTGGATAGCAGACACCCCCAGTGCCAACATCATCCTGCGCGAGTACCGCAGAGAACTGTGTGCCCAGTGCCTCACGTACAATCGTGGCCGCGAATGGAAGATTCGTGACAACTCCGTAGGCTTCGCCTTCTGTTCCATCTCTTGCCAGCAGGAGTGGATGGACGCATTAGGCGAAGAAGGCGTTCAGGCCTGGAGAGCGGTGGAAAAACTCAACAAAGGTTGCTCGAGAGAAAGGGAGATGGTAGACGCTAGTAAGTCCCACTCCTCGTCGGTTTCAGCACCTTCACTCCCTCTGCGAATCTATGTTTCACCCCATCCTCCAACTTCCCTTCCGATGGCCGCTCAGAATAGGACGGCGCAAGGGGACATCGGTCTGCCCGCCCGTTGCTCAACGTGTACACTTGAATAGGCTTGTTGCGATTCGTTTCCTATCCTCTTTCCTTTTGTTTCGCCCGAACCATCTCCTCTCGTCGTCTGTAGGTCTGGCTTTGGCTGTGTAAAATGCTCACGTGGTGCAGTCTCAGCAATTCCTACTGAGGACGATATCAAAGATGCTTGGAGCGCCGCATCCACAGTGACCCCCCTTATCCTTGCTGCACGAACAAGTAATCCTCCACCAAACAAACCAACGCGACGGGCATTAGCCTCCGCCCTACAAGCCGTAGCTGTCCCGGACGTCCTCTCGATGCTCCTCTCCGGAATCCTCGCACGGGCACGTGATGCTCACACGTGGGCTTCCGTCCTCGCGCTTTGGCCCAACAGCCGGCCATACAAGTCAGCAGACGACCTCAAAGAGCATGTAGGCTCTTATCTTCAGCTCGTGGCCGTCCTTCCACCGTCTCTGCTCCCATTCGCAACACCAGAGACGTGCTATATGCTTGCTACACGTGACAGCATGAACAGTTTCGGCATACGGTCTCTGGACGACGAGGGCGCGGAGTTTTTCGGCTACGGGGTGTGGGCTAGCGCTAGCTACTTCAACCACAGCTGCTCACCGAATGTGGATAAGAAGAGGGTGGGGCGGGCGTGGCATTTCACGGCGGGCAGGGAGGTCCGGAAAGGCGAGGAGCTGTGCATCACGTATCTGAGCGGGGAGGAAAGAGCACTGAACACGGCTGCACGGAGAAAACTACTGACGAATTCATGGGGGTTCGAGTGCGTTTGCGACAAGTGCACTACTGCCGGCCACTGATGAGTGGAGTCGCCGGTATTGGACGGATGACCGCGGGGGGACCATGCTTGCCCATGTTTGCTTTGCGGGGCACCAGAGCTTAAACCTTAGAGCTAGAGCTGAATCCAGAGAGCAGGAGTGCTACGTCTGCCACACCCGCGTTCAGTTGTGACAGCAAGTAAGGACAACCCACCAACTGCAGCAGGCACGGACGGCCCGCGACCCTGTACTCGTGGCATGACGCTGCACCCCGCAATCATGATCGTCTGGGGGGTGTCACGGTGAGCGTCGATCATAGCTCCAAGGCTATTATCCCGCTTCTAGCGAGGATTGTGGTCGGGCGAATCAACCACTGCTCCCGTGCGCGGGTGGCTGCGGCCTCCCGCAAACGATGATGCAGTTTGACGTCGAAGGTTGTACAACGGCGGCCCCTATTGATGAACGAACTGCCTGTGAGAGGCAGCAGATGGAGCGGGGAAGCTGTTGGAGCCGGCACTGCTACGTCATGGCGTTTTCACGCGACAAGCAGCAGTTGCAGCGCAGCTATGGTGGGCAGCTTGCGATAAAGAGGCAGCCGTCTCGACGAGCTTCGGTGGGCAAAGGATTGCCTTTCCACCGGTGCGGAATTCCACGCCCACTCGGAACGATAAAAAGCAACATTCCTCAACAGATCGCGACCATGTCTGTGTAGGCAGCCTCTGCTTCCGTCTTCAGCATGCGCTGTGCAGGACACTGACGACCCGGGCAGTGGCAGGGACGACACCATTGCTGGAGCCAAGATCCAACCTCTGGACTCTCCGACAAAGTCCAACGTCGGGCACGACCTGGCGGACCGTGGTGCGGCTGGCACGAACCATAACATCGACCGGGCGCGCATCGATCCCTTGGGCGGGCACGGTAAGCAGCTTCGAGTCGCTTCTCATTCAGCTGACAGTAGTCGATGTGCTGGTAGCTCCCGAGGAGAGCTGGGCACCAGCCACCCCGTTGATGCACCGGAAAGGAGGCTGACGGCGTACCAAAGGCCAGTACCAGCACCCAGCCCCCCACGCCAACAGTCAGGGCGTCGTGGGCCGCGACGACGTCTTCGCAGGGGCCAAGGTCGCGCCGCTGGACGGCAAGCACGGCGAGACGATTGCGAAGAGCCCCGGGCTGGACGACGAAGACGTCGATAGCTCGAGGATCAACCCGCTGGGCGAGGTGCGCGAGCAGATGCAATAAGCAAAGCGGCGGCCGGCCAAGGCGCCAGCGATAAGGTTATGAGATGCGACGGAACGGATGTGATCTGGGCGGCGATGATGATCGCCTGCTGCGCAGTTAAAAATAGGAGCTTGTGAGAATGTGTAGTAGTCGGATGTTTCAATGGAATTCCTGGCCGCAAGCTTTAGTCAAGCATTTGCTCACATCCCTCACAGCCACGCCGGTGGAGCCAAGGCCGGGCGAGGCGGCGCTGTAGCGTGTTTATTGCCTGGCATCGAGCAGAGCGAGTAGTGACTGAGCGGCTCCGGCCAGGTGTCGTCAGCACCCGTTTCAGAGGCTTTTCAGGCCTGTGGGCCCAGGGATGCGAAACGAGATGATCGTCATTTCCACGGCTGCGGCAAACCTGCCACCTGCCACGCCGGCGACCGCACACATGACTGCGACGGTTTGCGGCGCGCTGGAGACGTCGCGCGCGCGCGGCGGAGCTCGCAGCAGGCGCCGCGGAGGGCTTGGCTGCAGGCGACGGCGACAGGCGCGGGTGGCCGGTGGCGTTGGGCCGGTGGCGGGGAGGGCGCGATGATTCGGGCCTAGCGCAGCCAAGGTCGGAGGCTCAACAGGCTCGACGCTGCCGTTGCATGACAGGCCGCGTGGGTGCGAGGGCTCGCGGGAGGCGCGTCGCCCTGTGCGGAGCGCGCGAAGGAAGCGGCGGCCGGGGCTGCGCGGCGATGGCGAGGCGCGTGGGCGCAAAGCGTCTGCTTCCTGAGCGAGGTCGAAATTGTGTGGCAAGGGCAGAGGGCGCTATTTTGGGAGGCCTGGCCGCCTGGCACGGGGTGGGCCGCCAGGCCTCAGGTGCGGCGCGGCGGCGGCGGCGGCGGCGGGCTTCCGGCCAGCCAAGCAGCCCGTCGAGATTGCAGTGCCGGCTGGCCGTGCTAGAGATAGACAGCGAGGAGAGGAGGAGAGGCCTGGGGCAGCGCGGCCGGTGCGCACGCAATCCGGCGCATCCCCAAGAGGCAGCGGCCAGGGCCACAGCCGTGCTCGCAGCGTGCGCCGGACGCGGGCGGGCGCGCAATTGGCTCGCCCAAAGCGGCGGGCAGGCCTGCGCGGCCCAGATAACAGCCGATGATCTCTCCTTTTCGCTGCTGCGCTGCTGCCCTCCGCCCAGCTCGACCGCCGTGCTCTCGCTGCTCATCGTCTCTGCGGCAATTAATCGTCGGCCTGCCAATGCGGAGCGCCTGAGCGGCCGCCGCCACCGCCGTCCAATCGTCATTCGTTTTGTGCGCGCTTGATCCCTTCCCTACGCACTGCAACCGCGTGCGGCCCCGGCGCCCTAGCACCGCACCCCCGAAAGCTTCCACGCACCACACTCCTCCGTCACCCTCCTCGACCGTCTGCCGCCCCCGACAGCAGATTGCCATTACGACGCCGCCGCCCAACCCAGCCCGCGCGCCCCCTCCTCCGTTTCACGCCGTCTGCTCACCAAGCGACTGCCGCCTGCGGATCTAGTCGCCCGCAAGGCCCACCGATCACCTCTCACCGTCTCGCGTTTCAGCCTTCAAGATTCGGGTACGCCGCGCCGCGCGCATCGCTCCGTCATCCTGCACCCACAGCCCGCTGACTCCCGCTTTTCTAGTTCCGCAAGAACTCGGTGCGAGGGGAAGCTGGCGAGCCTCATGCTCAACCTGGAGCCATGAAATCGCCTCTGTCCTCTCGCTTCCAGAACATGAACCCCATGAAGCTGCTGCCGCTCAAGACCAGCTTCTCCTACGAGCAGCTGCCGGGCTACGACAATGGCACGCCGCTCAAGAAGTATCGCTGGCGCTCGCCTAGCCCTGGCGGCGACCGCTTCATCTTGCCCAAGCTGAGCTTGTCGCGAGCCATCCTGTTCGCCATCACCGCCGTCTTCTGCATCGGCCTGCTCGCGACTGGCGGCTACAGACGGCACCAGCGCATGATACACCAGCAACCTCCTCCGCGCGAGCTCTTTGCGTGGGAGCACTTCCCAAGGTGGGCCACGCGACCGCCCTCCCTGTCTTTCCTCCAGACCAACTTTGCTGATGCTCTGCAGATTAAACGGCTACTACAACGGCCTGCGGACCCTCGTCTCCTTCAAGGACTACGTTCCCGAGCAGGCCTTCGTGCGAGCCGAGTCCGAGGCCCCTCTGGATACCTTTGCCTCGACCACCCAGAAGGCCAAGGCACACACCGGACCCGAGCCATCGCCGTCTGCCAGGCCCTTCCCTTTCAACCCTTACCCCGAGTGGACGTCGCCCGAATACCTAAAGGAGTACCACCCTGTGGAAGAATGCTACCTGGACGAGGGCCTGAAGACCCCGACTCCCGACATCTACGCGTACCCTGGCATTCCTCAGAACACCACGAAGCCGTTCTTCGGCTCGTATGAGCAACTTGGCATCTCTCGGGATATGTGCTATGAGCGTTTTGGCCGAATGAGTCCCTACGGCTACGGCTACCCCCACGAAGAAGGTGGTGTTGGCCTGGCCGATAACTCGGAGAACGTGGGCGCCGAGAGAGTCTGGGCCATGCTTAACCAGAACAAGGTGGACTGGAGAAACGTCGACTGGGGTCGCGCTCAGAATGCCTGCTTCGAGAAAAACAGGATCCGCTTCGAAAAGGACGCCACGACCAAGGACGGCCAGAAGCCTGCTCCTGGCAAGAAGCTGAGGCAGCGCACTGCCTACGTTCTGCGCACCTGGACCGGCTACCAATACACGGAATGGCAGCTGCTCAGCCTGCGGGCTATGATCAACGAGCTTTCGCTGAAGTCTGGCGGTGAGTACGACGTTCATCTGCTCGTCCATGTTAAGGATGACAGCATTCCCATTTGGGCTTCCGACGCCATCTACCAGCGCACACTCGAGGAGAACGTGCCAAAGGAGTTTTGGGGCATTGCTACTCTCTGGTCAGAGCAGCAAATGCGTACATACTACCCCGAGCCTTTCACCGACAACCTCGAGAACGACTCTGGTCTTCCCGTCCACAGCGTCTACCGAGGCGCCCACTTCGCTCTGCAATGGTTCTCGCAGCAGCACCCCGAGTATGACTTCTTCTGGAACTGGGAGATGGATTTGCGATACACTGGCCACTACTACGAGTTCCACGAGAAGCTCGGCCAGTGGGGGAAGCGCCAGCCGCGCAAGGGCGCGTGGGAACGCAGCTCCAAGTTCTACATGCCCGATGTCCACGGAACTTGGCAAAACTTCACCGAGATGGTGGAAGCGGAGATCGCCGCTTCTGACACGCCTCCGGTATGGGGCCCCCCTGCATTCGAAGCCAAGGAAAAGATTCCCTCGCCCCCCGGCACTACGCCTCCCACCTCCTACGAGCAGGACAACTACCAATGGGGTGTGGGCGAAGACGCGGATCTTATTACCTTCAACCCCTTTTTCGACCCCGAAAAGACCAACTGGGTGTTCCGCCATGACATCACCGGATACGATCTTTCCCTCCCCCCGCCTCCCCGTCGCGTGGCCATCATTACCGTTGCGCGTCTTTCCAAGCGACTCCTTAACCTCATGCATGAAGAAACTTTCCGCCTTCGTCACACCATGTTCCCGGAGATGTGGCCGCCGACTGTTGCCTACCACCACGGTCTGAAGTCTGTCTATGCCCCGCACCCTGTTTTCTTTGACCGCAACTGGGATCTCGACTACATGAACCAGATTTTCAACTACCCGAAGAAGGAGATTGACAGCCCCTTTGGCTGGGGCGAGCACAACCTCCTCGGCAGCTCTTTCTACTACAACTCTGGGTTTTCCGGTGCTCTGTGGAGACGGTGGCTGGGCGCCCCCGAGAACGAAGAGGGTGGACGCTACGAAGAAGATAACGGCAGCGGCCGCATGTGCTTGAGTGGCATTCTGTTCCACCCCATCAAGTTCGAGAGAGGAGAATAAGACATCTTCAGTTGTCTTTCTCGTGCATCTTGTCTCCTCGACTATTCAACGAACCCTTATAGACCATGTGCCGCACTGCTTCGAGTTTTGAGCGTCTCGAGTTCTCAGTCGATTAGGTTTCTTCCTTTTACAACCGCACCATCGGGCCGGAGTTGGACGGCGTCTCCTCGGTTTCGAAGTTACAAATATTATGCCAACATTGGCTGGGAAGGGAAACGGGTCTTGGCAAACACCTGCTTGCATTTTGCGGAATCCGCACACTCAAAGGTTGGCTAGGAAGCGCGCTTGTATTTCGGATCCAATGCAGAGATAAGGGTACAAGGCCACATTTCTTCTTCCGCTTCTCGATTCCCCATTTATATTTTTCCGCCTTTTCTAGCTCGGCTCTCGGATGGAGGTCACAGTTTGGTTTCTAATTGACTGACCCTCGCCTTCCTTCAACGCATGGGAGTCAAACATTTTGGGTTTTCGTTTTTTTTTTCTTCGTTTGGCTCAGTCTCTCCTTATAGAGTGTTTCTCGACATATCCGCTTGCTTACCGTTAGAGTTGGAAATTATTCATCTCTTGTCGTCCACTCACAATGGACGTGCATGGGATAGCAGCGACTAAACGGGTCATTCCTTTCCGTTGTTGAGACATCTAGATGTATTGGATGCGAAGACAGCGGCAACACTCAGGCATTTTTTGAGCTGGCTGGGCCGCTGCTGTTTGATGAGTTGGGGCTTGTTGAGATAGGGTTTTGTGGAGGAGGATGTAATGAAGAAAACGACTGGGAAGGAAAGAGCGGAGGATCAATCAATGGATGAGGGAAATACAGAACGGGGTTTCTTTTCCTACTATTACCACCGACGAATACCTCTTAGTGCAATTACCAAAATTGGGTGGTATGTATACAGCGAGTACACTGTTTGCAAAAGGCTTGGGATCTGGATGGAGAGGATATGTTACCCGAGCTTCCTTGTACATACACAGTGTTTAAATTTCTGTACTATGCTTGTCTTGCTTGCCCATGTGATTGTACCTCAGCATTTGCTTGGCTGTGTGGTTTTGGCGTCGTCCTATCTTCATAGGCACTCAGTACGGCATAGGCCAATGAAATTAGATAGCAGCAACATTTCCACGTAGAAGCTTTGAAGTGAGCTGAGTGGCACTCATACAGATCGGGTCACATGTTCTGCTAGGTTGCACACGCAGCAGCGCATCCCGTTATGCACTTAGCGGACTACGGATGACTAGCACAGGATGCTAGGAATATTTACAACTATGTTGTTGCCAGGCCATTTTCAAACCACCCTATCTCAATGAGAGGGCAGTCGATACGCTTTAAGTTCCAGTCACACGCGTTGCTTCGTCCTTGTCACATCGCAGTAAAAGGCATCTCGGGGTGATTCTCAGTACTGTTGAGTCGCTGAGTGCCCCACTTCTTCGTAGAAATGACACTCGGGGAATTCCCATCCCATTGGGGCCAGAAAAGGAGCCTTACTAGCAGCACTTTTGACAAGACAGCGTCAGCATCCCGATATTTGACGTGTCGACAAGCTCGCTATCGCGGAAGGTGCGTTAACGCGTCGTTCTGGGTTCTTGGAAGAGTTGTGGACGATATCCTCAAACCCAGTCTAAGCTCAGGTCTCATGACCACGCCTTGCCAGGGCCCGGTCAATTTGGCGCTGCCGGCGATCTTCCATGCGCGTCGGGATGTTGCGGAAATACTCAATGTATCTAAGGCGCTGTCCCTTGAGGAGTGTTACGCCATCTTGCAGAAGACCGTAGCCCAGCCCAACTGCTAAGCCCATCTTTGCGGTGCGGGCAATCGTAATTGGTGGGAACCGATCTGAGAGAGAAATCAGAGGAGACCCATACCAAGACAAGGCCTATACTTACTCCACAGACTCCACGCGCCTGCTGTACCCAAACCGGCCACGACAGTGCTGCAAAAATCACCTCTGCTATCGCCCAGTCCACGTATGCGATCGATGGCCTCTTCACACATGTAGAAGCCGCTGACCCAAACGGAAAGCTTGATGCCCATGCGCAGGCCTTCGCGTACGCCACCTGTCATTGTGTGGTAGTTTTTGCTTTTATGGTACAGGTACCAGCCCGTGGCGTCTGTAGGCAGCCGATGCGCATTCTCGGCACGGTAGCGCAAGGCAGCAGAGTGGCTGCCGTGAGCCATGCCCAAGGCCACGCCGGAAAGGAAAGCAATTGTGCCCGCAAAAGCGGTGCGGGCCTCAAAAATCGTGGACAGACGCGCATTATCGAGTCTGGCGGAGCGTGCGGGTGCGGTCTGAATGGGCGAGGTCGCCGATACTGTGGGCGCGGGCGGCGCTACGGCGGGAGCTGATGGTGGCTCGGGGTCGGCCGTGTCCTGCGAGGAGGCAGTGGAAAACGGGTTCTTCCAAAAGCCCATTGTGACAACGGGGGTGGATGACGGAGCGAGGAGATGCAGTGCAGGCAGGTAGGTGCGGCGAGGCCGGAGCTCATGAAGGCGGTGGCAGAAATTCTGACTGGCCGCGCTCGAAGTGGGATGTCGCAACGCTACGACTCATCACCCGCCCAAACACACCTCTCCCGCCTGCGCTGCCGTGCCCACCCCAATTGCTCCCGCCCCGCCTGAGCAGACGCATCGCTTACGTCCTCGTCCACCTCAGTCCTCACATCCAGCCAAAATGGTCGGCCAACGCGGCCCCGTGCCGGTGCCGCAGCACACCGATGCCACCCAGCTGGTCCTTGACCTGCTGAACGAGAAGCCCACCCTCCATTCGAACAAGGACTTGGCCAGCTTTTCGCAGGTCGATGCGAAGGCCGCCTTGGACCGCCTGGCCTCGCGCTCCATGGTCACGTACCAGACCGCCGACTCGGAGGTGGCCGTGCTCACGAAGGAGGGCCAAACCATAGCCGACGAGGGCAGCCACGAGTGGAAGGTGTGGGACGTGGTGAAGCGGAACGGCAAGGTTCCCATCAAGGATCTTCCCGTATGTGAAGACTGAGGGTTCCGCTGGAGGCAACTGAGTACTGAGAAGCGCAAATAGGGCCTGGCAGCCAATGCCGATGTCAAGGTCGGCCAAGGCAACGCCTTTCGCAACAAGTGGATCAAGAAAGACGGCGACACGCTGATTCCGCTGGTCGACGAGGTGCAGGACACCACGCGCGCAACCCTTCAGAACGTCGCCGAGACTGGCACCATTACCGATGCGAAATTGCTGGCCGACTTGAAGAGGAGGAAACTTGTGACTACCTCAAAGGTCTTCACCTATACCGTCGAAAAGGGCCCCAAGTATGCCCGTGAGGTGCCCGTCGAGCATACCGACTTGACTGCCGATATGCTGCTCGACGGCTCGTGGCAGACCGCAAACTTCAAGCCTTACAACTTCAACGCTCTTGGCGCTCCTCAGAATGCCGGCGCGTTACATCCTTTGATGAAGGTGCGCGCCGAGTTCAGGAACATCTTCTTCAACCAGGGCTTCGTCGAGATGCCCACTTCTCGGTAGGTCCAAGTCCGAAAACGAGGATTCTTCTTACCTTGTTGACCCATCTCCCAGCTTCGTGGACTCGGGCTTCTGGAACTTCGACGCTCTCTTCGTTCCTCAGCAGCATCCTGCCCGTGATATGCAAGACACCTTCTTCATTTCTGACCCCGCAGCAGCCGACCCGCCCCGCGATGACCCCGTGGCTGAGGCGCAGATGAACGAGATGGAAGAGGGCGGTCGCCACCTGTACGCAACTGCCGAAGCTGAAAAAAGGATCAAGCCTCGCGACTACGAGAAGTACTGGAACGACATCAAGGCCGTGCACCAGGACGGTGCCTTCGGATCCGTGGGCTACCGCTACCCCTGGTCCAAGGATGAGTGCCTCAAGCTTGTCCTCCGGACGCACACGACCGCCATTTCCACCTGGGTGCTGCACAGACTGGCTGAAGATCCACGTCCGGCACGCTACTTCTCCATCGACCGTGTCTTCCGCAACGAATCTGTGGATGCGACCCATCTGGCAGAGTTCCACCAGATCGAGGGTGTCATTGCGGACTTCGGCCTGACTCTTGGCGGTCTACAGAAGTTCCTTGAGACCTTCTTTGCGCAGATCGGTATCACCAACCTGCGCTTCAAGCCTGCCTATAACCCTTACACAGAGCCGTCCATGGAAATCTTCGGCTACCACCAAGGCCTCGGCAAGTGGGTCGAGATCGGCAACTCTGGCATGTTTAGGCCCGAGATGTTGCTGCCCATGGGCCTACCTGAGGATCTCCGTGTCTACGGCTTCGGTCTGAGCTTGGAGCGACCAACCATGATCAAGTATGGCGTCAGCAACATTAGAGATTTGCTCGGCCACAAGGTTGATCTGAACTTCATTGAGAGCAACGCTGCGGTGCGCCTGGATAAGAACTAGATTGGGTAAGTCGACAGGACTTGGGAAAACGGCCGATGTAGGGGCATTCCTGGCGAATGAAGGGAACCTTCGGGGTCATGACTGTTAAAGTAGAAGAGCTGTTTTCTACACAGAGGCACAGGAAATGAAAAGAAAGTCGTTGCGCGTAGAATCGAGACGAATAAAGACACCTTAGCACTGCAATTCTGCAGTCTTCTCGTGCACCCAAAAGTCCTGTAGCTGGCCACAGGTCGTCGTGAGGTTGAGCAAAACCCGCCTCCTTGGCCGTGCAGTAGCGCTTAAAGGATCACGACCATAGCACAGCACAAGATTCAATATAGGGTGCGTTGAGGTCATGGGCACGTCAAGTCGATGATGAGAATAAAAGCTTGCATAAAGACTCGCATACCATATACTGCCAGGACATATATAAACCAGATGCTATGTTTCGCCATTTTAAACGTGTAACCCCTTTTGGTATCGATATAGAAAGGACTGACCTCCCCCATGACGCGCCGTGGACTTATTTACAGCTTCGCCTTGTTATCGAACAAGTGAAGGTTGACGGGAGTCACCGCCTTGCCGGACTGGAAGAAGCCGAGGATGTTCTCGATGCCCAGTCTCTCGAAGCCGATGTGGCTCTCGACGCTCGCGCCGGCGGTGTGGCTCAGCACTTCGACATTTTCCGCCTTGGCGAGCTTCGGGTGGACATTGGGCTCGTCGTAGTGGACGTCCAGGCCGGCAGCTTCCAGGTGGCCGCTCTCGAGGGCGTGGACAAGGGCCTCCTCGTCGATGAGCTTGCCACGGGCGATGTTGATCAGGCGGGCGCCCTTCTTCATGGCGCCGAACTGGGAGGCGTTCAGGATCTTGTCGCCGCCGAAGGGAGTGGCGACGAGCACCACGTCGGCGACGGCCAACATGTCCTCCAGCTTGGGGTAGAACTTGGCGTCGACGCCGCGCTCGAGGTCCGAGGGCAGCTGGCGGATGTCGTTGTAGAGGATCTTCATGTCGAAGGCGCCATGGGCCTTTTGGGCGATGCGGTAGCCGATCTTGCCCAGGCCGATGATGCCGAGCGAGAAGCCGTTGGGGTTGTGGGTGATGGCGGCGATGTTGCGGTTGGCGTCCTTGAAGCGCTCCGGGTCGCCCGAGCGCGCGCTGAGTGCCGACCAGGTGAACTTGCGGAAGGTGGAGAGGATCAACCAGATGGCGGCGTCGGCTACAGACTCGGTGCATGCCGCGGCCGCGTTGCAGTAGATGATGCCGGATTTGGCAAGACGTTGCGTGTCAACCCAGTCGAATCCAGCGCCGGCGGAGGCGTAGATCTTGCAGGATGAGGGAAGGAGAGAGCTGCAGCCGGAGTCAGAATGCATTCAGACCATCGCAAGAGAGAAGATCAGAGGATTGTGCAAGAGGGAGCGCGGGGAATGGTTGCTCGATTGGTAGCAGACGATGGTCCCTGGGGCCTGTTGACGTGCATTGCGGCTTCAAGGGCCCCATTGACCGTCGACTGCCCGCACAGCCGCGGCAATGCGCTCGTCACTCGAGAGACAGCGGTATGACGTTGATTTGGACGTGGTGTTCGGCAGCGTGGCGGGAATATTTTCCCGATTCGGCCGTCGTCCAACGCAAGGACCGGAAAGAGCTGCCGCCGAAGGGAAATGGGAATACACCACTCACATGAGCTCGTCGTCCCAGTTGCCCATCTCGCCGCCGGTGTTCCAGAATGGGCGGTACATGGCGACGAAGTCCCCGAACTTCCCGTCCTTCAGGGCTTGCTTGAACTCGGCGCGGTTCATGCTGTAGCTGCGGCGGATCTCAAACTTGTCCTGCAGCTGCTTGTAGAGCTCGTGGTTCCACCTGATGTCATCGCCGAGGTGGAGAACGATTGGCTTGCCCATGGTGCCGGTGGTTGCTGAGGCCTGGGGTGCTGAGGCAGACTGCGGAGAAGACGCGGAGAAGGGAGGAAGGAGGTAGGCAATGGCCGCGGATGGCCTGGCAGCTGCGCAAGCCCAGGCGCATATAAAGCGGCGGCGGAATCAATATTCCTTCTATGAGGTTGGCTTTCCCCACGGGCTGCACCTTCCCCGCGACTTGACGCCCGCATCTTCAGATCGCCCGGGCAATGCGCTCCGACACTCCCCACCGCGCCAACCAAAAGCCGACGCCAAAGCCGCAAGACGCCGACGCCCCGACATCCGTGACCCCGACTAGCCGCCCTGCCGCCCTGCGCACGTGATGCGCTTAAGCGAGCGCCCGCCCGGCTCAAAACTCTGTTGGCCTCTCGCCCCTCTCTTCTTTTCTCTTCATGAAAGTTGAAATTTGAAACCCACGAAAATTTGACGCCTCGCTCGCTTGTCCGCACCCTCACCGGTGTCGTGTTCAAGCGTGAGCCTGGAGTTGTATTAGGTGGGGAGAGAGATGCCCCCCGCTGTCAAGAAGCAGCAGCTCTGATCCCGTGAGCCGTTGACTCCCGTTGAAGCGGTACATGCTCTTACTCGAGCTTCTCCGCGTCTTAACTCCGCTGCTGTGCCGCCCACTCGGCTGCTGCCTGCTGACTACGCCTTCCTTGCCCGTCCTCTTTAAGCCGCATCCCAGTCCACGCCACGTCCAAGCCTCTCGTCCCTTGTGCTTCATTGAGACATCTCACCCCCTTCACATCGCCGCCAACCCCTCCCAACCAACCGTCTTCAAGATGGATGCATGAAGTCTGGTCGGCAAGCGATTGCGCGAGCCGGCTGCCCGCCCACTCACCCCCCGACGCACATCTACTCCGTCGGACTTCCATAGCACTTTACACACAATCCATTCGTAATGGCCAGTCGGCGCGCTGCGCGCGCGCGTGCCCACACCGAGGCATACTCGTCCACTACGACAGTCGCCACCCGCCGCCGCGCCAAAGCGCCCACGAAGGCCGCTCGACCGCCCCCTCCGCAGCACCGTTACGACGACGACGACGACGACGACGACACGGACGAGACGACCGACAGCGAGGCCGCCGAGCCCTTCCCCTTCTTCGCGCTGCCCGCCGAGATCCGCCTGCGCGTGTACGAGCTGCTCCTCGCCGTGCCGGGCGTCGTCGACCTGAACCCGTCAAACTACCGGACCATACGGCGGCGCACGCTGCCCCTATTCCTGACCTCGCACCGCATGCACGAGGAGGCCTACCGCGTCTTCTACGGCACCAACGTCTTCCGCATCTTCCCTTTACATGGCCGCTTCTTCCACACCAAGAAGCCGCTCCTCGCCCGCCTTCCGTCCCGCTACCGGAATAGCATCGCCCGGCTCGAGCTGCGCCTGGGGCCCGGCTGGCAGGGCCCGCTGCCCAAATGCTGGGACCTCTCGCCCGAGGGCGCGGAGCGGCTGGGGCTTGCGGACCTGGCTGACGCTCGTTCGCTCAAGGTCTTCGTCGAGTGCGACCCGGCCAGCGACGAGATCTTCCGCGGCTTCCGGCGCAGCGACGACTTCTTCACCGTGTTTTGCAGTGGGCTGTTGCGCAACTTCTTGCCCCGCGTGCCCAGCATCGAGGAGGTGCAGTTTGACGGCTTCCCCAGCGTAAAGCAGGATAGCCCCCTGATGAAGGAGCTGCTGCTGCAGGTTAGGGGACACGGAAAGCGCGTGACATATGGCCCGGAGCGCGGCTGGGCGGACAAAGTAGCTGACTTGGAGAGTGGCATTGCTCGATTGCACCTCTGGGCCGGGTAAAAAGTCACTGTGTGAGATATTCGTGTATGATTTTGTACCAGTTATGGTTACAAGGCACCATTGCCACCATCGCCACCATTTTGGCAACCATCGTGCTGTTCCTCCAACCGTATTGGCTATGAAACTCTAAATTTACGTGTATACTTGAAGAATCAAACGAGTTGAATGAATCATATTGTCTAAGCTCCAGACTCTGAAGGGCTGGAACAAGAGCACTACGGTCCACTACGCCCGGCTTGGGAATGTCCAATGTGACATCTGGTCCCCATACCTTGCCAACGCCATTATGGTATCGCTCACAAACCCTAATCCGAAATATGCCAAATAAGAGACGCCGCCGCCGCAGCCGGGAGATACTCGAAACGCCGAGTGGCAATCTCAAAATCTGAACTCCGGTACATCAGCGCCAGCACATGTCCTCCCAGTCCCATACTCCCTTCCCGTTGTCCGTCAGACTCGTCAGCTCTGCGCGTGGAAAAATCAAGAGGCCTCAGCTTCCGCTTCAGCCTTCATTGCAGCTTCGCCCTTGACCTCCTCTTCTTGTCTCTCCTTAAGTCCCTCCTCCTTTTGCACCCCCGCCTCAGCATCGTCCATCTCAACATCCTCGGCCGTGGTGTCTGCAGTCGCCGCTGTGCCGGGCTGTGTGGCCAGGCTGCCCCCGACAAGAGCAGAGGCTGGCTGTTCAGTCTCGGGTTCGACCTTGGGCTCAGGCGGTACTTCTTCGGGCTCAGTCGTTGCAGAGGTCGCTTCAGCTGCTGGCGCACTAGTCGCTGGTGCTGTCGCCGGTGGAGAATCGGGAGGCGTGAGGGCGGTAGAAGGCTCCTCTGCTGCAGAGGAAGCCGTTGCCTCTACTTCCTCGGTGGCCGCGGCGGGAGCTTCGGCAGCGCTGGACATATCAACGTCACCATCAGCATCTGGTGCTTGTGCTGCTCTTGGCTCAGCTGTGGCGGAAGTGGGGGATTGAATAGCCGAGGCAGGCTGGCTAGCACTTGCTTCAGCAGCTGCCGCAGGGCTTGCGCGCCTCGAAGATTTCCCTGTGTCAGGAGCGCTGGTGTTGCTTGCTGCAGCACCATTTGCGCTACTAGGCCTAGGAGTGTCGTCACCGTCCACGGCGTTCGCGTTTTGGTAGTCCATGATGTTCATCCTGCGCTTCCTAGCCCCAGGTTGCTTTCGCACGCCCTGCCTTTCATTCTCGGCCTCGTCCTCGCTTTCGCTGAGTTCTCCGTTCTTTTCCACCCGCTTGTCCCAACGGCGCTGGGTGTACCTGGAATCCGGGTGCTCATCCTCGTCCAAGTCGTTCATTTCATCCTCTGCCTCGTCGTCCATGCCAGCCATAAGCGGCGATCTTGGGACATCTGTCATCTGCACAGATGGAGCAAACGCGGTGCGCTTAATATTCTCGATAACTTGAATGCGGATTTTCTCAAGGTACTCTGGCGAGTTAGCGTTATCCATGTTCGAAGGGCGGACATCGAGTTCGAAATCGGGAGCGAAATACTACACGAAAGTTAGTGGTAAACAGGAGGATTGATAACGAAATCACTTACATCGAAATAATCGTTGTACGGAAGCTGAGGCCCCAACTCTGTGCCAACGAGTTGGCCCGTCTCGAATGCCCAAGTGCGCGCGACATTGCGCATAGTATATCCGCCTCCGCCGAGGACGAGGGTCGGAAGATTGAAGCTCTTCACGAACCTGACGCAGTTTGCGTGCCCTCTCATACTGAGATTGAAGGCGCCCAACCTATCGCCAGACAAGCTATCACCTCCACATTGCAAAACAACGGCCTCTGGTCTGTACCAGTCCATAACAGCTTTGATAACAGGCTCGAATATGCCCTTGTATGTTTCATCGGTGATGCCATCGCGCAATGGGAAGTTGACGGCGTAATGTTTGCCGTTGCCAACACCAATGTCGCGCAACTCTCCAGTCCCGGGGAAATATTCGCCATATTTGTGGAAGGACACGGTCATAACGCGGTCAGTCGTGTAGAACGCCTCCTCGACACCGTCGCCATGGTGGACGTCGATATCGATGTACAGAACGCGCTGCTTGAAGCGGAGGAGCTCGATGATACCGAGCACAATGTCTAGGAGACAGCGGGGTTAGCGCGCCCTATGGCCCGGTGCTGCTAGCGCTCCGGAGCAGGAATACATACCGTTGACGTAGCAGAATCCACTGGCCTCGCTCTTTTTGGCGTGGTGGAGGCCACCGGCCCAGTTCACAGCGACGTCACACTTTCCCCGGTTGAGACGTGCGGCACCCTCCATGCTACCACCGGCACTGATACCACAGTATTCGAACAGGCCATCAAAGACAGGACAGTCGTCGCCGACATTGAACTTGCTCTGCTCCTTGGCAAAGTTGTCCATGTTGTCCGGGGTGACCTTCTGCAGGAAATCGACATACTCGTCGGTGTGGAACTGCGTCATCTCGAACTTGGACGCGGGCTTCGCACGCTGCGTCGGCCGTCAGTGAGGTGTCCATCGTGTATTGGCGCGGCTGCAGCTAGAAAACGCTCGGGGCGCGTTGAGACAACACGCGGAGTGGGGAATGGCTACGTACGTAGATTTCAACCTTCTTGTAGAGACCAAAGTTCATGATCAAGCTGTGCGTCATCCTTATGCGGTGCGGCTTCATGGGATGGCCGGCGACATAGGCGTAGTTGCCCACATCCGAGTCGTAGAAGTAGGCGACCTTCTTCGGCTGCGAGCTGCCGTTGATGTTGAAGTCATCGAGCGGGGGGGCACCGGCGCCCACCATTGTTGCGGCTGGCTGAGGCAGTGGGTGAAGCGGACGGCAGGACGGGGGCGACGGAGCAACGAGGCCAGGTGCGGGAAACGGCGACGGCGCCGATGGAAGCTCTATGTAGGCGCAGAGAGCGAGCGAGCAGAAGAGCGCGGGCGCAGCCAATGAAGGGCGCGCGGGCCAGAGCGGTGAATGGCGGCGGCGGGCAGGTTTCGCCGGGGTTCCGATGCGCGCGTCGCCGCTACTACCTACGTCTAGCGCCAGCTCGGCCGGAGCTCCAGCGCCTCACTGCAGCACCAACATCCTCCTTCCCACCGCGCTGGTCCATCTCCCATCGCGCTGCCAGCCTCCGATTCCTGCCTGCAACCTCCCCACCGCCTGTCCGACCTTCCTGTTCCCGTAAACCCGCCCCACATACATCGTCACCCAGCATGGATCGCCTAAACCGCATGCTCGCCGCTGCGCAGGGCATGAGAGATGCCGGCCCAGCTCAAGTACGTCTTCTTCCTTCTGTTGCACCTGTCCTCCCTTTGCTGCTCTGTCAAGATGGATCCTTTCCCGTACCCTGACGGCTGGTACGCGGACTGGTACTTTGTACGCCACCGCAGCATGCTTCGACATGCACGCACTGCTCCCCGGGTCCAGCAAGCTGACCGCGCCGCCTTCTGCAGGACACAAACCTCATCGACAATTCGGAGACCGTCTACATCTCGTCCCTCGCCCTCCTCAAGATGTTGCGACACGGCCGCGCCGGTGTGCCGATGGAAGTTATGGGTCTGATGCTGGGAGAGTTCGTGGACGACTACACCGTGCGGGTGGTCGACGTCTTCGCTATGCCCCAAAGCGGCACCGGTGTCAGTGTTGAGGCCGTGGACCCCGTGTTTCAGACCAAGATGATGGACATGCTGAGGCAAACGGGACGGTAAGGATACGTCCCAACGCAGCGCACCCTTACGATTTTCTAATGCGATGCCAAAAACAGACCAGAGACCGTCGTTGGCTGGTACCACTCGCATCCTGGCTTCGGCTGCTGGCTCTCCAGCGTCGATATCAACACGCAGCAGTCTTTCGAGCAGCTCACTCCCCGCGCCGTCGCTGTTGTAGTGGATCCCATCCAGTCCGTAAAGGGCAAGGTTGTCATTGATGCTTTCCGCCTCATCAACCCGCAGACCCTCATGATGGGACATGAGCCGCGCCAGACCACGTCCAACTTGGGTCATCTCAACAAGCCGTCCATCCAGGCACTCATTCATGGTCTGAACAGGCACTACTACAGCATAGGCATCAACTACAGGAAGACGGGTTTGGAGGAGAACATGTTGATGAACCTGCACAAGCACGTCTGGACTGAGGCACTGGAGATGGACGACTTCAAGCAGGACGGCGAGAAGAACGTGGACAAGCTGAAGCGGTTGGTTAGCCTGGCGGAAGGCTATGAGAAGAGGGTCAAGGAGGAGACGGAGCTCACCAAGGATCAATTGAAGACAAGATATGTCGGCAAGGTGGATCCGAAGAAGCGTAAGTGCTCCCTTTCAGTGATTATCTCTAGAGCTGTACTGACTTTTCGCCTATTATAGACATCGAGGATGTCGGCCAGCAGCTTATCGAGGACAACATTGTTGCAGTGTCCAGGCAGATGATCGACAAGGAGGCGTGCTTACCCAAGAACGCCGGTCCAAACAGTGCCGTCAACGGCGAGATGGAGGTCGATGATGAGCTATGAGCGATGACTAGTCTGCTTCTGTAATATACACCATTATGAGGTGCTGAGGGTGCGGGGTGCATAGGATAGATTTAGCTCGCATGGCTATCCGACGGTTCCGACATTTAGACCTGAACGAATGTAAATGACACGTTTGCATTCACTTCATGAACTCGACGCACTCCTTTGTCTCTCGTCCACAGATTGAAGGAATAAATCATCGCAGCCAACCCTGAGAACTGAAAGGGTATGCAAAAGAGACAATGAATATCGGCTGAACTCTCTTGGACTCGGACAACATATGAAAGAGAGAAGCTACGTCGATAGGGGTGTGGTAAGTGACGCTTGGTGGCCCATAATCTTGGAGATGAACGTCGTGGAGAATGTACATGACCATGGAATTTCCCATCGACCTACATGTTCGCCGCTTCTTCAAACTCCCACGATCAACCTAGCGCCATTATGCTCACCAACTTAGGGGGTAAAAAAGATCCGCAGACGCGTGCTACCCAGCCTTGGCTAACTAATGTAAACATCAAAGCATCGAGCAACCCGAAACGCCTAGGCAAGAAGCAAAAGAAGATGATGGGCCCAGCCGCGAGTCGAACGCGGGACCTCTCGCAGTTGAGGATAGAACTCCCAAAGCGAGAATCGTAACCACTAGACTTGATTCGGTGTCAGTTAGGGGCGTGGTGCTAAAGAAGGAGGGGAATCAATTACTTACCCACTGGGCCTCTTACTTGTTGATGGATAGAAAAATACTCTGATAGGATCATATAGGGCAGTATGTTCGTCTAGTTGCTGGAACCTCAACTTTTCTGGCCCATTGGACAACAGGGTCACTTTTAGACGGGGTAGCCACGGTGCCGGGACGAAGATAAGTACACGGCGCCAGAGGGAGATGATCTGGGCAAAAGTTCGGCACTCTAGCTACCAGAGACAAAATTCAACAGGCATACGCGAGTTAAGCGCAAGGGAAGAGAAGATGGAAAGTGTTGATGTTTCTGCCTGGATTAGGAAGGTTGCATGAGTCATAGCAGTGGCTGCACCGCATGCAGCTGCAAATAAGAAAAGCCCGCCGCATCTTAGCGGAAACGGGTACACCGCCCCATTGCCCATCTACGTACTGCGAACGCTACCAGGAGGCTTGCGGAAGAGTCCAGACACCCGATCAATAATCAATGACGCAATCCCGAGCGGGGTGCGCTCATCGGAGGCGAATGACTCGCGTCAGCTTGGTGATAAAAAGGAAGCTCCCGCAGCCACTGCCACCTCGGCCCCGCGCCACAGCACTTCCTCATTTCTGGTCCTGAACCCTTCAAGCTGAACCGCTCCTACTTCCTCGCCGCCCTCGCCCTCGTTCTCGCCGTCCTGGGCGCCCACACCACCATGACTACCATGAGCAGCCTTTTCACGCGCTTCATGCGCCCATTCTCTTCCGGTCCGCTGCGCGCCGTCGAGAACGGCGCCACCGGCGTCGCTGGCGGAACCCATCAGAAGGCAACGATTGCGGCTGGCTGCTTCTGGGGGGTAGAGCACACATACCGCAAGTCTTTCGCGAGCAAGGGCCTCATCGACGCGCGTGTCGGATACATCGGTGGCGATTCGAAGAACCCTAGCTACAGGCAGGTCTGCGGAGGCGACACTGGCCGTAAGTGGCCCCAGGAGACGGGGAGAGCGATTGCTGACGCCGGTGCCTGAGGATAGATGCGGAAGCCCTGCAGGTCACCTTTGACCCGGAGAAGGTCTCGTACAGACAGCTCATCGAGTACTTTTATACCATCCACGACCCGACGCAGCTGAACCGACAAGGCCCCGATCGTGGCACACAATACCGTAGCGCCATCTTCTTCCACTCGCCCGAGCAAGAAGCCATCGCCAAGGATGTCACTGAACGTGCCAACAAGGAGTGGTGGGACGGCAAGATTGCCACGCAGCTTGTGCCTGCGGGTGATTGGTGGGACGCCGAAGCGTACCATCAACTCTATCTCGAGAACAACCCTGGTGGTTACGAGTGCCCCACGCACTTCATCCGGAAACTCCCGCCGTTGAGCCAGCCCGAGAGTTCCTGAGTGGGGCGAAGAAACCACGACCCTGTAAATACTTCAATGTCATGATACGCTATGTATATGGGTTCGAGTTTGTGGATATGAAGATCACTGATATTTCCAACGTCAAGCAGTAAAGTGTTTGATTCATACTGGACAAAATCATTCGGCTATCGTCATCGTCATCCATGCCCAATATCAACTTCGCGCTCAAGACGCACTACCAACTCCAAACGCTCGCCGGCTTCAAGGCAGACTGATTTACGAAGGAGGGAGGGTCTCAAAGGTGGTGGCGACCTCCTTCTCCCAGGCCAGCTTGGCCTTGCCGAAGATCTCGGCGGCGGGCTTGAAGTCCTTGCTCTCGTCCAGCAGGCCGGTGCGGAGGATGATCTTGTCGCCGAGAACTGTCTGGTGGTGGTAAGGGTGGGTGGTGCAGTTGGGGCAGTAGTAGCAGTGCACCGGCTTGCCCGACTCGCCGGTGTAGGTGTAGGCCTTGAGGTCGTCGCCGCCCGCGGTGAACTTGAGAGCGCTCTTGGGGACGATCTGGTTAAGGGTGAAGGCGCTGCCGGACAGGTACTTGCAGGTGTCGCAGTGGCTATGGCCATGTCAGTCCATTGGTAGTCTCGCGGAGAGGGACAGCGGTTGGCACGTACCAGAGGACGTGCGAGGCCTGGTCTTGCTCGAGGGTGACCTCCCACTTGGTCTGACCGCAGGCACAGTGTCCGTGGTAGGTAGTCATTGTGGTGGAATTGGCGGGGAAGGTTGACGGGTGAGAGCGACGGGTGAGAGTGACGGGTGTTGCGGAGATCAGCGGGGAGAGGAATTGGACTAGAGGACTGCAGCTTGAGGAGGGTCTTGAGCCGGTCTTAAATACGTAACACCGGGCGGAACCGCTCAGCAGAGACAGGCATTGCTTTGGCAGAGCTTCGCAGAAACTCGGCGTCGTGGATCCATCGACCCGCAGACGAGCGTCGATCGCTCGAGTCTTCCAAATACTGGCCTGGCCGCGTTCCTATGACGTTAGCGCGAGGAGGGGCAGCGCGCCGCACGGACCAGGAGGCGCGGGGTCGGCTTGCAGCGCTAGGTACGGAGCAGGTAGCTTGGCTGCTCCTTTCCTGACCACTGCGCGGCGGTGAAGTCAATTGATCTTGATGCGCGGGCTGCAAGCCGAAGAAACTCAGCTGCGAGGAGCCGCCGCCGTCGCAGCTCACAGCACGAGTTTCTGCAGTTCCTCGCAGTTCCCGCGTTGGTGCTGCCACGGCCAAGCGGCCAATCACAAACCATGCCAGCCAGGCCCCGCCGTGCTTCCCTACGCAGAAGCCACCACTGTGCCACCCTGCATCCGCCCTGCCCACTCGCCCATCCTCGCTCAAGCATCTGACCCACAAGCTTCCGGCAACCCACGGCTCCACATCCGACCCTCACTCCGCATACACGAATCGCTGGCCATGTCGATTCCAAATGACAGGCCGCTAGCTCTGCTGCTGACTACGTCGGAAATGCTCCCGGGCTGCCGCACATGGCGACTGTCGATGTTATTGTGTACTCGCTCAGGTGAAAGGATCGCTGGGCCTGTCCAGGCCATGGCCTTCTACTAAGCCTCTACTGCGAGCCCCTTGGCGGATGTCACATCTGAACGCATGCTTCACTCCCCAGATCGGTTTAGCGTTCCCGGCCACTCTCGCCTATCCACTAGCACCTCCTTCAACAAGCAATGATAAGGATGGGTCGCTGGACATGCTATTCTGAATCACGCAGGTTGGGGTCGTCACTCATTACAAATCTCCGCCGCCGAGAGCCCCCAACAATTGACGTCGCAAGCCTGGGCCTTTGCTTCGCCTCTTCTCACCAAGTCTGGGGTTTACAGTCGACTTGCCCAGCCCCCAAGCGACACATGGAGGACCCTCCTTCTTTCTGCTCCCAGTACCTTGCAAGTGCCGGCTTTGTCGCATACAGACGACGTCAGATCGCAGCTGTCCGGGTGGCTGCGAGAAGGGAAATGCCAGGCGTGCGTTTGGCCCCTGCATGTCATGGGTGTCGACGTCACATCTCGAACCTGCATTCATGTTGAGAAATGCAGTGCTCCGGCGACTTGGAATGGGGACCCTGCAATCGTCCACACTCGCAAACTCCGGACTCTTTACCCGGTACGTTTCAGCAACGACCCACCGTCTATCCAGCGCGATCCTAGTGATAAAAAGATGGGCAAAGGACAGGGATTACGTGATTGTCATCTATGATCAATTCTTTCCCTGGTCTATTCAACTTCCAACAACTGGTACTTCTGTCCATTCTTCTCCAAAACATCTTCTATTCTCTCCATGATAGCGAGGACCTTTTCCTCCTCGAGCCTTTGGCCAACAACCTGCACGCCAACAGGCAGGCCTTCCATCTTGACGGCGTCATAGTGAGTGTATGCGCCCTTCGCGATACCGTTGAGTTTCTTGAGATTAAACGAGGCAGGCAAGGCGTCAATGACGCGGTCGACGTGCGTGACGGGAATGATGCCGCAGGTGTAGTCAAGCTTGACAACCAAAAGTCAGTCCAGAGATCTTGGCCACTAGGGTTGTCCTCGGGCTTACCAAGTTAAACAAGAAAGTGTATCCGCAGCTGCTCACTGCCTCCTTCATTCCATCGTGAGGGACAGCAGGCGTGGCATTTGGGGCCGTCAACAGGATGTCCATCTTCGCCTCTTGTTCCCACCAGTCGTGCCACTTGGCTTTGTAGGCCTCTCGCTTCGATACCAGCTGCCAATGCTCATACGCACTCTTCTCATGCCAGCCAGAGAGAAGGTCCGCCCACATGGGATCCCGCTTGACGTACTTGACCCACAAGTAATGTAGGTACTTGAGCGGTCGGGGCAAATGCATGTAAAAGGCCATTTGGTCAGCACCGGCATCGTTCCATTCACCGGTGCGGAAGAAAGACAGGAAAGTGCGGCAGCCGTCAGAGTTGAGCAGGTGTGAAGCGATCTTCAGCGCCTCGTAGGGCGACGGCGGCGTCACGTCGAAAACGTCATGGCCTTCGGCGCGGAGTGCTGCAGCCGTCTGCTGCAGGGCACGAGCGCAGGCAGGACTGGGATCAACAACGCCTTACGAAGTGTCAGATGGAGCCGACTGAGCGCATCTACATTGAAGGTCACTCACCGTCAGTCCTCATCACTCCAACTCGGAGTCTCTTCTTCTCCAAGTACTCTGCGGTAACATCTTGCCGCCACTCAATGGGGTGCACGGTGTGATCATACTTCCAGGGCTTCATACGGATGAAGCTGGCGGTGAAGTAGTGCAGGTCATCGAGGGTGCGCGCCATGGGACTGAAGACGCTGGCAATGCCCTCCTGGCCGGGCATGCTAGTGTTCATGCCCATCTTTGGCCAGCGGCCGGTCGAACAGCGCAGCGAGTAGCAGCCAGAAAAGTGGGCGGGGGCTCTTACTGAACCCGCGACGTCGGAACCGATGCCAATGCGGCTGCCGCCGAAGGCAAGCAGAGCGGACTCTCCCCCCGTCGAGCCGCCGGGCGAGTATTTGTCGTTATGTGGGTTCGTAGTGCGGCCCCAGACATCATTAGTGGACTCGAAGGACAAGAGGGTGACGGGGAGGTTGGTCTTGACGAAGGGGATTGCACCAGCGTCCTTGAGGATACGGACCATGGTCCCATCTTTCTCGTAGGGTTTGCCCGTGTTGGACGAGTAGCCGACGCTGACATCAAAGCCGCCGACGGCAATGGAGTCCTTGAGGGAGATGGGGATGCCAGCGAGTGGGCCTTGGAGGTTGATCTCGCCCTTGTCGAGCCACCGCTCAGCCTCGGGAAACAGAATCTCGGTCAAGCAGTTCGTTTTGTGTTGCGCGGCCACTGCAACCTTGGCGTATGTGCGCAGGACGTCGACGGGATCGGTGACATGACCGTGGACTTCTTGCACGAGCGCCTGGATGGGCTTGCGCAGGATGGTGCGTTCGGCGGGCAGCAGTGGCGATTGGTACTCTGCTGGCAGGGTTGCGATCTTGGAGGCGCGCTCGGCCTGCTTGCGGCGGCTGGAGGTGGTGAGCAATGGGGCCGCGGACATGCAGGGGCACGGTCTGTGAGCTCTGCGGAAACGCGGGGAAAGCTCCGGGGAAGCTCGGGAGCAGCGACACGTACCAATCACGCCTGTGCTGGAAGTAGTCGAGAGGATACACCATCTTTGCGCACGCAGCTTGACAGGACACGAAACGGAGGGGGAGGAGAAGGCGGAGGAGCAGGAGCAGCTCGGACAGCAGACTGCATAGCCGTTCATGGCCGGGCCAGCAATCAGCGGGCACGCAGCTTATCGTCGGCTCTGTCGGTTGGACTCTCCCTTTACAGCCTAGGCGGGCGCGTGTCGTCCTCCGCCAGACGCGTCCCTGCGCAACCTGCTGACTTGTGGCCTCCAGTCCGCCAGTCCACCGGTCCTCCACGCTCTCGACCAGCGTGTCTGTGCCCGCTCGACTCGGCCGCCGCTCTGCCGATGGAAGCCTCACTTCGGCCCGGCGCCAGGCCAGCGGCAACCCGGGGGCGGCGCAGCACCCGGCCGGCGGCTACCACTGCCACCACCAGCCTGCAGCGTCCAGACCAGCTGCTGTGGGGCGTGACGCGATAGGGATCCTCGATTCACCCAGCGCATCCTCCACGCCTCATTGTCCATCAGTGGCTGGATCCCCCGCGGGATCTCCATCAGCGCGCCAGCGGGAGCGACTGTGAGACATCCGCCCGGACGCCGCAGCGGGTGCAGAATCATGTTTCTGAAGAAGGTGGCTGGGCGGCGGCAGATGCGACAGAGCCGCACGCGCGCGAGTGGCTGTCGTTGACTGCTGCTGGTGCCGGGTGGCCAGAGCGCCCTGCAGCTCAACAGCTCCTCTGCAAGGCCTGCCAGAATAGCCGCCCGCTCGGACTGCCTCGCCATTCGTCCGCCTTTCAACCTTCTCATCGACCATCGCTCATTGGGCCCGCCGGCGTCTGATCGGTTGCTTTTGAAACCGCCTGTTCTACAGACGATTCTCTCCACCTCGCAAGAATAGCAGTGGCCAGTGCGTCTTGAGCTCTGGGATGCCACCACCGCTGGCCGCACCCTTTGTATAAAAGATGCCCATGCTTCGCTGCTAATCCTACCTCTCCAGTCCAACATCCAACTGTCTCAGCAATCAGTCTCTTCATCCCTTTCCTACTTTTTGTCTGTTTCTCTATTTCATTCCGTCGGTCCTTCTGCTTGCATTCGGCCCAAAGTCGTTCCCTCCACACCCGCTATTCTTAATTGCTTTGAAAGCAGTCCGCCCTCTTCCAGGAGTCGATTTCCTGCATTTTTCTAGATCCACGTTTCCAGTTTCCTTCCAAATCCACCACCTCAGCCAAAATGCCTGTCCCCGCCTACGGTGCCGCTCCCCTCAGCAAGACCTTTGCTCTGGTCCGCATCCTGGAGGTCATCAGCATGATTATTATAGTCGGCGTCGCTGCCAACTTTGTCAACGACATCGTCTCAAGCGGCATCGAACCGCCAAAGGAGGTTGTTGGCACCCTCAGTGTTGTAAGTCCACCTTTGCCGCACTTCTCTGATTTCATCCTACTGACCACACCAGACCTGCATTGCCACGCTTTACTGTCTGATCAGCATTGCCTTCTTCTGGTCCGAGGCCTACCTGGGTCTCTTGGTCATGACCGCCGTCGACTTTCTCCTGCTCATTGCATTCATCGTTGTCGCCGTCTGCCTTGGCAAGCCCATCTCATTCCTCAACTGCTACGTCGTGCAAAGCACCTCCGAGTCCGTGACGGCTTCGAACGCCTACACCTACTACCAGTCGGTCAAGTCGAACCTGAACATCAGCGGCGCTGGCATGAACCTGGCTGCCTTCGCAGGTGCGACCAAGGCCAACTGCCTTGAGACAAAGGCCATCTGGGGTCTGAGCATCGTGCTCTGGTAAGTCTCGCCTTCTGGGCACTTCACTATGAAACAGGGACTGACGGTGCAAACACAGCATCCTTTTCACGACCTCCTCCATCCTACTCCCCACGCTCTTCATGAAGAACAAGAAGGCCAACGCTGCTCCTCCCAAGGCTGAGCCGTAAACGACTGATGACTTCTCTCACGCTCCAAAACTCCCTCAAGTCAACATTATTGTCGCAGCGCGACCACACACGCCTTTGAAACACCTGTCTCACTCAACAAGTTTGTCTGAGCCCTGCATCTTCCGGAGTCGAGCGCTTTGCATTATCAATGCTTTCATTTTCCTTACCTCGTTTCCGTCTGTTCTCTTTTGATCTTTTTTTTTCTTTCTTTTTTTTTGATTCGTCAACTGTCATCTGTTTCCAGCGCGCGCATTGACCGACATTGAATGTCCTAATGTAATGACTACTGCTACAAAAAATTTCGAAATAAAGGAGTTTCTAGTCTCTTTCTTGCTACTGGTATCGCGCGCTGCATGGATGTACTGACGCAAAGGCTATTGATTCGCTTACGCATATACTTCACTCACCCCCTTTCCTCCTCTTGTCCCGCGCGCACAGAAACGCAATCACCGGCACCAGCAACAACTGGCACACGACCGTCACCAGGACCGACACGAACCCCGCGGCGAAGCGGGGGGCGTCGACGGCGGGGAACTGCAGCAGCTGGCTCCAGGCGGCGACGGCCTGGCCGACGGCATTCATGCTGGCGGTGACGACGGCGCGCTCCTCGGCGTCGCCGGCCATGGCCACGGTGGCCCAGCCCATGGTCAGCGGGCTGACGGCGCCCTCGAAGCCGCAGACGACGAAGGCGGCGACGCGGCCCGTCTCGCCCACGTCCCACGCCACCAGCAGCGCGACGCTCGCCAGGACGGGCAGCGTCACCGCCACCATGGGGATCCAGAAGCGGCCGCCGAGCCGGTCCGCAGCGGCGCCGGCGCAGAGGGCGGCGACGACGGAGAGGGCGGTCGCGAGCGTCGGCAGCGTGTTGACGCGGGAGACGGAGTAGATGGCGGGGGATTTGGCTTTGAGGTAGAGGCTGAAGGGCGTCGAGTAGGGTTGGAAGTTTTGGTCCATGAGTGTCCACTGTAGCACGAAGAGGTACCAGTGCCACCGCCCGAAGACGCGCGCGAAGATGTCGCGCGAGACGTGCAGTTGCGGTGGTGCAGTCAGCTTGGCGAGACGCCGCTGGGAGAAGGTGTGTTCCTGCGGCGTGAGGAGACGGGGTTTGGCGCGCGAGGGGACGTCAGGGAAGATGAAGAAGCCGCTGGGGAGGAGGGAGGGAAGATGGTCGTCAGTGTCGTTACGATGTAGCACGATTTAGTTGCCTGTAGAAAGACGGGAGGACCTACAGTAGGGAGATTGGAAGGGTGATTATTGCGTCGACGATGAACAGCCAGCGCCAGCCGGACAGCCCATGGGCGCCGTTTAGGTTGGTGTAGGCGGCGGCCTGCAGGTACCCGGCGAACATGGTGCCCAAGGGGCTTGCGATGAAGAATAAAGCTACTCGTCGGCCCACTTCCCTAGGCTTATACCACGATCCAATGACGTAGATGACGCCTGTGAAGCTGCAGCTCTCGAACAGGCCGACGAGGAAGCGCATGGCATATACTGTTTCAACGTTCTGAGCCCAGGCCAGGCCGAATGTTGCAAACCCCCATCCAATCTCGAGAACGGGCAGGACAATGTTGACAGGATGGCGAGTAAGGTAGTAACATGCGGGGATCATGGAGGTACAATAAGAAGCCCAGAACACAATTGTGATGTAGTTGAGTTGGTTGCCGTGAAGGTGGAGGTCTTCCTTCATTCCCCTGCGAGCCAATCATCAGCACGTTGGATACAATGGTCGTGTGCAAAGACTCACGAGACATAAGCATTTGTGATTGACTGCTGGTCCAGGTACTTGGTGAAGAAGGAAAGGCACCCGAAAATGAGAATCATCAGATCGAGCTTCAGCACAAGCCTTTTCTCCAGACTCGGCATGGCTTTGGAATACCAATGGATCCAAGTCATGAAGCGGATCCACGGCCCTTCCCTCTCGTCACCCGCATATTGCTCCTTTTTTGAGCTGGGAGTTGGGACTGGATCTTCCAGCACAGTCTGGGATGCGTGCTTCTCTGGATCAGTATTCATTGTGGCGGTCTCCCGATGGCCAGTGGTTCGCTAGCGGCACTGGTAACGAGACGGTAGAAGCGACCTGTTCTTGTAGGTTGTAGATGTAGCCCATGCTTTTTGGTGGAGAAACCGTCGAGGTTGCGGTCGAGAGTAGGATTTCGCATCACATCATCCTGACCCCACTTGGGCTCATCGAGTCGCAAGCACACGTCAAGCACATCAGCATGCTCTTTAAAGGCGACTTCCCACATGCTGACATTCGCCTGCCGGTCGCCTTGCCAAATGAGGCCCAAGCCCGTACCATGCGCCAGTAGCTCATAACAAGTCGCAGTCGGCCACCTACCATGCGGGCGGTTTAAGCAAGTATACCGACACATGTAGTTGTGGGTTTCGGCATTTCTGGAGGTGGATATTCATCTTGGATGAACGGCGTCGGTGCTTGCGGAGGTGGACAAGTAATGTCCGGGGTCAGATGTTTCGAAATGCGGCCAAGTGTTGACGACGGCTGAGTCTGATGCTGGTGGCCATGCAAGGTGAACCGGCGCGGCAGTACCCAGTGCTGCAGCATCTGAGCATCAACATGCGTTGGGGGCGAGCCAGAAGCGGTAACAGAGACGAGGCCGACGATCTAAGCCCGCTTCAGGCTTATCAACGGGCTGGCCAGGAGCGAATAACGGCGCGAGGAGCCGGCAACGGTGGTTGAGGTCCCTTGTTGACCACCGGCCAATCGATAAGGGCCTGGCCAGCCCAACACGTGAAGGCGAGCATGTCTTGCCGTCTGGCCCTGTCCCGACGCACCTGCGTCGTCCGTTATCTCGTCGAGGCTCGGGCTCGGGCGGCGGCGGCGGCATGGCGGCGCAGAGGGCGGCGCGGTGGGCGGCACGAGAAGGGTCGACGGTGGTGACCGCCGACGGCCGGGGCTGGCTGGTGCAGGTACGAAAAAATGAGCGTCGTGCTTGTGATCTGGGACCTGGCGCGATGCAGGGCTCCGCTAAAAATTCTCCACCGTTGCCGGCTGCAGTCCAAGCTCCTTGCCGCATTCGGCATGGGCGTCGGTCTCGGCTGCAAATCAGGCGGCTGCGACGCGCACCCGAACCAGCACCCCAGCCTTCAGCCGCGCCCCTCCATCGGATGCGTCGTGCGTGAAGAGATAATTTTTCGCCCGTTTGGCCCGCCGCCCGCCGTCTATATGTCGTGCCTCTCCCACCAGACTCCACCGCCCTCCCCCCGCCAGGATCGCTGTCGTCATTCGCCATTCGTCATTCGTCATTCGCGAATCGCCAGTCGCCAATCGCCAATCGTCCTGACGTTGCCAGTCTACCCCAGCTTTGTGCGCCAGCCGCCGGCGGCCCCGCCTCGTCACCAGACCTCTGCTAGCTGCCAGTCCGCCCCGCCAATCCGCTGGGCCCCGAACCCGAAGCTGATCTCTGACGTCTTGAATCGCGACCGCCACCTGATCCCCTCAACCTGCGCCTTGGCCCTTCGTGGCTGCCTTCTCCCCGCCCTCCCTCAACCAACCGCCGCACTCACCACTCGCCCATCATGGCTATGATACAGCGCGTCTCGTCAATGGACGCCATACATACCTGGAGAAGCCGGTCTGTCTCGCCCTCTGGCAGTGAGCGCCGCAAGCTCAGTTTCAATCCAGTCCAAGCAGGCGCATGGGGCCCCGCTGCCCAGGAGGAGCTGCTTCCTGCCTTTGAGGTGTCCAAGGCTAAGCGCATATGTAAGTCCGCTGCTGTGAGCCGCCGGCAATGGAGCTGACCGCTGCCGTAGTCCAGGTTTTCGCCGCCGTCGTTTATTGTTTGCTGGCCGCCGGTATTGTCTTTGGCTATGCTGCAATCAAGCCAGTCTTGATCGCCCAGGGTGTATACAGAGATCGCTGTACCGATCTTGAACTGGAAAACGGTGCGAGGGTGTGCTATGAACAGGAGCTGAGGTACGTGACGCTATTCCGGATGCGCGGCTCGTCAACGTCGTGCGATGCTAACGTGTAACAGGCTCAACTTTATGTTCACTGTGGCCGCTGTCTCGACCAACGTCTGCGCTCTTCCCGTCGGCACTGTCCTCGACCGCTTCGGCCCCCGCGTCAGCGGTCTGATCGGAGTCGTTTTTCTAACGCTCGGCGCTCTTTTCTTCGCCTTTGCTGGAGACCTTTCCTTCGATGGATATATTCCCGGATATCTTTTCATGGCCTTGGGCGGCCCGTTTGTCTTTATCTCTTCATTCCAGCTCAGCAACACCTTCCCCCGCTACTCGGGCCTCATTCTGGCCTTGCTCACAGGCGCCTTCGACACCTCGTCGGCCCTCTTTCTTTTCTACAGGCTGCTGTACCAGGCCACTGGTGGCGACCTCACCCTCAAAAAGTTCTTCCTGGTTTACCTGGCCGTGCCTGTATATATCTTTATTGTACAGATGACCCTCATGCCCAGCAAGTCTTATGAGACCGTGGGAGAACTTGCCAGCCGCGCCGAAGATGCAGCGACTGACTACCATGACTCGGACGAAGATATCCAGGAGGAATCCATCATTCAACGGCTGCGCAACGATCGACGCGCTCGCCGGGAGAGCCTTGCCAGCGAGATCACCGCGCTGTTGGATGGAAAGGACGCCACAGCGCGGGCCGAAGAGCAAGAGAAGAAGAAAGAAAACAGCGGTGTTTGGGGAGCGCTCCACGGAAAGACGGCCGCGCAGCAAATCCTGACTCCTTGGTTCATTCTCATCACGCTCTTTACCGTCGTCCAGATGACCCGCATCAACTACTTTGTCGCAACCATTCGATCGCAGTACGAGTATCTGTTAGGAGACTATCACGCAGCCGTGAAGGTCAATTCTTTCTTCGATGTCGCATTACCCCTTGGTGGTGTCATCAGCGTCCCCTTCATCGGACTTGTGCTCGACAACACCAGCACACCTTTCGTGCTAGCCCTCCTAGTGGCCTTCGCAACCACCACTGGTATTCTCGGAGTGATCCCTCAACTATGGGCGGCATACGCCAACATCTGTCTCTTCGTGGTGTATCGCCCGTTTTATTACACCGCAGTCTCGTAAGTATTCTCCCTCCCGGCCAGAGCATATGTAGCTGAAAACTGACCTATATCTATAGAGACTATGCCGCCAAAGTGTTTGGCTTCGCCACCTTTGGAAAAGTGTATGGTTTGATCATTTGCCTGGCCGGCCTCCTGAATTTCCTCCAGTCCGGTCTTGATGCACTGACCCACCGCGTCTTCCACAACAACCCGGTTCCCGTGAACATTATCCTGCTGGGGGTTGCATTCTTTATTGGCCTCGCTCTTGTAACATTTGTCACCTGGAAAAGCAGGTTGATAAACCGCGAGCGTGTCGAGGAGGACGCCGAAGACGCACGAGAGGTCCTTATGCCCGGCGCTGAAATGGGCTTCGAGAGCATGGATCATGCAAATGGTATCCATGATGGGGATGGAGGAAGCCCTCGTCAAGGTAGAGCCCACTATGGAACCTTGGACTGAGGTGTGTAAGAAACCGAGGGAGCCGAGGCACACAAGGGGATGGGTTTGGGTGAGTACAAAAGGGAGATTGAACAAAATTGGCAGCCAGTCCGCATTTTTGGCGTACGCGCGCTACATCCTTTGCTTCATTGCGATTCAAGCTGTAGAAGTCTCGTACGGTGCGGCATGGCGTTGGCACTTGCTTTTTTTCATCTGTTTTGCAGGTTTTCGACGTAGCATGTTTTCATTATACTCGAGTCTATTCCGTTTATAACTCCATTCATCGTAGTCCACTCAAAACTGTAAAGGTACTGGAATCCAATAATCTGAGCAAAGAGTGTATACTTGTTCCTAATAAAGATGCTTGACTCTACCAACCTCATGAGCAAATATCGCAATGCAGCACCCTATGCTTTTGTGAAACAGATCAGCCGATCCAGACTTAACCCGACGACTTGCGTTGTCCTTGGCCGAGAGAAAAAAACCACTCTGGTAGCTGTTGACTGCATGCTTAGGAGTTATGAGGTGCGATGAAGACTACATAATATGTTTCTCTGGTTCGAGTATTCCAGATGTTTACATCAGGGACTTTCGCTAAGTGTCTGAATAAAAATTGCAATATTGATTACTATACGGTCCGTACTTGGGTTATAAGAGATGGGTTATTCCGTCAGATGTTGATAACATATACATTATTGGGTACCGGAGGATTGTGCACATGTTTAGAATACTCTTCCGGTTAAGTGGCCGTCGACGGCCACCAGCTGCGAGCATCTACTAGATTCATGATAATCTTTTTGTTTCAGAGTTGGGAGATTTACTACACTACTCTTTAAGCCCAGCCGAATGTAATTAACAAACCATGAACAGCCCTTTCCGTAGCCAGCGAATCACTTTACCTAGACTAAACGATGCCGGTTTCGCATCAACAAAAACTCTTTTAAAGAAAAAAAAAATAGAGACTGACCTCATCCGAGTAGCAATGTCAGTAAGAGTATGTGATGCGCTGGCAATTACTTTATCTGGAGTTTCGCGGCACGTACTTAGAACGCTTCTGCGCAATAAGCTTACCATATCGATCATTCCTTTCATATTCCCCCATCGACTACACTTCTTACGCTTTCATTGCTTGTTGAAGCTTGCAGTAAATCACGTTGGTTGTCTGAATTCCAATTTTGCTTTCCGTTTCTAGGAGTAAATACGTCATAGCAAATTGATTTTTTTTTTGACTTGCAAGTTGAAGATCTCCCAGTGGGCGTGTCAAATATATTTTCGTACATGAAAAAAAATCACTCATATAGTCGGAGGTGTATGGACAAATGTCGTTCTTGGTTGGCTTCAATATCACAGCGTCTGCATCAAGTGTTCCACCCGGGACGAGAGTTGCTGTATGACCACAAAAGGAGAAATCCGGCCCGTTGCTGTTGTATCACATCAGGGCACGGGGAAGACAGCTCCGTCAGCAAGACTGACGCAGCGACGAATGGCTTCTATGGACAGTATTGGCGTGCGTGCTCCTGCGTGCATGCAATGAGAAGAGCTGGATGTGGGCAAATATGAGATCGGAAGAGAAAGCCGAAGCCAATGAAGCTGAGAAGCTGTGCTTTCAGGCAGATTGCCGGGCGCACGACACATTCATAGCCACCTAGCGGTGGATAGGCATCGATCTTCCAATATGGAGTGAGTGCCAGCAGTCCGTTGAGGTATTTTTTATTATCTTGGTCAGGAAAAAGCCATGACTGCCCGGCGGGACCATGGCGCTGGATCGCGCCAAAGTGTCTCGCGAGCAGAGAGATGGGGCAAGCCCCGCAGCGGCAGCATCCTTGTGTTGCGAGGGCGTTTGTTTGTGGACAGTGAATGTGCTGCCCTTCGATCCCTGCTGCTTCAAGAGACAGTGAGGGCGAGGTTGCATGGCTCCACTGCGCCAACGTTCCAAGCCGCAGCACCGGAACGGGGGCACGAGGGCTGGGTCGGGCAGAAGTGCAAATGGCGCGTGATGGAGGGGCAGGAAAAATGTGCCGCGCTTCTGATTTCCAAGCCAGGAGGTCTAGCTTGGGCGTATCATGCAATAATACCCTCATTAAGATCGGGCACGGATTCTGTCGGTGGCAACTCGTCATTCACGTAGACGGTATTGGCCGACACCGGGCCGTTGTGAGCGTGACGTCCTTGTGCGTTCACACGAGTCGGGATGCTACGGATCCCAAAGGCAGGTGTCAGACGGACTGACTGGGTTGTGCACGCCGCGAAGCCTGTGCTGCCACCTTTGTTTCGAAGCTGGCGGGAACACTTCGCCCAAACAGACGTTTTCCGCATCTCGGCCGGCGCCGGTACACCTGTGAGAGAGGGGCACAGGCCGGGCTGGGTGGACGCTGGCGCTGGGACGGGCAGTTCATCCAGCAAGTGGTGTCCCCACTTCCAGCAAGTCCCACCGCGCCTGTAGAGCCCTCGACACACCCCCAAAAACCTGTTGGTCCACAGATAATTTCAGACGTCTGCATATCCAGCTCTCTCTCGAGTCATCCCAAAATGCTCGCCGAGCTGGCACGGACTGGGCTTCCCCAAGTCATTGTTGGCCGTGATTCCGGCGCAGCACCGACGGCGACGAGCATGAGCGGGCACACGGGGGCCTGACATACCCAAAGGAGGAGAGCACCTTCGTGTCTCGGCAGTTGGCGGAAGGCTCGAGGAATACCGGAGTAGTGGGACGCTTCCGGATTGAGATATGCGAGGGAATAGTGGCCGTTGCAGGCGAATTCAATGCCATGGCAGTCTCTCTGCATGAGGGCGCTGACCGTTGGGCGTCCCGACACAGTCAACGCTGATTTCTCCAAGGGCACTTGAGATGATGGTCGTCGACTAGAGTCTACGGCCACGGCCACGGCCACGGCCACGGCCACGGTGGCAGCTACAGATATCAAAGCGCGTCAATGTTCGATGCCTGTCACAGCAAGTGGGCAGCGAGAAGGACTCATATACTGGGTTTCCCGAGACACCGACTCTCCCGCAACGCTATAAAGGGGACTATATATGGCAAGCCAACGGTGTTTCGCTACCGTCACCGGTCAGGGATTTTCCTCAATGCCTGGGAGCAGACTCCAGGGAGCAGTCTGTGCGGCGACGGACAACAACTATAACCACCGTGTCAAAAAGGGCTGGAATACGGGAAATGGCGCCAACGACGGTGCATGCAGGAGCGGCGGCGGGCGTATACGCTGTCTGCTGGGCTGCTGCTTTGATTCCACGCGGGATTGAGCCGAGGAGTAGCGGTGGAGCAGCGAAGACAGGTGTATAGCACGTGCAACTATGCCGTCCCGCCGTCTTAACAAAGGTCAAGAAGTGTAATGGCGCGCAGGCTGACGACGGCCACCACCAATCAGGCGACAGGCCGTCTTAACAGCCACGTTATGTGCGGGTGTGGTTGGCCCGCACGAGTCGACAGCAAGACCTGACCGGTTTGTTGGATATACGTTGGGGACGGTATAAGGGAGGCGAAACGGAGGCTTCAAATAGGCGGAGCGCCGCCCGAGGCGTCGTGGACTCGTTGTTTTCCTCGAGCACACCACGCCGGAGCGAGACGAGATGGAGACTGGATGGATGGAGCACGAGAGACCGACCACCCACCTCGACGACGCCTCTCTCCGGGTCCCTTCGCCGCCGCCGTCCCAGCACGTCCCGCTCGGAAAGCCTCACCGGTGCGGACTGACAAGGCGAGAGCTCTGCGTCACATGCGGCGGCCACAGGCAGCAAAGGTGAGATTGCAGGGGCCGGAGGCCGACTGTGACGACAGCACAGCTCTTGCGCTCATCTCGTCTCAGCCGAGTCGGATGCCACTGGGTGAGTCGGGGAGAGTCGGGCGGGCGGGCAGGCGGGCAGGCGGGCAGGCGGCAGGTGGCAGGTGGCAGCTGGGCAGGCGACGACGATGCGAGGAACGGGCGGCGTTCGCGTCGTGCAACAACCAACCTGAACACCAAAACCAAAATCTCCGACGCCAAGCACCTTGCCCTCTCCACCACCACCCCGCCCGTCGTCCGTTTCGAGCGCCCCCAGCGCCCCCAGCGCGCCTGTTCCCGGCTCTTGGGTCCTGTGGCGGTGAGCCCGCTGCCCTGCTTTGCCCTGCTTTGCCCTGCTCTGCCTTGCTCTGCCCACGGGATTTCGATCGGCCAATGCTGCTCCGCTCTCAGCCTGCCTCGCCCGCCCTTCTGGAAGTTCGCCCTCACCGCTCACTCGCACGTCCCGGCAGCACCGCCGTTCTGATGGCTCCGCGCCCGCCGCCTCAGCCCTAAACACCAATGAGGGGGATTGCCAGCGAGAAGCGTCATGGGCGATTGGCTGCGCCCTGGGTGATCACAGCCCTGTGGAGGATGTGAACCTGGATGCTCGCACCGGAGATCTGCTGGAAATGACGGTGATCGCACTCGACCAATCTAATGAGTCACTGTGCTGCCCATCTCTGCCACAGCAAACAGCAAACCCCCGCCATCAGGAGAGCCTCCAGCTCGCGCTCCACCGGCGCAGACAGGTTTTTGGCCGCCGCACCTGGACCCATGCCCGCCGCGTCCGAAACAAACAGACGCCTTTACCCAGCGCATCCCGCCCGCCGCCCTCACCACTGTCTCAACCCTCCTCGCTGCTCCATGGGCCCGCCTTGGCGAAGCCTCTCACACGCCGGCCCGGTAGCCGCCCCGCTGCGCTGCGGCTTGCTACTAGGTAGTGAGCGCATGATGCGAGCTTGGCCGTGGATCCAATATCAATAAGGCTCCTGGCCCAGGATGTCTGGTGGAGAAGCGCCCGGAGCCAATATCGACAGGGCCAGCCGCGCATGAAGTGGCAGCGGCGTGACCGGCCATCACAGCCGCATGCGGCAGAGCCTGCAGTTGCGCCGCGGAACACCGGTCAACTGGTATTAACAATCATCAGCCCATGGGCCAGAGCCTCAGCCCCAGTCCAATCAGCGCCCCCCTCCGGCAAATATCAGTAGGGCGTTCGGCATAATCAGCTTTGGCATGGCGCTAGGGCAA